TAGAACAATAATATTACTATTACGGACTGATGAGTAGCCTAATTTATTCATGCTTTTGTTCAAAGTTTTTGGTCTGCCATTACGGTATATTGAGTTTATATTTGCAGTTTTTAATAGCCAATGAGCTCTTGATAACAACTAAAATTTTCTTCAAAATTTTAAAATTTTAATTTTTTAAATTTTCTTGATCAATAACTAATGTTAAAATAGCTGTTGCTAGGGTTTTGCTAGGACTATGCACAAACCTATAATTTTAAATTTAAAGCAAGCTAAAATCCATTACATATTCAATTTAAAAGGCTGACAAACCCTGATTTTAGATTTGAACCAACTTTAAATTTAAATTTTAGCTAGTCTAACTCAAAATCAGTTTAAAATGAATGTACAATAACAAAGACAGTGTTATGCCTGAATTTTGCTGAAACTTCATTGTTTGCAGGGTGTGCCAAGTTACTTCACGCAGTTAGCACGCTAGTTATAGTGCCGCTCTTTTTTTTAATGATGGTACTTTTTACCTGTGCTGCAGGGACGCTTAGAGACGAGGAATTTTTTATCAGTAACAATGCGTGGCAAAGTACAGAAATGAAACGTCTTATACCGGAAAGGGCATATCAAGACACTCCTGCTTTGTGTTAAATTTTGGCCACAGGTACTTTAAGTACAACTTTAGTAAAACAAGTTAAAATGTTAATTTACAATGCGGATTAGACTAGCTAAAAAAAACTACAAAATGCTTTTTCATAGACTTAAAATCCTATTTTTTACATTTAAAACTTGCTTCACAGTATCTTCCAACGCTGTTCTGTTCTAGCCAATCACCATAGTGGTATAAAATGAACACAAAACATATTACACTAAGCTTTCTTTTGCTGTCAATTAGAAAATTAGAAGTGCTGGTACTGTATTACGTGACAATGCACAAGAAAAACGTACATACATTTTTAGTTATACATTGCGCATATATTCCTGGCAATATTTTTTGTGTCATTTTCTGTCTTTGAAGCTTCCTACTCAAATGAACTGAAGCTTTGTGTACTACGCCTGCATATACTAGTAATATCATACCTACAATTTGAAGAAATTGAACAATCCAAGAAATTTTGATTTAAAAAAAACATTTAATTGAGAAAATAGTTAATTACTAACAATAAAACCTTCTTTACTTCAAATTTGACGAGTATCTTTGAAAGTAGTTGCAATTTTTCATATTGAAATTTTGATTTTAGGTACGATATTACTAGTACATGTAGACGTAATACACAAAACTTTAAATAATTTGAGTTGGACACTTCAGTAAAAGAGAGTTATTTAACATAGGGTATGCAGTATCTTTAGATGTATTATTAAATATTTATTTAAATACTTATTTATTTTTAAATATGATCAAAGCTGTGACACATCAAAATTACTTTACTGTAAATATATTAACCACTTTCTACTTTTAAATTTCATTTCTAGCCAAAAACTTTATTTATTTTAGCTAAAATTAGAATATTAACTTAAACTAGACACTATTCTTCGTTACGTCTGTACTACGTATTTATAACTTATTTTGTAATATAAATTTTACAATTCCCCGCAAACTGTAGCCTATAATAACTTTTACAACGTATACTTGATTTGATTACAACGTGACCATCGTAAGCTGTATTAAATAATACAGTACCAACTTCCTTGTGACTGTACTACTTCCTTGTACCGTTTATTTCGTTATTATAGTTACACGATAGTAATATATATTATAGCAATTTATGAAAGTAGATTGATTATATTGACAGTATGCCATATGCGTTAACAGTATAATGTGTATGTTTGCAATTTCAAGTTGAGTACATACAATATCCGATTAATATCGTATTTCAATTTACATCAAATAAAAGTGGCATTTAACAAAACGTTTTAAGTAAACTTTAAGCTCGGTTTTAATAATTTTACAAAGAACTTGTTATCTTCACAAAAAAAGACATTTTTATCACAAAGTTTTACAGTAACCGCATTTGTCAAAAAAATTTTTTAAAAAATACCAAAATATAATAAATTAGCTCCTGTATAACAAATTACTTGAATAATAAAAAGAAAAGATTTGCTCGTTGTAAAGGAGTTTCAGAATACAAGAGTTCCACTGTAATTTAAACCTACATACAGTGAAACTCCTGTATAACGAACCGCTCGGGGATTTGAAATTTGTTCGTTATAAAAGAGTTTCGTTATACAGGAGTTTTAAATGCACTGTGTAGTGGCAGACGGGGATTCAAAAGTTGTTCGTTATACGAGAGTTTCGTTATGGAGAAGTTCGTTATACAGGAGTTCCACTGTATAAGCCAAAATTTTAAAATTTTAACAACCAACAACAATTCAAAAGCCACGTCTACCTTTAACCTCCTTTCCTATCATTCTCTAAGCCTAATGCATTAAAATAAGCCTGAAAGTCTCAAAAACACTCGAAAAATCAAAAAAATAGCTAGCTGCCTCAAGATACCTCCAAAAATGCAGTGTCAACATCAACGTATACATCTACGTATGTTAATTAAAACAGCTTTTGAAACCGATTTCAAGAGGTTTTCCAGTCCATTTGAATTAACTTGAAGCGATTACAACACAAATCTAACCAAAAACCACCCCCTAATGCTCGAAATAATCATAACTAATAAATTTAATGACATGATCTTAATTAAAACATCTTCTAATGTAATCTCGATTATGTCAACAAACAAACTGGTCGTTGTACTATGACCTGAATTCTCGAGTTTTACGTTTTTAAAGACATTTCGTATGTATGACAGTATCTTACATAGTACATAAACATTGCAAAAGTTGTAGTACATTAATGATATTTGAAACATGATGACATGTACAACACGTCATTTCTTAACACATTTCTAACTACATATCCTATGAACTTTCGTTGTAATATACCCTCAACACAAAAGCCTCCAACAAGCTACAGTAACTCCACATTATATACAGTCGCCACGTTTAGTATAGTAAAAGCTTGAGAAGAGCAAACAAAGATAGGCGATGTGTAATAACTCTTATAATTATTCTGAGCGAACAAAGAGTGCCCAAACATGGAAGACAAAACCTCTGAATCTGGGAATAGGACATTAGATCGGCCCGTCCCAATTAGTCGCAAACTTTTTCAAATTGAAATTCACAAAACGACTGTCTTGATGCGGGTTTGATAGGAGTGGGAAAGGCATGGTCTTCTAGGATTTAAACTGCTATTGTTAAGGTAGGGGTTTATTCTTGTCTATAACGTTTTCAGAATGAAAATTAGACTTAAAATGAAGCTACTGTGTAACGAAACGTCCAAAAATTTAAAAAACGTTATACTAGATTTCCATTGTACAGAAGTTTCACTGAATAGAAGTGAGACACAAGCCAGGCCCACTTTTAAGGCCAACGTTTAGGCCCAGCTCGTTTTTACTTTTTTTCATGCCAGGCTGGCCCAAGGCAGTCAAAAACACTATAAAGTCGACCAAATTTATTTTTGTGTCCGGGCCTACTTTTTCAAGCCCATCCTACAAGTTGAGTCCAACTTTTAGGTCCAGCCCGTTTCAACTTTAGCTCAATTCCGGCCCGGCCTGACCGTAATGCCCCACACCTTTGCCAATGTATGGTTTTTAACTCTCTAAATTTCAATTTTCAAACAAACAAATTTTTATATTGTTAACCAAGAAGTTCTCCCCTACCCATACCCACAACGTTACCTAAACCCTTAAAACAATCTCAAAAACAATACCACAACCTTCACTAATCGCCCTTCTAATGAAGTACAAGTCATTTTCTCAAGTTTGTCTTCTTCATTTTTCGTGATGACTTAAGTGGAATTCAGTTACAGGCATCCTACGGTTAATTTTATAACGCGGTTTCCCTTTTTAAGGACGGCGAGTCAAAAAAAGGCCGCGCGAATTGAGATAAATGTGAGAATCCAGCTGAAAACTTTTTATAACTCACTTCAAATACTCTGCTTTACCTTTGATTTGCATTTCTGATCATGGACAATCATTGTCTTTGATCATGGGCAAGTTTCGCATCTTGGAGATGTTTCAAAGCAGAGAGTTATAAAGTTAAGGTTAATGCTAACGTTCTTATGTGAATGATAATGCTTGGCCTATATTGCTGGCAAAAAACTAAACAATCTTATTCTTTTTAAGTATAACAAAAGTTTTTTAAATAAACACATAATACATTTTTCTTTTTTTATTTCAGAAAAATTAAAAATTTAAACAAAAATTAAACTAATATGAATCAAGAACAACACCCCAATACCCCCATAAACAAAGCCTAATTGACTATAAATCACAATAAAGTTTCAAAACCTAATGATGCGTTCCTCTACCGTATCACCCAATACTCTTAATCCCATTAAGCCAAGTAAAATCTGTCCGGAAGTACGTTTATTACCTAAAAAAAGAATCGAAAAAGTTGTGTCGCCATTAAATGTTTTGGACTATTAATGTCGCGGAACGCCCAAACTGTTTAATAAAATACGAGGTGGAACGGCACGGTCAAGAAAATGGGATTTGCATATGGTTAGGGTTACTATGAGGGCATGGTAAGTAGTTTTTGAAAACGAATATTATACTGTAACTTACGAACTACCTTGAAAACTTAAAAATTTGAAAATGTTTTAAAAATGGCACAGTTTTCAAAATGTAAAAAACCAAGACAAAATTAGCGTAATTTCAGAAAAAATATAAAATTTAAAATCTTAAAGTAATAAATGACAATTGAAAGTAAAGCAGTATTCAGCTCTGTTCATCAATCTTAAACTTGTGGCATTAAGAACTTCTTTAAGGCAAATTATAGCTCCAGATGTTACTAATAACTCTTAAACCGCTGGAAATCTCATTTTATGGCTTTAAATTTACTGTAGCATAGCCATAATTAAAGCTTGAATGTAATATAAAATTTTAAATTGTAGTAAAAAGTGTTAAAAAATTTTACATTTAGAGTAACATAGTTTATTAAAGTGGATATTCACTCAAAACGTCATGTCACTCAGCTGAACAAAACTTCATCATCGTACAATCTTCTTCTGGATGCAATCGACGTCCTGTATTCACATTTTCTTTGATTTTGTCCAAAATCTTGTCTATGGCCATCTTACCTGCTTTAACACACATTTGCACCGCAAATGGTATTCCAGCGGTATACATGGCACATTGTTGCTGGAATCAACAAAATAGATAAACAGTAGCACAGATAACCTCTATTTTAAAATAAAGATGGATTTAAAAAATGAAATTTAAATTGTTTTATACCTAAAATAATGTAGACAAACTACCGTTAAACAAAGCTCTAACCAACTCAAAAAAACTTACTTGTATAAGTAAAGACAAAGACTTGTCAGCCACCTCATCGGCTGTCGGTAATCTGCATCTAAACTTCTCCAACAATGACTTACAAGGGCCGCAGAAGTAAGCCAACGGGTTCATGTTGGGTAGGTTGAGGTTTGGCATTCCGCCATCAGCCGACAACAACAAGAAGCACAACAACAAAGTTGTCAGCAACTTCTGTGTCATCCTAGAATAACATAGAGAATAAGGATGTGTTTGATAACAAAACAGACAACCCTGCCTGTACAAACAATCGGACCCAATGTGTTACATATTGCTTTATCTGTAGATGACATCTTTCTGAACTCTTTTGTAAATATAACAAAAGATATGTGACGTAGTTTTAATATAAATCTTAAAATAATCAGAACTTGTAATAAATTTTAAAAAAAAGTTTTAAAAAAAATAATTTTAAAAGCATTCTAATGATACAAAACACTTTCAATGCCATTTTTGATACCTTTTCACCATGAAATGGCTGTTTCTTTGTATTTTATCTATCCATTTTGCAATATGTCAAGCCGCTAGTGGAAACCGGTCGTATATCTACTTTACTAAGCCTGGTATGTCTGACCGCTTTTTGTCCCATTTTTTGAAACTTTAAGACAAATTTTGCATTAAAAAAACTCAATTCAACTAAAATAATGAATTAAAATAATATTAAATCGAACCTCATCAATGTGTTGTCTTTTTAAGGCTACCCAATGACGTTAAGAAAGATAACAAGACGTGACAACATGGCCATACAAATGTCATGTGGCTACAGTAAATGGCACCCATTCTCATCGCATCGACTGACAATTGAAGGAGGGCACTTTGCTAATCAAGGAGACATCCCTTATGTCGCCGCGTTGATAGCAAATACTGTACAGTAAGCTTTTAAAGTTCTAAAATTTTTGTCTTTTGTGATATCGTTACAGTATACTTGCCTCTTGTAAAATATTTTTAACGTTTATTCCTTTCCTTGACGCAATTTTTTGTAAAATATACAGTATCCCTTCATTTTCAGTATGAGTGGTCGATGTGGCGCTGTATTTATAAGTAGACGACACTTGATCTCAGCTACCCACTGCTTCTTCACATACTCGACTGTCTCGTTGCCATGCCAGGATCCGAAAGTCTTTGACGATCTCCCGGGTCAGAAGATGGCGTACGGTGGAGTATGTCTAATGGAAGGTATGGATGGCTGCGAGAAAGCCGACGTCAAGTTTGGCAAGATCAGAAAAGTGGTGGCGCTGACCGACTTTCACAAAGCACATTGTATCAAAGGGAACGACTTTACTATAGTCGAACTGGAGGAAGATGTTGTTGTAAGTAACTCATGTTGATGTAGAGGTTATTCAATTTTTCGTTTTGGATTTAAATTTTGAATTACAAAGCGCCATTTCAATACAAAATGATATTTTTAGTTTGACAAAAACACTCAGCCAGCTTGTCTGTTCTCGATCATTAATAATGAACACTTCAGTGAGCGTCTTAATGGAATGAAAGACTTCTACAGCAGTGGTTGGGGCAAGGATAAAAGTAAGTTTAGTACAATCATTATGCTATTTATTTACATTATAGATGTATTCTGAGCTTTAGATGATTGTACAAGCACTTATTTTATAATATAGATAGCATAATGATCGAAACTATTCATATACCAAGCTACTTTTCAGCTGGTACATTCTCTCGTCGATTAAAATATTTGCATTCCAAATTCAGGAATAACTTTGATATCACAAGCGATACCATCGATTTAACTGCAGTCAACAATCCTAAAGATCGTATTTGTAATGTAAGTTGTGTCACCTTGACTTATTTGCTTCTACATTTCTGTATTTCTTCATTTTGAATATACATTCCTTTACTTTTCCATTCCTAACATACATTCTCTTAATTTCAGGGTGATAGTGGTAATGGATTGTTTGCTTTCGACCCGAAGATCGGCCGTGATGTTGTGATAGGACTACATTCGTATTCGAACGGCTGTGACATGGCTTCGATGCATTTCTCCAGCGACTACTCTGTCACATCGACTGCCCATCACATTCAGGATATGTGCGACCTGACCGGTGTCTGCCCTCCGGGTGTCAGACCCAGCCTTGACCTATAAATTCCTTCCTGATTGTTTTTTATCGCTAATAAACTATTCCTGCAATAATGATTACTGCTAACACATCATTGATATTACTGCTGGTATTTCTTGTGAATTATGTAGTTTGTATGCCTGCTTCTAGGTTTGAAAATGAGCTTCAAAAAGTGTAAGTTAAGCCTTGTAAAAGTAGAACTACTCGTAATATTTACTTTTGAATAAGAAATACTCATTTTCTTTTCAAAGTTTAAAAATATTTACTAAAATTTAAGCATATTTTAGCTTCAACAAATCAAAACAATGCTTCCAACGCAAATTACTGGCAGAATCCTCATCAAAAATAGGCAAAAAGCTTAATTCTACAGTACACCTTGATGACATTACTGTAACAGAAGGGTAAGTTCATATAACGTAAACTAAAATAAATTTTAAGGTCGGCTATATTGCTAGACTGTTTGCCGAAAAATTCGAAGTCAATCGTGTTAATCAACAATCTACGACAATATTCGTACGGTCCTCCAAGTGAATGTGCCAAAAACTTTGGTAAAGCTTATCAAAGCAAAGCTGACAGCAGAGTCAAACGTGAAGATGTTAAGACGGCCTTCTTCAATGGTCAAGTTGATGTTTGTAGGTACGTTTTAAGGCCTATTTCTTACAAGCACCTGGTGGCGCTGAGTTGGACCTAGCACGAGCACACCCTATTTGTCTCAACTGCTGTTTGTAGTCCTATATAGCACGTTGTCTTTTAATACTACGTAGCACAAATAAATATCATTTCAGTTTGATTATCAACGTTATGAATCCATTCTACTGTGACTTCAAAAAAGCGTGTCCCAATGACATCCAAGACTTCCAAGTTACATATGCAGCCTTATATTCCATACAGCAATTGCTTTTGAAGACTGAAAAGCCCCTTGTGTAAGTTGAAAATGTCCCATGCAAAACCTATTTCACATTATAATGTATAATCTAGCTAAGTCCACGAGTTGTAGTTCTAAAATAATCAAAAATCTTCTCTACATATTCATCTAGACCCATAACTTCTTCCCCTCACTTTCAGATGTATGCGACACCACAACACCAACGAGCCTCTGGGTGAGGTAATTAATCCCAAAGCCTATGAGAAGACCTTCAACATTAACAACGACACTTTGATTGTAAACGACGACATTTGTGATGTTGTAGTAGAAGGAAGCGGAGCTGATCTTGAAGAAGGCTCGGGAATCGGAGCATTCCAATCTGACGCATCCCATTTGTCAGAAGTTCAACTTGAAGATCAGTTCTGGGAAGAGCTGAGGATAGAAAGAGTACTCAACGATGCTTTCAACTAATCAGTAAATCATCGTATCTCAACTGAACAGTAATACATCGTTTGTTTTATCAATATTAAGTTTCACTTGTCCCAAAAAATATAAAAATTGCTTTCTGACCATGTTTTACTATATATTTTACTTAACTTAGGATAACTTTACATGAACATATTGTATTGTACATTATAAAACAGAAAGTTACAAAATTGATATTATAATAAGTTAAATAATTAGAATGCATTAGTAGTACTGGTTACCCGATTACCAGTAATTGTTTTCTTGTCGATCTTTTACAAAGCAGTCGATATTACAGACGACAAACCGTATACCAACAGAGATGGTGGCAGATCTTCGGTTACCAGACGAAGTTGATCAACATACTTATCAATTTCGGCTGGTGAAGCCGACGGGTCCGGAGGGAGGGGTAAATTCAAGAAACATACCGCCGATTCCGTGCTGTTCCTTCGTATCATCTCGTTTACGGCTTGGACATACGACGGCTCGAATTGGGTTATGTTTGTGCTAAAACAAGATAAAATATACAAGATGTACTATAATATACAGATAATAATACTCGCAAAGTACCGCACAGTAATTAAAAACGAATTATGAGAAAAGATTAGTTTTAAGACAAGAATAACAAACTTACATGACTTGTTGTGACGATCTGTCCATCTGTGACACCACATGGTCCCATGGTACCATCACTGACTTTGCATTGATCCTCAGATTCTCCAGAAGTGTCCTCAACTGTTGCTCTTGTACATGCATATCTTGAAGACTGTTGACACAAATAAACACTCTCAGTTTAGCGTTCTTCCATTTACTCGACATACTCAATATACAAGCCAATTGTAAGACAAATAACGAGCTGTTGTCCCATTGAAGACCATTATCATCCGGTTTAAAGAGATGTGAAGGCCAAACATCAATGTAACGACGATTTTCGTGTCTAAAACCAGGTAAGTTAATAAAAAACTTAATTTCCATATAACTATATGTATTAAATTACATAATTTGTAACGTTTTTTAAAAAATTAAACAAAAACATATTTTTCATGATAAAACCTCAATTAACCCACTTTAAGAACAACTCTCGATCAAACCGATTGAAGTGTCTTGCCACTACCAAGTTCTTGTTCATGTTCAGTGTATCATGAAGTACTTGAACATACTGTTGGTTAGTGAGTCTGGCGTTAGGCGACTGTAGCTGCTGAGGAACATCTTTAGAAGTAAAGTACTCCACAACTTCTGTTCTGTCGATTTTAGAAAACTTGAGATCCTTCAGAAGATGGGTTTCATTTAAGACGGTCTCTGAAGGCCGAAGCTCGTGGAATCCAATAACTACGGTGTTCGGCTTCATTGCTCCTAATCCACTCAGTCGGATTAGCTGAAATATACTTAAGTAAACGTATTTTAAGATATACTAATATTATATTATCCTTTATTTAAAAAAAGTAAAAAAAAATATAGAAAGAATGTTCATAACCCAAACCTACTTGTTTCATGCCAGTTCTGATATTATCAGTCACAGTAAGCTCCACAAACGCCTTGACCTTCAAGTAATCGACCAAAGACAGCCAGTATGGTAATATTGGTTGAATTGGATCCGATGCAATGTCAGCATTCTCATTTTCTTGCTGCACATGACCAATAACATACAACCCACTCTTCTTCAAATCATTGACAAAGTCGATCAGTGGACAGCACGAAGCAGGTCTACTGACTAGTAGCAATATCTGTGGTCTCCAGAACTTGACATGTTCTTTGCGAACATCAAGAAGGAGAAGGTACTTCCGTACTTGGTGGTATATCAGAGCTTGAGAAATTGAGCCCCATGATCCGATTGGAGCCTAAAATAATATTTTCTTTTAATTTATAAAATATAATTATTTTAGTAACGTACTATAAAAAAAGTACTTTAAATAATAAAAATGTGTAAAACCTACTTGATAATGCAGAACCATAATCAAGATCATCAAAAAAACGACAGCGACTGCACTCGTCGACGCATCGATAACCAACATCATAACAGCTGTAGCTATAGCGCCCAAAGCACAAGTAAAAGAGCTGAAGTACTTGAAAGTCGGTCTAAAATTAGGTGCCGATGTCAATTCCAATGCTAAACAAGCAACGTTTACTCCCATGTAAGACAAAAGGAAGAATATTGATGTGATTTTAGCTATACGATTCATAGCACCAACAAAGAATACCATCTGAAAGAAATACATTAGCATGGTCACATATGAAACGTATAAAACTATATTAACATTAAAAGTTTTACTTCTAATATTTTACTGTTACAGCACCTATGTCATATACAAAAACCCAGAAAGAAAACCTACCATGACACAAATCCAAGAAATGATAACAGAAACTACTGGATTGCCAGAAGCTGCTTCCATCGTAGCGGGCTTCAGTAACATACCAAACAGTTTGTCATGAGCCAGTCGATTTAATACTCTTGACGCACCAAGCATGTTGCTCATTGATGAGAAGAACGTGGCAGCAAAAATACCACATAATATAATCAATGAACTGATGTTAACATCAACGAATACCAAATAATTATTATGAAGAAGGTTACGAGTACATGTTGAAGATAACAACAAGTTAGTAAGCATGTAGGTACAAAAAGTAACAAACACAGCTTGAAGTGTTCCACGAGGAATTGAAACGTTAGGTTTAGCCAGCTCTCCAGACATGTTGGCTCCTGCCATCAAACCTAAAATCATACAAACTTTATACTTTTTCATTTAAAGGCAATAAAGCATGTGCCATTTCTAATTTTATACTTTAGACATTACTATATATTTCAGAACAAAGTAATTTTTAAATTTGTTGTTACCTAAAATCCAAACAAAAAATCAAAAACATACCAGTAACACCGCTGAATATAATGGAGAACATAAAAGCAAAGTCAGTTGGCTTCCCTGTAGTATAATCCTTGGTGTAATTCGTAAAAAAGTTGCCTTTAAATGTCTCCCAACTAAAAATAAACTATACATAACTGAATAACTTACTTGAAAGAAGTGTACAACGCAGTCAGAGTCCGATTGAAGTCTTCTTTTTGTTCACCATCTGGATCAGACATGTTCACAGGCACCATATACGCATAAGAATTACTTTTAGGAATAGCAATCTCTGTAGGCCCTTTGACAATCGTTGTCATTACAAAAGAAGCATAACCAGCTGTTATCACAAGTAATGCCAGTACAGCAGTCTTGGCAAATATTCCACTTCCAAGTAAACATAGACATAAGATAACAACACTGACCAAGATACAGTGGAAGAACTTGCCTCCATATCCATCTCCAAGCCCTAAAAAAGGAAACATTAATCACATAGTACATAATACAAAAGATAAAATTTGCTTATAAAAACACTAATTTATATTAAAAACCTTAAGTTATCCATGCTATAAAAAATGAAAGACTACTTACCAACCAAATTAGAAAAAGCTTCTGTAAAACCAGTAATGTACAGAGCACAAGAACAGACATTTGCAACAAAGAACAAGATACCAATACTGCCTCCAAACTCAGGTCCTAGGGTTCGACTGATCATGTCTGTAATTTAAGTATATATAATATTAATATTGCAGTGTTTGTCTTTCTAAAAATTATATTTTTACATAAATTGGCACTCCATATACTTTCTAGATGTACTTACAATAAACTCCTCCGCCTTCTACCGCTCCGTTTGAAGAAACAGCGCAAAGCGATAGTACTGTTAACAATATAATCGTGTAAGCCAATACCAACTCAACAGAAGTCATCATGAAACCCAGTTGTCCAACAGCAAAGCCTAAATATTTAAAGATAAACCTCAAAGAGTAAGAACTAACCCATTCGAAGGAATAACAAAGCCGAGAACATGGATATTGTGACTGGAGCAAAGACTCCAGCTGCTGTAGATAGTCCTGTTGGCCGTGGAACGACATGATGGTCAATTTCTAAAAGATACAACGCATATAATTACATATATTACAATTTTACTGCGTAAAATATTGTTTATTTGTCTTTAAAAACATATTTTTGTTTTTATTTTTCGTATAAATAAGTCTAATAAATTCGTAATCCTGACTTATTTTATAGAAAACCGACACAATTCTTCGTAAATTTTGAAGATTGATTAGAGTTTTGACAAAAGAAGTTGTAAATCGACGTACCCATTGGGAGTTTACAAGAAAACTACAATAATTGAAGAATGGACGGAAGAGAGGACATAAGACTGGGCTCTTTTCAAGCAGCTCGCGGCCACAAAAAGACTCAAGACGTCTTTGTTTGTCCGAAAATTTGTGCACAAGGCGGTAAGCAAGATAATGGAAGGGTTTTTGCAACATTAGGCATCAAGATTTTGAATTTTAGAATACTAGATTTGAGTAAAAAGCTTATAGATTTGAAATTTTTATAATTTTAGGCTTGAAGTAAGGTTTTTATTGTTTCAACTTGCCTAAAGGTGTTATAGCACAACATTATAAGTTTACCTGAATTACCTGAAGTTTCAAAAGGTTGACAGCTTCCATTAGTTCGTGCAACTCCCGGAGAATATCCTGCAGTTCCACCACTGATTGTAGGTAACTGTCGCCGATTATTAGCTTGACCGTTCTGTTGATTAGGATTACTTTCCAAGTCTAGGATTCCATACGATGGTATGTTTATGTCAGCTATTCGGGTCAGATCATCTTCCATGATCTAAAGTTTTAATTTTAATAAACTGATGAAAGTAAAGAGCAATATAATATAAAGTAACGTAATTTGGTAGATTCACACGGTTGTTATTTAGAATATTAAGGTAGACTTTGTAAGATATAAAGGTTAAAGTATGTTTTACATTATTTTAGAACATTGTACTTTTGAAACGCATTAAAATATTGTGAACGATTAAGTCAGTCTGACAATGTTGTGAAAACAAGGTCTGCATAAAATGAGTAATAACTTTAATCAAGGTGTGGTTTATTGGAAAGGAACATTCCACGTGTAATGTGCTCAGAAACTGCTTGATTTACTCAATGTTAACACCATAAAAGCGTCGTATTTGCTCTTGAAAGCTTTGAAATTATGAATTATTGTCTGAATATTTAATGCGCTCCGTTCGCTGCTTAAATTACATTAACAAACAGTTTGAAACGCATCGAAAAGCAGTAAACGGGGCGCTGAAGTGGTCTCGGAAACTGAGATCGGGACTCCATAGTAACAGTTTTGCCTCAAATCCCCCTGGAAGTAGCCCTGGAAGTTGTTGGCGGTGTCGTGGAAGAAGGAGAATATATAGAATTCGGTCAGATCGTCTCTCGCTCTCGTGCCCTCTCCCTGATCGCCCTCTGCTTTCACGGTCGAAGAAACCCCCCATAAAAGTAAGTTCGTTTGCTCGGGAATGACCACGGCGCGTTTAATGGTTAGCGCAACATTCATAACATAATTGATGACATTTCTAATTGGATTAGCACGTTTTTGAAAAAAGACAAAAAATTTAAAAATTGAGTAGTTAGACTGTGATGCAAGTCTGTTATTATAAAAAACTGCAGTATTCATAAGGAAAATACCAGCCAAGGTGAAGTCAACTATAGTATAAATGTAAAATAGACAAATTTATTTTATTATTGCTTATAAGTCAAAAAATCTTAAAACTTAATAAAAAAGGCTTCGAAATGGCAAAACTGGTGAAATGGAAATGAATAAAGGGATGTAAACAGTTCTCTGGAATTTGTGTTTAATCAATTGCTTTTGGCCATATTAATAGCTGGTGGGAGAATATTGTTTATTGTAAGGTCATGTTAACATGGATAATTGAGCTCTCAGAGTAGTGACAGTTTTTGTAAATCTCAATTTGTGGTAAATTCAAGTTTTTATTAAAATTAATCCTAGAAACCTACTTTACAAAATTAATTTAAAAAGAGATTTTAGGCTTTTAAATATTAAAGTATATTTAAAACAAGATAACAAAGGGCATGAATATGATTTCAATTCGAAATTTGTAATAATCAAAATGATTCAGATCAGACGGTTACTTTTATAAAGGGCCAACATTTCATTTTTAAAGTTTTTAAATGTTTTCGAATTTAAATGTCGATCTTTTTTGGAGGTTCTTTAAAGCATGTATAATATGTGACATTTTCAAAGTATAGTCATCTTGCTCGAAGATATATTTTTTAATTTTTTGAAAATTTTTTCATGGCTTCAAGTTTCACACATTTTTGGCAAGTAAAGTTTTTATCAACGGGTTTATTTTATTGTGTTTTAGTTTACTTTGACATTTTAAATTCAACTTTTATATAAAAATCCAAATTCCAGTCAGTTCTTGTAAAAACGGACAGTATTCAAAACGAAACTTTATTCGAAATTTTGAAATGAAATGTGTCCAAGATGATTTGTAATCGGAAAACACTTTCTTTAGGCCCAGCTTTTTTGGCCAAAGACAATATAATTGAAGGGAAGGAACAGTTGCGCAGTTCTTTATGGTCCGCGTTATGACAGTCGGTTATCTTTCGACAGATCTGTTCGTTTAGAGCGGCCAAAAAGTTTTCAGACACGGTTTCCGTTCATTTTTTGTTCTGCTTGACCTCCCGAATTTAATTTTGCAAAATCAAGATTTTTGGGTTTTGTTAGATATGTATTATAGAAATTTAAAATTAAAATTTTACCCTTTTTTGGTATCAAAACTATTTTTAAAAAAATAGTGTGAAAGAGACATCATTTAGTTTTTTTACAATAATTTTGAACTTTTTCACAACTTTCTTTAAAATAATATTAGAAAATTTTAAAACTGCAAGATGCAGTCAATACAAACCTTTAATAATGACACTGTGCAATCATTTTACTTCTTCTTGATCAAGTACACTACTTTTTTATTCTGACTGCAATTTGCATCTCTTTGACCTATTTATATTAATATTTAATCAAGCAACAAAGGTGGGCAAACAGAACAAAATGAATCAGAGAATTATATCGCCCGCGGGCTTTCTCTAAAGTCGTTCAGTATTTTGACCAGCAATAAAAATATTTTAGTACGGTGGAGTAAAAAAGAACATTTTTTGATTTCACGAATTAGTCTTTATTTTTTTTCAATTTAGTTTTTTAATATTATTTATACAGAGTAAACATTTTTCATGATTATATTATTTTTGACGCCGATTCATAAAAGTGAAGCATTATTGTCAATTTGAAGCGTAATGGTCATTCCAAAGTCAATTTAAAGCCCTGTCGTCACTATTGTCATATAATGTGTTTTCAGAGCGGAAATGACCGTTGGCAGTTATTCAACTTGGAGATCGTCAGCTCCCGGTTCTATTATATACATTCCATACAAAACATCCCATCCGTTCACGTGGGAAACTACAGTTTGGAATGCTGAATATGCCTACCTATTCTTCAACAACTACTGGCACTACTCGATCTACTTTGCCATCTTCTACGTACTCGGTATTGCAGTGTTACAGAGGTACATGAAAAACAAAAAACCACTGAACTTGAGGTCGTACTTGATAGCATGGAATGTATTTTTGGCTCTGTTCAGTATTATGGGTACCTACAGGATGGGAGAGGAGTTTGTTTTTGTGATGAAAACTCGAAGTTTTGAGGATTCTGTGTGTTTGGCCATGAATCCGGACGACGTTTCTACGCTGTGGGCTTGTTCTTTTGTTTTGTCAAAAGTTATTGAGCTGGTCGATACTGTATTTTTGCTCTTTAAAAAGAAGCCAGTCATCTTTCTGCATTGGTATCACCATGCTATTGTGTTGGTCTACTGCTGGCATGCAGGTAAGTTACTTTTTTTTATATTTTTGAGTATAGGTACATATACAAAGTAAAATGGATTTTAAACTTAACGTATTTAAATACACCTACATCAGCACATATTTCAATTCTTTTTTCAGCCGTCATTCTGACCGCCGCCTCCCGATGGTTTATTTTCATGAACTACGCCGTCCACTCCCTCATGTACACTTACTACGCTCTCGCCGCTTATGGTATACGATTCCCTCGAATAATCTCAATGTCCATTACAACTTTGCAAACTGTTCAAATGCTTGTGGGTGTCTTTATATCGTGTTATATTGCTCGTGTCAAATGGTTTCACAATGACATTTGCCATCAAACTGACAATAATCTCATGTTCTGTTTCGGTATCTACATTTCGTTCGCCATATTGTTCATCAACTTTTTCGTAAAAAGCTACATGTCCAAGAAATCTCTGAAAAAGAAGGAATTATAGAAACTCATTCATAGTTTTTTATCGTTCTTGTTATAGTTAATTTTTCTAATAAAATATAAAATACAGCCGTTGATCGTTTTAAATTAATTTAACAAATATATATTTTTTAAATTTAACATAACACGCACAAGAACTTACTTTGGGATAGACATGAGGAACGGGCCGGCCCGGGCTTACCATCAAAAACTAATTTCAAATACTAGACTAACATAACACTTGTAATGCTGTCCCACAACGATATTAATCAAGCGCAAAAAGTTTTGGCGCAGCGTTTTAAGAATAAAAACGTTTGCGGGCAATTACGTCTCTCGAAAATAACAAAAACACTGCGGTATTGGTTATCGTTCTAAATTCAGATGAGCGATAAAGATCTCGGATTCTCGATTCAAGATGTTCCGGACGATGGCCAGATCCAGTGCAAGATCTGTTACGGGGAAAGCGATCGGATCAACGAGTTTCTCGCGCCATGTAAGTGTTCTGGCAGTATGAAATGGGTTCACAAAGAGTGTATGACGCAATGGATGGATCAGGCACCGTTATTACAACAGAGTCAATGTAATACATGCAAGTAAGTGGTTTAATTTGTGTTTTTAGTTTAGAAAACAGTTAAGTTAGCCGTTTTTAGGTAATATCTTAGTGTATTTTACTTTTAAGCATCGTTTCTTGATGTTTCTTGTTTGTAAGATGGGTGTTTAACGTTTTTGTAATATTAGGAGATGAATATTGTTACATTTCAAAAAACTTCAAAGAGCTATCAAGGAAGAATCTTACCCATTGAAGTCGTTGACCTAATTATTTAATTTGTCAAGATTCAAGTGTTTTTACAGCATAAAGAATCGATTAATGATTGACTAAGCTAGCCTAGTTGCTATGCAACTATTCATCTTCACATTATTAATGTATTAACTTTACTACTTTCAGATTTCCATACAAAAAGTGCTGGAGTTTAAAGCCTGTAAACAAATGGGGATGGCCAAAACTTAACCTTGGGGGCTGGGATATGGTAGAAATATTCTTGGACCTATATTCTACATTCAAATTGATCAGGAACACGATCTACACGATTCAAGGCAAACGAGGCATCTTTGGACACATGGTGTACTTCTTCTTCTGGAGGGCATTCATCTTCAGTAATTCGAGGCTCAGGTATTACAAAGCGATGGGGAAGAAGATGGCATTAGCGATATTCGAGGCCAATATTCAAGGAGTTGAATAGAATATTGTGATCAACTTAGTTGAATGCTTTTGTATATTATTACCGAGGATTTGAATCCTTTTTGACGTTTTATGGATAAGGATTCTAACCTAACTGAATTTTAAGTTCAACTTGAAGTTTTAAACTTGGAATATCTTGAACTAGCGAACTTCTAAATTGTTTTTAACTATTTTTTGAATTAATTAGGAAAACTAATTTTAGCGTATTATAAGTTAAGTCCAAGCCAAGCTTAATTCAAATGAACTGCAAAACGAGTAACTGTACATATCATCATATTGTTTATTATCAGAGGTCAATAAATGAATAAGTCCGTCTTTTTGTTGTTCAAGTTTTGTTGGTCGGGTGTCCGCATTACTTTGGGTCTAGAACCGAAGGCCGCTGTGTATTCGTTCACACTGAAAAGGTGTTTTTTATGTTAATTTAAATTTTATTCAAATACATTTTTATGTTTCTTTATATAAGGTTAAGATTTAGTTGTGCTTACTTAACATCGTCAGGTATCCGCGTCTGTAGCGGGCCGTTTATAGGTGCCGCTTCCAGTTTGCTGAGCACTGAAGCCGAGACGTGTTTGGCGACGTCTTCGTTGGTCTGCGAGTTCTCGGTTTCTTTGTTATCTAACGAGGCTTCACTCTTGTGCTTCTTGACCTTTTCATCAGCGATTCCATTGGCTTTGTGACTCTTCTTCTCTTGTTCATTAGGGTTTACACTGAAATAAGTGCACGTAATAACCAAGTAAGGAGGCAAGGTTGTTAATGGAAACATTCTTTGCTTACAATTAGTCTGTTTATCTGTTGTTTACTATGTTTTATACAATTAGTTATTACAAAGTTATCCTATGTTTTCTGAGTTATAAAACGATTTTTATTGTTTTAGTAGAAGTAAGAATTTTCTATTTTTTTTGTAAGGTACGAATTTTGTGGAGTACCCTTGTCTGTTTAGTTTTAAAATTCGCTGTAAAAAGAACTCCCTATTTATACCTAGCTTCGTAATACACTACCTCTTGGACCGTTTAGTAGGAGCCTGTAAGATGACGGTTTTGTTTTGATTCATCAGGCTGACAACATGCCTTAGACCACAATTCACCAACAACGGCTTTCTCTTGTCGTTCTCTAACACGTAAGTCGCCTGCGACATCGTGGTCATGATTCTGTCTTCATTTATGGGTGAGGTAGGATCGTTGGAGGGTAGTTTGGCAAGCTTTTTACCCTGCCGTTTTCCTTTGTGAATCGGCGGTTTGGCGTTTTTATTGTGCGGTACCGTGCCCGGAACGGTGGCGATCACGTCGTTCTCGTCGGGTGTAGCCGCCGCGGTAGGATGTAGCGTTCCCATGTAGCGTTTCTGGAGGAGGGTCTCTCCGAACTGCTCGGTCATGTTGGGGACGAGGGAGTCGCTGCTCTCGATCTCGGCCTCGAGGTAATCTTCTTCTTCATCCTCGTCTTCGGACAACTTTTTAGGCCGTTCTGATTCTTGTTCTAAAGTAAGTGGGTTATTAATAAGGTAAAAATAGAGAAATGGCTAGTTTTCAAAAGGTATTCATGGCTATCTTTAAGAAACCTCTTCACACTACGCCATGAATCAACATTTTACAACAAAAGGTGTGAATGTTACTTACAAAACAATGTAAACCCTACAAAATTGTATATCAAAACTAAAAATAAAACTTACAATGAATAACGTTACAAACACAAGTGTAGTTGTAACAATGAAAACTACAACATCATATTGAATGTAAGCTAAGATTTAAAAAAATAATTTGGCCCCAGATACTGTAAAAACAACAAACTTAAAAATTTTACAACATTCTTTAAACGAACCCCCAAACATTACCTTCATCAACAACCACCTCGTAGCTTCTGGGCCCTGAGAATACAAGCTGTGATCCGTAAATCGTGGATCTACATCTGGTGTAATCTGTCACAGTTATAGTCTCAGGGAACAGAATTCGAAGCGAAAAATCAGAGCGCAAACAATTTAGTATAATGGAGTAATTCGGATCTAGATTCTCCCCCTCGTTATTTACACAAATTCGTGTCTTGCGTAACAATATCGCACCCAAAAACGGGGCGACACATGTAGGTCGGACAACATCGGCTACGGTACGGAAGCACCGAAGAGGATGTTACAATCGAGTTTAGTGTAATGGTTTATATGTTGGACTTAGAGAAGAGATGGTTGTTTTTAAATTGATTTTGGGGAAGACATGACAACTTTATGACTAAAAAGTGAATTTGTTTTAGTACTATTGAGTATTAAGCTAGATCAGGATTTAGCAGAGAGACAACTAACATATAGCAACTCAACCAGTTTATTGTGTCTGTAACTCCACCAATCTGCCCCCTAGAAGCCTATATATAACTACACCCCATTACGCCTACAAAACCGAATTCAAGTGAAGCAGCGTAGTAATTATGGCTTCGTATGTGCGTGCGTAATCAAAAGACGGTAAACAATCCAAACTTTCTTGTACAGTACACCCGGCAGATACCAGTATCCCGTTCTTTTTATTGTGTAATCGAACAACTCCTTGGTAACCGTCTCCGCCTGACACCATCAACTTTCGGGATTCCCCAACATTCCAATTAGACTTGCCTGCACCTTTAACTACCCGTTACCGCATTGCATGTCCTATAAGAGGGTTGCAGTTGTTATTTTGGTTGTTTGCAACTTCCTTGTCTATACCTTTTCTTCTCTCTACGTCTGCTCTTCTATATATTGTTGTCTAAGCACGCGTTCTTTTCTATCTACGCTTTCTTCTCAATATATCATAAAATCATTCCGAACAGCGGCCCAAAAACGCTTACAATACCTAGACGAAACCCTACAGTAGCTACAGGCTGCCAACTCCCTAAACCCCATCCAATTCTAATAAGATCTCAGCCCCTGAGGGCATTAGACCGCACTGAAATTCGAAACGCCGAAACAAAACGCAGTAAAGACCCCGCAAAAAAACGTTGAAACACGGAGGAGATGGAAAAAAAGTAGAAAAACGTCTCTTGCACCTTGTCGCGAAGGAAGGGAGACACAACCCCTGGCTGCCTCCCTCCCCCCCGCACTCTTTGGTCTTGAGGCTGTGCGTTCCGGCGGTCAAGTCCGGCCTGTATGTTTCAAAAAAATGGGAAAAAAAGAACTGGGGACACACCTCACACTCATTCCCCCACGCCGCCTAAGGCAGAAAGGTGAGGAAAGCACGGTGGAGGGCTTAATAAACTTCATCGCGACTTTATTAATTCGTATACAAAGTGGAGTGGATGTCATTACTCTAATTGCACACAGTTTTAAACTTGACTTTTTGCTTTGAATTGTAATACTTTTGGTTGAGGAAGAAATTCATCGTGCTGAGAAGGAATAAGCCGATGTTAGTGTAGTTTAGAACAAGCAATGTTAAAAGATTAAACAGCTTCAACCTCTTAAATCTAAATTTATAAGCGACAATTCAAATTGAGAAACAAGAATCCTAGTTAAAATTCATAAAATAAGTATTCAAGTCAGGAAGCAAAGATTGAGCTAGTAATGCATGACAGGGTAGTGATAAGGAATGACAAAAAGGATGTTTACCGTTACGTCATGGTCGAACGGTCATAAAAACGATGGTAAAAGGCGCTACAGGGTAGTACGAAACAGCGTTTTTTTGAAACAATTCAAACCGCAATGTTTGTTATCTTTAAAGACTTGTTATCACCACATTTTTTACTCACAGATCAGTCGAAAAACCATGAATTGTTAACTCACCTTCATAATAAGTTTAAAAAGTTGGCATTAGAATCGACCCAAATCATCTCTAAAATCCAAAAACTCAACCTTTATATCAACAAGAATCTGCGTTTACAGTTGCAACGACCGAGTTTATAGTTTCTGAAGGAATGTGAGGTTGTGGAAAGAAGAACAAGGTCACCTGGCCTACAACTCACCGCGACGAAACACGTCGGATCCGCCACAAAACGGCGCCGAAGGACGACGGAACGACGAGAGCAAAACAAACCTTTATAGGAGGGGGGGGAAATTGTTGACAAAACTGAATTTGGGGAAAAGGATTCAGAACAAGACTATGGAGTTTAATAGATCAAATTTGAACAAGTTTAAAATTTTGTGACAAAGGACAATAAAGAAAGCAAAAAAGATGACAAAGATGCAAAGACAGAAGTTAAACGTTAGAAAAATGACTAAAATTACTCTTTTCACCATAAATAAAGACTGACGTCAAGAAGAATACCGCAGTTCAAGATGCCAACAGTAACATAAACCATCTTACAACCTATCCTACAATCCATTCCGCAATGTAAAACATGACGGTGCGAAGCCGGCTTTACAACTGGGCACGCCGAGGCCTTCTCGAGAAGGCAAGCACGGAAATCTGCTTCAGGGGGAAGCTAGGGGAACAAACAACGCCCGCCGGGGACAAACAGGTCTTTAGCTGGAATCTGGGCTGCCGACAAGCCCCAAGTTCGCCCGTGTTTGTCGCCGGGGCGGTGTGCGCCTCTGGGCGTCTCATGCACAGCCCCCACTTGCTGCTCGTTTTCCGCCCCGAACGTTCCTCTCGCCGTTTCCCCCCACCACGAACGGTCGGACGACGAGTCGTTCGCCCCGCCGAACGGGGCATGTAAACACGTTGTAATACCACAATAACACAACTCGACCTACCGCCGGCCATAAGTGAGCCATAATTTGGCAAGCCACGTTTGCAGCCAAGTGGGTGTAACTGTTTCGAGAGACATGTAAAGTAGTATAAAGAGAAGTAGTATAAGAAATGTATGGGTTCAATTCGGAGTGAGTATTTTGTTTACAATACTCAGAATAACGTTTTAAACAGAGATGAGTATATATAAAATATTACTATGATCACTATAATATCTATAATAAAATACAAGGCCAATACCCAGAATGATAAGTAAAAGTTTTAATCACCTCACAATTTGAAATGCGCTTATGATAGTACTATACCTACTTAATATACAACCATCACTTACTTTACAACGTAAGCTATATTGTAGAAAGTTACGTCAAAGCCAAATCTGCACTCTAATTTTTAATTTTGTTAATGTATACTGTAGTGTTTAAAAGATAACTACAAAAAAGCACACACAACACATTTACACTCTGCTACATCTTCAAAAATAACCACAACACCTTTTAAAAACTTAAAGTAATGTAACTTTACAAACATACCGCCTTTGAGCACCTTGATGACTATAGGAAGTTGCAGCTCGTTCTCTTTCCCTTCGCACTTGTTCAACTTGTTAGTCAAGATTTGTTCAAAAGCCATCTCTTTGGCCGTCGATCGAATTTTGGCAAACCCAAATATACAGTACAAAGTGCCATTTAGGTATGGTGCTATCTAAACGTAAATTTAAAAAAAAATATTCAAATGCTATCAAAAATGCCTTTGTAAACTTTAGAATATAGAATCCGAAAAAAGAATAAGATAAACTACTGTTTAAACCTTTTGTATAAAGAGGTACCAGTTTTACATACCTGTATATTAGGATGCTTTAGAAGTTTGAGCATCAATGCCAGCAGCTGATCTTTTAATCGTAGTACCGTAGACTGACTAACAGCATTTAAACACAGATTTGTTAACAAAGCCGTGCCAAATTCAAGTGCAAAGTTTCCAGGTTGTTGATCAAGATACGATATCAGCCATTCGATCATACCACTCATTATCAGCTCCTTTTGTACGACAGCTCTACAACAATATTCATAAACCTTAACATTAGTAATCCTTCCTTCAAACCTAACTTTTGATACTTTTAGCAAGCTCTTATCAGTAAAATCAGTCATACTACCAACTAATTTCACATCAATACACGTTACCGTAACCTACCGTATGCTCAACTTCTGTAAACAAGCCAAGGTATGGTCGGCAGCGTTACCCATTAATTTCTTCGTACGTAAAGCCAATGCCATTTGAAATAATAGTTCCTTGCCTTGAGCAATCGACAACAAGTAGTTTCGGCCGTTTCTAAACGATGCCAGTGCATTCAGAAGACGTCCCAACTCTTCTTTGGTTTCCATACTCATTTCTGATTGAGAACAGATCGTCGCGACGATACTCTGAAAAGGTTTTAAAGGTGTTACTATTCTGTTTTTAACCTCTTTCTTTCTTTTACTCATACAAAATTAAACCAAGCTTGCACTCTGCAATCAGTTAAAAGCAACGTGCCAAATTCTTAAATAAAACATATTTAATATACCAAACAACCTTACATTCTTCCTATTCCTCAAACTCAAAAAGTCTTTTCCAGCAAACAGCAATAGCACCACATTAGAGTCATCCAGTGATGGTGCCCTAGTGATCTGTTGTCGCAATGCTTGTAGAAGCAAAGCGCTGCTTCTGGAACTCGGGTATTTGATTAACTGATTCGAAATTCGAGTAAACTGAAGCTCGGCAATGGGGATGCGAGGGTATACGGTGTGGGAGGTGTTTGACGGATCAGCTGGATGAGAATTCTGGTTAGAATCTCCTTTCTTGGCTAAGTTCTCTTCTGATCCTGTTAGCTTTTTCTTTGTGCCATCGGTTCTATAAAACGTATTTATTGTAGTTGTGCAATATATGTATTGATTGTATAATATATGTGTTCATTGTAAATTGTATACAAATCACTCACTGACTTTTTAAATCCTTGATTTCACAGATCTTATAGTAGATTAAAATTATCCTTTTTATGTATTATACTCTGAAAAGAGTAGAACAAGATACACAAAGCTTACCGTGTGTTCAGAGACTTGTTTCGCCGTAACTGGCCGTGACTGATCTTCTTGGCCGCCATTGAACACTTTTGCATTCGCTTTTCGGCTTCTTGAGTGTAGTCGATGAGTCTTGTGGAAATATCTTTGACGTGAATCTCTGATACCTATAATTAAAATAAAAATACATTCAATAACATAAATTTAAAAATTTTTGTAATACCTCATAATCAAGCCTAAGTTGGAATAATCGTATTATACAAAACTAGACTAGAGATGGAAAACATTTTTTTATATTCAGCCTAATCGATATTTCCAAATTTTGAAAAACTACCGGCTGTCCCAATTTTGTTTTGTCCAAAACGTCAACCAGCTCGCTAGCAATCTCAATAACCTTGTAGAAGTCGTCCTGCAGCTCACGGTAATCCTTCAAGTTCTCTCGACTAGTCGGTTGAGGGTCTTGTTGTCGTTCGTAAGCTTTCTGCAAATATTTAAAAAATTTTTTAATTGCTTTTTCAAATACTATCTTTTAACTATTACACATCCAAAACTTACCAACCAAGCTACAATCTTCGGCTCCTCTTCAGCTTCAATTTCAGCTAGTCTACCGTAGTTGTTTAGAATTCTGGCCAAGTCTTCGTACAAATTTTTAGCCCACTGCTTCTAAACTTACATTCTGATAAAATATAATATGACTGGAGGTCCTTAAACCAATATTTTTTTACTTTTAGAATCACAATTGTTAACACGTAAACTTCTATTATATCAACTTTCTTACGTAATGTTACGAAATTCCGAATAGTTGAAGATAAAGCCATAACAATACCTGTAGCAATTCTTTGAAAACGGGATGCTTGTTCGGATCGTTAGCGTAGGGCAGTGCAAAATACTGTACCAGTTCGGCGTTCCCACTCAATTGAGTACCTTTTCCCAACTCCAAATACTCTTTCAGCTCCTGAATCCGTTCTTTGTAATCAGCTTTGTCCTGAGGGGTTCGTCGCAATGGATAAGTGGCAAAATACACGTGAAGTCGGAACTCCAACACTCGGATCTCTTCGGTTATCTGAGGGCCTTCGGAGGGATGGAGCTCCTTCCAACCCTTAAAGAACTTGCTCGACTCTCCACGCTCGAATGCCAAGTGTAATTGTTTCTACAATGATTTATATGATATAATAGAAAAACAAATTCTACATAACCTATTAGTTACAAAAATAAAAAGTTTACTTCCAGCGCAAGTGCATGATACTTTTTAGCATATTACGCTGGAATACCTACATAAAACACTTTTTTTCGCTTCGACTTTCGGAAAAAGCCCCAAATGAGCACCCCGTACACGTGCTAATCAACTCGTGTTTGTTTACCAGACGTTATACGAACATATTCACAGACGTTGTTAATGTTTTGCATGTATATATAACGTACCTTTAATAAATGTCGTTCTGTCATGTTCAAAGTTATTTTTTCAGTCTTATGTTATAGGTCTTTTACAAAATTTTAAAGGTTTTCAATTCTTACATATTTATGATTATAAAGTTACATCACCACGACGTATGTTATTATAATATAACACTACCATGACGTTGTGTTTACTATGAAATATAAAAATGACACGTTATACAACTATTTTTCGATTACAAAACCGTAAATTTCATGGTAGTGCCATGATTGTTAAGTTTAAGTTTTAATATTTTAGTACTTTAATAAGAGTTAGTAAGAAATGCGACATACAACACCATTCAATAAGCCTCACTTGTCAATTTACGTTTTAAACACTCACCTTGACTTCCTCAATGTCGTTCCCTCTGAGAACATGACGTGGTGGTATCTTGAGTTGAATCCGCTTCTTCTCGCATTCGTTCACCAGCTCTCGGGCAGCTGCGTGGAGTCCAGCACGAACAAAGTACTGCAATAAAAAGTGTGTTAAACTACTAATTGTAAAACATGTTATACTTAAGCTTAAAACAAGTTTCTTTTTGCTAAAAAGAAAACTTATATCTCAAAAATTGTCTTTTATATATAAAAAGCAAATAAGAGAAAGTACTCTCAAAACAAAAAAAAAGTTTTTTGTATTACTATGTGTTATACTTTGATGCAGACATATTATTCATGTCCAATTAATCGTCTGTTGCTAAGAAAACATACAATCGCGTTAAATATGCGTCAATATGTTTCGGTTTTACACCTTTCACACATGACTTGAATACGCGGAGAATCCTTAAAAATTTGTAAAAATATTTTACAATAAATATAATATTCTCATATAAACTGAAAAATATTTAAAATTTCCATCACTGTAAACCAACATAACCCTGCCTTAAAATGAAACAAAACAAATAAAGCACGCGCAATAAAGTCACAAGCTTGGCCATGAAATTTAGACCCTAAATTAGGACATTAAGCGGTCGGTCACCTGTGAGGGTCGGTCGGCAAGTGGCGGTCTCCAGGATGTGCGAGTGCCGACCTTTGTCCGGTCCCTCAGGGCCCACTTGTTACTTTACTTTTACTTTGATTGTACACAATAGATGCTTCTACTCTTTTTACGGATTTTATGTGTTGCTTTACTGGGCGTAAGAGTAAAGTGTAAAGCTATACACGAGTAATATTACTTTACATAAACAGTAAGTTTTTGTTAAAAGTAAGCAGGCTCGAAATATTTTTAAAATTTCAAATCTTAAATCAGTTCAAGTTTTTTTAATTCAAAATTTCTCGTTTTAACAGTTTTTTGCTTATAATTCGATAGAACAGACTATATTAATGTGGGTAATCTAATATTCGAATACTTCGCTAAATTGTTATGGAAACTTGGAAGTGACTAACTCATTGACTAAATTTTGCAATAAACAAATTTTGTATTCTGTTACCACCAAAAACATACACTGTTTTTGACCAAATGATACCTAGAAGTCCATTATCAAGTTATTGGACAGATTAAAAGAAACAGTTATTGGTAATTAGTATTATATAACAGTATTTATAGCCTTACCATGTGTTCTAAAACTCATTCTATAAAATTATAGGTTTTATGTTGTATTATGCTATGGTTATTGTAATTGTCACGAGTTGCGACCAACTTAAAATCATTTACCCTTCATATTGTTATAGGCTATTAACTACGCTACGACAAAAATTTTAATACAATCCAAGATTAACTCCTTACTTGATAAACGGCCCGTGAAACCTCGGCCAGCTGAGCAGACGGTGTTAGAGTGCTAGTCTTCTTGGCCCGGGCCTCCATTTCGTCCAAGAACGACACGCATTCATCGGCGATCGTCAATCGCGCATTCCAATGATTCTCAGCGGATTGGGCCAAAATGCTCCGAACCGAAGTAACGTTAACTTCTTTTGTCTTGGTTTCAGAAAACTCGCCTGAACTCGGGCTGACGGGCTCACTATAACAAATATTATTAGTATAGAGCAATATTGAACGTTTGTTCTTAAAATTTAGACACTTCAACTCGTGTACAAGTTAAAAATTTATATTTTTTAAATAATGAACAGTTAGCTTATACCTAGAAAGTATTACAACATTGTTTTGCCTTCCCAGGTTGTGAAATGTGACAAATAAAGCTTGACCATGAATAACAAAAAATATTATTCTTCAAAGGTAACTTACTTTCCAAAAACCCCATATTACAGTAACCACTACAAATCCTGATTTTACTCCAAAACTTCTCAAAGCACCTATTACAATAAAACTGTAACAATTTACATTAAACATATTGCCGTAAATATATAAATAACCTGAGGGCTTCCGTTCGGGTCACGCTTTTAGGAATTCTCTTACGAGTTTTTGTAACTACGGCAACCTGGGCCTTTCGTTTACTTACTTGACATTCTCCACGGCTTCAGAGGTCATGTCGGTCATAGCGTTAATGAATAAGACAACCTTTACATGTGTAACTTGCTGTATAAACCAACTTTCACATGAGGCCCAGTTTCAAAGCCGGAAATAAATTTATTTCCTGCCCGGGTACTCATCTTCGCAATACGACACCTCAGTTCCGGTATTAGGCACAGCATACAAGCCGGAATTTGCAGTACAAACTACAACATTTTAAACAAACGTTTCCAATGCTGCACAAAAAACATCTATCTACACACGTGCTAGATCAGAAAACATAATTGAAAATTAAAGTGTTGCAAAATATAATATAAACCTTTCAAACTTCTATTATAGCTGCAAAGAATTAAGTTACAATACACAAAAATGTTACCTAAAAACTTATTACACTACGAATTTACACAGATACCATGATAAAAACATAATAAAACAAATACCTAAAAAAATTTAAAATACCCCGTTATACAATAAAACTCCTCAAATAAATACCATGTTCAAGTAAATAAAATTAGGTTTATAATTAATATAGCCACGAATTCAGAAAAGATTGAGTTATCGTTTATTCCTCCATATCCTCCTCTTCTAACTTGCTCTTTGCCCATCTTTCAGCTTCGAGCACAACTTGTTCTGGGATTTGCTGAAAACAATATCTTTAAGGTATTTAATTAAAATAAGGCCACAGAAAAGCTATAACTCTCACATAAATTATAAAACGTCATGTTAAACAGCTTAAAAGCCAAAGAAAGAAGTTTCAAAACCAAATTTTTAATTTACAATACTTTGTAAGAGGGAAACACCAACCCTTACCTCATGCTTGCCATTGTTGTGCTTTCCGACCCATCCCATTTCAATTCGAAGATTCTTGTCTTTGGATTCATCTCGCACGGTGAGCAAAATTCTGACGGCTTCTCTGACCAAATCCTGCATGCTCAGGTTCTCCAACTTGAGCTTTTCGATTTCTGTTTTGGCAGCTTGACGATGTTTTCCAACAGCCCAAGCTTTATATTCATAAACAAGTCCAGAAGGTTCGATCAAGTAGATCTGAGGCTTCTCCTTCTTTGGATCGTACGAAGTCAAGAAGATTGACGATCCAAACGGGCGAGAAATACCCAAGGTAAAGATATGAACGTATTCGGCTAACTGAAAAAGCATGGTGTACTTAAAACCCTTTGTTTTTTAATTTATCACATAGAAAAACGTTTAAAAATCGTTGCAAATTAAAAGATACACTTTTCAACGTACTCCTATCTATTTTTTCAAACATTTCTTTTCTACCTATAAAAATCCATGTTATTACCTAAAACATAAAGAAACATGTGTAAACCATACCGTGTTGGCCAGTTTCTTCACAGAAATAGGTTCTCGGTACTCCTTCAAGTATTTCACAGCCTCGTCTTGCACATAGTCCAGCAAACTGCGACAATCAGGATAAACTCCGGCAGCAGTACATCCAATATAATCGTTGACATTCGAAACTCGAGGGTTGGAATTCTAAGACAATAAAATACAAAACTTAACACTTGCCTGAATCTCCAATTTTGAGTGTACCACCTTATCCACAGCTGTAACAACACCCTCCTTTCCACGAATCGCCACTACGGTCCCGTAGTTGTCCACAGCCTTCTGAGCATATTCAACTTGGAAGATACGACCATCAGGAGAAAAAGTGGATGCGGCAAGATCGTATCCGGTACCAATAGAGCTCATTTTAACTGTTCAAAGTGTACAACAAAACCAACAAAAAATATTTTAGAATATCATCAAAATATTTATAAAATGGACTTCAACTATTGACTTTTAGCACGAAGTGTCACAAATAAAGCGCGAAAAAATTCGTCTAATTTTTTTAGAAAAGAAATTTCGAAAAATTGAAATTTTGTAAAGTTTTTTTTTACATTACAAAGAATAAGAAACTGGTAAAATGTCCTTTTCTAAAGACTGTGAAGAACTATTTGGACACACTGACTTGTACAAAATCTTCGGGGTAGAAAAAACTGATCCTGTGGACAAAAGTAAGAGAACTCAATTAGATAACTAAAATTTTTATAGTTAAAAAAGCGTACCGCAAATTGGCATTGGTATGGCATCCAGATCGATTCAATGAGAACACTGAGCATTACTTTATGATTGGTAAGTTTGTATTATAATAGAAAGTTTTACATTTCAGATGTTTTTATAAATTGTATGTTTTAACCAAAAAAACAAAAAGCTTTATTTCCAGTTTTTATAAAATTCTATATTTTAGAAAGGGAGGCAGAAGAATGTAGCTTTTCTGGCGATTATAAAGATTTGGCCAAGAGAAAGTTCCAAGTGATTGGCAGAGCTTATCAAGTCCTCAGCGATGACGAGAAAAGAAAGCAGTACGATGAAACTGGTAAGTTTAATATTTTTTTGGTTTGTTATGTTTAAATTTAGGCATGATGGATGATGGTGGAAGTGGAGATGTGGATTGGACACAGTATTTCAGACGCATGTTCCCCAAAGTCACTAAAGATCAGATTAATGAACACTTGAAAAGCTACTTTGGTACGTTTCTTAAGCCAAAGGATAAAAAATTGTTTGTAAGAGTGTTATTTAATGTAATGTTGAATTAGGTACAGATGTGGTTGTTTGCTTGTACTGTTTTAATCGATTTTTTTAGGCTCTGACGAAGAAATCGAAGATATTATTGCGGCCTATTTGAAGTGCGAAGGGAACATTGACATGATGTATGAATATATCATTGGAATGGACTTTTCAACCGAATTTCGTATTAAAGATATTATTTACCACCTGATTGCCGCCCAAGAGGTCCCTGAGTTTGATGATTTTATCAATGACACTCCTGCTGCTCGAGAAAAGCGAAGAAAGAAGTATGAAAAGGAAACTGCTGAGTTCGAAAGAATGATGGAGAAGAAGAAAACGGGTAAAGGTAATCAATTTTGAAGTTATTATTGTAAGATGTATAACATCATAGTGTATTTGTCATAACATTAACTTAAAATTAACGTACGTTTTTGTAGGAAAGCCCAAGTCTGAAGATGATCTCATCGCTGCCATCAGAAACAATTGCAAGAAAAGGGAGTCAGCAATGGATGCCATGATCAACAAGTACTCGAGCTCGAAGAAAGCCAAGAAATAATTTATTACTAACTTTCCAACTACACAATTTACCAACTTTAACTTAAAATTATGGGTATTATTCAATAAACTGACTATAGTATAATACACGACAAATTTACTGTACAAGATAAAAGAGGTAAAAAACTTTGTCAATCTAAGTTGTGTGTTATATTATTTGAAAGTTATTGTCAGATTTCAGCTCTTTACTGTATATACTGGGAGAGACATGACGCATTTAACATTTGGGTCAAGTATCTCTGGGAGACCTTGTCTAAAAAAGCCGTCACACCGGCTTCTTTTGCAAGACTTGCTGAATTAAACAAGTAACAATTGGCTTTATCAATAAAAACAGTTGAAGGCTTCTTTAAATTTTATAGAAACTGAATTATTTATATCAACAAAGGTTAATTTGTTTCATCATAAAGACGAATTTTTTTGGACGATTTTTGTAAAAAAAATAATTTCGAGCTTCTTTTTTTTGATCTGTTGCTGAAATGCTGCGAGGACTGTCTTTTCTTCGGTAAGTTATTATTAGTATCGGCTTTTATTTCTTATACAAATTGTAAGATTCAACTTATCAAGAGTGTTTTAAATATTGGTTTTAGGGCAAAAGTGTTAACAAATGGAATTCGTGGGATTTCCAGAAGCTCAAGACTTCTATCAGACGATCTGAAGGTTGCGGAACCAGATGAAAATGGAGAAGAAAAAACAAACTTTAGAGTGCTTCACGAGTTTCTAGATACGGATAACTTTGGCATTGAAGAATTAAGACCAAAAGACCGGCCAGGAAGAGAATGGACATTAAATGAACTCAGATTGAAGAGTAATTCAGACCTACATAAACTCTGGTATGGGTTTCTGTTTTTTCTTTTATTTTTAGGTTTTTAATATAATGTATTTCTACTTTGATTTACAACTTTGATGTATTTGAAATAGGTATTAACTTACAAACATTATATTTCGAATAAACTTATTATTTTAGGTATGTTTTACTTAAAGAGAGGAACATGTTAATGACGATGAAGGCTGCTTGTGAGAAAAGAGGTTTATATTTTGCGAATCCGGAGAGAATGGATAGAGTGGAAGAGGTTAGTTAAATTTATTTTAATGAATTGTTAAATTATGTTTTTTCTTTGTTAAAATATGTTTTAAAATTACAATCCAAACTTTAAAGTGTAATTTTATTTAATGGTTTATGAAATACTTATTTTTTCAGAGTATGGAGAATTTACAAGAAGTTGTGCATGAGAGGAATGACGCTGTGCTGCGCTTGGAAACTGGAGATTCTGCGTCTCCAAGGATGCGCAGGATAACTTCAAAAATTGGATTTACATATGAGTATGTTTCTATGACTTATATCATTAGTGAAGTCTTGAGTTGTTTTGTTTTATATGGTAGCATGTTTTTTCTATAAGTGAATTTATCTCAATACTGTAATCAGGGACGTCGCTATGGTTTTTCTCTGGGGGAGGGGGTGGAGACCCAAAAAATTTTTTGGTCCACAGGTAGCTCCCCGAACCACCCCCCCCAAACGACGTCCCTGACTGTAATTATTATGTAAAAATTGTTTTTTTTAAACTTCCAGTAAGCCAGCTGAAGAACATTACGAGCCATTTGAAGTGTCAAGAAGGAAAGAGTACGAGAAACCTTATTTAGATGAAGAGGAATACATTACCCAAACATTGTGGAATGAAAAACAAGAAATGAAACGTCGGATTGCTGTTAACGATGAGTATTTGAAGATTGAGTTTGATAAGGATAAAGAAATCTTCAAACGGGGACTTCGACGACACTTCAAACACGTTGATCATTTGCCAGAAAGCGTGGTGAAACAGCGGAAAGAAGAGACTCAAAGACAAATCGAGCAGAACTTTTAGGATTTTTTGTTATCATCTTTGTAATAAATTGTTTTTGTTTTATTTGGCGATCGAAAGATATTATTTGTGGTTTCTGTCAACTGGCATACTTTGATTGTTTACAATGTGTATTTTTAAGATTTTGGTGTGTTACTATGGTAGAATTTTAGGTATCTTTATTTAGGTATTTTAATATTTTCTGCATGAATTTTTAGTGGGAGACGGGAAAATACTCGACGTTTCACGCTACTTTTAAAATATTTAATTATTTCAGAATGAATATTCCTCAACTTCAACAACAACAACCATCATCTTCAGATGGCTTTGACTTCCTCAGGGACAGTACCAGTGTCTCACTACGACAACGGCTACAAGCTTTAGACGAAGTTGATAAGAAGATTGCTGAGATCATGGATTCAACTCGAGATCTGATCATTACTCTTGACAAAGACAAACAAATCTCTAGAACCAAAATGGATGAAAATGCCAAGAAGTATACAAAAGTACTGGAAGAAGACATCATGAAGGTTATAAGCGACCAGTTGACGTACATGGAGCAGCTTTGTGTTGGTGCAGAACATCAAGATAGTATGTTTAGAGTGCAGAACAAGAACAAGATGACGAAAGAGGTGCTGAACAGGATGTACACTGAAGTCGCTTGTTTGCAAACATTAGTTGCTAATGGTGCTAATGAGGACGGTACTCCGGATGGTAACGACGTAGAGATGATTCAGGAAGGAAGTATTCACACTGGTAGTATTGACTCAGAATGATCTCATTTTTTGAATAAATCATGTAAATATTAGTAGTTAGCTTTTCATGGTGGTTTATGGCCATTATTACTGCGTTTTTTAGTTTATTCTTATTGTGGTATTGTTCTGGTAGAATCTTACTGTTAGTTCTTATATTAAAGGTTTCATGGTGGTTATTATATATTTTAAACAGCTGTTTCCGATTTTATGGAGTCATAACTTCATTTTCCGCTTCAGATGTCGTCTGTGACCCGTGCTGTGAGCTCATATTTTGCACGATACTCAAGCAAGGAATGGACAGACTACTTCCTATCGACTCACTTCTGGGGACCGGTCGCTAACTGGGGCTTGCCACTTGCCGCTCTCTCTGATCTCAAGAAGAATCCTGACATGATTTCCGGCAACATGACTGTGGCTTTGTGCATCTACTCTACTGTGTTCATGAGGTTTGCGTGGAAGGTGCAGCCTCGTAACTTGTTATTATTTGCCTGTCATTGTACCAACTTTTCGGCTCAACTGGCGCAGTTCTCTCGTTGGTCGAACCATCATTACCTTCATGTATTCCAGGATCCGTATGCCAAAAAAGCGTTGAAACAGTAGACTTGTGCTATGAATAGCTCTACATCAGCTTAGTGTTATCAATATCTTTAGCCTCGTTTATAGGATTATAAGCGTTTACTTGTGCTATGAGTATTTTGTAGTAGCTAAGACATTTGTGGTATTACATATGACTATATTATCCATGACCAGTGCCTAATTTTGCCATGACTGTTGGTTGTTATTCAAATTTTTCATTCCGGTGACAATAAATTTTTATCTATCTAGTATCTTTTTATGAGTATTCCTTGATATCGGTCATTCCGGAAAAAAATGATTGGCCAGCACGGTGCAATCTCTGAGAAAATCGCTGCCCATTGCACCGTGCAGATTCCCTCGCGATCGCTTGTGACTTTAAAGCGATGATGGAAAGACTGCACGGTGCAAGCCCCCAATTGTCGCATTGGTCGGTTGTCGCAGAAACATGCAGCAGTCAAAAAAGTCTTGTCGGCTTGAGCGTTGCGACAACCGCGACGCGCTGTCGCATCGCCATTTTAAAATTTTTCTTATTGTAATACTAACGTATGGTATAAACTATATTTTTGAACCTGAAAAAGAATTTGGAAGTAAATGAGTAATTAACGTCAAATAGGTACAGTTGTTAGGAGGCCACACAAAAACTTAACTAAATGAACGGCCAACTCTATTCTGACCGGGTTTGTTTGCTGTTTGGGTATCGATAATCCCTCCGAAAGCGATGATTTAACCGAGAAGTACGAACAGAAGCGATGACCTCCTGTTTATGACTTGATTATGTCTTGAAGTTGTATCGAATTGAAGTGTCATTGTGCTGACTTTGTTGTTATTTGAAAAAATTTTGTAACTTTGGGGTAGATTGTTAGCATTGCTCTATGTTTTTAAGTTTTTACACATTGAACTCTATGTCTTGAACTGGTATCAGAAAAGGTACTAAATTGGTACAATATACCACATTGAAGTGTCATGGAGGGCACGGAAGCTAAAGATTCAGAATCCAGAGACTGGGACAACGGTGACAGTGGCCTAAGGCAACGTAGACATCGTTTATCAACATTTGTTAGAACGTTGGAAGAACGATATCATGCAAAAACCTTGTTATACCTACTGAAAACAGGAGTCCCAATATGTAACTGGCTGATCGATTACGATTGGAAAGAAAGTTTCTTTGCTGACATGAGTGCTGGGTTGACTTTGGCTGTGTTCATGGTGCCGACTGGCATTGCTCATGCTGGTATCTGTGGAGTAGAGCCGGTTTATGGACTCTATACTTCAATATTCCCCACCTTTTTGTACATGATCTTTGGGAATAGCAAGTATAATGCTTTAGGTAATATATTTTTTCTTAATTTTATTTTACAGAGTAATATTTTAATTTTATATTTTCTTTAATTTGACAAATATATTCAGGACCATTTGCTATATTGTCAGTACTGACCCACTCGATAATTGAAAAAATTCAAACAGCTGAAATGGAGACCCAGATTATGTATAACAACACGCTCTACAAGAGTGTTGGTACAGTAGATCCGGCTTCAAATATAACGTTCATTACAAGCATGGATGACTTCGTACCTATAAGGCCGATTCACATCGCTACTACTGTCATGTTTCTGTCCGGAATTTTTCATGTAAGTCTTTTGTCTAGAATAGCTAGCTATTAGTAGCATAGATCTTAAAATAGTGTACATCTTAATTATAAATATGATTTATAACATTAACTATAATGTATTATAATGTTTTGTTGCAGATATTTCTGGGCGTTGTACGAGCTGACTTCTTGTCATGTTATTTATCAGAACAAGTCATGTCAGGGTTTGTTGTTGGTGGATTTGTTCACGTATTCTTTTCTCAGATTGGAGAATGTTTAGGCATCAAACTGCCACCGAGAGATGGGCCTGGATCTTTGTTATTCGTAGGTTTCGAAAATAGAATTAAAAAAATTATTTTTGGATTACTGAGTTTTCATTTTTTAAAAATTGTGCTTTTTAAACTAAAACACTAATTTTAAAGCTAGAAATAACTTAATATGTACTGAAAGCCTATTTTAAAACCATTTCCAATTTCAGAGAGTTCAAGATCTGTTCGAACGTCTTCCTGAGACCCAATTTGCAACTTTTCTTATCAGTCTGGCATCTCTCGCCTTCCTAACCTTCTCGAGACATGTTTTAGATCCATGGTTGAGCAGTGTATTTGAGTTTCCAATACCATACGAACTACTACTGGCAAGGTTATTGGGAAAAATAATATTGTTTTAGGTTATCGTCGGGATTACAGCTACAAACTATGCGGATCTCAGTAATCGACACATGGTTGCTGTTGTCGGAAACATTCCTACAGAGTAAGGTTTGCTTTTCAAATGTTTGTTGTGAATTCTAAGAATTGTTTATGCATGCATTAGACGAAGAATGCAAAAAATCCTTAAAATTTTATGAAATTCAAATATTTTTGAAAAATTTTACTTACATTTCAGTTTCCCTCCACCAGCTCTACCACGATTTGAGCTGATACCATCAATCTTTGTGACTACATTGGGCATCACAATAGTTACCGTAGCCATACATCTTACTGTTGTGAAGATCGTGGAGAACAAGCATCACGAACCCATCAATTCTTGTCACGAATTGTATTCTCTGGGCATAGTGGGGGTGTTATCATCAGCTTTTCCGGTGTTCCCAGTTACGTCGATCTTCGCCAGGACATTGGTCGGTAGTCCGGACAAGAACACAACTCAGGTAACAGATTAGATGGTAATATTGTTGTTTTTATATAGTGAACTTAGCACGGCCGGTGGGGGTTGGCCAAAGCCCGCACCTGCATGGCTAGCCTTTAAATCCGCTGCCCCGCACGTCAGGCTTACCCTTCGTCGCTGGTTGAGGCCCAAATCTCCTTGGCGTGGCGATGGATCCATCTCATTGCCCCCTCCCGTCCGGGTTATGACCAGTACCTCTCCAATACTATTATTTTTGCCTGCATCAGGCTTGAGCTCACCGGTTTTCTTAGACATAATTTTAATATATTAGACATAATTATAATATTAATATTCTCTCTACCTCTATGAGGTATTACCGATCCGCTTCCCAGGCTTAACTTTATCCCCTCTCAATCTGTAACTTCCCCAAAACGTTTCTAAAACTTCCCGGGCCCGTATCCTTAAAAACTGTAGTCAAAAACCCTGCGTACAAAAACTGGGGTTCACTTCAAAACTGGCCTAAACAGGCAAAAACACTTTAACAAGCTTCTTAGAAGACAGAAGCTTGGGTCGACCTATAACGAACGCTTGGCCTGCCTTAAATACTGCCGGCCAGGCATTCCTTCTTGTGGTTTACGCACTCCTCGCACCGAATGATCTTTTTGATCGCCAACGCAATTTTTGTAATCGAAGATGGCCGTTTTCTGGCCTTTCTTCGATCCGTTTCGACTAACCGTATCTGTTTTGATAGGACTGTGTCGGCCAAAAACCAAAATTTAATATATGACTAGCGTCATACATTACTCCTTTTCCCTACCGAATGATCTACAGCTCTTTGCATAATAATGAATGGGTGAGGTTGTTCATCGACTACCTATTCCCTTAACAAAGACAATTAGGTTTAAACATACTGTCACAGAATTATTCCTGTAAGAATAAATGCAAAAACTTGTGGCCTCTTCTATGAAGAGTAGACTAGAGATACTAGACGATGCTAGGAGGTAAGAGATTTCAGGGCAATGACCCATGAGTAAACATTAAATCGAACTGTCAACATACAGTAACAATTATTTATTATAACAAACCCCTGGCTTCTGAACCGAGCAACTACCAACAAGCTACATACTACATGTTCTCAACGGCGATCAAACATTCTCAATCGTCCATCGTCGAAGACTTCATGAACCACTGCAGCCAGCGGACTGGAGTCCGGATCTTGTTGACGAAGACGGTAGGTATGACCGATGACGACGCAGTGAAGTTGTGCCCGGGTGAGAGCGATCGTGAGTCGGCTATTATTTTTCAGGAAGCCCCAACAACCGAGTTGGGACCGTTAGGAACAGCACGAGGCTGAATTCCATGCCCTGACTGGCATCCACAGTCTTAACCACCAAGTTGACTTTCGGGTGCCGTTGCCTGAAGCGGTTCAACGGCTCCATCGTGTCTCGCCTGCAGGAGGCGTATGCTGAGATTACCGCAGTGCTGAAACGACCAGAAGCCACATCTGGAACTCTGTCCGCCAGAAACTCTGAAAGAGCGAAGGCCGCCTCAATTTGAGGCGGATTGGTGTAGCTCGGAGTGGTAGAGATTTCTTCAGCAGCGCAGTGGAGTAGAGATATCGGTTGAGATGTCCCCAGTGTTCGTTGAAGCTCTCCATGAGACTCCCGCGTGCCGGCATACGCCAAAGCACCCTGGTAGATTTTGTGGCTGATCATTCTGGCCATCGGTTCACTGAATCTGTATGTATATCTCAGTTCCATTCAGCGCTCTGTGTTCCTTCATAAGGAGGTTAAGTACCGATTCTTCACTAAATCTTCGCAAATTGACCCGTGCGTTGTCTGAAGCGCAGCATAGCTGGAACTGATCTCCGACAACAAGAACTCTATTGCAGTCGTACGCAGCCAGCAGAGTAGTGACTGCTGTAGTGGTGTTGGTCGTTCCGCCCTCATCAATAATGAGAATTGCCACCTCCTTCTTGATTTTCGGCAGGATTTGCGCTAACATCGCACTGGTACCCAGCAGGATGGTAGGTTCGTCGGTACCCTCTAGAACCAGAATCGCCATTTTTTGCGAACTGTACAGGCAGTTTTCGTGGCAATTATATTGCCGAACAGCCTTGCTGACTTCGTCGGACGCCGTTCCTTCATCCACCTCCACCATCATTTTCTCCAGCGACGAATACGTATGTGAACGGTCGACTTTTCCTAGATCAACTAGGAATTTGTTTGAATCAGACTCTGAACGGGCCGACGTTCTTTGTTGGAACTCCAAACTGAACCAACTTGTCTGCAATATTTCGTACTGCATCGTTGCTTTCAGCAGTGGCCACAATCAAGGATCTCAACCCGGCTTGGAGCATGAACTGACAGATGCGACCAATGACGAACGTCTTGCCACTGCCTGCTGGAGCTTGCACAATTGTGGTAGAGTCTGACGCAGCAGCTAGCTTAGCGGCTTTTTTCTGTGATTTGTCGAGATCAGATTCTTCAACTAGCTTGTTTTACTTCTCAACTTCTTTACTGTCACCATCCAAGTGGAAATTCGGAGTTGGTTCTGTGCCGAGAGATCCAAGAATCCTCAAAGCTGCATCAGGTCTTTAGCTAGGCCACTTGGCTTCATCAACCTGTTCTCCAAGAATTTGGCTTGTGCTACTCTGAATAACTCCTCCAGCTCTAACGGCGGAATAAGACTGACTTCACCACCATTGATAACTGCTTGATGTTGTTTGAGGATGAAGTTTTCGTAGATGATCCACCGTTGCTCCGCATTTTTTCCTGGCATTTGGTTGATCCTTTCCATCAGCGCATCCGATAAGTGGCCAGGTCGACGGTTTAATGAGATGGTTGTGTCGTGAATGTTGACCAGTTGGAGGTCCTCAATCAAATCTCCGTTCGGCAGCACCAAGGAGAATACCTGGTTTATTCCCAACACCTTGTTGAAAACTGTCAATGTGTCCATCGTGATCTGGACATAAAGGTTGTAGCCTAGTGTTAGTGGTTGTAGAACGCCGGGGACCGTATCCCTAAAAACTGTAGTCAAAACGCTGCGTACAAAAACTGGGGTTCACTTCAAAACTGGCCTAAACAGGCAAAAACACTTTAATAAGCTTCTTAGAAGACAGAAGCTTGGGTCGACCTGGAACGAACGCTTGGCTTGCCTTAAATACTGCCGGCCAGGCATTCCTTCTTGTGGTTTACGCACTCCTCGCACCGAATGATCTTTTTGATCGCCAACGCAATTTTTGTAATCGAAGATGGCCGTTTTCTGGCCTTTCTTCGATCCGTTTCGACTAACCGTATCTGTTTTGATAGGACCGTGTCGGCCAAAAACCAAAATTTAATATATGACTAGCGTCATATATTACTATATTTTAGATACGAAAAGTTTTTGTTTTATTTTACTTTGTACCTATAAGGTCTGAAGCTTAAGAAATCTTTGTTTTATTAGTGGTGCATAACTAAGGTCGTACAATGAATAGATTCACTTTAAAAATTTTTTTGATTGTAATTTTAAAATAAATTACAGTAGCAGTTTAAAATTTACCCGTTTATACGTGTGAACATTAACGGATATGATAGTACACCACTAGTATACTATAGCATAGATTATATTATGCGATGTTAATCTTTATTCATTTAATAATTTAATGCGGCTTAATTATGCAAAATTTAATTAGTCTTGGTGGTCTATGAGAGTACGGTAGGATTAAACTGTTGAAATTTGTAAAAATAGATCTGGCAGTAAATATTGACCAGACGGAAATGTAACGGAAGTATTACATTACTTTACAAGACGGCCATGTTTAGAGCGTTAGACTCATTAAGACATTTATTTTTGAATTTTGTTGTTTTCAATGTAAAAAAGTTTGAAATAGTTTTAAAATTATCTATTTTAATTTTTTCAATTTTAAGATGTAAAGATCGATGTATAAGTTAAGTAGACATGGTTCTTTTGATGTGTTTGTTCACGTAGATACGTTGTTTACAAATGTCGTCAAGTTTAAGGCTTCTGTAACAATAAACTCTTTCAGCTTACTGTATTTTTCTCGTCGATTGCACTTTTGGCTGTGGTTTTATATATTGGACCGGCATTGGAGTATCTTCCTAAAGTAAGTTTTCTTTAAATTATTTTACGGAGTAATTAGTGTGGTTAATTACATAGTTTGAAGTTTAAATGTTCAGTTCTTGGATAATTATGTAGAACAAGGTAATTACTGTGTAGGTGAACACTATTCGTGGAAATACTTTTTTGGTATCTAATTGTATATAGTCAATTAGATATTATAATTTGAGAAAATATAGTAAATTATAAAAAATAAGATGTTTCGTTTATAAAAATATTTCGAATTTAAAAATATTTTCAGTGCATTTTGGCGTCAATAGTACTAGTATCTCTGACAGCCGCCTTCGACAAGATCCAGGAGCTGAGAACACTCTGGCCATTGTTCAAAACCGACTTCTTCGTATTCATTATAACATTGCTGCTTACCGTATGCTACGAACTAGCCAAAGGTCTGATTTTGTCAGTAGGAATCGCTGTTTTAACTACAGTAATCCGCAACCAATGTTCTTCATGGCACTTCCTACACAGAAGCGACGATGAAGAGTTCCGTGAGATTCCGAAGAGACAGCTGAATGAGATTGACAGTGGAGGAGCGTGTGTCTTCCGATTCGACGGACCTTTGATATTCACATCGGTTCAGAAGTTTACGAAGTCAGTCAGGAAGGCGGTCAAGAAGTGGGAGCGACGAGAAGAAATTCAGACAGACGATTCTGGATTTAGATGGAGAACGAGGCTTCAGGATACGAAAAAGGGGAATATTCTGATGGTTATCGATTGTTCCGGGTTTCCATATGTTGATTATATGGGATTGGTCACTTTGAAAAGGGTAATTTTAAGCCTACATGGTATCTTTGATATTATACATTGATTTATAATGGTATTAGGTGCACTTTTGGAGAATTTTCGAGATGAAATTTTGGGCCACAAATGTTTTCTGAACTTGGCAAAGAAAGTTGTTACTGTAGAAGATTGTGTTAGTACAAAATATCTTTTGCAAAGGCATTTCTAACGTAATGTCTATTCTTTGCGAGAAACTGCTAAAATGATGTAGATGTTCTTTAAATCCATCTTGTGAAATGACATTTTTAAACGTCTTTTCAACCGAAATATCTTTATACTTTAAACTTTAGAAAACGTTTTGAAATGTCACTTTTTGCTGGCTTAATTGCCTTTGGCATTTATTTTTTTATTTTTAAAAGCAATCATGTTTTTGTGTCTTTAAGGAATTATAATATTACCATTAATTGGGTCTATAACGTGCTAGATAATTATGGGTTTGCAAAGTTATAGTAAGCTACAGTGGGCCTTAGAGTAGGGTAGAATAGGATAGGGCCGTGCTTATTTACCTTTGAATGACATTGTAATTGTAAAAGGCATTGTTTGGTTCGTTCGTACTTTTAACTTTTAACTATACGCCACGTAAAAATTTGTACAGGACTCTATTTACCGTACAAATCTAAAACCCCCGAGCGATTTGTTTACAGCAGTTTTACTATACTGTTTATTTTAATGAAAGGTTGAACGTTAGGTTTTGTGGAAGTATAATATTAATTTTTTAAAATGAAAAAGGAACTAAAAAAGTGTAAAAAGTAAAGCAAGAACTTACTTAATTTATAATTATTAAGCGTACACTAAGACCAGTAATTAAAAGTAATGTTGACTTACTTTGCGCTGAGTCAGCATATACTTAGAAACAAATAATGCGGAAACAATTTATACCCAAATATAAAAAAGATTTTGATATTTTTGAACCTTGAATGATATCAAACATTTACTCAGTAATTGTACAAGAAAATATTTAGTAATCGACTTACTCAGTAATCGTATAATTACAGGTATACAAAGAGTTGTGTTTGAATCAAGTTGAAGTTCGTTTGGCAGCTCCAAAACGTAAGTTTATAAAAGTTTTAATAAAAATGCTTTTAGATTAAGAAAAGTTTGGTCTAGACTAAAATAACGTCTCTTAGCCTTAGGCTTTACTTTAGTCTGAACTAGCCCTTTTGTTGGAAGTCGTTTTGTAATCTGAGATTTATTAAAACTTTCAAAACGTATCCCAAAAACTTCCTTATTAACTAGACCAAAGTATCGAAATGAATTATTTAAAGCCAATTTGAAACGGATGATCGAGAACACAGACTTCTTGGCTACCGTACCCGCCGCACACGTGTTTCCGACGATTAAACGAGCATACGAACACTTGTTAACACCGACATACGATTAGTGCTACTATTAATATACACAGTGATTACGAGTCTAATTTAATTACTTTTGTATCCAATTTCAATTTAAATATTATTTAAATAGCCTTTTTCAATTAAATTATTCAATTTAGATGTTTTAAATATATTTTTAAATTAAAATTGTCTTTGTACTCTATTTGTGGAAGTTGTAATTACTTTACAAAAATATTTTCTTTGTTTCATTTCCGAGTAATCTCAGTTACTAACGTTATTTTCCATGTAATTAACTAAACTATATATATTTACTACAGTAACAATACTGTTCAACTTGCAGTACAATACCAATAACTACAGCTAGGTTATAATGTAATTTGTGCTGAATACTCAACTTTTGAGTACAAAATTAAAGTGGAAATACTATGCAATGTAAACACATTAATTACTTTGTGGAATAGTGAGTACTATATTAATTTGTAAAGTAGTAACTATTAAGCTACTCCTTACAAGATTAACATCCCCGAAAGGTCGGAAATACTAGTACTTACTGAGTGAAAGTATTTACTGCGTTAAATTATTTCTGTGTTAAAGGTTCCACCGCATTAACATTTAACGAAATAGCACTATGTCTGAGACTGTTTATTAGAAATCTGGATAAACATATGTACATGTATATATAGATAACAAAGCATTGTAATTGGGTTACTGCCTAATCCGTTGAAATATATGGCTTTAAATGTTACAGCCCTTACTATCATTTCATAAGCAGCAAGTTCAGTAAACAGTAAAAGAAGATACAGTACCCCAATTACAATCATAACAAAAAGTAATTTTAAAACAACAAGCTTCATATTAAACTTCTTACCGTAGCATAAAAACTACAGTAAGATTACAACAAAATAAAAAGCTATGTACAAGGTATTACACATTTGAGCACTTGAGAACATACGATTGCACCTATCATAACATCACATTGTAGTAAATCAGCGACAATGTGTCACATCATACCACAATGTATTTGTAGAACATTGTGGTATGATTTGATGCATGCTGCACTACCACAGCTGCAACAACATTACTGTCGTCGATACCGTAACCTGACTGGTCGTGGTAGTTTCCCTTTGACATATTGAGCTATTTTGGTGAAAGCTGCCACCATTTCTTGACCGGTCGGTTCAATTATCTTTGGATCGACGGAGAATCCATTCGACTGGTCGATATCTTCCGGCCGCAACTCGATTCCATAAATGAATGGCACCCCCTTGTCTTGCATGTAGTCGATTGAAGTGCCTGAGGCTGGATCTGTAATAACACGATTGTTACTGTATGTAACCTAAAGTTTCCGTTTTTTTAGGTAACAAATAGTTTGAAAGTATTTTTTAGCATAACACAGGAAAAATGTATCATCTAAAAACTTACACATGACTTCAGCTATTGACCCGAAAGTGTAGTTGGTACCAGTGGTCTTCTTGATCTCTTCGATGGCATACATGGCGGCAGCTGCTTGATCCTTGTAGTTCTCCGGCTTCTGACTCGTGTAGCCCCACGGAGACAAGAACACTTGGCCATACGAATGCAGAGATGCGTAGACTTTGAGATTGTTTACATTCTTATCAATGAATTCCTTCATTCCAACCACTTCTGGCTCGCTGAACGGCTTCGAACCCGCGTAGATGTTGGAGCAGGGCGAACGGTTGGCTCCGGCTTCTGAAGATGATCATACGTATATATGAAACTTAAGATTTATATAGACCTGAGTATAGTAGCATATAGGTATATGGAATATGATAAAATATTATTTACATGTATATATGTCACATTTTAAACGTAATTTAAAAAAAAATGTAAATAAGCAACAAGGATATCAAGTTTTATTGATGTAAAGTAGCATACCTCCCCACCGATAGCCCCAATTCCTGTTCGCATCAGCACCTATGCACCACTTGTTGACTTCTGAGTTCCGTGACCTTGTTTTACGCCATAATCGATCCTAAAATACCAATTCATAAAATTTTTAAAAGTAAAAAAAATTAAATTACTTGACATTTTTTAAATTTAAAAATAACTATAACTAGTATCAATTTAGCTGTAGTATTACCTTTTGAATACTGTACTCGTAGCCATCTGGATTCGCCACAGGCACAATATACCAATCGAATTCTTCTGTCAACCATTTTGTTTTCTCATTATCACTAACCAGAGTGTTGATAAGATGTAGAGCAACTGCTGGTGCTATCCATTCCCGAGCATGAATTCCAGCATCAATAAAGATACTGGGCTTGGGTTTTGTTGAAGATGAGGGGGTGGATAACTAAAAATAGACGAATAGAATTAACTATATTTGAAATTGTTACTTCATGTTAATATAATAACAAAAAAATGAAATTGTAAAAAATAAAAAGTAAAAAGTTTTGGTTGTAATAAGGTCTTACCTTCACTCCGACCAAATCTCTCCCTTCAAAGGTTTTGGAGATATTGAGCAGTTCCACCTTTTCAGGGAACCTTACACTCAAACCTTGCAGAAAACTGACAATCTGAAAAATGAAAGCATGAAAATATCATTTGTTACCAAAAAAATCGTTTTTAAAAACCAGATCCAAAAGCATAATTTGAAGGCAAAAGATGACTTACCTTTGCATATTTGTGGAAGTCGTTGAAGTTGATGAAGTAATCGTTTTCCTTTATATTCCTCCGCCGCCTTCGCTGACTCCGCCGATTTCTGATTATTTCGTTGCGTTCCATCGTTATTTTTCTAAAATACGCAACAATAAGTTTCTAAACATAAAAAATAGAGTTATTACCTAAAATCAGCATTACTTTATATTTGTCTTAAAATGATTATTTTTATAAGAAAAAAAGGTTTCAAGTATACCTTTGAATATCAGTGTCGACTACTTTAATATCCGCTACATCGAATCGTTTCGCCAGGTCTTCGAATTCTCCAGATATTTCTGGAGATACGATAGCTAGGCAGTAGTCATCGCTTTCTTTTAAAATATCTATCAGTGGCATTCTTTCTCCATCTGACTGAAACAATAGAAATTATTAAAATCGATTTAAATAAAAATCTTGAACAAGTTTTTATCAAAACTTTTAACAACTTTTAGTTGCTTAAAATGTAAAATACAAAACTATACACAACTTACAAGCTAAACATAACACAGTAAAACACTAACAAAAAGCAAAACAAACCAAACCTACATTAAGCCTATGCCCATCTTCCTCGAACTCTCTCTTGACAGCCTCAAGAAAGTAGTTTTGTGACTTGAACTTGTACAATCTGTAGTTGTCGTACCTGAGATGGGCGCATATTACAGTAGATACGATAAATACAAGCCTCTGTAAGCAACCCATAGCGCTGTAAATTTAATTTTGAATTGAAAATAATTTAAAATTGCCAAAGGATTAAAAAGGGGGCGGGGTTACAATGGTAAATAAATTAATTACCGCGTAGTTTAATCCTTTCCCGAAAATTGTAATCGAGTTACAATGTAAAGGTCACAAAGTAAGATTAGAGGTGTTAATTAGATTGTATGTTGGCATACTTAAGTAAATACTATACTGTAAATCTAAAGTGTATATAATTTAACATAAAAACAGTATTTTCATTTTGTAAGGTCGTTTTCTAACTAATTTCTACTGTAATGTAGTTTTGACTGTAAAAATTAAAAATGTTCTAGTAAAACGTCTGAGCATATGTGAATTATTAAGCTTTTAAACAGACCTTAACTGTAAGGTAAACAAGAACAATATCACGCAAAAAGTGGGTTCACTGAGCCTAAGTCATGCTCATAAAAGGTAATGTGTAAAACGGCGGAAATATTAGACATTCAATCACTTTGAGTCAATTTTCAATATTAAGGTAAGTTGGTTTGGATTACAGTGTAAAAGTTGAGCCTACAGTGTAAAAATACTGGCAAAAACTAGCTAAAACCCCAAAAAATGGTACCATTTTTTCCTACCTTTACATACCTTTACCTACACGCTTTTACTCTCTCGCGAAGCTCAAGAAATTATACTTTTTAAGTGCAATACAACAATTTAAAACGATGCCAAACATTTACTATTACATTAAGTCGTTCAAATAATTATGTGCCCTCTAGCCCTAAATATTTTGGACAACCTAATACTCCCTATAAACTTCCTTTGATTTGGTCAGATACTTCCTATAACATGCATTGTGTTTGTGACATGATGAGTAACAATTACCAGCTAGACAGATCACATACCCTTTTACATAGTAAAAGTATTATCGCTTTGTTTTCGAACATTGTTTTAGGTGTTCAAAATAAAATGGCAGGAAGTGTAACACACCAAGTTCAGGTAACAAAACATGTTTTCGATCAGTGATTTGTGTGAGTTTGAAATGGCATAACAACAGGGTATCTACTACAATATTCCCATAACATATGTTACCTAAAAATCAAATACTAAAACCTGAAATTTGAAAAAAATTGAAAATTTAGAAGTATTCTAAAAATACTTTAATACCAAGCCTTTGTATGACAAAAACTATAGAAAAAGCCACCCCGCCCGTGCCATTCTCATTAATCTCTAATCTCAAAGCATTGCAAATCCACCCTCAACACATCCATTACTATGCCATTTCGACCCGCAATTGTGAAATAATTACTGCAAGATGTAAATTCATTGTCTGCGGATTACCGTGTGGTAAGCTGCATAATATGCGGGGGCAATTCCGAGAAACGAACAGGTTTTTGGACAGAAATTGTGGAAAATAATCAGCAAGTCGAGGGACAGATACCTTATCAGCAGCTACTATAACATCGAGTTTTATCGGAACGTGCAATGACTTCAAAGCGCTACTTGATTAGGTATAAACAAGCTTATGTAATACTAACTACAAATAAATGAATAGAGCTAAGTGTACGGGAGCTATGGCGTTGCTTGATCTACACAGGCTTGCGACTACGGGACTATTATAGTTAACCACTCTGAGAGAAACAGTTTTCATCAAACCCTCACCATACCTCCTCACGTCTTAAATAATATATGTTGCGTTGAAAAAGAGAGTAGTTTTTAAATGTAAAGAAAGTTATTGCGTGAGCACGTGCCTTAAACATAGTTCAGCTTTAAATATTATATACAAAATAACTTTTAGCCTTGTGGATCCAAGTACTATGACATTTTAAAAACATGTCATTTTAATGTTACACTATCTTCTATTTTAAAAGTTGACTCAAAATGTCACATATTGCTAATTCAGCATTATAAAAGTAATTTATCATACTAATTTAAAACCTACCCTATCCCACCCTCAAACAGACTCCCCCCCCTCCTACAAAATGAATAATAATGACTACTGTAACTCAGTTTTTTAAACCTCTTCATAAACAAAAACAAACATTGTATTATAATTTCACTTTATGTACCACAAAGGACCATATTAGTACGACAGTAGTACACTGCCTTCCCCCTTCCCAAATCGTATAAAAAGTTGTAAATATATAAAAAGTAGTGCATACAAACCCTAAGTCAAGTGTTTTGTTCGAGATTTGTTTAATCTCGCCCCGGAGGCTTTTGTTTGTGTACGAGATGGGTTGCCCTCACCTTACTACGTGATAAAAACATATTAACATTGTAAACAAAACAAAAATAGCTATAGATTAACAGTAATTGACTTTGTGCCGTCTTATGACAGGAAATCTTTTAGAGCAATTATTTATGTTAAACACGGTGTTTAATAACATATTTGGTCCACTGTTCTTGAAAAATTAATTTTTTTAAAATTATTTTTAAATACAGTGAAACTCCTGTATAACGAATCGCTCGGGGATTGGAAATTTGTTCATTATAAAGGAGTTTTGTTATAGAGGAGTTCGTTATACAGGAGTTTTAAATGCACTCTGCAGTGGTAGACGGAGATTCAAAAGTTGTTCGTTATACGGAAGTTTCGTTATAGAGGAGTTCGTTATACAGGAGTTCTACTGTACACTGATAAAAAAATCGAAAAACATCTTGAAACATTATGCCAAAAGTCCAAAAAAATTAAAAAAAAGATAAAAAATAAGACAAAAACTTAACTCAATGTTCAAACCATCAAAAGTCAAAAAACCCCACTAAAGTACATTATAGTTAACCACTCTGAGAGTAAGTAGAACTACTCGTTTAAAGTTTTCCGTAATTTTTGATGTTAACAACGTTTTACGACTTGGCCGCGTGAATAAACCGGTAACCGGAATTCGAATTTCCGTTTTCTCGTTTTTTTTTGAAACTACAGCAAAGGCGACAAGTCGGGCGACAAAACATCCCATCAAGGTCGTCTTTGATCGCCAAAGGCAATTTTTCAAATTTATTTAAATTTTTGAATATAAGTTTTGACGTAAAGTGCTTCACAGAGTAAAATAGGCAATGTTACACTTAAATTGTAAACAAATTTTAAAATATTTGAGTTTTATAAGCGTTACGTTGTAATTTCAACAAGCAATAAAACATTTTGCGAATTTTATAGTAAATCGGTCATTAAGTCATGGTAAAGAAATGTCAAAGTGAAAAATAAAAAAATTGTGAAAAATACAGCATTCAGCTTAAAACTATGTTTACAAAAAATATAATCATATATTAGAAAAAATGTTAAATTTGATTACACAAGGCCAAACGTAGGAAAATTTTTTTAGAAAATTGTATCTTCTCCTTTAGCACAAGGGTTTACATAGTTGAATTTTTAATACCTAAAATAAAAATTTTTTAAAATTTATGCTAAATTTTTAATATTAAACATAACAGTTTGAAAAAGCAGCTAAAAGTATTAAAAGTTTTACGCAGATTTGCATATTATTGTACACTAAAAGGAACAAAACTTTAAACAAATACACGAAGTAGTAAATCCTTAACTTTGACATACAATTATACTAAATTACCTTAAAATAAATAGGCTTCAGTATCATCAACATCAATGTATCAGCAAATACATCAACACAGTAAGTTTCTTAAAATAATAAAACATCAACTTGGCACAACGTACCTCCTTACGCGATTACGTTGCGGATGATGACAAAGAAAGATGAAAATCTTGAGATTTCCTGTTCCAAACAATACCTCAAGCCACGTCAAGGATTAGGAAACAACGTCGATGTATCTTATTTCCATTTGAAACATTATTTATGAAAAGACCTTCTATGAACGTCTTAATGCTACAGTGTGTACACAAATAAGTATATATGTAGACATGACGCTTCAACATATTAACTTTATGTATGTTGAGGTAAAAAATATACTAATATTTATTAAATCTTTCAAAAACAGCGAAAAACTTAAAATTTACTCTGTACTATAGTTTCTACTGTGACTTGGTTTCCTTAGATTTGGAAGTTTCTTTCGATTCCTTCGACGCGCCCTTCTTTTTGGACGATGAAGAAGATGACTTGAACGTTTCCTTGGGTTTGGCTGGTTGAGTTTGGACTTGTTCAACTGATTTCTCTTTCTCCACCTTCTCTACCTTCTCTGGCTACAACAATATCAAATTGAACGTTAATTTACGTTATCTTCTTTTTTAAAAAATTATAAAAAATTGTTTGAGAAGTTTTAAATATTGAAAAATACAAAATAACTTACTTCTTTTACTGGTAGCTTCTTACTGGTTGCTTTATCACCTTCAGCTTTTCTTTGCCTTAGATTCTTTTTTGATTCTTCTAAAGTTTTAGCAGTTATCTACTACAATATAACACATAAATAGACTTTTATATAATGGAAGAGCATAGTTAGTTTTTACAATAAACTCAAAATGTTCATTCCCAATTTATAAATGTTTACTACTTACCAGCAGTCGTTTTCTCTTTAGTACCAATCCAAACTCCAGTTTCATTCAGGATTTGAGCACGCTTCTTTCGTAACTTCTTCAGATTCTTGAGGTCGTACCGATAATAATATTGTACTACCTTCATCTTCTTCAACAAACACCTCTCTTTGTACTCGATTGAGGTGAAGGACAAGGTGATCATGCCTGTTATTACGGTCACAAATATTAATACCTAAATATTGAGATATCTCATCTTCTATCGTTCTAATGAACCAAAACTTTAAATTCAAAACTGGTTTTAAACTTCAAACATATTTCATTTACTGTAAGGTAAAAATAATAACAAAACCTACGTATGTTATGTAGACATTGATCTCTGGTTGTAGTAGTTCTTTGGTAACACATCTGTTTGTGGACGTATTGTAAATGTCTTCTATAGTCAAATTCTCAAGTGCATCCATTATATTGTAGCCTTGTGTAACTTATGCAGAAAAAACGAAATTCGTATGTCGACCGCGAATTGTAAAAAAAACAAAAAATATTTTTGATTTTGAAAAGAAAAAAATTTTTTTTGAAAAAAATTTGAATTTTAGAAAAAAACAAATAAACGATAAAAAAGCTACTATAATTAAAACTTTATTAATAAAAACAACTCAAACAATATAATGTTCGTAATGATATACCAGTAATGTAAAATATGTTATTATGCCACTTTTTTCAAACTCAATAAAGGTCCAACACTTTATCAACAACTTCTGATGTTATCAAACTGATTCAATGTCATGTCAGCCTGTTTGATCCTTCGCTTCTTGGTATGAATATGATGTGTTTTCTGCATTAAAAGGTAGATATAGCCAATAATCAAAGGGATCGACAAAAGAACTGCCATACCAGTCAAGAAGCTGGACCAACCAAATTCAAATGAGTGCCAAATCAAGCGGAATGATGCGAATAGGTAGATCAACATCGCCATTGACTGTAATGTAAATTGAAATGTTGATTTGAATATTATTACCTTAGAGAACGTAAAGTATAAAGTATAATAAATTTATATTAAGTGCTGTATAACATAATGCATGATACAGTAAAAGTTTTATTATGTGAGGACATACCTGTACCATAATGTAAAACGCAAAGTAGCTAGCTTTTTGTATCTTAATGGCAACAAGAATCGTAATATAAGCTGCAATCACCACTAATGCTCCCCAGAAGCCAGCAGTATTTCCATTCATGGTAGCTACCATCAAGTTTGCCATAGAGCTGATCAACAATGCTACTGTGGTATATAACACTACTTTCTGAAATTTATTGTTTAGGGTTTATAAGCCAAAACAATTAAGTTCGTATGTTACAATATAAAAAAACGTAAGGGATACCTTACATGAATCAAAAACTTTTTCTTTTCAGCCTGAGGACTTTTGGTAGCTGTAAACGCTTCTGAGCATGATACTGTAGACGAGCTCGGACTGATTTCACATGGCACTTCTGCTATTGTAGGGTCATCCATGACTAAAATAAGATAACCATTTAATTTTGACACTAATATGGCTGTCAAACACGATGTTTATTTATAACTATACCACGTTTTACTTTGTAAGTAGCTTTTGAAAACGTATTTTTGCAGCTCTTAAGCTGACCTTTACGAAATCTTTTTAGATTTGTCAAAAATATGATACAGATCTCTTTCATAAACAAACTCTCGTTATAGTCAACAATAGATTCAATCACAACAATGCTGTTTTATAAGAAAATCTCTATAAAAGAAGATATCGGTATAACAGAAGTTTTTAATGAGAAAATTTTTGCATAGGTAACGTTTAGATTAAAACACAATTATTTAGGTCTAAAAAACTATAAAAACCCCTGCAATCTTCATTTCAAAATACGACAAGAAGTCTTAACAAAATTGACAAAAACAAACTTGTAACTGACCATGTTACGCTCAAATCGATTCGGTAAACAGCGAAAAAGTTCCGAAAAACATTTTACGAAGGTAATTTCGTTCCAAAAAAGGTTGCTTTTTCGAGATTTTATCGCCTTTTTAATGAGATATTTTAAAATCTAAAAGATATGTTTACAAAACTTATTATTGACACACTTTTGACACAAAACAACACCTCAAAGCTTTAAAAATAGATTTTATATAAAGTTAACATTGGCTAACTCAAGTAAAAAGGAAAAATTAAACTTTTTGGTCTCTAAAACACCTTAAAAACCAGAAATTATACATAAATATAAAGTAGAATACTTAAATCTAAAGTTATGTAAACTTCACTTTATTCAAGAATCCTACAAAAGCTACGGAAGTTCGAAAGAAAAAAGTGTAAAAGTGAATTGGCTTGTGCGGGAAAACAGATCAATCTAAAATAATATTACCTTCACTTCTTTTAAATAAAACAGTTGCTTTAGTATGTACATACGGATTGGTTTTTGAGCCATTACGTCACAAAATTAAGTAGACAGTTAATGTAGAAATGGTCGATGAAAACATGGAATTTGAAAATATTAAAAGTAATTGTAACTCAAGGTACATAGAAAAGTATAGCTTTTTGATAAGTAAAATTAGAATAACAAGCATTAAGCATCTAACAAACGTTACAGTAGGTACGTATTTTATGTATATAGATGGTGATACAAAAATATGGTATTGTAACTACAGATAAACCTGCTCAGTATTAGGGGTGAGAAAAGGGCCGGGCCGGGCCCATTTTTTAGGCCCGGCCCGTTTTCAATTTTCTCTCAGGCCGGCCCGGCCCGGTCAGAAAATTTCTAGGCTCGGCCCGGCCCGTTTTAAAAAATTTAAAAACTTAAAAAATAAACGGAAATTTGGCTTTGCATTGTTCTTTTAGACCATTTATGTATCATGGTACCCAATAAAATCAAAAAACATCAACGGGGATTAAAATAAAAAATTTTTAAAAATTTAAAATTTTTTTGGGCCCGGCCCGTTTCAATTTCAGCTCAAGGCCGGCCTGGCCCGTTTCTCACCCCTACTCAGTATGGCACTCAAGAGACAAACTTTTCTTTATAATCAGGGTGTCACACTATTCAGGCTTGATATATTTTGTTAAAAACGTAGGGTTTTCACAGTAATATAATTGCTTCAAGGAAGTGTAAAAAATTACACCACAATGGTGTAGGGCTAAAAATGTAAATAATATTATTTTAAGCTTAAAGTGTAGTTCTTACTTTTACTGTTTTTTGTTTTTTTTTACTTTTCTTGATTTATAACATGCACTTGTGACTTTTTCTAATTACTGTCCTCCTTCTTATAGTTTCTAATTATACATTACATTAAATAAAGTTACAATGTTTTTATCATTCACTTATATATTGTACATTACAACTATAAACTGCATAAAAACAATGTTTGTAAGTGTCATTTCATATCAACCTTGTGTTACCATATTGTAAGACTATAATTACAAATAACATTCAGTTTGAAATTGTATTGTCTTGTTGAACTCAAAATACGAAGTTTTGTAGTAGAATGGTATAAGAAACATTGTTGTCTCATCGTAATAGAATAGTATTTGTTGTGATAACATCGTACTAACATTTCGAATGTTGTAAAATCGCTGTTAAAAAATCATAGTATTATAGTAGCATTGTGGTAGTACAATACACAGTATATTTTATAGTAACTTAATAATAAAAAACATTGTAGTATAAGCGTAGTAATCGTAGTACGTTACCAAAACTAGTTCCTACGCCAACGCTATTGTATTCCCACAGTCTGACGATGAAAGTTTAAAAGTACCATATGTAAAGCACAAACATCATGAATTCAAGTATTCATATTCAAATACAATATGTATTCTTACGTTTTTGAATTGTGTCATAGAATTAGTTTTACTGGCTACTTAGGCTACAGAATTAGTACGATATAAGTTTCTGACAACGGAATTTTGTGAAACACCCTGTATTTTTAAATATTTAAAAATTAATTTATAGAAGGAGCAGTGTCTATCAAAATTTAAAAACCGTACTGAAAAGTTGAGCCCAGCTCGTTACCGGTCAACTATGATGTTTTGTACTTTATTGTTTTCAATAATCTTAGAAAGGTTACATTTACTGTCATGTGTATAGCAAGTTACATATTCAGTATCGTACATAAGAGCTTTAATACTAGAACAGGTGAGCTTTGACACGTTTTCAAGTTTACTAGACCTTGAAGACTTTTAATTGTTTTTTTAATTGTCACGTCACTGTCGTATATATGTGTTATACTTTTACAAATTTTACGTTTCTTTAACTTCTATAAATTATAGCATTATAAAAGCTAGGTTTGTGTTTGTAATTACAGTGTTTTTACGTTAGGTATCGTATTATAATTACTATTATAGGTTTGTTTTTAGAGTTCTAGGAAGTGCATTTTAAAAGATTATTATTATACAGTTGAAAGTGAAAAGTTTATTTTCGGTTTAAGTGGTATCTATACTATATCGATTAAGCAACAGTTATAATCTTTTGACGATATACGGTAATTTAAAATACAGTATATGTAGAAATAGTTTTAAAAGTTTCGTAGACTTTTTATATGTACTTTTATTAAGAATTAGACATTTTATGTTGATACACTGCTTTATATCGTCTACAACATTAATAGTATATCATACATTTTATTGTATTCTTTGTATGATCTACGATTGTCTGTGTTGTGTAATAGTATGCTTAACAATAGTATAAATATAATCTTTATTTGAATATTTTTTAGCAGTAAACGTTAACTCTATATTAAGAATTGTCGTATGTTACAAACGCTTTTTAAAAATCTATTTTTAAGCTTTAACTCACAATTGTCGAGTTCAAAGTTAATTTTATTCCAAAAGTTGTAGCCGACCACTATTTTTGTATCACACTCGAGTTTGTCAAGCATTGTTCAAAACATATTTCAAGAGAAACGGTACGTTCTACTCTTACCAATATGCTGTCGGAAGGCACGTTGATACTGTATGTTATCGAAATGTTGGTGAATACCTTCGGTTTGATGGTTAGTATATTGTTCTTGTATGTTTTGACAAAGACAAAGTTGTTTTTGATTAATCAAAAACTATATTTGGCCAATATTATCATTGCTAACATTGTCACTATTATCAGTAGGTAAGACTTTTTGTGAATCATTTTTAAAAGCCATTTTTAGTTATTAAGACTAGGTTTTAAATCATTTTTTTAAAGTACGGTATTATAAAACTTCTGTATAATGAACCGCTTGAGAAATTAAAGTCTTTTTCATTATAAAAGAATCTTACTGTACTAAATAATTTGAATTTCTTTTCAGTTAATTGAAAGTGTTTTAGGTACCCAATAGTGATCCAATTACTATTTGAAAAAACTCTCTATGGTACGTACTTCAACACTAAAATAAATGAGATTCATGACTTGGCTGGAAGTGTCATTGTGAACATGATTGGTCAGCTTGTCATCTTTTTAGACGTTACTCTAGTCGTATTTGGCAAAGCCGACTTTAGTACTATCACATCTGTTTGCTTTTGTCTTTTACAGGTAAGTAAAGTTCCTCTGTCTAAAACAGAGGTACTCGTGACTCGATTAGTTCTCGTTTTAAACCTAATTTTGAAAATTGAAAAGTTTTGATTTTCAAAGTTAAAAGTATATGTTAAAGATAAGTTAATGTTGCAGTGGATTCTTGGCGAACTGAATATCTACTTAGGAGCTCTAAACATTCCCCCACCTTTGTACTCTCAAGCACTGATGGAATGCATCAACTTTATCTGTTGGATGGCATTTGCTGGCCTGATTTACATGGGTCGACTGAAATATCGACAGCAAACCGTTGGTGATGTCAAACACAAATACAAGGTAAGATATAATATATTGTGATTAGGTAATACACATAGATCTGGTATGCTTTTCCGTTGAGAGTAGCATTGCAAAAACTAAAATTTAAAAATGATAGTAAAAAAGTACCGTAATGTAGTTTACAAAATAATAATCACAAGCTGTAAAATGTACGTATAATATACATGTTTAGATCAGCATATCGCTTCGTACTCTAGCAGTGCTCAAGGTAATGGCTATTTGTAGCGCCATTCGCAACTTTATCTGTATAAATGTGATAATATTGTTGTATGCATGGATAAGACCAAAGTAAGTTGAACCTATAATTTCTTGTGCTAATTGAAAACATATGCAACATGTTCTGCACTTTTAAACCACAGTAATTTTAAAAAATATTGTAAAAAAATATTTTTTTGGCAATTTACAATAGTAAAATATTGAAGTAAAACAAATAATAAAGACGATTTACAGTAAAGACGTGGATGGTGAACGTATTGTGTCCTTCTTCTACGATTTAACACTGTCATTTTATGCCGCCGCTGTCCCATTTTTAATGGTACTCAATCATGAGGAAATGCACAAAACCTATATGTAAGTTGATATAATAGTCGCTCCGCTAAGCCAAGGATATTAAGATTCGTGTTTTAACCACTAAAATGTTATTCTATCAGTTTTGGCCTAAAACAGTATTGTTTTCATTTTAATTGTAACAATTTAAGTATTTTTTCCCACTTAAAACACTATTCATGTTTCAGTAAGCTATGCAACCCAGCAGCAAGAACCGAAATATCTTTAAAAAACTCGACCTCTTTAAATGAGACAAAGTTTATGGCACGGAACGTAGTAGGCGATGTGATAACGCCAGTAGCGCCAGATGAAGGTCAATTCTACTTCCAACAACTTCGAGCCGACTGGAATATCCGCAGGCTGTCAGTTCAACACGCTTCACCAGCCAAGAATCCCATGTTTCAAAAAGTTCATTCTATTCATTAGGATTTTGAATAAACTGTTACCTAAACTTGTAAGATAGAAGCCAAGATTTCAGACCCTAAACTGCGCAAATCATAGTTGTTACCTGAAATTTCAAAATAAAGATTCGGAACAAGTTGGGCAGGACAACCAACGCTTTCTTTTGATTCGTCTTCACCTTTTAGTGCCCTCAAACAGGAGAACTGTGTTGTGCTTGATGTTGAAGACGTCTTCTTGAAGGATAAACTTCTGGAATTGAACATCAATGCACGCCACCCCAAGTCGACCGATCAACTGGCATAGTTCACAGACACTTGAGAGTCTGGCAAAAAACGTGAAATACGTACGAATTCTAACAGTTTTTTCATCTAATCAAACGTTATTAAACTTTAATAATAACTTTATTTTTGATGTCATAACAAGGAAACAATGATAGTTTTACCATGTAATTAGTAAATAGGCTAAAGGTTCTAAATTAAAGTAATTAAAGCTTTTACAATCATTTAAGTTCATTACCATCATACACGGGTGGTAGAATGTTACTTTGTGACAATATACGTGCTTTACTGTAAAAATTGTTTCAAATATTGGTGTCATATATTTAAGTTATTTAAATCTGTAGCTTAGTATGTTCTGTTATATTATAAAGTTTTACCTTTTATTCGAATAAACACTATTAATATTATACACAAAATACGTACGCTTACGTATTTTGTGTATGTTTACTGTAAGGTCGGTTCGTACTTGTCTTATAATATAATATTAGTCACTACCTACTGAGTTTTCATGAATAAAACATTTGGACTTTTTTACCACACGTTTTGTCGTATATATTTACTGTTTATATACTCAAATGTCAGGGAAACATAACTTATTGTGCAAAAGCGTTTTCTACTGGCTGTACCATTTTAGTTTGGCTATTTATGTTATCTCATCATATATAATAAGAAAGTAGAAACTGTATTGCTTTACAGATACTTGTCATACTGTAATATGGGACATTAAAGTTTTTTCAGTTGTATTAGTTTGTTCAAATAATTCTGTGCTTTTCTCGAAACATATTCTTGGGAATAGGAGACACTGATTATTTTAACAATCTAATAATATAATTTTGAAATATAAAGTACGTTTATCTTATATAATAGTATTATACTTCCAAAAGTGACACAACGTTCAAATGTGGTACTTTCTCCTAATATAATATGTTCCTATATTAATTTTATTTTATTTAAATTCAATTTGCATATACCTTACCTCCGTTTCCTGGCACAGTATTCTAGGTAATGTTTCATATAGGTGTGCCAAAAAGTTTGTAGATTAACATTTAGTTGTTTTTAATTTTTAACTTTGAAATTTTACTATATCATTTAGATAATGTTACAACCGACAGAAATCTTCTTATATGTACTGGAGATGTTGCTCAATACATTTGCATTTTGTGTCAGTATATTGTTTTTGACAGTACTATGGAAGACAAAACTATTTTTACGAAATCACAAATTTTACATATCTAATGTTGTACTAGCTAACATGGTCACTATTCTTACACGGTAAGGTTCAAGTGCTACTATCATAATATATGATGCTATTCTGAATTCAAATGTTAAAAATATAAAAATCTAAATTCATTTTGAAGTTTTAAAATCATTCTTTTACTAGTCTTTTAGAAGTCCACTACTATTTCAAATCCTCGCTGAACAAGATCTGTGTTCAGATAAAGTAAATAAAGTTCTGAGCCGAATACATGACCTGGCTGATAGTGCCAATATCAACATGATAGCACAGTTGGTCATATTTGCTGATGTGATGGTAGTAATCTCAGGAAAGGACGAGATCAGCTTGTTTTGGGCCGTATTTCTTTGTATTTTACAGGTTAAAACATATAATTATATGTTGACGTCACACAAATAAGCGTTAATTTCGAGTATTTATTATACTTACTGGATCTTTTTTATTTAAAGGTCTATATTATTTTTATGTTGTCATAAAAACATGTTTCAGTGGGCATTGGGAGAAGTTCATATGCTGATGGGTGACTACAACTTTCCCCCGCCCTTGTACTCGTTGAGTATCATGGAGCTGATGAACTTTATTTGTTGGCTAGCCTTTTTTGGACTTGTATATGTTGGTCGGACCAAGTATCGGCATCAGAAAGCGGGCCACGTCAATGATAAGTACAAGGTATGGTTTTTTAATAAAAGAAAGATTTGATTTAATGAAGTCTTTTTTAACATATAAGGTAAAAGCAGACTTCAAAATATTTTTAAAGTATTATAATTTCATCTTGTAGCTCAGTGTATGTCTTCGCACATTCGTTGTACTGAAGGTAATGGCAGTTTGCAGTGCCATAAGAAACTTTATCTGCGTTAATGTGGTCATATCGTTATTTGCATGGATTTTCCCAAAGTAAGTTTCTAGCTTGGCAACTAGATAACAAAATTTTAAGCGTTAGACTCTTAATATAAATAACACTATAAGGTATACCAATATACCACTTTCTCCAATTTTTCGTAATTGTTACAGTAATGACAAAAACGCTCAACGACTAATATCATTCCTCTACGATCTCACAATAGCCGTATATGCAGCTGTAGTGCCATTTTTAATGATATGGAGTCACGAAGAAATGCAGCGAACATATGGGTTAGAGTTTACAGTTTTTTAAATAATTCATGGTCAAATTTTCTTTAAATTCTCGCAAAACTCAAGCTTACGGATGTTTTAGACGACTATGTTCACCTACAACAATATCTGAAGTTACGACAATCTCTCAACAAACCTTTGTCGCCAAGAATGTTGTTGGAGATGTGATAACAAATCCAAGTGCTCCAGACGAGACAGTCTACCGTTTCCAAGAGCTCCAGAACAATTGGAATACCAAAAGACTATCTGCAGAACATGTGTCACCACATAGCAAGCATCCAACTCAACGTGCTGTTTCTGTCGATCCTTTGGTTACTATATATAATCCAAAAGCTTAACTTACTGTATATTATGTCATGCTAGTGCATACCAATGTAATTTCAATTTACATAAATAATAAAAGACTTGAACTCTTGTAAATAAAAAAGATATCACATTACACATGGCTTCAGAATCCATAATTTGAAGCCTAATTGCTTCAAAAATTAGAAACAAAGAGCTCCCTGAAAAAAGATAATTTCTCGTTAAAAATGACGGCTTTTCTGGACGAATTTGGCTAGCGAATTGATAAAGTATTGATGATTGGTTGCTGTAATATATTATAATTAAAAAATATTACATGGTTTGACTATTATCAGCTGGCTTTTTTGTCTGATTTAAGATATGGTATTGCTAACACTACTTGTAATGTTAACAAGTACAAAGTGAGAGTAAAGAATGCTTTTATCAACACAATTGCAACTCAGCATGTCATCGTACTCTGGTTGTGTCAAAGGTGGTGATATTATATTGGCATTATAATATAGGATAGTTTCAAAAGATTGTTTTGTAAATTCTGCTACATCAATAAAGCTCAAAATTGTAGTTGAAGCTAATAAAGATATCTAATGAAAAAACTCAGATAATGTAGTTAAGATAACACGTGCTTCTACCATCTTTTAATTGTAAATACAACTATTTATGAATACAATTAGACAAATAATGTCACAAGGCTGTTAAGTATTGTTATTGGAATAAAATACTTCCGTTTCGGCTAGTTTTACAGTTTAACGCTACTTTAGAAACATGTCAGTTGGATCTTTATATTCGAATTGGTTGTACTTCACGGTACAATTAAAGTTGTAACAGTAGTTTGTATACGAAGTTGTATAAAAGAGATTTCTTGCATTAAACGTAACATATCTTATTGATTAATATAACTTACGACATTTCTTTAAACGTTTTTCAATTTTTATGGCTTTTAAATTCGAAAAAATAACTTAAATTTCAAGCTGTAGATATGTTAATTTTGCTATCAATCTTTACTACCTTTTCTATATAAAACCCTTTGTATTTAAAGGTCAGTCAATTTGTGTAAATACCAAAGATTAGTTGTGAGTTGTAACACCTGTACCCTATTGGTGTCACGTCTCCAAAATTAATTATTCTTGTTCTAAACGAGTAATGTAGTGATATTGAAAAACAGGCTATGTTTTGACAACTTGATATTATATTTGTCGCCTTATTCTTATTGTTTTTATTAAGCTTAGAAGACTGCTTATGGTTTGTTATCATTTTCATATTGCATTTTGTTTTAGCTATTATTAATTATTTTGGGTCTACGATACATATAGTGGCCAGATGGCAAGGTATAGGTCTAAGACGGGGGAGAGGAGCAGACCAAGCAGAATGCATTAGAAGATATTGCTTTGAGGCGGTAATCAACTCACACTTTTTTCGAATACAGGAGAGGTAAGACGTTTTAAAAATTTAAAACAATTTTAAATTCTATTACGGTTATTATTGTGGGTTCAACTGCACGAAGAGCGCCATTATCTAAATATTTTGCATTTCTAATATCATGATATAATACTATACAACTTGTACTTATATAAGGTTAGTAAAAACAGATTATAATACAGCTTAAACCGGTGGTAAATATCAAAACACTTACGTGTAATGATAGTCACAAAATAATATACGTACAGCTAACGCCTGGTAAGCCTTACTGTATTCAATACGTTTAGTATTGAAAACCTTGTTCAAGTACGTTAATAGACCTGAAAAAGAAAGTGTACATTAGTTTGTCAAATATTTATAATTTTGAGACTTTTTACGAAATTTAAAAGTTCTTACAGTACTCAATTACTGTAATATTCACGAGTTGAACATGCATATCAATTTTTAAGATTATTTTTAGATCAAATTGTTTTTGCAGTAACATACCTGTTATGCTTTATTAAATTAAGCATAACAAGTTGTTTTGGGTTTTTTGTAATAGTCAGTTGGACACAAAGCTCTTTTGTATTTTATCTTAAACGTGGTTTACTGAGAAAGCGATATTAAGATAAATGGTATTATACTTTTTAAGAAAGCTATCACATTGTATTCTCTTCACTTTACGACAGTACAAACGTTTTACTAATATAGAGTTATTTATAGTACTGTACTTAAAGTGGTATATATTTTCAGATTTTGACTATATTTTTTACTGTTAATGTAAGTTAAAAATATTGTGGCAAAGTTTAAAAATAGTTTCTTAATTGGTTCAGATTTTTAGTTTACACGGTACTTTATACCTTCAGTAACATGCAAATGTGTCGGAAGTACAATATTTACTGTCAAATGAAACTTGATACAAACTTTAAATACAACTAAAAATATTGAGTACAATTTGAGTTGTATTGTTTCACATCTTATTCAAATATTTTGTAATTCACACCTTTTTACATGGTAATTTATAGCTTTTACATTCTAATCAACACCTTTTACTTTGCGTACATACAGTATTCGAATTCATAAAATATATATAATGATATAATATTTTTCATGTTGTAATTACAGCTTTACCAACCTTTAACAGGTTTATACACATCTCTGCTCCATCTTATCTTACCTATTGAGGGTTTGCTAGAAAGTGGGAGGCGGTACTGTAATTAAATTATAGTTAGGTAGTTACAATGTTATTTAATTTTTGAAACTTTGGTGTAAGAAAAAACATATAGGTGCAAGCTGTGTATGCTGCGTCGGCGTTTGAATGTTAAATTGGTATGGTAATTTGATTTTGAGTAGATTTTTTAAAAAATAATTAGTTTATATTTGCTGGGTTATTCTGTACAGAGGCCTGCCCAGCCAGTTCACATTTGTTCAGGTCGGGATGGGCCTAGTGGGCCTTTGTTTCGGTATGGTTACTCATGTCAAAACATGTAGTCTTATGCGTAAAAGCTTGTTATAATTTTTTCTATTTTTTATTACAAATGATGTTGTAAAGCATTACCTTTACAACAAATTTTACAAAATACTTTTACCATTGTAATTTTTTGTAATTGCAATACTGATTCAAATTGATTTTTTGTAAATCAGTTTACAGTTTTACTTCTAACGTGTTTTATTCTATATAACATAATTAAAGGGTTTTGATATAACACTACGATATTAATTGTGCCTGTCCTCATAACTATAGATTCTGTTATAAATAATTTTTATGTTATCATACTTGTTGCGTATCATATAATATTAAGTTAAAGGAAAGTGTGTGGTTACATGATATACCTACCGATATTACAATAGTTGTAATATGTAATTAAGTTACACCTACCCTTTTTACAGTGTTTTGTCAATTTATAAATTGTAGAGATGTAACTCAAGTGCTTTGAATGTACTACTTTAATTAGGTATGCATATCTTATCTTATTAGACTTACAGTGTATTACTTTGTATATGTATGCATAACGTTTACAATTCTATATATATCACTTTTTAAGAAAATTTATTTTAACAACACTGTTATAGGTATTTAACATCTACTGTATTTTTATGACTGTTTTTGTCGTTTATATAGTTACAACTGGTTATATCGTTACAGCATGTTGTATTTTTAATCGTGCAATACTATTTATTTTTTAAAGCTTTTGTTACTATGTACGATGATTTTTATTTTAGAAAATGTTACAACAAGCAGAGATATTACTGTATGTAATTGAAATGTTGATAAATACTTTTGGGTTCTTTGTCAGTATATTGTTCTTAACCGTATTATGGCAAACCAAGTTATTTCTACGCAATCACAAGTATTACTTAACTAATGTCATACTAGCTAATATGGTCACTATTTTCAGCCGGTGAGTGTGGGATTACTATTGAAATAACGGCCTGTCAATATTTTTTGTTGAGAAACGTAGTTCATTATAATAATATTGCAATTGCACTACTCTATAAGTTATGACTTATTGTTTCGTTTTAAAATTTAAAATCAAAACTTTGCTTCTTCAGGTACCCACTGTTATTTCAAATTTTAACAGAGCAAAAGTTGTATTCAGAAGGGTTTAATCAGTATCTAAATCAAGTTCACGACTTAGCTGATAGCGTAGTTATAAACATGATAGCACAGCTGGTTATATTTGGAGATGTCACTGGTGTTATTATGGGGAAAGAGGAAATCAACCTGTTTTGGGTTATATTTTTGTGTATTTTGCAGGTAAGGCAGTTTTCATTGTTTATAAAATTTTATTTTTAAATACAACATTGACTTCTAACAAAACTGTTAGGTTGTTCAAATAATTATGTGCCTTTCTTCAAAGCAAATTTTTGAGTTTATTTAACATTGAATTATTTAAACAACCTAATATATCTTTTTACAATATTTCTATTGTTTACATTTGTCTTGCTCGTGTTGTATAACAGTACAATGCTACTTTTAGTGGGTATTAGGAGAAGCCAACATTCAAATGGGAGCTGCTAACTTCCCTCCGCCATTGTATTCTCTAGGTATTATGGAGTTTATGAATTTTGTCTGTTGGCTAGCCTTCTTTGGACTTATCTACATGGGGCGGGTCAAATATCGACAACAAACTGTTGGTCATGTTAATGACAAATACAAGGTAAAAAAGCTTACAATAATGTTAAAACTGTTATTTTAAAATTTTTGAGTAAACATTATAATTTAAATCGATTTTTTAAAAATTTTTTTAATAAAAATTTCAAAATAAAATGTTGACTTTAATGTCTTGTTTTAGATTAGCGTATGTCTTCGTACATTAGCTGTACTAAAAGTAATGGCTGTTTGTAGTGCTGTAAGAAACTTTATCTGCGTTAATGTCATCATAGCTTTGTTTGCATGGATACGGCCAAAGTAAGTGATATAAAACTACCTTAACAGCGTAAACTTATAGTGGACAACCTTTTAAAAATAATTTTAGGCTTGTATACGTGAAACTTGTATGTACTTTTTCATTACATTATAATACTATACTTATAGTAAACGGTAGAGTAATATTTATACGTTTCAGCAAAGACATTGATGGTGAACGTTTCGCCTCTTTCTTCTACGACCTTACCTTGGCTATTTATGCAGCTTTAGTGCCGTTTCTGATGATATGGAATCACGAAGAAATGCAGCGGACATACGGGTATGTTAACATACCTCACTTATCTTATCATACCCTTAATAAAAAGACATTTTAATCCCACCAAGCTTAATTGTTCAGATGTTTTAGACGGATTTGTTCTCCAAAGATGGAGTCTAAGACCGAAGTAACTACAACATTTACTGAGCAAAAGTTTGTGGCCAGAAATGTGGTCGGAGATGTGATTACCAACCCGAGTGTTCAAGATGAGACCAGATACCATTTCCAACAGTTACAGAGTAATTGGGACACAAGACGTTTGTCAGTACAAGCTTTGGCAGAACAAAGGAAAGATCCTATGTTTATTAAAGTGTTACATTCGATACAATGACAATGGTGCATATTAGGGTGAAAATTGATAGAAGGGTTACTGATAGATGTTTGTTACGGTTTTTTACATTGTTATGGTTGTGTTTATAAGCAAAATAACTTTGCTGGTACTGTTTATTGTTGATTGTTTTATCTTTTACGGGTAATAAAATAATATCTACTGTAACAACTTTTTTTTAAAAAGTTTGGCTCTTCTTACTTTCTCTCTTCGGCTCCTCCTTTTTAATGCATATTATCCCAATTTTAAATTTAAAACATTCGAAAACCACTTTAAAAACAACCAAATTACTCACAGTTCCGCTTATTAACAGCCTTCTTATCTACATTCATAGCCATCATAAACACGTTTCAAATTTAAAATTACTCAGTGAGTAAACAATGATGACTAATACATTGTCAATTTTGAAAAGTTTGTCAAGTACTTGTAAAACATAACGGTCGCGTTACCTTGAATGGTATCTTGAGAGCCCTTGATCAATGCCAACTCTTGTCGCAGTATATTCTTGTTCATACATACGATGCGGATCGTATATAAATAATGCTTGGGGTTTGATCTCTTTGAACGGAGGCTTTGTATTTTAGTTTTAAAAAGAGTTTAAATTTATTTTTTAAAAATTCTTTAAATTTTAAAATTTCGTTAAAGTAGGGTAGGCTAGAGTAAATGCTAGAGTGAATAAGTTATAAAAGAAAGTAAAACCTCTGTATTTGCAAAAAATTTCAAAATCTTTTTATTACACCGCTTTCTATCACATAATAACCTTATAAATATCTTCACATTTGCGTCACATTCTATTCGTGCAACATGTACTTGTTGTTATACACATTGCCAACCTTAACATGGCCATCAATTTTACAAGCCTTTTGCTATGTTTGGAAACGCGCAATTTGATGAAAACATGACAATTTTATACTCCATGAACATTACTTTTTATTCGACTTTATGGCCCCGCAGGGCCTTTGGGTTGATTGACTTGAATGCATGTTTTATAACGTCTTTCAGAGCCATTTCTTTTCACTTTATTTAATTTGGGATAGGGTTGTGCAGGGGTACTGTTAACTTTACACTGTACTTTTGTTACTGTATTTTTGGATAATTTTGAAAAACACATGCTAGGGGCATTTTATGTTTTTATATACAAAAAGGCTCTGTAATGTAGCTTGCCATGAATTAATATATACAGTTTAAGGTTTTAAAATTTATATTTTGAAAAGTGAAGTTTTAAATTTTTTAAGGTTACTGTAATTTTTAACAGAATTGTACTATTTTACCTCATTTTGTATCTTCATAGGTTCTTCTAAACCAAAATTTGTTGTTAAAAATATATAATTTTGGCTTAACCCAAACCCTGTTTCACTCGTGTTTCTGGCCATTTATCCAGAAAAAGTAGTTAAAAAGACGAATCGCTTCGAATTGGTTGGCAAATCTGTTTTCCGAACAGATTTCAACATCTGTTTGTCATATCAAAGCGGCATATTTTATGACGCCAGATAAACATCACGATATAATAGGGCCTTCTGCCTTCCAAATTCTATTAAAAACACTTGGCACAGTTTGAATTCGAGGAGTATTGACAGGCTTGGCACGTTTGAACTTTTCAAAACATCTTTAAAAATAAATATTGGTTTTTCAGTATAAAATACAAATAAAAAAAGTTAAAAGCTATTTCCTGTAAGGTAAAATACGAAAATAATGATAGTTTTTCAAAGTAAAATACGTTTATAGCAATTTTCGCAGTATTTTTGACAGTTTTATTTGGTTTCGAAGGTTGTGAAAGGTCATAAAACCTATAACTATCACGTTTTTAGTTGATTTTATGGCTTGATGGCTTTAGAAACAACAAAACAATTTATATATTAGTATTAAAAGGGCATTTTAATAGCTTTTATTGCTTAGGATTTGATTACAGCTATGATAAGTCAGATCTATTTTTGTTATAATTAGACCTGTAAAACGTCAGGGTCCTATTCTTCGGTTCGGCTTTCTGGCCGAGCTTTGGTTTGGGCTCCGGCTTTCTGGCCTAAATGACCAGACCCGGCCTAGCTTTTTCAAAATTCGGATAGGCCCTTCAGCCCAGCCCGAGGCCTGGCCTAGTAAGCCTCTTTTCAAATCTAATTACAATCACTTTTCGACAAAAAAAAACAAATTAAAATTTTTTTTTATTTTTTGATATATGATTTTTGTGTTTATGACTCACGACCATTCGTTTTCTTGTTTCGAAACGTTTGTCGTGCCAATTCTTCTCCCAATTCCCAGAATAGAAAAGGACCTTTTGGCAACAAATCTGTTTTCCGGCCTTGTCATGGGACAAACAAGCCTGTGACATGATCAATTGAGTTATACTTGATATAACGACAGCCCAACGTTTCACCGTGATGTATCACTGTGAATTTTGTTGTTTTGGAAAGTTGGAGGTCGGAGAGGTTTTAGAATGATGACATAAAGTACTGGTTCAGGACGTACTACTGTATATGTAGAGCTGACTACTGTATATATAGGTCATAGTAGAAAAATTGACTTTTGTATACATAGGGCGTCCTACTGTATAGTATAGTAAAAATGGCATTATTGTTTTTTGCCACAGTTAATGAGATATCTACTATAGTATTTCATGCTATATTAACATGGAAGTACTGAAATAACAGGTTAATCTTTGAGTTTTGCACTGATATTATTGTAAACATGCTATTTTTACCCTTCTTTTACTATGTTATGTAGCAATTATTCCGCGCCGTAACACACCATTTCCAAGTCACAAGCTTACCAGATTTACAGCCTACAACAATATATTACACTTTCACAACTATCTGTCCCCAAAATGCAGTTTATAGCCTTAAAAACATGTTGTTGATATCTAATTCTGTGTCGCAGTAAATTTAGCTGTATAATGGTGTGGTGTTACTCATGTTTGTTTATGTTTTTTGCTCTTTAATGCACTCTGTAAAGCAGTTTATTTACGATCTTTGAGCGGAAAATAGTACGACATGTGAGCACTTACATATACATGTTGTTATCGGGCTCTATAGGAAGTAGCTTTTCTTGTTTCTTAACGTTTTATGGTTTGAAAAGTGTTTAAAATACGAAATATTTGTATTTTTTGATATTTTGAAGGAGTATTTGTATTTTAGAAATGGGCAAATAATTATATCTTGCCATTGTAAAGCTATTTTAAGCTTTTCCTTTTAAATTTAAAAATGTCAGGAATTTGAAAATGGTATTTTTATCCCTTGTGGTATATAAAGAGCTGTTTTTTGTTTGGAATCCCATTGAAATTGTTCCGTGAGCCATTAAAATGACTTTGAAAAGTTTGAGCGACCAAACATCGAAATGACCATTTCTTTCTTTTGCTGGCTAATCCATAAACAAAGCTTGGCCGGCTGCCAAAATGAAATTGCTTATTTTGAAAGAGATGAACGAGATATTTTCCTTTATTAATATTGACACATTCCGTGAGGGAATAGGGGCATAATATAGTGTTTTTATGAAGGATAATATCAGCTGATGATGTATAAGAGTAAGATAGGCCTGTAAAAGAGTCGGGCCTAATTTTTTGGCCTGACTATTTTCAAATTTGTTTTTTGCATCGGGCCGGGCCTAGTAGACCATCTTTCGAGTTTAAAGTAAGAGAAAAAAGGTTCCAGTAGGTACTTGACCTAGCTTCTATGGTAAGCCATAGAAGCTAGGTCAAGTTACTAACTAACTTTTTAGTAATAGCATGTCATAACAAAGTAAAAAAGTAAAATTACTGTTTTTAAAAGCCAAAAAGTGAGTTTTACTGCAAAGTAACTTGACAAAACAGAGTTTTTTGCTCAAAAATAACAAAATTAGACTTGACCCAGTAACTCGCTGTTCAAAGATGAAGGAAACCGGTTTCAGAGGAAATGAAACTCGCTTAAGAACAACAATAAACAAGATAGATGCTGTATCGTTCAGTATGCCTAATGAGTTAAGCATGGTTTTGAAATAACGTAACATAGATATTTATAGTCAGTAAAAGAGTAGAATAGTCAGTTTTGTAAGCCTTGAGCTAGAGGGTGATTTAGTTTATTTTTAATATTTTTAAGTAATTTTTAGGCAAAAGTTTGGTACTAGTCAGTATGTTTGATGCAGTATGCTTAGCTACCCACGATAAGCAAAAACCTGGGGGTTTACCTAAAAATTCTTAAAAGATTTGGTAACAAACATTTGAGAAGATGTTGACCTTGAGATAGGCGATCATGTGACTCATCAAACGTGAGGTAAAACGAAAAATAGATTTGAGAGAAAACAGCCTCAAATTACACGTAAGAAAGAAAGCTTAAAACTTTTTTTAATTTTTGAACTTTTTGGTTTATTTTTTCTTAAAATATTCAAATTTTTCATGAAATTGTACTTTTAAAAACAAAAAAACGATACTCTTAATTCTGCCTTTATTTTATGACTTAAAAATTTTTTCTTTGATTTTTTACACGGTATTTTAAAATTATGGGAAATATAGTATTATCATACTGTAATAATATTCATAATCAAGCAATACAATCTTGTACTGTAGTCGATTCATATAGTAAAAGAAGTTGCGCGATTTATTTATTTACTCAGTAGAAGTGAGTACTTGAGTGTTCGACACTTGTAGTGAACGTATTAGTTTATTATAATAGTTATACAACGTTTTCATTGTGTTTTACAATCAAACACTTAAGTGACTAGCTGAAAAGTTGAGTTTTTCATTGAAAAAAGTTTTAAAAACCTGACTTTTTAAATTGTTTTAGGGCTTGTTTTAATAATAATGACAGTTTGTGATAGTAATATTGATCTTTCTTTACTAAAGACTGTACTTTGTTACTCTGCACTTTGCAAAACCTACAACACTAAAATAATTTATTGTTTTTGAGCGTCAAGTGTACAAAAAAACTAATGTTTAAGGACTAAAACGTGCAAAAAAGTAGGACAAATGCAGTATGTTACTCTGAATTCCAAAGATATTGCACTGCCGATACTCGAAATTGTTTTTGTTTTGCATTTTCAATTACTTTTTTAATCAACAACTCGGACAATGAACTGAAAGCGATGCCAAAAATACATTCCGGATGTCCTTTAATTGGTTACGAGGCCAAGAAACGTTGGGGCCACGCCCATCGGCACATGACATTCGTAAACAACGATCTGGCCAGAGCCTTTCTTTTTGTACTATTGCTTTTTTTAGGACTTATATCTTTCTAAATTTGGTCTTGGAGCTTTTAGTTCTTACTTTTAGGTGTTAGTTTAAAAAAATTTAAAGAAAATATTATTTTAGGTAACAAGTCTTGACTTGTTTCCATCTTAAACGCGTTAATTTAGGCCTAAAGCTTTTCTTATGCCTCTCATTTTCTAAACATCTTTCTACATCTGCTACCTTCTTCGATTACTCATACTCTTTCGGATGCGTTTACCCCGCCTCCTTCCCCCTTCCCTCCCCCGACCGGTTGTTTGTGCCCATTAAGTCGGGCCCGATTCGACCGAAAAAGATGACTTTTGAAAGCTGTTGTGATCAAATGTTTTGTTTGGAGATGAATGGGTATTCAAACGGTTAAGTATAGAGTGATCTAGGGGGATAGTTTGGGTCGTTATAGGGATTTGGCGGGGGTATTTTGGAAAGTGCAAAGGGTAAAAGGTAATAAATAAAGGGTAAAAGTCGATAAAATTTTACTGGACAACGTTTAGACGGTATTGTCTCGTAGTTCTTCTTCAATTTTACTGTTAGGCTTGGCTACAGGCTTAATTTCCGGTTGTTCATATAATTCTGTGCCCCCCTAACCACTCAAATTTTGGAGGGGGGCATAGAATTAAGTGAACAACCTAATATTATAATTCTAACTGTTATATATCACTTCAATAGAAGCTTCTACAAACGTCCCAATTCATATATTAACCAGGAAAAACAGTTCTGTCGAGTAAACATGTTTTGTATCCGTTTTAATAATACCAAATATGATGAGCGAGATATTTAGTGCATCGTTTGTTTCAAAACGTAAACAAAGTTGTTAATATACGAAGCTTTTTGTAATATTAAAACGCGATGATTAACATTCTGGGCTATTTAAAATGAGCAAACGCTTTGTTTATGTTATTGTATGACTGTGTTTGGTAGGGCTAGTATGTTTTTGTAAAGGTGAAGTTGTAATGCTTCTGCTGACCGTGTTATAGGGGGATTATAGTATGGTATATCATAGTATAGCTTGGCATAATAATTGTTATAAAAGTGCTACTGTTGGAGTAATTTTTGATCTACTATAGCTGTATTAGAATTAGCCACTATAATATACTATGATTTAATTAAATTAATGATTTTTAATACAAAAGTTACTTTTTAACGTTTTTAATTTAAACGCGCAAGAACTTTGTTTACAAACAAAGTAAACGCCAAAAAGTCATAAAGTCTTTGGCCGAATATATGGGCAGAGTAATATATTATTCGACGAAATTACTTTCCAAACGAATTGTGATTAATGACAGCCCATCACATGTTTTTCTTTGTTGTAAACTAATTCCCTTCCCTTTCAACCTTGAGTTTTGTCCTTGATCCGAGCTGAAAGACGCTTCTCTTTCCTTTACCATGCTATTTACTATGTAATTCTGGCATGCGAACACATAGATCGTCGTTTTCCAAAAGTGTATCTGAATGTTGTTTTTGTTGTGAAATCTACTTTTTTGTTTAGGGATGATTGAAAAAGTGTTTTTACGAATAATATTGAGCCATAATCGGTGTTTTAGCGTTTTTAAAAAGTTTTTAGGTAATAACTGGCCAAAACTATAATTTCTGTCTTTTTTAAACTATTTAACGCGTTAAAAAATATTATTTTATATTAAAATAGCATATTTTGAAAGTTACTGCTAAATAGACAAAAACAAAAAAAATAAATTTTGTTACCTAAAAACGTATCGAAATCTCGTAAAGCAATTTTCGCTTTTTTGAAATGTCGTAAATCACATTTTTAATGTCTTAAACATTACAGCGTCTTTTTACCATGTGATTTCGGGCCGGGGCGTGGCCAAGCCTTGGAAGTGCCCAGTTTGTTGACACAAAACCCACCAAAACAATAATATTTTTCGCGTTTTTCGGGTAACCTTCTCCTTTCCCGGGCTTTCAATTGTTTTTTGATGGGATTTTCGAAAGTTTGGACTTTGACAATTCACAAGTCTTATATTTTTGAAGTTTAGGTAATAAAAAGTTTATAAATCTGAAAATTTCGAAATTTTTGATCTAAAAAATATGAAAAGTTTATTGTTTATTTGACATTAATACCTATTTTGAGTTTTCGCTTATTACCTTGTTTAATATCGTGAATAATATCACTTTCAAACTACAATAAGGTTATAATGTCATCTTATTTTTCAGTGTATTACCTCCAAAACCTACATTAACAAGTTGATAAAATGGCCGCGTTGAACACTGTCTACTTGACCACCAACCGTGGTATCATCAAGATCCTACAGATCATCATCGGCTTCATCATCTGCTCCTTGTTGTGCGCCAACTGGTACGGCGGACGCAGTTGCTTCGGCGAAGGCCGATTGGGATACGCCAGCGGACTGAACTTTGTCGTTGTCATCATCAACATCGTCTTGTTCATCTTGAACTTTGTCAACTTGGCCGCCTTCAAATTGGTGAGTGTTTTGGGTTATGATATTATGAAATGGCTCGTGGTTTAGATTAGGAGATGTTAGAAAGGATAATATAATAGAAGAACATTCCTTGAGGCGGTGTTGACAGTTTAGAAAAACAATTTCGAAATTTGTTTTAAAATGTGAAATTTTTTAGTATATGTCATTTTAAACTTATTTTATTATTTTTCAGGAGCGATTGTACTCCACCGTGTGCACGGTCCTCTTCCTGATCGCCGGCGGTCTCCTGATCTGGTTCATCATCGACCACAACAACCAGCGCGGCTGGTTGGTGGCCTCCACCGTGCTCATCTTCGTCGAGTTCGTTCTGTTCTTGTTCGACGTCAAGATCCTGAACGGAGAGATCTCCAACTAAACCAATGTAAAGTAATTGTATGTCTCTTGTTATGACAAATTCGATTTTATTCTCAAAAATCTCTAAACTTTCTGTCCAGTAGCTGGCTTACTGCATTTTTTGGAAACAAAGTTTTTGCGGTTCAGCGTTTCAAATTTTAAATTTACATTTTTTGTTGAAAAATTTTAAAATTCAATTTCAAGGTTTTTTTCAAGTTAAAAAAAAGTTTTACAAAAACTTTGTTTACAGCCAGCTAATTCGAACTCTGTCCATATTGTCTTAATATTATTGTAAGCCTAAAGCTTTTGAGATTCTTTAGTTTTTTGTCGCAATTTTTGTAAATTTTTTGTTTTTAAAGCTTAATAAACGATAAATTGGAAAAAATATTGTTTTTGAATATTTAAAAATTGGGCATTGATTACAGTAGATTTAAGTTTAAAATTAATGAAATTGGATTTTACATTTTTAGACCCTTATGAAAAGAGTGTTTAAACGGAAGTGATTTGTGATTAAACCACATTGAAATGAAAAAAGTGTTATCATAGTAGAAGCACAACAATCTTAAAAGACAATGTGTCAATCACAAGTCCAAAAAAGTTGAAATGAGTTTATCAAAAAGCAAATTTATGTACTTTAGAAAGTTTGTTTTAAATTGTTTAAATTTTTTTAAATTTACTATGTTCTTGGTTACTGTAGGAATTTTAAAAAGAATTTATGAACTTGAGTTTTTATCAGCTATTTTATTTTGTTGAGATGATGTATTATATAAGGCTACTCAAATACATTGTTTTTTTTATAACACAGATCAACGGATTTTGCAGTAAAAACAGCTGATCTTACACTTGGCCATATAATCTTCTTGGACCGAAGAATGAAGCGCAAGATTTATAACAGACGCTTTACAGCTATACCTTTGATGTTCTGTCATTGTGCGTTATATTCTGATCACAAAACTTATGCCATAAATAATATTTTACTATACTTTTAGAAGTTATATTATCTGCAATGTTAAGGTGTCAAATATTGATATTTATAATAACGACGGTAAATGTAATTACTGCCTTGGATATAGAACTAGTACCTGTAAAGCCGCGTCATCGCTTGAAACGAGGTATTCTTTGGTCTTGTTAGTTTTGGCTATTTTTTTAAATACAAAATTTATTTTTTATTTTACTATGTTTTACAAAAAAATGTACTTTGATAGATCAAAAATAGTTAAAAGTCCCGTTTTTTACATTTTAAAGTTGAAATTTTAGGTACAAACTCGACAGTAACAGTTGGATTAGAGAACAATTACAATGTTCGCTACGTTGGCAAGATTGGTGTAGGTACTCCACCTCAAACGGTCCAGCTTGTCTTTGATACTGGCTCTAGTGTATTTTGGGTGCCTGAACATAATTGTAAAAGTACTGGGAAACCTCAAATTGCCTGCAGGTACAAGTCCAAGACTTACGATCCAAAGAATTCGACCACTTCAAAGTTATTGTATGTTCATGGTCTGAACGTATCGTACTCCTTGGGCAAAGCTTATGGTGATATGAGACAGGATACGTTGTGGGTCAGTTAGTTAAACTAGGCTTAATCTAAATGCAGATTTATAAAAAGTTTCAAAAAATATTGTTGTATTGCTTAACTTAATACAAGTTTTCACTTTTGATGCCGTGGTATTAAACCGTGGTATCATCAACTTAACTTATTGTAAAGACCTTTTTGTGTCAAGAAACCATTTTTAGATAGGTTCTTCGTATAATACGCACAAAGTACCCAATTTTAAATTTGGCTCAATGTATAAAATACACGATTTGGACTTTGGAATGCTAGGCCTAGCTCCGAAACGGCCCACCACCTCTTACTCTTACTTCTTCAACGAACTTAAGAAGACATTGCCAAGGCCTTTGTTCAGTATTCATTTGAAGAGTTGTCCTACGGGTTACTGTACCTCTGGAGGAAATGTCAAATTCGGAAGTTTGGATTACAGTAACTGCGAGAATACTGTAATTTGGACAAAAAATTTGAATCCAAAGCACTGGACATTCAAAGTGGACTCTATGTGGGTTGGGGATACTGTACTTAATACTGATTTTACGGTAAGTGAAATTTGTTTAGGGACTGTATGTATTACTACTGTATTATGGCATATAGTCAGTATAACAATACTACCAAACAATTTTAAAAACACACATAATCTTCTGATAAAAATATTGTTTTAGGCCATAACAGACAGTGGGCACTCCTACACCCAACTAGATCACTCGACCTTCCTCAAGTTCCTCAAAGCTGCCAAAATCACTAAAAACAGAAACCCAACAACATATACGATACCATGCGACCAGCTCTTCTACCTTACTCTGACAGTTAACGGCCGTTCAGTGGATATACCAAGCTACGCCTTCGTAGGCCGACAGTACGGTAACAACTGTGAACTTACTATAATGGAAGGGCCAAAGGTAATCATGGGTCAAGCCTTTTTAAGAGCTGTTTGTAACCATCACGACTACGACAACAACAAAATTGGCTTTTCTAATGTAAAAACTGTTCGTTATGATGAATATATGTAACTTATGTTAAGTTTAATACATATAAAGATCTTTATATATTTATGTCACGTTTTACTTGATCTGCTAACTATACTTTAGACCTGTTTTGGTCCTTTGTTGTATAAAATTTTTTTTAAGTTTTGTAAAGTTAAGAATTTGACAATAAACTACAGTTTACAATAACTATCCCAGAACAAAATAATAAAATTACGGTTTAAACACAATTACTTTGCTATAAGTAATATAATATAACTTGTCTTAAATTTTTTCTACAGAGAGCGGCAACCTGCCCAGTAAAAATAGTTTAATTCAAAAAACTCCTACCAAAATTTATTGGCTAGTGTGACACGATGGTTATAATAGCACTTTGGTCCAGTTCTATGAGTGTCATATTCAAAACATTTGACTGTATGTTGAACATTATGCTCCATCCACCGCCCGGCCTGATACCTTCTTTGGTACTTTTATTTTTTACGTTTTGATATAGTAAATAATTAAAATTTTAAACTTTGTAACCTAATTGTAAACTAAAGTTGAATATTAAAAGTTTTTTAATTACTCCAAAGCCTATTTTTGATGTGTTTTATACGTGCATTTACTAATACCGTAAGTTGTTTTCTTTAAGTGTACCTGAAACTATATTAAAGCGCATATTTAACGTTGTTAGTATACATAATATGTTGTAAACAGTGCTACCAACACATGACTTAAAAACTAATTACAACTTGTTCCTCTTTCTGGTTATGACAATGTCGTGTACGTGGATGGTAATCTCGTTTTATGAGTATACTATCGTAGTACTTTACTAAAAAGTGTTCATTTAGGAATTACAATCATGTCATTATAAGACTAGCTGTATTTCTATATATGCGTTCATTATATATTCGTATATGACATAAGTTGTAATTAAGAACTAGCCAGACATATGGTTTACTATGCTGTCGTCTACTGAGACATCACTGTATATTACTGAAGTAATCGTAAACTCTATTGGATTACTTGTCAGTATATTGTTCCTTCGTGTTTTATGGCGAACAAAACTGTTTTTAAAGAACCAAAAGTACTACTTGAGCAATATTATTGTAGCCAATGTGCTTACTATTGTGTTACGGTATGTTTTACAATAGATTTTGATTTATTTGACTTATTTGTTACACCCAAAAGATCAAAATCAGTATTACTATAGTTATATACCAGCTAATTTCAAGACCTTCAGGTACCCCTTGTTGTTCGACATATTATGCAACAACCTTTTGTTGCCAACTGTTGTCTATGCCTTCATCAAGCAATTTCACATACTGACATGTAGTATTGTATTCAATCAAATCGCTCAGTTGGTCATCTTTTGTGAGATAACTTTAACTGTAATGGGTAAACCGGAAATACCAAAATTTTGGGTTTATATCTTGTGCTTATTACAGGTAAATGTTACTACATATTAGAAATCCCATAAGTTTTGTTACTTCGTTTTTGAAAACTTTTAACGATACAAAAATAATGTACTATAATATATATTTTAGTGGGTACTCGGAGAAGCAAACATATATCTGGGTACGATAAACATACCACCGCCATTGTATTCGCTTGGTATGATGGAAGCTGTCAACTTCATTTGTTGGCTAGCCTTTATTGCTCTCATTATCATGGGCAAGGTGAAATACAGACAACACTTAATAGGTGATGTTAAAAACAAATATCAAGTAGGTGGTTATTGTCAACTGTCATAAAGTGTTTATTGAATTTTAAAAAAACCTTAAAATTAAAATTTCGAAATATTGTGGTAGCCGTTCTGCTAAAAGACAAAAATAACTTTTTTAGTTTGATTTACCTATTTTAGATCAGTGTATGTCTTCGAACACTAGCAGTGCTAAAAGTTATGGCTATTTGTAGTGCAGTGCGCAACTTTGTATGCATCAACGTACTCATCATCTTGTACGTATGGGTACGACCATAGTAAGTAGAACAACATTTTTTACTTGTAAACTGCCAAATACAAAAAAATAATTTTAAAAAACGCAAATTACTATGTTTCGTATATTTTATTGTAATAAAATATGCCAAAAGTTACGTTGTAATCCAAAAGTAATTTCAGCAACGACTTAAAAACAGAATCTTTCTTTTCCTTCTTCTACGACCTCACACTGTCCTTTTACTCAGCCACCGTGCCGTTCCTGATGATACACAGTCACAGAGAAATGCAAAGAACGTGCAAGTAAGTCTAATCTATTTCACATCTACGTGAACTTCGTTATTAGACGTAACTAGCGATTATCCTTAAAGGTGTTCCCCTGTACCAGTTTGTAGTTTACAATGTAGATTACAAAAACCGTGCGATTAAGGGAAACACTATATATGTAATTAAAAGGTTCATACCAAGCCTAAACTATAGTATTGTAGGATAGTTTGTGTTACTTTCGTCATTTAGTATCACAGTCATTATAATTAAAAACCACAACCATCTTTTTATGATAGTATCCCACACAGTACACCATTTACAGTGTTTTTACTGAAATAAAATTTTTTTTATTAACATAAATACAAAAAAAAATCATTTTAATTTTTTTTTCCTTTCAGTAAAATGTGTTGTACAACAATAAAACCTCGCAAATCTGTAACTTTTGCGGCTTCAACAGCTTCTGAATTCAAGTTTGTGGCCTATAATGTTGTGGGCGACATAATTACTGTAAACACAAACGAAACAGCATTTCACTTTGAACAACTTGAAACAAACTGGAACAAACATAGGTTAAGTGTACAACACACTCCACATATCTTGACACATAGTGAATAAATAAGTTTAATGTCAATAAATAATTGAAAAATAAAAGATTTGTTACTTTTGCTTATCAAAATAAGGTTCTTATTAAAGAGTAAAAACAAGGAGTTTCCAATATAATTGTGGCATTTCGTCTAAACTGATTGCTACTATTGACTGAACGCATTATTTTCGCAATATTTGTCTGGCTTTTTGGAAATATATATTTTTTGGTATTGTTATTGCCTAAAAATGTATAACGGAGTTGGAGTACAAACAGCACGAGGTACTGGAACCTCAGGTTATGTTCAAGCTAATTTATCGGCATTAAACCTCTCAAGGGTGAGTCTTTAATTAACTTTTTGTAAACTACAAATGTATTTATTGGTTTTTAAGATTTTTGTGGTCTAAGGGCGGAATAGAAGGTTGTGTCTCTTGAATATGTTTTATAACGTATTTATCGTTTTAGCAAAAGAAGAACTACAATTCTGAAGCTGACATTGCTAAAATCGAAGCAGATGTAAACAGAAAACCAAATTTGGATTTGCTTGATCATGAATACAAAAGGAGAATCGAGATCAAATGTTTGGAACTTCAAGATCTAATGGAAAATGAGGTATGTTTTGTTTTATTATATTTTTTTTTAGGTATTTCAAAAACTATGTTTTCTCATGTTGATTTAGCAAAGCACTGGAAATTATTGTAAAAAACGATGGTTAACATTAATTTTGAAAAGAAAGATTAATCTTATCTGATTATAGGGTTCATCACAAGAAGAAATTGATGAAAAAGTTGGAGAATATCGAAAATTGTTGTTCGAGGAGTTCGAGAGTGGAAGAATGAATCTGGACAACGAACTCGACATCAGGAACAGCCATTCCAGAGCTAAAGTAGCGCAGGATAAACAAGAAAAGTTCCGTAAGGCGTTCAATATCAGAGAAGACTTTGTTCCTGGGACTTCAATGGCAAAGTAAGTTCACTTTTTTTAATTAATTTATATATATTTTGAGAATTACTTCGATATTGCCTATAACTCTTTGTAAAGAAAAATCTTTAAAGATGCTATAAAAACGTTATAGTATCGTAAGCTTAATAATGGCCATCTTTTCAGCATGAAAAAGGTTGGAGATCAAGCCGAGGCGGCTATAAAAGCGGAAGAAGATGAAGATCCTGAAATGGCTTTAAAAAAGAAATTGTTGGAACAAATCAGAGCTGAAAAAGAAGCCAAGAAACAGAAGAAAAAACGAGAAGAAAGCAAAAAGAGCAAGAAGCGAAGAAAGCACGAATCGACATCAGAAAACTCGAGTTCATCGTCATCAGATTCGGATAGTTCATCTGACAGCGATTCTGATAAGGTAAGTTCCAATTGCTTTATTGTGTCATTACTATGAAGATCTTTCCCTAAGTTTTGTATAATAGTGATAATACTTTCAATAATAGTATAACTATACAACTTGTTTTACATTGTTTATTTCAGAAGAAGCGCAAGCGACGTCACAAGAAGTCGAAAAAGAGCAGGAAGTAACCAAATTGTTACCTAAACTGTTATTCGTATTTGTTTAACTTTCTTTGTATGATAATGAATTTACAGTTACAGTTTATAAATTTATTGGAACTAATAAAAGTTTTAAAATCTAACTTCGAACTACACGTAGACAATTGTATGTACCGATCATAACTCCAATACCTCCGAACGTTATTACTGATGCGAGTGTTACGTACAAGGTTTTTCCCACGTAGGGCTTGATCCTATTTAAAGTTGGTTTTCCGGTACTTCTGAAAATTGCTTAGTCGTAATATTTATAACAGTAACCAAAAAGATAAGAATTGGGTTTTACAGTACAGAAACTACGAAAGGTTTCATAATATATTATACACAACGAAAGAAATCAAAACCGACGTGTATGACACCCATAGTCCCAATGGTACACCCATGAACAATCCAGCTTTGGAAGTCCTTTTGACTGCGTCTTTAAACTCTGCTGAACAACTTCCATGTTCCTTTTGAGTGTTTATGTATTCTGTAATTGTGATTGGGGCACGGCTGTTGGAGGGATACTCGGCCATCTTTCGCAAAAATACCTCAAAAAATTATTATTTTCATTCTATTTTAGTCTTTATAGTAGTAAAATTTAGGGACTTACTAATATTTAACTTCTCAAACACAAAACAGTCACTTAAAATGACAAAATATTCAACAGAACCAAAACTCCATAACTTACAATAACCAAAATCAATTTATAACATTGTTTATTAGACCAAAAAAAATACAAAGGTTGTAACATCAAATAACCAATAACATAGACAACTTAATTAGAGATAAAATAAATAACAATCCTTGTGGCAACTATCTAACATCACCAAATAGAGTATCAAATTCCAGTAGTTCCACTAGTATTTTAGTGATCTCGCCGTACTTTCAGCTTGATATCGTACTCCTGATCGGCTCCAATGTACGAATCACAGATGAAGTAGAGCTTCAGATCATATGTTCCTTCTCGTTGTGGTACAAAGTCCAACTTGACAGCCGATTGTTGGTTTACCGAAATTCGTTTGATACATAACAATGGGTGAGTGGATTCTGGATCTGTGTCGCCGATGACCAGCCACCAGCCTTCTTCCTTTCGCTTCTGTGGCCAGTACGGTGCTACGACTGGAGGCGCTGCGCCGGTACGTTCGTCCACGTTCTCTCTTTCGATTTGGATCTGAAAAAACAATATGTCATCGAGGAAGATACATTATAATCTTACTAATTTAAAGTCGTATTAAGCTTTAGCTAAAAAACTAAAATCGAAAAACATACCGTGAAGACAACTGGTTGTCCTTCTGTAGGTTTCTTTGGCTCGTGCTCGTACTCCAACACCAAAGCAGGGTAATTGTTACAGAACTTGGCCACATCAATCAGCTGGGCCTTCTGCATTTGAAGAAGATCGTTTCTAACGTCATCTTCCAATTCCTGGAGGTCCACAATTGTTTCCACGTTCGACTTCTTGGCCCTTTCAATCAAATCGTTCGAGCTGTGTGGGAGCTGAGTCAGACAGTGTTGTCCAGCATAAACAGCTTGTGTCAGCATTTGGCAAAGCTCCATTGCATTGATGGCACTGTTTAGATAACCGTGACTTCCAAGAACATCAACACAGGCTTGGATTAGTCTAACTGCTTTAGGCAATATTTGCTCGGTGTCTTTGGTTAATTCAGCTGACAATTGGATTCTGCTGAGGTGAGCGTTGAGTAGGAGATGTACTTTAACATGAGGATCTGACCATTTTTGGCTGTTTTGGACATTTGGTAGGGTTTGTGCCAATTTCTTCAAGGTGGCTTCTTCCTTCTCTCTGATTGGCATGTCCTTAAATTCGTCAGCATAGCTCACGATCTCGAGAATAGCCTTGGCCTTCATGCGCTTCTTCAGAGCCATTTGGAATGTGTCAATGGTGGCATGTCGAATGTAATAGTAAGCACAAATGATGCCTGGATTCAATGGTATCGTGTCCATGTCATCCTTGATGGCAATGCAGTTGGAACTCTCCAGGTCTTTGAGCGTATTCTCTACCAGCTCTGACAGGGCGTCGCTGAGATGACGATGCGTGACACCTTGAAGCGAGTAGTAGTTGGGGTTCTGGGTCATTCTCCTGTACAACAACGTCCATGTGAGGTAGTCGATGGCATCTTGTTTGTTTTCGATTGTCTTCGTCACAACTTCGGCATTGAAATGATCATGGAGGTCGTGATCGAGGTGACTTTCCACTGGCAGAGGCTCGAACAGGAACTTCTTGAGGAAGTCACGTTTCGAGGACTGACACATCAAAACACATTTTGCTGAAAATCACATATTTTATTACGAAAGTAAACAAACAAAACTACGATAATAAAAACTAATGCTCTAAATTTAAATGTTATACGATATAATAGTGGCATCACAATGATTTTAGCTTACAATCTTGGTCGTCATTTGGTCTGTTTGCAATACCGAGCATCTGCAAGATGTCAGGGATGGGGTAATCATGTTCAGTATGAGTCTTTCCATCATAGTATTGTGTGTCCATTATCACTACCAAATGAGAGTACACGTTGACACTGTAGCACATTGTCCTTGGTACAATCAATACCTAAAAATCAAGAATGTAGGAACTCAAATACTAATATGGCAAAACAGCAAATAAATAACAATTAAATAGATTTTCTAAACAGTATCGTTAATTTAACTAACCTGAATAGTGCCTGCAGAGAACAATGTTTCAAGAATCTGGACGTCCTTGTTGTTGGTTCCTTCATGATAATATCCAACTCCTCTTTTGGCCGATTCCTTGATACTTGAATCAGAAATGGCATTGACCAAATTCTGGAAGACTTCGTCTTCTGGATTCACATGTAAGAATCTGTCCGGTTGATTTTCAGCTTTAGCCAAAGTCAGCAGATCAAAAGCTGTTGGGCGGGCTTGTCGTCGAGTTGGGACGAATACGATTGCTGGTTTGGGTTCCAGCTTTCCACCATGTTTGCAAATGGCTGTGTATAAGGGACGAGTCATTGCAGCTAGTCTGGATTCTGTATGGGCTAGGTTGAACCCTGAAAAATCAAAAATTAAACTAATAATAGGTACTTTTGCAATAAAAATCATCACTCAAACAATAATAATAGTGTAAATAATCTGATTATACGCGTATTTCCTCACCTTGTAGATACAGATCCAATGGCAATGGTCTAGCATTAGGAGGGAAGTTGTAATTGGCAGACACCGAAACTCCCAGCCAATTCTGAACATCCTTGGCGTTGGCCAAGCTCGTGCTCAATGCCACAATTCTCAGTTTTCCAGTTTCGTCTTCCAATTGACCTCCCATGTATCTCATTCTGCTGCATACAACTTCCAATACCGTACCTCCAGCGTATCCGACCATCTGCAAGTCGTCCACAATGAACAACTTTACCGCCATGACATTCTTTCTTTGTTTCCATCTTCTGGACATGTGGTCCCAACGTTCCGCGGTGGCAATGATAATATCACCCTTCTGCATCAGTTTCAAGTCAATGCTCGAGTCACCGGTCAGTTGGACAACAGTTTTGTCGAGGACTGGGCCAATGCGTTCTGTCCATTCGTTGAATACCTGAAATTACATTTCTTAAACAAAAAATAACGTTTCTTTAAATATATGAAAAATACTTATGTGCACAAGGCCCTATTAAAATAATTTCAAAAAAAGCAACCTTAAGCACTTTAACACCATAAACAGTAAACATAAGAAACAGAACAAGAAACCAACCTTCTGAGCAATTTCTTCTCGTTGTGTACAATAAACAGCCTTGGCGTTTGGATTGTTGTCAAAGTGTCGTAGCAAGGCAAATTCGGCACAAACTCTTTTTCCACTTCCATTTGGAGCTCCAATGAACACGTTGTCGTTGGTTTCGTAGCAAGAACGGAATACTGAAATATGTAAAAAATTACTACATAACTATAAAAAAACTCTAGAAAACATCACAGAAACAATAAAAACGGAAATAGTTTACCTTGAGTTTGAATTGGATTGAAGACTCTGATTCCTCGTTCTCTGAAGACAGATTCAAACTTTTTGTTATTCAAAGCACTCAAAGGAAGTGGCTGCAGATCCAGAAGCTCAGTTGGTGGCGGGTACTTTTCAGGCAGAATTAAGTATCTGAAGCTGACTGGCATTACTGTCTCGGATCCCAGCCATCTGTCGCTAATAACTCTGATGAAATAAAGTGGAGGCAGAGGGTCAAATACCGGTACAAACATCTTGACCACATGTTCATCTTCGTAGTATCTCTCCTTAAGAATGAAATACTCGCTGTGTAAGATGACTTCGCCGTTTACATCTTCTACAAAGATCCAGAAGCCTTCTGCTTTACCGTGCACCTTCTCGTCCCATTTGAAGTCGGCTGTGATGGCTAACTCAACTTGAAGTGTTGACCTTGTGATTGGCAATACTAATACTTGTAGATCCAACTTTGGAATCTGCCGAATTAACTTGTACAATGGCTTTCCGAGTTTCGCCGCTCTGACCAGATCTCCAAGTTGATGTTCATTGTAGTCGTACAACCGGTCGAATGGAATGTTTTTTTTGTCCAATGTTCTGACAATATCCTTCGGAATCTTGGTGAACTGATGAAGGGGATTCAAACTCTGCCATTGTCTGGCATTCACCATTTTACAAAGCGACAAAACTTTGTGAGCCAGTTGAGCCCATCCTCTCCACAATACAATCTCAAAAATGGCACGGAACAATCGACCAGCTGACTGAGAAACAAAAACCATATCACTTTGGAGACAGAATCCGTCCAGTTTGAGCTGAGAGATGTAGGTCTGAAACATTAATTTTAAACATAGACCTGAAAGGTTAAAAACACAAATGTATATAAGAAAACCGGAAAAATGATCTCTTACCTGCAACAACACGTTGACTTTAGCCGATGGTTCGTCCAGACTTTCCTTGATTGGGATTGGAACATGTTCGGACAACTTCTGAAGCTCTAACTTCTCTTCTTCTCTGACGTGAATGTGTTTGAATTCAGAAGACATTGAGAAGATTCTGAAGAGGTCAGTTTCAGTAGCTGTTTCCTTCAACAACTTGTTATAGGTCTCCATGCTCTCGAAGGTACAGTAGAAATGAGAGGCAATTCTTCCTAATTCGGTCGCTTGTACCAGCCCTGATTTCTTGTCGTATTTTATCAGGTTACCCTTGTCTAGCATTAAGCAAGCCGTGTGAACAAGATCAGCTCTTGGTTGATCCAGTAACTCATCCTTTCTGGCAATATCATGAGATATACCATACAAAGTGGGTGAGTGGATCATTCTGACATATAAATAAGTGTATCCGATCCATTCCATCGCATCGTTCACATTGTTTATCGTGCCAAGAACAATTTCAGCATTCAGCATATCAGGTAGTTTGGATACCATTTGAGATTCGACCGGTAGTTGTTGGTTAAGCAGACTTAGGTAATATTGAAGTTCCGAATTGTGAGTGATCAGAATACCTTTACCAACGGAGTCGAACTGAGGTCTTCCTGCACGTCCCATCATCTATAAAAATCAAAAATTAATAAATAATTTAAACGTTGCCAAAAGTGAAAAATATTCCGAAAATATTGACCTACCTGCATAATATCCAAAGCTCCCAACTCAGTCCAACAACCTTTTTCAGCATTGTAGATTTGAGTTCCTTTGATCATTACAGTATGAGCTGGAAGATTCACACCCCAAGCCAATGTAGCTGTAGATACCAAAACTTGTAAATGTTTGTCGGCAAACAAATCCTCGACCAATGTTCTGTCCATTCGGTTCATACCAGCATGGTGAATACCGAAGCCATAAGGTAGCAGGTCTTTCAAATCCTGATTTTTCACATTTTCAGCTTCTGACCGTAGAATCTCCGTAGAAGCAGATCCTTCACGTAAGAAGGCTGACAATGTGTCTCGTTCCAAACAGGCATCTCTGATGGCTTTGGCTGTTTTGGCGGTTTCTTTTCGAGAGTGAACAAAAATTAATACCTAAAAATAAAAGGAAATAAAGATAAAGTAATAACAAAAATTAAACAGAAAGTAATATTACAAAATATCACCTTCCAAATAGTAAAAAATACTCACTTGACTTTTTCCTGCGTTCTCCATGACTTTATCATAAACAACCTCATTCATAGCCTGATATCTCTTCAAAGCCTTCTTCTCCGTAATCCCGATATACTCTTGTTCGAGTGGTACTGGTCTGAACGAGTTGTTAAAGTAAAACAATCCGTCGTCATTTACTCTCAAAAACGCGGCTACATCTCTGTAATTGGGCAAAGTAGCAGACAATCCCACCAATCGGCAGTTCTCTTGAGTTTGCTCGCTGTTCCTGATCGTTCTGGCCACAATCGACTCCAAGACCGGTCCTCTGTCGTCGTGCAGAAGATGGATTTCATCAATGATGATAACTCTGACCAACTGATTGTAAGCTCTTTCTCCTCCCTTTCTTGTCACAATGTCGTACTTTTCCGGAGTACATACAATAACTTGAGTCTGCATGAACTGCTCTTTAGACATCTGGGCGTCTCCAGTCATTTCACCGACTTCAAGGCCGTAAGGCTCAAGTCTCTTCTTGAACGATCCTACCATTTCTTGTACCAAAGACCTCATTGGAGCAACATACACACACTTGAACTCATCTTTCTTAACCGATCCGTCAGCATTCAGATGTTTCGACAGTTCGCGGAGAATACACATCACAGCGACGTTTGTTTTACCAGCACCCTGAAATTAACTTACTTAAAAAAACAATAAAATAATAATTTTAACAATAGTTTATTCTTTATAAGTTTAGTCAATTCAAAACAAAAAATGTAGCAAAAAAATACTTACAGTAGGCGCACAGATCAACAGATTATCATCCGACTTTAACGCTTTTTTGCTGATCCTAGATTGGATTCTGTTGAGAGACTGGAAACCTTTGAATCCAGGTTGAGCCCATTTTGGAAGTTCTTCAATCGGGATCAACTTTTCGTTTTCATCAAAAGGTTCTGGCTTCAACGCAGGTACATAAACAACTTCGTAGCTCTTCTTCTGCTTTCGGAAGGACCCATCTGGAAGAACGCACTTCTTGTTACTCATGAAATGAGATCCTTGAGCAAATGCCATATCGTCCAAGTCAAGAACATTTCGAGACTGTACCCAGCTTGGAGCTTGAGCTGCTTCAGCTTCACGTTTCTTTTGGGCTTTGGCTTCTTTTCGTTCTTTTTCAGTCTAAAAATATTAAAATATATTCTGGTACAGTTCATAGCTATATTAATACATTATTTACAGTAAAATTTTTAATTACACTAAAAAAATATGAATTAATTACCTTAACCATGTCAACTCCGCCACCGCCCTTTAACTGCTGTAAAATTCCAACCAATTCCGGATTTTTGATCATCTCGTGTTCAATAGCTACTCGTTCTGATTCTGGAGCTTGCTTCAGGCGAGTACACCAATAAATCATCTGTCGGTTCTCTCTGAACACTTTGATAATGTCAAAATTCTGATAATCCAAGTATCTGACCAATGCGTTTTCACATGAACGGTCGTCTTTTGACTCCTAAAACAAGATCGTAAATAAACGTACTCTACGTCCACAATAAACTAGCTGGTTTAAATAACAAATATTAAAAACTTACACCAAGAATCCTCAGAACCTCGTGAGCCCTTTCTTGAGCTTTTTCTGGCTCAAAGATTTCTCTCATTGACCTCTGAATCCAATGAGCATCAATGTCAGTTGGCTTCAACAAGCTTTTTCCGTCAGTTTTAACATCGTCTTCTTCTTGAGCTTGTAGCGTTCCATCAAAGACAGCTTCTACACCGTTCTCTTCGTCTTCATCTGAATCGTCTCCTTCTTTAACTTCTTCAGCCATCTCATCTGGGTCTTCTTCATCATCATCATCAAATCGTACTGGCACACCTTGAGCTTCATCAATTTCTTCGGCCTGAAAAAAGAAATAAATAAAAACAAAGTAATCCTTATTGCCTTTTCGAAACTTCTTCAACCTAAAAATCGAAAAATGTAATATGAATACCTTACCTCGTTATCTTCTTCATTCAAATTCAGATCAAAATCTGTGATACGCTTTGACAAATTTACCAGCACGGCATACCTTTCGTCTGACAGTTTTTCAACCAGAATTTCAGTCTCCTGACGCCGTTCTTTCTCCCTCATGGTATCACATTTGAGAACTTTCAAGACTTCTTCAGCTGCCCCAATCAAGACGTCCCTTGGCTGAAAATAAAAAACATACCTAACGAACACTTTATTTAAACCCATGTTAACAAAAGCTTCCATAAAACGTATTTTATTTATAAATATAAAAATAAAATCGCCAAATAAAGAAAATACTTACGTGATCTCCTAGAGCATCCTGTACAAAATTAAGAATCATTTCAAAACTTTGACGCGTCTCTTGAGTTCTCGGTTTGTAATCGCCAGTAAAGTCCCCAACATCAACTACAGTTAGCTTCTGCTTCTTCTTGGCCGGTCCTGAACCTGTTTTTCTGAAAAAGTAAATAGATGTTTAAAAAGAGGCCATCAATATTTTAATATCAATATTGTTTCACTTCTTTACTCAAAATACATTCCAAAAAACAAAAAGTCAGGCATTCCGAAAAATCAAATAAATTAAAAAACCTTACTTGGTTTTTTTGGCTTCCTTCGGGGCATCAGTACGTTGAAATCTGTCTCCCATCTTCATCCGACTCAAACTGTCCTTGTTCAAAGGCATCACTTCACCGGTTGGTTCATCTCGGCTTCTGCGATCAGTGTAGTTGTAATCGACTTGAAGTACAAGGTTACTGTTCTGCAAACAAAAGTTTATATAAAACAAGCCAATAGTTTCAAATTTTACGTAAAAGCAACCAACGCTAACAAGATAAAGCTAATATAACTTTAAAACAAATACTTTTTAGTTATTCTAACAAAAATTAATATCTTTAATTAAAAAAAGCAAGAAATTAAACTACTTATGATAAAACAAGTAACCCACAAACTTACCGCTCTGTATTCATACTGTTGCTGCCGAGCCAATTCGTCCGCCATAGCTACTTAATTAGAAGGTGTACTGTTATATTGATATTGTTATGAGATCAGTTAATTACTAGTTCAAATAAAAAGTAACTTTTCCTTATTTCAACTGTAAAAATTCGCCAAAAAAACTTTTTCGCCCGCTTTATGAAATAAGTGGCATTCCATAGCAAAATCGCGTTTGCGTGTCAAGACGTAGGAATAAATAAAGTGAAAAAAAATATTTTTGGCCGTTTTTGGCATTTACTACTGTAATTTATGTCACTTGATTTATAAATATCTTACATGACTTCCTACATTGATATGTTAAAAGAACATTCGTCGAAACAAGCAGTTCGAAAAGAGCTACAAGGTATGTTAATCTTGATGTTGCCGTTTCACATCTTCGTTGTAATGTATAATACTTTGTTTACTGTTGTTTTTAGAGAAACGAAAAAGTGAAGCTGTGGTAAGTGCCCAGGGATTTACTCATGCTATTGTGGATCATTTGAACGATAAGTAAGTGTTTTCCTTTTTGTTTATTTTTAGGTATTTATAGTGTTAACATATATAGTGTTAACGAACCATGTCATAATATAATCATTAGGTTTGAGTTTACATTAAATAACTTTATTTTAGAGTGGCCAGAGCTTACCACAATCAAAAACGACTAGATGTAGAAGCAAAGAAGCTCCAGAATAATTCTGAGAGCCTTCAGAAAGTGGCAGCCGAGTGGATCGAGAGTATAGACAACTTCTCTTACTCGCTTAAGGTACTAGGAAATGTCGAAACATTTGCAAAAGCAATAGAAAAGGAGTGTACTGTGATTGCCAAAACGTTGATGGAGAGTCACAAAGGTAACGACGATTTAAATTGATTTTAATTTGGAGTAGTAGTCATTGAACTTTTATTCCTGAAGTAAAAGCTAACAATTATTCTAACAAAGCAGCTATAAAATTTTATTTTACAGAAAAAATTGGTAATGTTGAAGAGAATTGACCCGCATATGAATTATGATTTGCTATGTTATCATGCGGTTAGCTTTTCCAATTCATCTGTTAATTTGGCTATTTCGTCGTTGAGTACGGGTCGTCGTTCAATCTTTTCCAGTTGTGTTTTCTCTGGATTCTTAAGTTCGCCGCTGTCGATACGTTTCTGAAACGCAAAGTTGTAAATACGATGTAAATAAAACAAATATTAATTACTCAAACAATATTTTGGGATAATTATTAGGGATTATATTTTATGTTTAAATGTAAAAGCTGCAATTGTGTTATTTTTACTATTACTTACTGCTTGATAACGAAAAAAATTTGAAAAGAAAACAGCTGAAAGAGAGCGCTTTTTTTCTCGCTTTTTGAAGCGCGGCTCAGTGGTCTAGTGGTATGATTCTCGCTTTGGGTGCGAGAGGCCCCGGTTTCGATCACCGGCTGAGCCCAAAATTTTTGCATTTCCATAGCTTTACATAAACAATACGTATAACAATAAAATTATTTTTAAACATTGTTTATATAATAAGCTAAATTTTAAACATACCTGTAAAATGTCAATGTCATCCAACTTCTTCTTGAGACCATTTATTTTCTTCTGTATGTGATCTCCTGGTGTAACAGGTACATTATTTGATTGTACTGCAGCCACCGGCATTGCATTTCGTTTCTTCTTTTCGTCCTTGATTTTATTTGCTTCTCTTTGTAGATCTTTTGGTGACCAACCGACTGGTAGTTTGGGTTTTGATGCCCGTTCTTCTGCTTCTCTTTGTGCCTTACATTGATATCTTGGTCGTTCGTCAGCCGGAATGTAGCCTTCCCTGACCTTTACAGCTTTTCTCCATGTACCGTCCGGACGTTGAGTGGCCGGGATGAACGTGTCTCCTAAATTTTTAAAGTTTAAAATGTATTGTTTCATTTTGGGAAATTATAGGTTAAAATAATTAGATTTTATGTTTGGTGTATGTTGTGGTCAACACTGCAACATTTGATTCATTTAAAATGAAGTTGTATACAAGATTTCTTGATAAAACTATTGTAGATCAGTATATTAGGCACATTATGTTGAAAAGAATACCTAGAGTTTGAAGGAAACTGATACAATTTTTACTTACCATTTGCTGTTTTGATTCTTCTGTCTCCTCCAGTTGCTCCAGACATTATAATCTTAGTAAATCTGAAAAAAGTAAATTAGGTTATAGTTTCAGGCCGGATGGTTTTTAAAGACACACGTTTAACACACCAAATAAGTTTATAAATAATGTCGCAAAAAAAGCCACAACGGATCAAGTTTTTCTCTCCCTCAAACTAAAAATGTTTCTCTGCTACATTTAACGCGCAATTGTAAAATAGATATCGGTGATAAACGTAGAGAAATTAGTCCGAAGAAGTCGCAAAGAGATGTTCAACATTATGATTGATCAAAAAATGCCGAATTCAAAAATTGTGTGCCGGTTTTTGGCAGCGAAACAAAACAATGATTTTGAATATGTTCAAAATTTTAGCAAAGAATTTTTCTTATACGCGGGATTAACGTTCTCTTTTACTTTTGCGTCCTATATTTCGCGAGAGACAAGTTATACGACGTATTTTGAAAATTGTCATTGTTTTAAAAGTTGTAATGTTTATTAAATTACATACTTTGAAACTTTTCGTTTGTGATTTATCTAGTGTTAACAAAAACTAAAAATGCATTGAAAAAACTTTTAATTTTCAGTTTGAAAATGAAAAAGTTGGTCATTTACTGACTTGACTGTCGTTGTAACTGGTCGTTCAACACTTGAAGCTGATTCTGGTGGAATATGGGGGCGAAAGGAAGCAAGCCGGAGGCAAAAAATGGCGGAGATCACAGAGAGAAGGCTAGCACGGCTAAACGTAAGCAGAAGATCACTAAGGATCAGGCAAAACAAGCAGCCAATCGTCAAGTAGGTTGTTGTGTTGATATACAGTCAAACGTCTTTAAAATGTCGTACAAGTAGTATGTACAGTGTTTTGCCGGTCCGGTCCGCGGACGGGTCCGGTCCGGACCGGACGGACCGAAACAAAATTTTTTGCGGACCGGACCGGACCCAAAATCCTGCGGACCCGGACCGAAGAAAAAGCTCCGAACCGGTCCGGAAGCAAAATTTTTTTTTATTTAATTAAAACTGCTTTAAAAATTGCAAAGAAAACATATTTTTAAGTGTTTTTAAACGTAGAAAAAGCAATTTTAACGCTCTTTGCTTTTTTTAAAAATAAAAAAAAATTTTTTTGCGGACCGGACCCAAAAATGTTGGGTTTGGACCGGACCGGACCCAGAAATTTAAAGTTTGGACCGGACCGGACCCGAAAATCGCCGGACCGGTGAAAAACGCTTAGGACCGGTCCGGGCAAAACACTGAGTATGTAAAATATTACCCCAGAAACAAAAACAGTGACAATTTTAGTTGAGTTGCATGTCGCGCGACAAACGAACGAAGCGTGAAGCCGCGAAGGAAGAGGACGCAGCTCCAGAAGGCGGTAGTGGATTGGCTGAGCATCTCCGGAAGATTGCTCCATTCAACGGACGCTGGGACATTACCAAGACCATCAACGAGGGAACTTATGGTGTGGTATTCGACGCTTTCGATATCAAAACCAAAGTCCAGGGTGTGATCAAAGTAGCCAAGGCTAAGGCCGCCGGAAATCAGGCTACAGAATGGGAATCGTTTTTGTTGGAAAGGATCTTCAGAGATGTAAGTGGACTGGGATAGGAAGATTATATTCAGCAAGGGATTTGTATTTAATTGATGTTTAATAATTATAACGTTTGAAAATAATGGTAAACGTATTTTAGGATAACGAAGCTGGTGTTGTGAGAATCTTGGATCGAGGCATGCTGGCTGATGAGCAAGGTCAAGGTATGGAGTTTGTTGTGTTAGAGAAGGCTCAGCTTCCTGTCAGGGAATGGCTTCAAAACGAAACTCCGACCGGTAAACAGATCTTGGTTTGTGATGTAAGTTTTTAAATGTTATTTTAGTTTTAACTTTTGTATTTGGTGTTAGGTGTTACTATGTGTTAAACAATAGGCGCTTACCTTATTATATTTACAGATTGCGGTACAAATGTTGAAGGGCATTTCCGACTTGCACTACCTCGGTCTGCTTCATCGTGATTTGAAGCCCGATAACATGGGAATCTACTCGAAGGAACAGCCGGTTTGTCTCTTATTCGATTTGGGTATGGCGCGTATGTATACGGACAACGAAGCTATGGTACGACCGCCCCGAACCGTGGTAGCGTTCCGTGGTACTCCAGAATGGGCGAGTGGCCACGCTGCTAAAGGAAGGGAACAGACTCGCTTCGACGATCTTGTAGCTTGGCTATACGTGATCGTGGAGCTAATGGATCCTCAAGATGAGAGTAATCAACCTCTTCCTTGGACATACCGGTGTCAAGCCAAGGTAGATGATACAACTTTGTTAAAGGTTTTAGGAGTCACATTTGCTTTTTTTCATTTGTATCTGTATATTATTATAGTTAAACTGATCATCAATTCTTAAACTTTTAATTTTAGGCTGTCAACATTCTGAAAAGCACTTACGCACCAGCTCGTCTTCTCCTGAGAGACTGCCCACCACCGTTCTACGCTATCTACTCGTACTTGATGACTGCCAATCGCTATAAGCCTCCAGATTACACGTTCATCGCTGATCGTGTCAAGGAGTCACGTCAGTTTTTGGTTCAGAAAAAGGAAAAGGAAGGCAGTGAACAGAAGCCAGGTGATGCCAAACCCAGCGAATCCCCAGCCCCCATTCCGTCCAAGTAAACTGACATTGAATGAACTACTGACCGAATTTGACATTGATATTTATTGATTTTTGTTGTTGTTTTACATCAACTTTTATTTTCATGACCTTTTTACTATTTTTCCATATTTTTACTTTATTCATACTTTTCAAATGTTAGTTAAAGTGAGGATCACCATGATAATTATTGTAAAAATGTAAGAAATAGTGTTAGAGACTCGTGGAGGAGAGTCATTACATCTTCCGCCATCACAAACACATTGAGTACCCTTGGTCTTGAGGGCCAAGTGTTCCCCCAAGAATAACAATTCTTTTTCATCTTCAAAGTCATAGCAATAGTCGACATGCAAGGGTCGTATACCTGCACATCCTCGAATTTCGTATCTTCTGCCTAAAATGTTGCGTATTAAACATAAACAAGACCTTTAGATATGTCTAAAGTATTATAATAATAGTAAAATGTTTTGTCGTTTTTGTATTCCAACATTTTATAGAAGAGATATATAAGAATTGTATTTACATTAAAACGTATAACATACCATTTACAGTGCCAATATTTTTGATACAGTAGGCACCAGTACAAAAGTTTTGCGTATCCCACCAGCAATGTCCATAACCATCAAAGTACTTGCAACTTATGCATTGTATAGCTAAATTAGGTTATTATTAGCTTGTCTATTGATGTTTTCCTCATAAATTTTAAAAATAACATTATTTTTATCAGCAATATGTTAGGCATTCACATAACACTAAATATAGTGCGATTTAATTGTAAACTCTCATTTTATAACTATTAACCCTCTTTTTATAAAAAAAGGTTACATTAGCTTACAAGTCTTGAGATTGCACACAACTCCATTTTCAGAGCCCCATTGTGCTTTAGTAGCTGCGTGTGAAGTAATTTCACTATTACAATCTTTGGTGTTACATATCTTCACTCCGATGTATGGTGCGTCAACATGATCGGTGGTATCCGTATAAATAGGAGTTGAACTTTGAGCATATTCACAGAACGGCGTGTACGTTTGGATAAAGTCTTTGTTATCGCCTGTAAACTGTTCTACACAGCCCCGTACTATGGCGTATTGGTAGGCTGTAAGTATGATAGTATGGCTTGCAGTTATCTGTCGACAACTAAACTTAACTTATCAAATTAAGTAAATATATTATATGATACTAAAAAGGGTCGTTGACTCATTGCTCTCATATTTTATAATAATATAAAAAGTTGCAGTAGCCAAACTCTAGCACCTTACCAACAGCAAAAGAAGCTTCATAACAAGCAGTATTGGTTTCACACTTCTCAATACCTCCTCTCGGATTCTCACATTCAGCATTGAAGAAACTTTCGTTCGAAGGATGACCAGGTAGCCCTGTCGCTTCCCATTCATCGATTAGAATTGGAGTTGCACAAGAGTAACATTGAATACAGTTAACAGAGTGTAGATACAGTAAGATGAGAAGTAGAGGAAGCATTCTGTTTGGTTAGAGTCGCAATATTAGAATTCGAGACGAGGATGAGGTCGAGCTTGTTTTACGACTTTTTGAGTCATCTTTTTAGGACAACACAGCCTTGAAGACGTCAGCGACCGTCTATTTTACAAAAATTGCGGAAAATTAACTTTAAAAAATTATATTGTTTTTACACTGTACGTATTTTACACAAAGTGATTTATTAACTCAAATATAAAAAAAAATAATAACCTGATAATCAAAAATGGTAGCACAACATTAAAATGAAAATTTTTGAAAATTTACGTAAAAAAATTTAAAAACAAAGCGTATAAACATAATAAGTTAAAAATATGTGGCAAAATACACTAAAAAAGTTCTAAACATGACCGATTGCAAACCACCTCTACATATAGATGTACCTTATAGTAATCTTGATACCTTATAAACAATATTTACATACGAAACGGCCGTGGCTGAAACGACACTTGTGTAGACCATGGTGAAGGCGCTACAAAGTTTTGTGGTTGAGAGACGGGTCGATTCCACGGATTAAAGTTGTTACTTCCATTCTGAACCGTACCTCCTCGCTTAGTACAATACCTCTGGTACTTGTTGCAGCCATCTCGTACCACGCCCATCTGTAGTGCCGCCAGATTCTGGCAATAACTAGCCGCGAATCCTTGATATTGATTACAGATTTGTTGAGCGAATGGATTCTGGGCTACAAGATCTTCTGAAGTCGGTGGTGGTGGGTCCGTTGGTACTATTGGCTTGTCGGGTAATGGTACATGACATCGTTCCGCGTAGACTGGACAAAAGACGGCAGCACGTTGGCCAAATCTAAAGGGATCTGGACATACGTAGAGGAAGCGACGTTTGTATTCTGCACAGAATTCACTGTAGTCTTTCTCTTCTGTTTCACCTTTTTCAGAGGTTTCAGAAGGCTTGGAGGATTCAGAAGTTTTGGATGATTTTGTAGCTTTTCTAGAAGTCGCTGATGATTCTTGGTCAATTTTTCCTGATGAAGATTGGACTGATTTTGCTGCTTTTGACGTTTTTGATGACGTAGTAAGTGCATCATCTTCAGAATTACTTTGTTTTCTGTTAAATCTTGTAGTTTTGGTAGTAGTAGTCAAGTCATTGTCGTCTTCTTCGACCTTCTCATCATTTTCTTCTTGTTTTTTGTTCTTTCTTCCTACCGTTTCTTTCGTGCTTCTTCTGTTCTCCGTCTTCCTACTGTTAGCCTTCAAACTACTACTCTCAGATTCAGAATCAAATGGAGATTCCAAGGTCTTTTTTGGTTTCAAATAGTCATCTTCGTTGTTGAAAGTACTGCCACTTTCAATTTTAATAACGTTTTCGACCTTCTGATTCGGGCCTACTGTATGTTTGACAGGCTTCTTCTTCGTTTTTCGTTTCTTCGATTTCTTTATTGTTTTAGAGCTTGATTCATCATTCAGACCAAACTCAGCTAGGTCGCCCCTTACGCAAATATTCTCGTATGCTGCACAGAATTCATCACGCTTCTTCTTGACACCGGTGCAGTTCATGTAGTATTCTGAGCGTAATTGGTTACAAGCACGCTAGAATTTTGAAAAATTTCAAATGAAAGTTGAAAAAAAATTTTATTTATTGAAATTTGCAATTTGAGATAAAAAATAAATTTAAATTGTTAAGATTACAATTTGTGATGAAATAAAAATTAACCTTACCTGATCGTTGGATTCATCCTTATTTTTCGCTACTGGCTTCTGATTGTCACAAAATGGCAGGTTCGGATTTATGTCACAATTGGCTTGGAACTGTTTCGGAATGGCAACGGCTAATGGAGCAAAAAATAACACTAAAAATATTGAAGAGTAACACTAAAAGTATTATATTAACCTATGTCAAAATACACATAAAAGATAAGGAAACAAAAGAACCATAATGCCATGAATTTTAAACTATGAGTTAAAAACTTTTTTCGTTTTCTCATCAAAAATACTGTTTAATCTAATTTAAAGTCTATCCCTGTCCTTCAAAAACTAAGAAACCGTAGTAAAAAACGACCGCAAACCAGTACGTTACACTACTTACCGAACGCCGTAATCATCTCCAGTTAATATACGAAAAAGCGGTTGGTATGTGGAGGAAAACACTTGAATCGTCTGTTTATTGAGGTTACTCCTTTGTGAAACTGAGAGCATAATTGTAGCGTCAATTACTGTCTTCCATAAGATCCACGGAAGAGAGTTACGCAACCATTTGTATATTACATTCACCGTATATTATAATTGCGGTTCGGGATGTAATGGTCTCGGAATGGCCTTTTATGAGTAATGTATGGGTGGTATATCATGATATTCTTAATTGGTATACAGTCGAACTAAAGTTTCTGTGGCAACAGTAGAGAAAGAATTGTAGCAAAAATTCTCATTCTTTGTATAAATTTACATTTTCATCAGTAAACCACCTCTAGGTATATTAACCATGATAAAACAAGCAAATTTCAATAAAAATAAAAGTTTATTAGTGTGTAAACGTGTACTTGAGATCAGAATATTTTTGAGATTACTGTAAGTTTTCTAAAGTTTTTGAACAGCCTTCTGTAGTTCAAATATTAGTTTAGCATTGACCATTTTCAGACGTTCGATAACTTCATCCTTCTCGCTCAGAACCTTCTTCAACGCTTCACATTGTTCCGTTAGGTTAGATATTATGCATGACGATACCAAATCACTGAAATGCCACAAAATTAGAGACAATGCATTTTTAGGTAACAAATTGTTTAAGCTATTCAAAAAAATAAGGAAAACTAACAATATTATGTATTTAAAATTTTTGAAATAGTCTATTTAAAACCTACTTGACATTGTTAGTTACATCACTATCTTTGTTATTGTCCAGCAAATCCATCAAGTTCATTGAACTTCTACCTTGATTTGCTTCTTCTTCCTCGGTCGGTTCATCCATTGTTTTACTTTGAGACATCTGTGCATTATTCAGGAGCTTCATGAACTGCATCCCCATGTTTTCGTCTCCAAAATCAGTAGCCATGGAAGAATCAGGGCTTGTAGAAGGAGTGGGAAACAACTGACCTAGCCCTTTTTCGTATGTTATCCTATCGTGACTATCCACCTGACTAAAAGCGGCCTTGTGACGAGCCTGAAGATGTTTCTTCAAGTTGGAGCAGCCTGGTCCAACTACCTCAACGTTACAATGAACGCATTGGAAGCGTTTGGTCTTCTGAATCGGGCGGAAGTGTGCCCATGCTGTTGACACCTTCTTTCTGCCTCTGACCATCTTTAGGTTATTAATTTAACTGTAAATAAGGTAAGTTAAGCATTTGACAGAATTTTAAAATATGGCAACGTAAAAAGGTCAAACGTAAAGTAAAAGACGATAAAACAAAAATTAATTATTTAGGTAACAATATTTAAATGTAAGCCTTATAAAGCGCCTAGTAGTCAAATTTTTGTTGTTTAGGTAACAAAAAAGCTTGGAAAAGTTCCTTTTTCTAATTTTCTTATCAAAATCACTAATTTTCAAGTTTTAAGTAACAAAAATATTAAAACATCAAAAAAAATAAAAAAAACCAACTATTCGTTAAGACCTTTAAATTATGTAAATAAACAATAATAAATAAGATATCAAAACGAAAACAACGCCATAATTATGGCAGAGATATTCGTTTTATCGGTGAAATAATCAAAAACGCGCCAAAGACTATCTAATTTAGAAGGAAACACCTTCGTTGCGATTAGGTAACACATCAATGGACAACCGTATTATGTTATCTTAAATATTTTGGGTAGAAATAGCGGAATTAACGAAACATATTTTCTAACAAAAAATGTTAGTTTTAAAGTTTTATTAATTTTAATAATTCTAAAATACTCCAAAATTAAAAAAATGATTTTTAAAAACAATGAAAGTTACAAGTTACAGTTCAATGAAATCCAGAAACTAACAACTCTTATATAAAACATGACATTGCGGCCATACCCATAGGTCCCTGTTTCCACACTTTTTCAATGTTACCCAAAACAACAAACAGAACTTGTTAAAGTCGTCTTTAACAACAAATTCCGATAATAACCGAACACCAAGTTGAGATAGTTTCCTCGATAATCGATACTATCTTTAATGAAACGGCGCGCTTGGCCTTGCTGTCTCAACAAAAAAAACGAAAATAAACACGCTTCCTTGTCTTATTCCGCCTCCTTATCGGAATTCGACGATAATCGATTTTACAAATCAAATAATATTGACAAACCCGGCGGGCATTACCCATTGTCAGGATATCCAATATAAACTTTGGCCTATAATCGAGTTTTGGGAGAAAATGGGAACAGAAACTGTAGAACATTGTTTTTGTGGGTGCGTATATAGAAAATATTTTAAACATACTGTACAATGTAAAACAGTTAGTTATAAAAAATGTAAATTTGTTGATGAATAATTAATTAGCATATAGCGCGGATATATTAGCTTGAAGTAGTTAAAAAGTAGTTAAAATCTCTTTTTTACATCTTTTTATCAATTCAGGAAAAGAAAAAGCAAGTTTCAATCATAGTGCGGTCAAAAACACTTGCAGCGATTTAAAAAGTGAAGCAGAAAGTAGCGGCTACTTAAAGAAACAAAAAGGAGTAGCCAGTCGACGCCGTGGAGCAGCGCGGCTCAGTGGTCTAGTGGTATGATTCTCGCTTTGGGTGCGAGAGGCCCCGGTGTATCACCGGCTGAGCCCAAACTTTTTCCTATCTTTTTGCACTAATACTCCTAATTAAAAAACACTTAAATTACTCTTGTGAACAAAATATTTACTTTTAAGACGTAAACTTCCAAAAAGATACATTAAAAACTACTTTATTATTTAAAACAAAAAAATATTTGTTTTTATCAGCTTACCAACCAAATATACATGTCATGAGCAAGTTGTAAAAACAGTATTTTTTAAATACTGCTTTAGAAGATCAAATAGAGTATGGTAATAATAACCATATAACGTTAACAGTTGTTTTTTAAATTGTTGGTCTTTATCTTCCTTAAAGCTTGTGGAGACTTGAGCATTCCTCTGGTACTTCTGGAGTTACCATTGTCCCAAAAGTACTGTTCCTTACGCTTTTCTGTTCTGATCAAACATTTCAAAGTGGAGAGCATCTTTTCAAACTATAATTAGGTAAGTTATAATTCAAAAAACCTTAAAAAATATGTTTTAACTATCATAGTTTACGTATAGAAACATATACCTACCCTAGTATCTTCATCAAGTGCATGAGAATGGTCGTCGTAAATATGTTGCAGTAAGTTCATGATGCCTAATGGGATGTACATGGTACGTTCTTGAGCAACGAATTCAGGTAATACGGTCAAGGCTGACTTGTAAGCGTAATTGTTGACATATTCATCTAAATTGCTGTGAATCAACGCCAAAATGTTACGAAGGCCGTGGAAACTAAAAACAGAGAGATTTATAATAATATCATTACAAAGTACAACAAGGTTTTAGCGACAAATATACGCAAATCCTATCTAGTGCGTTCCTCCCCAGTTACACTTTGGTCCCGCGACGAAAACAGTAAACACCAAAACCCATTTCCAGCCATTTTCAAATCTAGTATTATAAAACTGAACTTACTGCCTCAACTGCACCACCAAATCAACCGTAGTACCATTCAGTTTGTCATACTGTAGCCGGTTATGGTAGTTTTTGTTTGTAAATAACTTTGTAAAATCTCGTTTTACTTCGTATGTTCGGTAGTCTTCCTCATAGTTACTGTAGTTGTACACGCTCGTGCTCTCAGTGATCATCAGTTCAACATCTGACAACTCCAAGTCCTTCGAGTAGATGTTTGACACGGCTACTGGCAGGAATCGGCGGACTTCGGCTCCGCAACGGCGAAGAGATGTGTCCAGCTGGAATCAAAAGAGTTGTTACGTATTATACACTATTTGTTTAATGTAATGGATTTTTGTATGACAGTATATTAATTTTGAATGAAAACTTACATTTACAGTTCTTTTCCCACCAGATTCAAATTGATCGACCATAAAGTGGTGCTGGTACTCGTACAAAGTCGTGTAGAACTAAAAGCAGAACAAAAAATAAATTTATAATAAAAGTATACAGCTTAACTTACTAGTAATACATCCTAACTTACTCCCAAATAATGTAAAAAGGCATAAGCAGCTGGCTGTTTGGCAGTTTGTAGATATTCTTTCAAAGCGTCCAGATAAGCTACAGACTCCACGACAAACTTCATTTCAACTTCATCAGCATAGTTGTTGATGGGGTACCCAAGCTGATGGAAATATTCTGTAAAATCAAAAAACGGCCATCGTACGTTGGCTTCTTCAGTAGTAATCGATATCCATGATAATGGGTCAGCCGAGTACGATGTTTGTAGCAATTTTGAGTTAGCTGAGTGATTGAAGAACTGGAAGACGTCTGCGGCTCCAGTACGGCGATCTTAAATTAGCATAGGCTACACATAATATATACTGTATATCATCAGACAACGTATGGTATTGTAAAAATATCCACAAAAATATTTTTATTACTGTACTTTGGAAAAAAATTTTTTTTTACCAAAAAAAAGTAAATTTCTACTTACTTGTAAATTGAGCTCCCTTTGCGACCAGTCGAAGCAATTTCAAGTCCAATTTCGGGGGTGTATTTTGCTTCAAGTATACTGTAAGCCGCCTGTTTGTATCGTTCCTATCAAAATTCCAAAATGTTTTGTGATTGAACAGAACGTTGATTCCAAGGTCTTTCCAGTAAATCAGTGCTATTCTCGTGAGACCGGTCGATAATGAAATCTTTGGTTCATTACTAAAAAGTTTCATTTTATAGTCTTCAATTTAAAAAAATTTTAGAAAATAGTATTTTTATTTATGTTTGATTAAACATGTTTAAGGAAGTAGTGTGAACACTGGTTATTGAAAAGTACCTCAATTTGTCTACAAACACTTCGATGTCCATGATCTTGTTGTAGACATCCAAAAACGTTCGCTTTGAACTCTCTTTGTCCTCCATGTTGCTCATACATTTCAAGAAAGCTAATCCTATTTTTTCTTCTGTTTCGTCCTGGAAATTATTTTTTATGACTATTTTTACCCCTAATTTCAAAAAAAATTTCAAAAACCGCAAAATATAATGTAATAGTTGATTTACTTATAAAAATTCAAAAAATTTGGCTTCAAAACTAAAGTTTAACAAAAAGTAAAAAAGCGATACTCACTTCCGGCTCAAGTTCGATAAGTTTTCTGCCAATATCAAGATCAATCTCATCCTGAATCGTCTCCTCATTAAAGTCAAACCCAGCCAAACAATTGACTTTCAAACATTTGGCTGATTTCTCTAGTTTCAAGGCCCTCGACTGTCGAGAAAGGCCTAAAGGCATAGCTGATGGCAGTTGCGATAGTAATACATCGTATCTGAAGTTTGAAGCTTGGGACTCGGCGTAGTATGTTTGGTGTATCAGTACGAAGGCGAAGCCAACAGTGAAAACGGTAATGAAGGTAAAGAGAAGGAGAAGGATGATTACAAGGTAAAATTGGGCTGAAATTTGAGATTTAGGTACTACTTTTCATTCTGTTTAAAAAATATACATAATATATTAATATTCTTGTTTAACTTAGAAACATACCACGGTTGATTTTCGCCACTTTTGTAACAAATGGTTCATCTTCAGGCTCTTTCATTTTGAACTGATAAGGTTGTTGATCTGCAAATTACAGCTTTTATAACAAAATGCCAATATATTAAGTCGTTCACTTAATTCTACGCCCGGTAACCCCATACATTTGCTTAAAAAGGGGCGCAGAATTAAGTAAACTACCCAATAGCAGCTAAAACGCAATATTTCCATTTTTTGGTCGAAATTTTGAGATTTAAAATTTTCAAATTCATAAACATTTTTTGTTAAAATAGCAAACAATATATTTAAAAAATTTAAAAAAAATTAACATAAATTGATTAAAAAAACCCGCATATACTTAATAATAATAATACAAATTGTAAAAAAAAACCAGAAGCGTGCCATTCCCTCAATAACGCTATCACCCGTTCTAATCACTATAATAATTGTTTTCTTTGAAAAAACATGTTAAAACGAGCCGCAAAATTGTTTTGCGACAAATTTTTGTAATCAGTGAAGGGAAGTTATGCTTATCATTTCAAATTTAAGCCCAATAATCTTGGTAAAATAATTTTACACTGTTAATTCTTAAATTTTATCATGGCTTTTCTATCAATGTTTTGTTAGGAAACATTTAACATCTGCACGGTGCAATGTCTGGAAACGGCAAGCCCATTGCACCGTGCATATTAAATAGAGCTCAGCGTGTGAACCAAACCGCATCTCCCCACAGGTCGGTTGTCGCTAGAGCCTTTCCAATTGCGACAAAATGTTGCCGCAAGCATCACATTTAACTCAAGGTTTCGGGAAAAATCTGCACCGTGCATTTGGCAGGTAGCTTGCGCAATATTTTAAAGGATTTGCACGGTGCAAAGAGACGTTTTGAAAGGGGGGGGGGGATCACTGATAAAAAGAGGATTGCTGGTGAACGGCAAACTTGAAACAAAAAGTGAATGCAAAGTCATAAAACGACAAAATATTTGATAAAATAGTCATAACTTTAGCCAAGGTGTCAGAATAAACTAATAAAATATTGTTTTTTGGTTTTACAACATTCTTTTCATTAAAAAAATGCGAAAAATCACTTGATTCTTAAATCAATTTTAGTTTTCATACTGTTTTTAACATTATTTAAAATCTTTTAAAATTTTTTGGTACCTAAAACTTCTATATATTAAAATTTAAAAGCCGAGCCCAAAAAGTGTCCAAAAGTCTAAAAACATGTCAAAACTAAGTTTTATCTGCTTTTTCTGTTTACAAATTTAAACTCGTGAAGATAAAACAAAAAGTAAGGTATGACTAAAATTTCCATACCAATTAGACGATTCGAAAAGTAGCGGCGCCTTATGCAAATTCGGAAGTTTTTGTATTCTTAACTCCTTCTCTCTGCTTCCGAACAATCCAGAGCAGTGTAACAAAAGAAGATCAAGATAAAGACACAACATGTGGACTGTTTTTTGGCTGAATGCTTTGAAACTGTGCTTTTAGTTTATCGTACAGTAAATTTTATAGTTTTTAACAACCTTCAAAGTGTATTTTATTCAATTGTAGTACAACAAAGTCAAGTACAATTTACACACAAATGAGTTTTAGAACATCAAAAAAAAACTAAAAAATGCATTTTTCATAAAACAGAGATCACAAACATCAAAACCAAAACAATAACAGTACTATACAGTACCACAACACTCTATCCGAACATCAATGGAGCAGCAGCGTTCCATTGAGCACGTTGGACTGCCATCTGTGAATCCATCGTGGCTTGATTACTGAGCATCTGAGCATTCATCAGGTCTTGTCGTTGTCTTTGTTGAGCTTGCATGGTCAAGAAGTTCGAGTTGCTGATGGCTTGATTATTCAAAAATTGGCCATATGCCAAACTGTCACGAGCTTGCTGTTGAGCTATCATTGTGGCTGGAGAGAAGAACTGACGTTTTTGTCTTACTGGAACGGCAAGAGCACATCCGAGGATTGTAAGTAGTAAGATGAAGGCTTTAATGAATTGCATTGTCTATAAATGATAAAGTTGTAATAGTGCAAAAGTAGAAAACAGCTCAAACATTCGATTACACGTTCAAGAAACAGTATAGTACTTCTTTATCAAAAATTTTAAAATAAAAAAATATAGCTAAAACCAGCTCCACGATAGGCTAGATTAGCTTCTAAATAATAACGACCAGAGAGTAGACATTCACCAACCCAATTCTATAATTATTTTCTATAGACGAAGCCAGATTTAGCACCAAGAATTATATCTGTTCTACCCATTCTGACCACACTTACAACACGGAAATCAACGTATTTTGCAAAGTTTTTAACCGAAAACCAGTAACTTCCACCCACAAACCTCAAGAACTACACTGCCTCTTCCATCTTCAAATCTAACAAATTCGGCAAACGAAAAACAAGGAAACTTTGGGTTGTGAGTTCTTTATATATTAGATGAGCTCGTCGATCAACTTTACAACCACGCCTTCCCCAGCGTCACTTGTTAACCGAACAAATCTTTCGTAACTTGTAATTTCACAAAATAAACAGTAATTGTTGAACTGAACTTGAAACAACAACACAATAATTGTAAAATAGTGTTTTATAGTTTGTCAAACAATCGTTTCGGCATTTTATATTACGTTTATAAAGTTGGCAAATTAAGAACAAAATAAATTTTAATTGTTTAAAGATAGTAATAATGTTAAAACCATTTTACTATATTTATTAAAATTAATTTTAAATAATTAAAACCTAGCCAACAAAAAAAGTACCCGCCCTGCCCCGCTCTGATTGACTTCAAACTTTTTTATACAAAGATCATGTAAATCTTCAACAGAGTACTAAACCGCGCTTTCCACGAAATCTCGAGAAAAACGAGATCAAAAAATTACGTTTTGAATTTCCCGCCAAACTGGCATTATGTTTTAAGGTTATATCTTTGCCGTTTTTCGACTTTTAGGAATTTTTCTTTGATATTCTAGTAGAATACCTTTAAATAAACCTACATTTTTAAATTTGTAGCTTGTCTGGAAAGTCAAAAAAAGCGGTTAAAACACAATGCCAAATTTGCCAAATTGGCAGAAAACCAAAATAATTCAAATTGAAAACTCAAAAGCGCGAGCTAAAATTTTTTATGAGTACTATTGGTGGTACAAGGAATTCATCTAGGGGTGAGAAAAGGGCCGGGCCGGGCCCACTTTTTAGGCTCGGCCCAGGCCCGGGGCCCAACGTTTAGGCCCGGCCCGTTTTCAATTTTCTCTCAGGCCGGCCCGGCCCGGTCAGAAAATTTCTAGGCCCGGCCCGGCCCGTCTTAAAAAATTTTAAAACTTAAAAAATAAACGGAAATTTGGCTTTGCATTGTTCTTTTAGATCATTTATGTATCATGGTACCCAATAAAATCAAAAAACATCAACGGAGATTAAAATAAAAAATTTTTAAAAATTTAAAAATTTTTTTTCTGCCCGGGTCTAATTTTCAAGCCCGGCCCGATCGTAGGACCGAGCCGGGCCGGGCCTAGACGGCCCGTTTCTCACCCCTAAATTCATCTAAAAATCTTTCTGAGCGGGGCAGGCGCCTAGGCGGGGTACTTTTCCTGTAAATACGTTTGCCAATTTTTTAGCAAATAAAAGTATCAAATTCGTCAGATTAAAAAGATTTAGTCCAGTTCAGACGGAAAAGATTATAATTTTAATTTGTGCAAATAAAAAAAATAAAATGCAAATACCAAAAAAATAATTCTCACGTAACCAACCGTTCCTTGAATTGAGCCAATAAAATACAAAAAGATTTTTTGTACGCTTGAAAAATGGTATGACGAAATACGAAGCAATCTATTGCAATTGTATTTTAAAAAATTATGTAAAAAAATTGAAATTTATAAAAAACGTGCCTGGCCATTTATTCGAAAAAAGTTGAACTTGGTCCCCCCTGTGGATTTTTTTAAAAAAAAAGCAGCTATACCTGTGCAGACTTTTTCGACCCCCGCCACCAGACCAAAAAAACTATTAATACTTTATAAAACAAAAAAAATATGAAGTTATAGCAGATGTTTTTGCAAAATCTTAAAACACCAAGAAACGTCTTTGCAAATGTTGGTATTTTGTGCCAAAAATCAGGCAATTTCCAATTGGAAGACCGCAAAAACTCATATTTTTTGAGAAAAATACTTTTTTGATTGAAATTTCCTGATTTTTGCCGCTTTTTGCCACAGAACGCCAACGTTTTGCAAGGACGTTTTGTGGCCCTTTAAACAGTCAGTTTTCTATTTTAATTGCTAAAAACAATGTCAATTCAATACAATAGTATGAACAATAAGGAACCAACTCAATAATATAGCAATATTTTTGTTTACAAATGTAAACAAAGTTCAGTTTTGTAAACAAAGTTATTGCCATTTCGAATACAAAACACTAAATGCTACTGATATTGTTTGATATGCCACTGGCCAGTGCAATGGAATTTGAAATATTTTTGTGTTAAAAAAAGGAACCAGTTATTGTAAGTGATAAAACATATATCTTCCGGAAACTATTATCAGGTTTGTACAAAGGTAAGCTTATCAACTGGTATAAAAGTACATTAATTTTTTTTCAAATTGTGTGAATATTACAGTGTCTTAGGTATACCAAATTGTCAATAAATCAGCCCTTACAGTAAGTTTTTACGATTTGGGGACTGTTTCACAAAAATTATAAAAATATTAGTTAAAATGTCAATTCAAATGCTATAGCATTATAGTAACAAAACATGAATAACATGTACGAATTGTACTGTGTTCTATCCTAAACCGTTACAAGGTCGTTCCGTTTGCATCCTCGTTCTCTGTTTATGCAAATACCTGCGTTACAACAACTTGACATAGATTTGCATTTTAAATTTTTATTTAAACTTGACTTTGAGAGGTCAGTCCAGTGTAACAACATTTTGCTGTTCAACTCCATCCAAAACAGCTACTTGTTGATCTGGCTTTAAAAACATCAAAAAACTACAGTATTTTCAGATACAGTATTTTTACTACAATCTTTGTGTATTTTGCTACAGTTCACATTGATATATTGTTATAAAAAATAGTTTACTGTGAACTATTCTTATAGTCTACTGTAACTACAAGATCTTGTAATATACTGAAACTACCAAAAAATGGCATTCCAAGGAGTGATAGCATTGATAATATGCTTTATCGCCTCAGGGTTGTTTGGATCTATGTTTGTGCCTATGAAGAAGTACAGTCCTGGAGATGGTATGTTTCTGTAAAATACTTTTTAAAACTTTTATGTCATTTTTAGTAAAAAACTTAACAATTTCACATTAAAAAAATTATCTTTGCATCTTACCGTAGTAAACCTAAATTTATCTAGGCTTATTTGCTCAATGGGTAATGTGTTCGGCCATCTGGCTAGTTGGATTTGGAGTCTTTTTGTACACAGGATACCAAAACTTTTATCCATTTGCCATGGTTGGTGGCTTCTCATGGTGTTTGGGGAATGTCATCACGGTACCTATCATCAACGAACTTGGTCTCGGCTTATCTTTGTTGTTATTCAGTGTTATGAACTCAACCACTTGCTTCTTGGTTAGTACTTTTGGTCTTTTTAGTACTATTGCAAGGCCTTCGGAAAGATTGTGGCTGAATTTGATCGGATTGGTGTTTATCGCTGCTGGGTAAGTTTATATTGTCAATTTGAATAGTGTAGTTGACAAGAAAATGGTGAGCTCAAATTTGTAGTCATAAAAACATGTTTTAATATTCTACTATAAAATTTTTTTGTTTCAGAGGTATTTTAACCTCGTACGTTAAGACATGTCCGCCAAGAACTTCAAAATCCAAAAGCAATGTAGGTTACCTTTGAAAATTATTTAAATACCGTATTTTACTATAAATTCCACCGTTTTTTAAGTTTTTTAGGATGAAAAGTCGTCTATAGACACAATTTCAAACAAAACTCAAGGTGACGTCGTTGAATTTCACGATTTATCAAAAACCAAATCGACGCTTCGAAGAAAATTGTAAGTTTAACGTTTTTAAAATCTATTATACATTATCTTTGCCTTTAAATATTTTTTGCTTGGTAAAAATTATAAAAATATAAAAAATAAAATATTGTCTTCTTTGTTTTGAAGTATTTTTAAAATCGAAAAAAGTTTGGGCTCAGCCGGTGATCGAAACCGGGGCCTCTCGCACCCAAAGCGAGAATCATACCACTAGACCACTGAGCCGCGCTACTCCACGGCGTCGACTGGCTACTCCTTTTTGTTTCTTTGAGTAGCCGCTACTTTTTGCTTACTTTTTCAATTGCCGCTGGGTGTTTTTGCAAGCTTCGGGTTTTCAAATTGTAGTTGTATAGCGTTGAGATTATTATGTTAATAAAAAGAGTTTTTTTCGTTGGGATTTCTAATATAACATGCTAAATTGATAAATTCTACCGTTTTTCGCCTATTTTTAAAACTTTAATTAAAAATTATTATCAAAGTTTAAAAACCTTTTTTAAATTTGTAAACATATTTTTTAAATATGTTTTTCTTGTTTTAGAGCGTTACTGGGAGCATTCGTAGCCGGAATTTTGTATGGATTCAATTTGGTACCCATTGTTTATATCCAAGATAACGCCGACTTGTTTGACAATGTTCAAGTTGGTGGTATGCCATATGTATTTTCTCAATTCTGTGGAATTTACATAAGTTCTACCGCATTCTTCGCCATTTACGGATTTGTCAAGTAAGATTTCAGACGTTTTAACTTCGGGGAACCTTGCTCAATGTAAAAATCTTGTCCTTCTCTCATTCTTAGGTCTAGGACCATAACTTAATATCTCACCTTCAAACCGCTAAGCACTCTATATAGAAATTGCTAGCTATTATCAAAAAAAAACGATATACTGAAAATTTTAGGAAGAACAAGCCAGTGATCAACCCTAAAGTAGCGTTACCTTCATTGTTGACTGGACTAATGTGGGGAGTGGCCCAAACAATGGCTATAATCTCTACCGAAGCTCTTTCTCAAGGCATCTCTGGCCCAATCACAGCTATGGTACCTGGTTGTATCGCTACAGTTTGGAGTTTGCTCTACTTCAAGGAAATTGAGGTAAGCATATAACCAAAGATGACATTAAACATTAGTTGATTATCTTTTCTGAATCACAAGTTTATGTTATCTAGAGTTTTGAGAACTAAAACTTTCAGACGGGAAAGAATCTGTACGTGCTATGGACCTCAATTGGTTTGACAATGACTGGAGCGATTTGCATTGGTCTGAGCAAATTGTAAATAAATTTTGTCACGACTCAAGTATACTGGTCAAAGGATTACTACTGTACAAAAACCCTGCATTCTTAGTATGTTAATTGTTTTACTAAAACTATGAAGCACAAGTTGTTATAGTACAATAAATACTATTTATTTTTTAAGCTTTAGACCTAATTTGTGGCAAAAATAAGGTTGCCCTTACTAAAGATGCAGATTTTTATCAAAGAAGGTAAAAATCTGTGATGAGAACGTATACCAACTAAAAAGCCCTTATAAAATTAAAATTTTATTAAAATCCCTGAAAAGTTACAAGTATTTGTGAATTTCATCGTACAATGCCAATACCAAAGCTGCCCCCGTACCACGATAAATATTGGACAAGGTACCATGGAAGAAAGCCCTCGGTCCTTCTGTTTTGTACATCTTCCTAATACAGTCCAACGTGTTCTTGTACATCATATCCTTCCTACCCGACTGCATCATCATTCGTCGTCTCACTGTGTCAAATGGATATGCCAAGAATCCAGAAGTCACAGTCACCACTTGAGCCAGACCCCAAGCCACAAAGAAGTTGGCTTGTTTCCCTCCGGGCATAAATATGGGTTTGATTGTGTCATAAAGGCCAAAGTAACTGGCACGGTAGATGAAGATTCCTTGAACTGAGATCACAAAACCTCTAAAACCATCAATTTAAAAAATTTACAACGTATTTTACATAAAAACATAAAATTACAAATTTGTTTAACTTTATCTTATAAAAAACGCCAAATCTTACCTATAAAGACCAATGACACCATCGGACTTGGCCACTCTGACCAAACAATCGCCCATTCCCTTGAATTCCCTCGAAGTTCCTTTTCCAATATCTGTGGCCAATCTCGTACGAGCAAAGTCCAACGGATACACAAAGCATAACGATGTAGCGCCAGCTACACCACCACTTGCCAGATTTCCAGCAAAGAACCTCCAAAACTGTTTCTCTTTGTCGACTCCACTCAAGAAGAACCTTTTGTAGGTATCCTTGAAGGCAAAGTTCAATGCTTGAGTTGGAAAGTATCGAAGGACATTGGCAAAGTTTCCTCTCCACAAAGCTGACAGTCCTTGCTCTTTCGGTACTCGTACTAAAACGTCTGCGATTCCTTTGTATCGTTTGTCCACTGTGATTGTTGTAGATGCGTGTTGAGACTGAAAATATAATATATAAGGTATAAAAATTTTTTTTGAAATATATTATATTTTGAAGCACAATGCAATTTTTTAAAAATGTTTCCCTTTTTCGTAAATAAAAAACATTTTAATTAAAAAATTACCTGTAGTAACAATTTGACCCTCTCAATTGGTGCCATCGCCGTTTTGGAAACGGCTGCCGCGCCACCACCTGAGGCTAAATCTATTAAAAACTTTTTCGATTTATCGTGTTTCGCCATCTGAAGCCAAGAACGTTACTTTTGGAGTACAATATAAATACTATTAAAAATGGCATCCACGATAGCATACCCAAAAACCGTATTTCACGCAACAATACCCGATAAAAAACTCATTATAGTAAACAGAAAATTCTGTATGTTGTTTACGACATTTTTAACTATAAAGGCGCTTTGTTTTTTTACCAAATAACGTCAATGTAAAGCACGTTTGAAAAGAAAATAAATTTGCGTGACATTTGCAACAATTAATCCCATTAAAACAGCAAACCGGGAACTAAGACAACAACAAGATACGATTAAAAGTAAAATCAGCTGAATTTTAACATACAGAAAAAGATTGGCTACATTTAATTTCAAGTACTCCCGTTAGAGTCAACACCATGAAAACTTGGTGTTCTAGAAAAATATAGTAGAACCCATGTATAAAAAACCCCTATAGCGACAACCTCGTATAACGACGAATTAAAAACTCTATTTTTATAATTTTGGCAATTTTTAAATGCCTTGCTAACACTACACCAGTGAATTTAAATCTCCTTTATAACGAATTTCCCTAATAACGAACAAATTTTAAAGCTCCAAACTATTCGTTATACGATATCTTCACTGTAAATACACTGAAAAACTGAGCCGAAAAAAAGTTTAAAATGTCAATGTCACACTATAATAAAAGATCAAAAACCTCGAAGACTGTTTAATTTTTGACTCTAAATTGAGTAAGTTTGACCCATAACCAGTCTGAACCATTTGAATTGTAATTACTTATTCCCAAAACTTTTTCCTGACAAATTATCACCGAAAACGAATCGAAAATGTTTGGATTGTGTTTTAGCTCTCCTCCCTTTTCGGAATTACTTTCGAAAGAATATGATGTTGTTTATAACAACAAAATGTTTTGTTATGAAATTTTTATATTACTTTATGTAAACTTATATTGTAAAAAGTTGCTTTACATCTTTAACTGTCTTACATCTTTAATATTAAGAGATTATGTTCAAAACTCTATCATTTTTTACAAGAACCAACTTAAATTGTAAAAGATAATTACAATATTAATTGAAAACTTTAGATATAATTATTTTCAAAACTACCATTTTTAAATATAGTATTACAATTAAAATCCCATGTAAAAACAAAAAAACCCTGCGGATGTTTAAAAAACACGTTAAGTCTCCCGTTATGTTTTCCTGTGAACTTCCGAAGACCAAGGGCAATGTTTTGTTTTGCAATATGTTTATGTTCTTTTCGTAAACAAGCTCGCTAAACCAAATTCTTGTGAGCGTTTTGAGAATTAAAAATCACCTTTTACAAAACCCCTCAAGGGTTTTGAAATTTACATGTCATACTTTATTTTATTGTTTATTTTTTTGAGAAATAAAACATAGCTTTTGAAAAAAGTCAACTAAAAACCAACTTGTGTTCATATGAAGAGCAAAATAGCTTTAAATCACGTAAAAAAGCTTAAGATTTCCTGTAAAAGAACCAGGCAATGTAAAAAATGAATATAAATTCGAAAAAAACTATTGTTTCTTTACAAAAATTGAAAAATAGTTTGTGAAACATAAGTATCATCCTTAATATACGCACACCAAGAATTAATAGTTTATTACTTATTAATAATGTTATTAACTTATTACCCTTATTAATCATCACGTCTTGAACTAGCTGGATACCCAAAGACCCTAAATGTGATTGGATCACGTTCCCTTTCATGTTGTGGCGCTGTAGCGTATGCCAGTAAATATAAACGAGGATTCCATTGCAGAGCGTAACATTCGTTTGGTATGTTAACTTCTCCTACCCTGAAACAACAATTAAAAAAAATTACTCCATATAAATCGTATTTTATAAAATACTCTTCTACAACTACAAATTTAATCAATAAACTTACTTGTTACCATTTTCAGCCCATGCCAAATCAATTGTAAAATCTTCGCTGCCTGAGGCAATGACATTAGAACAATGAGAGAATGAAACTGTACGAATAGGATAGTCCATACGAGCAATGGACCTTATACACAGCATGTCCTGTAGGTCCCATACTGAACAAGTCGCGTCTGAAGCGCCAATTGCCATATATTCACCATCTGGAGAAATGTCGATTGATAAGCAATCAGATAGAGGTGGGTGTGCTTGAATGACTTTGTAGGAAGTTAGTTCTGGGAATCTGAAATAATGTCAAAATTAAATTTTTAATCCGCACTATAAACACCCTAGAACCAAAAATAAACCAAAAAAACGTACCTAACTATCTCAATTTTGCCCATACCCAAACAAGCAATAATGAAGTTGCCACTTGGATGAAAAACAAAGTCGAAAACTGAATCACTAAACTGATACAACCCTTGAGCATCCATGTTCACCCTGTCTACCACTCTCAACTTGTCTCCTTTATCAATGTATACTATGAATTTACCGTCTTTCGACCATTTTAGCGCCAAATTTCCATCTAAAACAATATTAACATAAAAGTTTGAAATCGAACCTAAACCATTAAAGATTAGTAAAATAAACTACCTGAACTAATGTAGCGATGATGTTGTTTTGTGACTCTGACATCCCATAACCTGACCGTCTTATCCGATGAGCAAGACGCTATCACTTGAGGGTCAGTTGGATGAAAAGCTACACCCGTGACAGAATCATCGTGCCCTGATCCCAAAAAGTGTTGCTTCTAAAAATTTACATTTTAAAATGTCTTTTCAAGCTTTGAACATCTTAAAAATATTTTTTTAATCCTAAAAAGGTTAAATATATTAAAAATTTTCGAAAAATGTTACCTAAATTATTGTTTTTTAGTTTTAAACCAAAAACTAAGTAAAAAATAACAAAAATACTTACCAGTCGATTCGATGAAGGCTCCAACTGTCCAACTACAACGTGCGAATGGGTATTATCGTAGTTTCCACCAGCCAACAAAGTTCCATCAGCATTCCACGAAACCGATCTGACATAATTTACCTAAACCAATAAATAATCTTAAAAATCAACAACTTACATATCGACCTTCGTAGGGTCGAACACGGTTCCTTCTTTTTAAGTAGCTAGCAGCAGCAAAATCGTCGACAAACTCAGTATCTCTTTTAATCTCACGGATCTTGTTCAAAGCAGCCATTATTCACAACACAACAATTCAATAGACTCAAAGATATATAAAGTGAAGTGTTTGACACTAAATGATCTTATATTCTCGTATCCTAACGAAGAAACGCATCCACAAAATTTACATTTCCAAAAAAATGTCTGCGCAAATTTATTTTATTTTACCGAGCTGCGGCCAGTCAATGCAGTTTGCAAACACACTTTTTATACGGATAAGAAGATTTTTATTTTTGCTGTGATTATTTGTGAACCAGTAGCTTCTGACCAGTAGTGAACGTTGAAAAAGGATAATTCGGTGTTTTTATTACTGGTGTATTGTTAAAAACGTTTATTTAGTTTGAAAACTACAACTTCAGCTATCAAAACAAGGATGGATAACAAGTTCAAGCAAAAGGTAACAAACGTAAGTCCAAAATAGGCAGAAGATCCTGAAAAATGTTACCTAAATAAAAAACAATATTTTTGAACGATGGGTTAGAAATAATTTAAAAGAAATCAAATTTTTATAATAAAACTGCGATATATAATATAATATTATACCTGTGCTTTGAGGTGGTTCGGTTTCACAATTAAGCCGTTCTTTGTATCTGACCATGTACTTCACCCAAATACGTCTAATTTCCAGTTTCTCCTCTGACAAAATACGATTAACTTGTGGCAGTAAAGGATGGTTTTTGCGAAATACGAAGGAACTGTAACCTGGTTGAATGGCATCGTCGTTCATAACAACATCACAGTGTCTGATGGCACGATAGAGGAACTCATCGTCGTCCTGGAAAGGTGTCATGGCTTTTGAATGTAAGTATGGCTATGAGTTTTGTTTAAACAGCTGTTAGCTTAAGTTTTACCTATTTTTTAAATGTTTTTATTGACGTTATGGACAGGGACGTCGTTTGGGGGGAGGGGGGGGTACCCCCCTCCCCCAGAGCCGATCCGAAAAAAATAGACCTGTACGCGAAAAAACGAAAAAAAAATTTTGAAAAATCGGTCCACAGGGATTTTTTTTTCGACCTCCCCCCTCCCCCAGAGAAAATCCGTAGCGACGTCCCTGGTTATGGATAATATTGACGTATATTGTAGTAAATCCTTACATATCGTACCATAACACTCCCTTTTTCATGAAGCTTCTCTAGAGCGTCACTTATGTTACTAGCTATCCTAATTGGATTGTATTTGAACACTTCTTCCATGTCAATACCTTCTAATGCCCCAGCTTGGATCAACGCGTTCTTCACTCGAAAGTCTGATATTTCCACGATGTGAACATCGTTCTTCATCACACCAACGACCATTTCTTGAATATTGCAAAAGGCTATTGGATTTGGAGGTTTAATCAAGTTGGAGAACAGGTAGGAACTCATGATACCCATAATAACCGCGCATTGGGCTAGTGAGAATATTATTATTGATAGCTTCCCTGAAATGATAATGATGTAGATATTATGTTGATGGCATAGTTATTAGTATGCCTATAGTATAGATACTAGTACAAATGTGTTAAATATTGTGTAGATAGTCTAGGTACATTTTTATGTTTTCATGGACTTGATAACCTATTTTACCTGCTATTAAGCCAGATTCACATGTTTGAGGCTGTAGTAGCTGAAGTCTCAACATTCTCCATGCCACATCCATCCAGTTTGTGTCGCTTTTCTGAAATCTTTTTTGTTTATTTAGTTTGTGTGTATCAGTGTTAAGGCTAGTACAAACTCAGCTTTTTCTAGGTTTGTTAGTGTTTAAGCGTCTTAATACTCTACCTGATGTAACTTATGTTCAACTCCATGCACTATAATACCAAATAGACATTGTACAAGTAGTGAGGTTAATATCCCCATCCATGCGTTTGTTTGGTATGATCCGAAAAAGGAAAAGTAATTTTCAAAGTGATCAGCTGGTCGAATGGCTAGTATTCTTGCCATAGTCTGAAAGTTATCTTTTATTTTGAAGGTCGTTAGTACTTATTTTGACTTTAATGTCTTTTTAAAGGCATGTTAATCTTGTCTTACATAGAACATGGAAGTAGTCAGTGTAAAATGAGAATCCAAATGACCATCGTTGCCGTATGTCATGGCTATTGTGTCTACAGTATCATTGTAAACATACTGTAGAATTCCAGTTGGTGTCCCATTCACAATATTACCATAGTCTACGTCTCCTGGCGATGTGCTGTCTAGTACTGGTGTTATTGTGACGTTTAGGCGACGGGCCATCAAGTTTGTTAACTAAACTGATATTAACATTATTTTGTCGCAAAGTAAGGTTTACTATAACATGGTTGGTATCATATTTTAAAAATATTTATAATGGCGGAGAATTCACTAAATATGAGTAAAAATATCAATCTATAGGCAATAACTTGATGTTAGATTTATACTTTTACTCTGGTACATAAAAAACTTGCTTCAACAGAAAGTCCAGGATAGGGACAGCTTCTACCAGGATGAATCTGAAGGTATCGTGGACAGGCATAGTTAACATGAGGGAGATACGGAGTGTAGAGGACCCTAAATTGCGTGGCATTGGTTATGCTCATGAAGGAAATGGCAGTCGTTTCGAATGGTATCAAGGTGTTTTGAATATTGTGTTACATTCTATTAAATGCCCTAAAGGTGCATAAACAAATTTTGTGATTTATGTCCCTTTTTGGTCTGGAAAAGTGTAAAATTCGAAAATATTTTTCTTTCTTATCGTAAAAATATTTTTTTAACTTTCTTAAAAATAAAAAAATATTACTCTGCCTCATTTTAAGTTTCATCTATGTGTTATTATTATGATAATATTTTTTTTTGATTATAACAGTTAATTCCTATTTTTTCAACGTTACTGTAACATGTGTTATTACTGTGCAAACCTTTGAACTCTTCTTCTTTTAATTGAAACAGTTGGGCAAGGTTTTAGGTATGTTAACATCACTGTTATTGTAAACTTCTAATTGGATTAAAACCAATAATTTTGTACACTAGAATGAGCAAGTTGTAGATTTACTTAACACTGTGTAAAATGATTAGTCAGTTTGGAAGTTGCCAATACTTGTTTGCTTTAAACAATTTATTTTAAGTGAGAAGAATTTGAATTTTTTAAAATTTTTTATTTTTTTTACTGTTACTTTAAATTTTTACAAGTTAAGCTCTGGCAGTAGCAGAAAAAACGAGGATGTAGAACATGATTGACGTCACTATTGTAAACCTTTACATTAGCAACATTAGTTCTGTAAACGTGCGCTTTCACCTAATGTTTCGTCTTTTTGAAATTCGAACTCAAAGATCGAAATTAAAATGGAAAAGCTGTATTTAAAGGCGCAGTCAATTAGTCAGCGTCTACTTGTTCATCATGAAAGTAGTCGAGATTGTGACAACCCATGCTCGCGAACCTGAGGACATTGTGCCATTCGAGAAGACTATCGAGGACACTGGAGTGTCATATAGGAAGATCGTTGAGATTCTGTCCAAAACTCACAAAACCTTTATAAAGTTGACTGAAGCTTACAAAGTTGTTGATGTAAGTAGTTCATATTTTGTAGTTTTTTGATTTTACTGTAGTATGAGGCTATGTCTTAAACTTATAGGTTCTTAGTAGTCAACAAAAAGTCGTAAGTCACAGTGAAACTGAGTTGTATATTAAAAATTATAAAAAGTTAAAACAGTTTTTATAAAAACAACAATTTTTAGGTAACAACAAGCCGTATTGGATTAACTACAGGATTTTTGTCTCAAATTTACAATGTCATGTTCCACTTTTCAAATGGACAAGCTGTCAGTGTAATTGCCAAAATCCCATTGGTCGGAGGTATCGACGCGATTTGTGGAGCTGATGGGGAAGTGGTAAGTTATTTATAAATTTAAATTTTAACTTAACAGTTCAATAAGATAACACCATTATAGAAAGGTTGAAGCAGATTATATCTATAAATTACTATACCCAAATTAAAAATGGGAAAATATGTCTCTAACAAAGAATACTATTGCCCGTTTAATAGGTAAAAATTTTAAAAAGTTTTTTTTTCAGAATCCACCTCCAGCCGACGAGAAACCGAATGCTCACTCAATAGAATGTGAATTTTATGACCAATTTTCGTATATGAGAGATGTGCCTTTGCCTAAAGTCTACTACACTGAGAAGATCACGCCTTCTGATAAGGGTCTGATTCTGATGGAGAATCTCAGTCTTCGTTCTGACACACCCGGCTTCTACAAAGGCGCTACTGAAGAACAATGCTACAGTGTAAGATAGTTTATATCCTAAAGGTTTCTATTGCATTTTTAAACTTATTATTGATTTTTAAACTTGATAATGATGACTTTATAGTTAGCCAGAGCAGTAGCCCATTACCAGTTCTGTGCAGCTGCCCCTCGTCATCAGCCATGGTGGCGACAATTCCATGATAACATTCACACTGAATTTGATATGAATCTGGTGAAGCCATTGTGGGGCTTTGCTCATACCATCGAAGAGTTTAAAGATGTCTTACACTTGGCAGAACCTTATCAAAACAAAGAGTTCTGGACATATGCCTTGAGGGAAAGAGCAGCGGAGTATAGTAAGCCTTACCGTAACATCTATTTTGTTGTTTTTATGTTTATTGTAGTCTGAATATTATACTATAGCTTTAGAGTTAAAAATTTATGTAAACTGTTACTTCTTTGGGTACGAAACACGATACTCTACGTTTTTAGCCACTAAGCAATAAAAATTTTAAAAATTAAGAATTCGTACTTTTAAAAACTTTAGATGCCATTTCAATGTGTCACGGTGACACTCAGCCCAACAACTTGATGTTTAAGCTGAAGAAAGATGGCACGATGTCAGACGAGCTTCTTGCCATTATTGATTGGCAATTGGTCTTTTATGGTAAGTTCAACTTCTTAAAATGCATGTTATTTACAGTTTTTTTTAAATTTTAGACGAGGGAATTGTTGCGCAAGAGCTCAAGGTTTAGGAGTAATTAACAATTACTTTTTTATATTAAAAAGTCTATCAGAATTGTGAACTTTGACGGTTTTTTGCTCACAAAAAGACTGTTTGTGTCAAAAGAACATTAGAAGTTAAAAAAGTTAAAATATAAAATACTACAAAATTTACTAATTGATAAAACGATAACAAAAATATGTCATTTTAGCTAGTGCACCATTTGATTTGGCCAGGTTTATTTGTATGGGGGTGGATTGGAGTGTCAGAGAACAATGCGAGACCAAGGTCTTTGATGTCTACTACAACACGTTGTCGGATCTCTACGCAAAATCGTGCCAAAAACCACCATTCACGTATGCACAGGTATGACTACTTTTATCTTTTATTTAACATTCAAAAAGTTGAAATTCAAAAAAAAATTTTAAAATTTGTTTTTGAATTTTGGAAAAAACTGCTTAGAAGTTCAAAAAAAGTATAAAAAAGACTGACTTTTGCCATTTCAGGGCTTGGAACTGTACCACTTGACTTTAATGCACCAAGGTGTCCAAGCTGTGATGTATGTGTCGATGATCGCTTTGAAGCTACAACAAAGTAATCACGTAGAGCCTCTATTCCCAATTCTTGTAAACCGTGTCCGAGATGTCGTACTGAGGACTGCTGAGTTGGGAAAAATGTACAATCTGGAACGATTTGCTCAGTTTTCGTCTTGGACCAAGGACTTGTAACTATACCTAAATATACCTATAACTAAATGTTCTCAAGCGACTATATTAAAAATAAATATGTTGCAAAATAGTAATTGTATTAATGTCTAAATGATTTTTAAGCTATGTGCAAATTTTTAGCCAATTCCGGGTGATATAGGCTTCGTACCACAACAAAAACCTACTGTTGCTGAAAAAGCTAAAGTTGACACATAAATATTTATGCGTCAACTGTTCTTCTGTAAATATATTATCGCAAAATTTTTTTTCGCAAATCGAATTATATTGACTTTCGGACACGTTGAACTGCAAAAACAATATATATATATATAGTTTATTAGCAATACATTTTTTTGGGTAGCTAAAGGATAAATGTAGTTTTCTTGACAATGTTTAATGTACAGGATGTGTTTTCTATGAGTAACAATGCCAGAGAGAAAGAGATTGCTATTTTGGAGAAAACAATAGAGGAATGTAAGTTGTATACTTTATGGCTGAATTGCTAAATGTTTTAGCTACTGACGAGGTGAAGAAGCTAGCTGGAGACAACTTTTTGTACCTAAATAATATCCTAAAAAGCTGTTCTGATGCTGACACAGGGAAGAAACTTCAAAAGTTGGATGATCTGATATCTAAAATTCAGAAGCAAGTCACTGACACTTCGAAGAAGGTTGAGGTGCGTATTTAGTTTACTTTTGTTGAACGTTTTAGTTATTTATACTCATTTTTTGTTGTTTTAGGTAGCTTCAGTCAAGGACAAAATAACGGTTATCAAGGGGATTGAAAAAAGACTGGAGAAGTTTGCAGAGCTTCGAAATGCCATTAGAAGTTTGAATACAGACTTTGCAACGTTAGAATCTTATCGTTCGTATGCTATGAAGTTGAAGAACATGAAGGGATACAAAGATATTGTTACTTTGGTATGTTTCAGTATTACTTTGTTTCGTTTTTAGGTACAATATGAAGCAAAAGTAACACTAATTTATTGTTATGTTGACTGTATGTTTTACGAACAAATAGAGCATGGTTTGTTTTAGGAAGAGTACGAACTAGACCAAGATTACCCAGAAGAAGAGATTATGACTAAATTTATCGCTGAAGTTAACCTTGAGATTGAACGTTTTAATCGTTATTTGGAAGGGATTTTTGATACTTTTATAGTTATAACAAAAGATGTTGACAATCTGAACAAAACAGTGTTGACGATCAATTCAGAAGACCCTAAGTTAATATGTGATTGTCTGGATTCTCTAAACTTATTGGAACGCTTTGACGACAAATTTAGAGAGTTGGCAACTGTCATATGGACAGATTTTTGTGAAGTTTTGTTGAATTCAGCTGACAGTGAGAATGTAGTTACGATAACATCAGACGAACCTCATAAGAAGACTTTTATTAGTGAATCGAAGCCAAAGAAAGGAGAGAAACAGAATGTCCAAGCTTTAATGAGGTATGTTTTGATTATAACATTCAATTGTTTAGTGTAACTGGGAATTTAATTGTAAGTCTTGTGTTCTGACAAGTTTTGGTAAAAATTTTATAAAATGGAACATTTTTTGTTGGCATTGAATTGTAAACTGTAAAAATTTTTATGTAATTGATATAATTTGTAATTTCAGAGCACTGGAAAACTTTTTTGAGAATCTTCATGATGTTTTGAAAGATATTAAACTGCAAGAGTGGTTAGTAACACTCATCGGTCGAGAAATAGGTAACAGAGTTATAGAAACCTTATTGTTACGATCTGCTGCGGCTACAGTGTCTTTAAAGAAGACAGATGAGGAGAAATTAGAGGCTTTGAAGGAAATGATCAAACATTTCGACATGAAGATGAGGGTAAGTGGTAGTTTAAGTTTGATATTTTAGGTATAAAATTCACCTAAAAAACTTATTTTGATAAGGTTTTAGGAACTTCACTTTTTCGATGACAAACTGAGTGCTGAGATGGTGTTGAACAAGTCCAATAGACTGTTCGTCAACCAAAGATGTCGAGCCTTCTTAGCCGCTGCCAGAAACCTGATTGCCAAACCTTATGTTGACTTAGTGGAAGTATCTGGAAGCCTAAAACCATCAACAGCGGACATTAACAATTTGACGATATCTTTGAACAATATGAAGATCAAAACCGAAGTAGATGAAGAAGAATCTGTGTATGAAATGCAAAAGTGCAAAGTCAGCGATTCTGTGTACAAGTTGGTACCCCGTATCAAGACACTGTTTGATCTGGCAATGGAAACAGAGGACGAGATGGGAGCGGTCAACTTTTTTCAAGCTGCTTTATTAATTATTGATACCTTCTTGGTATCCACACCTAGACTTCATCAGCAGGCTTTGTTGTCCGTTCCTCAGACTTCAGGTAAGAGTTTGCATAATACGTGAAGTAAACGTGATAACATTGGGAGTATGTTAAGATGCTTATGATGAGAATACAAAATTTAGTGTTTGTTTATGCAGTTTTAGCTGCACTTACCTTAATATAGCTTTTAAACAGAAAAAAATGTAATTTTATTTAATGACTTTTAATTTCAGCTATATTCTACAACAACTGTCAGTACCTATTTTATAATTTGTCGATTTTTAAAATGGAAATGGAAAAGAAATTACCAAGTCAAAGCAACGTAAGGAATTTGATGATTTTAATGAATATTGTTGCTTTTTAAACGAATATTGTCATCTTTTGATTTTTCAAAATTTTTAATGAAATTTACATGTTTTTGGCCATGTTTGATATTATCATTAAGGAAATTTGGTTTCAGATAAAGCGTGAAGACTTAAACTTCACAAAACAGTTCAAGGAGTTAAGAACAACAGCAATGAAGTTTTTGGAGCACCAGTTAAACACTATAAAAGCTAGTTTGTTGAAGGTCAGAGATGAGAATATGACTTTGGAGGATTGTGAGTTAATTTTATAAATTTCTATATGAGTATTAATTTATTTGATTAGTTTTCGTTATCATATTAACGAAATGAAATAAATAAAATCTAAAAATGTACATTAACCTATCTTTACAGTATTTGTGAACATTGATGCGACGCCAAGTAACAGAGAAAGAGTAGAGAAGACCCTGAATGGAAGTCTGATGGAGTTGTCCAAGATACGATCCGTGTGGAGCGATGTCATGTCAGACTCTGTACTAGAGATATCATTGGGAGTTCTGGTGTCACATTTACTATCGTTAGTAACGAAAACCATATTGTCAAAGGAGGATATCACAGTGCATGATGCTGAAAGTATGGCTAGATTGTGCAAGTACGTGTTGGAAAGAAGTGCAGCTCTTATGACGGTAAGAAGTTGGCAGGGTTACGTTATTAGTGGGGTTAATGTTCATATGGCTATTAACTATATTGTTTTCGTTGGTAGCATTTTATATTAAAATCACAGCCAAAATGCTGATAACACCCAACATATTTAATTTCAGATAAATGGAGTTCAAGCCATACACAGAGTATGTCAAAAGGAGTATTACCGCCTCAAGGAGATAGTGTTTGTCTTAGAAGCCAATCTTGATGTAAGTTTTGTTCCTTTATATCGTTAACATACCTTTTACGGAAAAATTGAAGGGTATAAACCATGTTATCAGAAAATAAATTAGTAAATATATTTTCAGGAAATTGGTAACAGATGGTGTGACGGAATAGGTATCCTGGCAGAATATGTAAAGCCATTCGAAGTCCGCGGCCTGGTCTGTGCTTTATTCCAGAACACTTCAAAGCGGGCTTCTTTGTTGGATCAAATTAGAAATCGGTGAAAACACAAAACTGTGATGACTAAACTTATTGTATATTGGGTGTTATGTTGGTTTAAAAATAGAAATATAAATTATTTGAGTTCAGATTGTTGACAAGGTCATATTACTGCAACTGACGTTGTGAGCCTACTTTTGAAGCACAGGCTGGCCTTTTTAAAGCCTAAAAAGGATCGATAACCAAGAATAACAACAAGACAAATAGCATTTTAGAAAAATGTTTATTACAAGGTAATGAATAATCAATCGATCAGGTCATGTAGCTTTCTTCTTGTTGTTAGAGTCTGCTGTCTTCTTCTGTTTATTTTCCAATTCGTGTGATTTCTTGGCTTGCTGAAAATAACATAATTATACATTTACAGACCAGAAAAAAACGAGTTAATTCAAAAAAAATATAACTTACCTCCATCAACTTGTTGACTTCTTCTTTCGGAACCGGCTGAAGTTTCTGATCGGCCGCGGCAGCAGATTCCACCATCGCGTTCAGACGCAGATCTTCTTCATCGCTTTCGTCTTCCTTATTATTGTCGCGTTTCTCACTCATAATTCGAATTCTTCGACCACTAACACAACAACAACCGGTCGATACAACGAGTAAAAAGATGTGAGCCTTTTTGTTTTTCAAACTCTTTTTATCAAATTTAAATTTCGAAAATGTTCACAAAAGAACATCTTTCGAGATAAAAATACTTTTTAAAATCTGCATTTCGAAAAAAAATTCACAAAACCTAGTAATATTACACTTTATTTACAAGCACATTCTGATTGTCACTCCCACATCTATTGTGTACCATCTTGTGCACAATCCAGCAGATAATCCCTATACAGAGTACCAGATACCCCAAATCGAATGATTGTTGTGTCAGCAGACACATCCTCTGCACATACTCAATCTCATTCATTTCCAGTCTACAACTATCCTTCTCCACCACCTCTCTGTGTTTCGATACGTATACATTTAGCTTCTTGTACTCGTACCCAAAGTTATCGGCCGTCGTTACCAAACATTTGGGGCCATTCGTGTAGTCAATATGACAATTACTGAGGCTAGCACATAACGAGTTTTCAGTTTCTCGTGCACTCGTTATGTCAATGTAACATTGCCTGAACTGTGGCGAAAAGAATGGCGCGTCAGGCAGAGAGAAGACGGCGTCGTAGAAGGTTTTGTGCTGTAGCCGCCTTCTGAAGTTGTAGGTAGCCCTAGCCATGACATCTAGAGGTATCAAATTCGGGGCGTCGTTCTGCAACTGCTTCTTCAATATTTTCTTAATCTTCTTGACATCTTTTGTCTCTCTTTCTACATCAACATAGTCGGTTAGATCTATGTCATCTACATTGTCCTTTACATTATCCTTCTTATTCTGTTCCCCTTGCCTTTTCAAGCCATTTTTGACTCCTCTGAACTTGTATCGTATTGCTTCATGTTTAATATCAAAGTTTTCTCCGGGTTTTGGATCTCTTTGTGCTCGCAGATGAATCGTATATCCATCTTCCCAAGATACGTTGAGTGACTTCACATTCATGTACTGTAAATGACGAATATTGTGGATTATTGAGCGGTCAATCTTCTTTGGTATAAGTATCGATTTACCGTAGGTTTCATTTCGATGAGAGATCAAACCATTAAATAACCGAGGTATCGAGTAGTTGTTAATCGACGGTACTAAAAATAATAGAGTTATAGCTTTAGTTGAGAATTATGACTAAAATAATAAAAACAAACACGAGGCTAATATAAACGAGTACAAACTCCTGGTTGTCCAACGATACAATAATAATACAAACACTTACTTCTAACATACTCAGAAGTCTTCCAAAAGAACTCAAAAGCAGCGATATTAGGCTGATGAAACAGCAAATCCCTGGCTTTGTCCAGTAAGTTCCCATTGGTGGGTATAATAAGGTCGTCCATATCAGCAAATATCATAAACTCGGCAGCTTCACGGTAGTTAAAGTAACATTCGTTGCTACAAATTATCTGATTCATGGTTTCTGTTTTTGAATTCGGATCGTAGCCAGACTAAAATTTCAAAAAATAGCTTGGATAATGTAAAATACAGAGCATTATATGTTCAGACATGTAATTATGACACTTATACTGTAATTTTTTTTAAAAAAAAACCTTTAAAAAATTTTAGAAAACTTAAGATAAACCTTGAAACTCACAATTCTTGGTGCCAGAATGCCAGGCACGACCTTCAAGTTGATATGTTTTTCGTAAAACTTCAAAACTTCGTAGATCTCTTTAATAACGTTCAAAATGTGAATACTGAACTCGCTGACTCCCATAGCATGATACATCTCCAATATTGTAAACACTACTTGCCAATTATCATAGTAAAACGTCCTCGATAAACACATCACCAATGGTATTTTACCGAGAATCGGCCTTGATACATGGAGCTGAAAGTAGAATTTAAAAAAAATTCCTTTACTGATATCACAAACAAACTGTAACATAAATAAAAAATATTTTCTAATACTAGAATAACATTTTACTTTCATATCAAGCCAAAATAAGGTTTAGGTAACAAATCAATCAAAATTTACCTGTGGTCCATATCCATTTCCATCGACCAGTCGTACGCTTTGAACTGGCTTTTTGAATCTGCACTCAACATAATAGTTCTTCCAGAAACATCCCATGCCTCCATCTGTCGCCTTCCAATCAGTATCCACCTTCTCGTGCCGATCACTGATACAATATAAAGGCATGTCCTTTTTTTCTCTAAAGTCTCTGTCTATTGGATCTTGCGCCATCGTGTTTAGTACCACTATGTATGGAGCATTCGGCCTAGAATTATATTGTTTTAGGTTTTTTACACTCCGAAGCTTTTGTTCCAAGCGTTTCCCTATTATTTTACATTACTTTAGATCAGTTTGTACCTAAAATAAATGTAAAATCAAATACTTACTCTTCATAGTCCACCAAATGTGTCGATCCAATGTAAATGTCCATAACATCTTCAACTTCATTATATTTCTGAAACAAACTATAGTTAAACACCTCAAAAGACTTCGCGAAACAACTATCTTACTTACAAAATATTTATATTAAGATTGTAGAATCCCGCGAAAGCAATAAATACTCAAAACAGATTACTTACGATGTACGACAATACAACAACGTACGACAAACATAACGCAACCAAGAGTCTTTTGAAAGATCTGTTAGACAACAAATTGACAGACATAGCCGGCGACACAATCCCGAGAGTCAATTTTTAAATAAAAATACAGGCAAGGAGATCCGGACGGAGATATTGTCAGTTTGTAATTCCATCAACTCCTCAAACGACCTCTCTGTCAATTAAAGAAACGTCTATGTACCTGACCTATTAAGATTAATGTAACGCAATATGCGTAGAACAATGCCCTTTTCCGCTACCGTAAACATCTGTCAAAATGTTTGAAAGTTGATTTCTCAACTTTAAATTATGAAAATTCGTAAATTATAAAAGTTGTTACCTAAAAAGTAGTAGATTTGTTACCTAAAAATGTAAAAAAGGATTATTCAAACTGTAAAGCCAATTTTGTCAAATATATTCAAAAAGAGCCATACTAAATGAACCAGATATTACCTAAAAACCTAAAAACAAAAGCTAAAAAAATATTTTGGAAAAAATAACAGTCTAAACAATAGTCTTCACCATGTTTTTGATATTTCACTATCGAAAGTCCAATAAAACAAGGTTTTTTTTCAATTTACTGAAAAATACTATTCTTATGACGAATTTTCATGAAACGTCTAAAAAAGACGTCATTCCCGCCATAAAATGACGTATTTTATAGACAAAACAAGATTCCGTCGAGCGCCGCGGCATTTTTGTTGTTTTACAAAACGTTTTTTAAATTTAAAACTGTATGTCAACAAAGTCTGTAGACAAAACAAGATTTTGTCATCTTCTTCGGTTTCTTTGTTGATTTAGATTAAAAATTTGAGTAAAAACAGTGAAAAATCGTTTGTTGGTAACACTACCGCCAATATATTACAAATCGGCAAGAACTTTAATGTCAAAAGAAGGCAATAATCATTAAATTAGCAGTTTTATGGATTTGATTTGAAAGAAGATATGTTAACCTTGATGGTATCTTGTTTGGTCAGCTTTTCGATTGGAGTGTTTGGAATGTTGTCACTCCCAGTCCAGCCGGATATCTCGCCCGTTACTGTGGGACGTTGAGCTTTAATGAGGTAACAACGGAGTCCCATTTGCTCCAGGAAGGCGCGGCGGTACTCGACGCTACAACGAGATAGTTTAGTTAATTTGTTTTTGAAAATGATGTTCATTTCTATATTATTGTTGATATCTTTTTCACTACGATAAGTAAAATACGTAAAATTTAGGTTTACTGTAAGTTACGGCCATACTAAAACTCGGAAATACCAAAAAATGTTAACCAACTTACTTTAATATAAAGTAGATGACGTAGTCCCAAACTCCACACAAACAAGACATTCCTATGAAGAGGTATTGCACTATGAACAGGTATGGATCCTTAACTCCGATGATATACATTGTAGTAGACCCAATTGAGGTAACAATCCAAGAGGCAGTAAACCCGCTGAGAATCATAATCAGGGCTTTTATTATCTTTCGTTTTGTCGCAGTTAGAGCTCCTGTAGAGTGCCATACATTGAGGTATATGAACAATGTCAACAGACATAGTATAGTATGAATCCAGTGTAATACACGGAGTAGAAACTTGTCCAATGGGCCGTTTATGGTACAACATACTGTCCTAAAATCATTGAGTATATGTTATATAAGGATGTGTTATGTAACCTTTAGGTTTAAAATGTATTTTAATCTGAATATTCTAATTATTTTTTGACCGAATGGCTAATTACAGACTCAAATTGAATATTGATATAAATAATTTAGTGTTTTGTATAATTGAGTATTTGTAACAGCCTAAGTACGTTCATTTACGGAAACAGACCGTGCGCATAAGTAAAATGTGATTAACCTGACTCGATTAACTCACATCATTTGGCTCGTGTAGGCACAGTAAAAGGTAACACATGTTATACCGAAAGCGAAGATCACCGGGAACAGAGACATGTATGGTACAGTTTGTAGTATCTGAAATTGAAAAACTATGGATTTTGAAAAAAAATCAAACAAATTTTTTTTAGTTAGGCATAATTTAAGTATTTTTCACATTTTAATGACAAAAATAAACCCTTTTGTCCCGCTTGATAATTTAATATGTATAATACATAAATCTCTTACATTGACGGTCGTTTGACACTTAAAAACCGGTCGATTCCGATCATTACACTAAAACCAAGTTCTGCTGTCATAGCGAACTGTGGAAGGCATTGCAGGTAAAAACAGTTCATAAAAGGCAATTGAAGGTTGTCATTAAATGTCAATACTGACATTATTAAAGCCCCAAAAGAATGAACTAGCATACACACTGCTTGACATGATATTAGGTAGTTGCACTTGTGATGGAGAGATCTAAACTCATTCATATCAATCATAATACCACAATAATTTTAAAATTAAAAATATTTTATTTTGTAAAATACGCTTTTTTAAACCAATTCAGCTTTTTTAAATATTAAGTTGTTACAAGGTGTGCCAAAAGTCCGTTGACTAACTTTACCGGTCGATTTCTTTATGTTGTACGCGATTTATATAATTTTTTTATAGATTGTCTTATTCTCCATAGTTTTTTGTTATAAATAAGTAAAAACTGAGTTTTTTATGTCTACCGTCTGTCTGTATTTAGATGACAAACATGAGAGGAGCCATCATTAGTCATGACTTTTTTATGTCTACTAAAATAATTCTGTACCCCATATCAAAACAAATTTTCGGCGTATGAGGGGGGGGGGGCAGGATTAAAAAATCTCGCGTTTGAATTAAATTGTGAAAAAATCTTACTGTTTTCTATAGCCAGCTACAATAATATTGCCTGATGACCATAGACTTAAAACAGCGACAACTGTTAAGTACACTGTCATCGGCATAGCCAGCGAATGTCCTGGTACTGTCCTATATACTCGCTCCATTTTGAGGTCTGAACAGTGTTTTTTAGATTTAAAGTATTAATATAGTCTCTATATGAATCAGAAATATACACAAAGTCTCAATGTTAGAAAAGATTACAAAATAGAAAATGCAGTGGGACCTCTTATGGAACCCCTGTATAACGAACAACTTTTGAATCCTAGACCAACACTACACAGTGCATTTAAAACTCCTGTATAACGAAACCTCTTCACGACGAACAAATTAAAGATCTCCTAGCGATTCATTATACAGAGGTCCCACGGTAGTAAAAAATATGACAAAATATAAACTACAAGAATCCAAAAATATTCATAACTACGAAAGTTTACACGATTACATGGTAAAGGAAAGGAGAGTCTTACACAAGGGCGCAAGGTACTGTGCAATTATGACGATCGTAATGACACGCGTTTCCAAATAGCAGGATGTTTATTATACTAGTGCACATCCTAATTACAGTCACAAGTATCTTGAAAAGATATTTTTAAACTTTAAATTACTTTTTAATCAAAGAAAAGTTCGTTTGTTTACTGATTTAAATCTGCTACAAGCGTTCATAGTAACGATAGTAAATTTACTGCGTGTTATTGCTTCAAAACTGTTGTCATCATAAAGAACTACATCTATGCAAAAGAACCTATACTTAAAATCATTTCCAATTATTTAGATGTATTTACACAGAAAATATAAATTAGTCAGTGTTTGTTACCCAAACCCACAGTAACTGCATGTTATTCTACAGTAAATGCCAAAAGTCAAACCTAAAGCTACAAACTTGAGTAATTCAATAACACGGAATTTTGAATAAATGAAAACACGCAGACTCCTGCCTGTATGAATAATGCATATACCACATGTAGCGACATGCACTGATTTGTTAGTTCTTGGCTTTTGGAGCACCTGCTGCCAATTTTAGCGAACATGGTTAATGAAATTTAAGGTGGCAGTACTTTAAAGAGTTTCGAGCTGTTTTAATGTTTCAAAAAGTGTTGTAACGTATAAAGTCTCTACGGGCTCCGAGCTGGCTCCGCGGCAGCTCTGGTTCCAAAGCTGGAGATTAAGCTTGAATTTAAAAAAAAAAGCCGGAAATTTTAAAATTGAGAATGCTGGTAACATATTATACAGCAGAATCGTACGGCGGATACCTTGCACCGTGCAAACAATTAAAAACTTTTTCACCAGCAAAAGACATTAGTTAAAGTTACTATGTCATAGCTCGACTATCAGAAAAAAACTTCAAAAAGTTTAAATAAAATCATTACTGAACCGTATGTTGCACTCTAATATAATATGTTAACAATGCAACATAAGGTGCAGAACCCAAACTTCTAACATCCTAATGCTCTAACGATACATCAACCATGTGATTAATAAAAATCTTTCTTTCTAACTCAATTTCCCTTACTAAATTATAGAAACCAACATTCGTTTGGATAATTAAATTTATCTTTTACCCTGTAATTTGTAGTTTTACAATTCCGGTAAATAGTTTCACCAGAGTAAATTGCAGGTTACAATAACATATAAGAAAATGAGACATTACCTACCACAAATTCACACTGTAATTCCTAGTATTTTAACTCAAACGGGTGTTTAACTTGCGTTACGTATTATGGTTGTATACAAGGTAACTTGTACTTTCAGTGCATAAAAATTAATTTTAAATATAAAAAACTTGATCTATGTTTATATTATGATATATTATTAAAGTAGTGGGCGTTTTAATAGTACAAAACCGGTTTATGTAAAATAAAGTATGTAACAGAACCGAGCAATGTAAAAGTTATAATCTACAAGCTACTCCACCAGATACGACGTGGCTTTCCCCAGTGACATAACTCGAGTCGTCTGAGACAAGGTAAGCTACCGCGGCTGCCACTTCTTCTGGAGTGCCGTGCCGTCCCAAATCATTGGCATCTTTCTCGTTTACAGTTGGGGGCTTCAAGCCAGTGGAGGTTTCGTCCCACAACTCAAAATCAATATGTAATCATCGTTTGTGGTAAACTTTTTATCTTTAATATACCTTACCTTAACCAACAATAATCTACTCTACCTTGTCCTATCCTATTGCAAACTCCCTTAGATTACTTTAGCTCATCCTAATTTTCGTCAATAATTTTTCCTGTAAGGTAAAACAACTTACAGCTTTGCTAAAGTCGGTTTTGATGATTCCAGGCGCGACACAATTTACTCTGATGTTCATGTCAGCCAATCCTTGAGCGAACGCTTTAGTCATAGCCAAAATGACAGTTTTCGTAATTCCATACAAAGCCAGCTTCGGTTGAGGTTTGTAACCAGCTACTGATCCTGTGTACACAATGGCGCCGCCTCTGAAAGTAAGAATAACTTCACTTAATCATTCTTTATCACAATATTTACAAAAACAGTAGTTATTTCTATAATACGATATCGTATAAAGTGTAAAAAAAAGCAAGAACAATACACCTAACATCTTAAAATTAAAAAAACCCCTTACCCAGCCTCCTTCAAGTACGGTGTGGCCTTCTGAGTCAGCAAGAAAGCAGACCTGCAGTTCACTTCAAACATCCTGTCCCAAACATCTTCCGGAATGTCCATCAAATTGCCAACATACGGTGAAATACCATGGTTGCAGACCAGTATGTTGATCTTTCCATACCGTTCCTTGGCAAACTTCAGAAGTCGATCTTGTTGTGCTTCGTCGGCAGCGTGACAAACAATTCCAGACACATTTTCGCGTCGAAGACCTCCGGCTACGAGTTGATCGATGGCTTGGTCGACCGAGGACTGTTTCCTGCTGCTTATGACAAGCTTCGCCCCTTCATGGCCTAATCGGTCAGCAATTGCGTAGCCAATTCCTTTCGTACTGGCTGTGATTACGGCTACACGGCCTTCCAAACGATGTGTACGGTATTTAAAAGACATATCTGTAGTGTGTTTGGCTGTAAATTTTATAATAAAACCAGAGCTTTATAACAAAAGCGACCATATGTTAATATATTATAGTATAATTCACTACTAATGTATATTTACCTAACTCCATTAATCGCCAAACTATTAATATAAAACCTTCAAACTTTGCGTAAGTGATTTGGTCAAAAAATGAAGTTTAGTTATGCAAATATTAACCTCTTTCAGACGAAGATTTCAACGGAAGTACGGTAGACAAGAATTTTTAATTACCGTTATCAAATTATATATCAAAGTTAACAAAAGTTCGGGTTTTCTCAGCTGTCAGATAAAATTACCATTTAAAGCAAGATTAATATAAAAACTTGATATCTTACAAATACGTTAAAATAAGATTGAAATGTTCGAATGTAATTGAACTAGAGATCAAATTCATTAAAATTAGAAAAAAGTTGAACCTTTAGACCAATTCAAACGAAAAAGCTTGTTAAATTTAACTTTTTCTGTAGCCAATTCATTTTTTTCATTTTTTAAATTTAAAAATAAAATTGACCAGCTTTTTTCAATTCAAACGATAGTAAAAGTAAAGAGAATACTATAATATCCGTGAAGAACAAACCTAACTGTTCACAAGCTGCTAAAAATGATAAGAGTTCCGGTTAAACCTCATAAACCGTGCACGTTTATCGGCATGATTACCATGCATCTTAACGATGACGTTCTTATGACTACACACGTCACATTTTCACAAATGCTTACAATATTAAACACCTTCTAAAAATAAGTAAAAACCTTTCTAAACGCACAGAATTAAAAGTTTGTAGTACCTCAGACTCTGCGGAGTAATTACAGTTGTTTTGCTTCCCTGTAGTTTTTCACCACTCTGATATTAACTAACCTATTATAAATATATTAACTAATCTAGCATAATAAAAACTATTAACTATAAAACCCCTATCATAGCAATGACTCCAACCATCAAAAATGTTTCTTATCATAGTTAAGACGAGTTAAGTACAAGACCACCAGAGTTAAAGAAGATTCCCCTCGACTGACTGAACCTTTCGCTACAGGTTTACAGCGTCTACATTAGGGTTCACAAAGTGTAGAGAAAATTAGATTAGCCGTTCATAAAACAACCTCGACGCTTTGCTTTTGTTACAATCTCATTGTGACATATAGTAACTTTACAAACGTTATTCCTGTGTGGTATTTTAAAATTGATAAAATTATTTCGCACTTTTAATTTTTGTGATACATCATGTAGGATAAGTGTTCGAGTGTTCGTTCGATAATGTTTATTTCGTATTCAAAGAACATTTGATTAAAATTTGAAGTAATATAAATTTAGATAATTGCGTTCAGTTTATAAATATTTTAATCCTGTTAGTACGTCGAAATAAACCAAAGCACAAATTTAGGTTTAAAGTACCGACTGAACATTAAACAAGTTTAAAAAAGTTCAATATACACTATCTAAATATCAAATGTTCAGTAGATGCTAAACTTTAAATTTATACTGTCAGTTAATCAACCGTATATAAAGCTAAAAACATAAACCTAGCTACACCAATTCATTAAAAAATCAGCCAAAAGCCAGATCGAACTTACCTTTCACAGAAGAACACTAATACAAAGCATAATAACCTGCTTAATCAACCTTAACTTATAAAAAAATAAAACCCTTTTTGTTTTCTCAAAAACGATAATTAAAACTATATATTTTTTGATTCACTTCCAAAGTTATATTTTTAGAATATTCTTTCAAATTCCTTCTCTAAATTCCAATTTCGTTAGTTCTGACAAAAAACTACGAAGCGCGTAGTTTGTTTCATTATTCTTGACACAACCTGTAGCCAAATCGTTGGCGCTTGCAAAAACGTGAACAACTGACTTAAATTGTGTTTCAAGTAAGAGAACTAGGAATTGCACCAAATATCCCTCGGCTTTTTGAACAAGACCTATATAGGATCAAAGAGCATAAAAAGTTACCGGGAAAACTGTTTTCAAAAACTGCTAAATAGATTCGGCTAGCGAGATATTAGCGATTAAAGGATTTACATAGGGTTTCCTATTTGATCATTCTCATTTGTCTTGAGTAAAACGAATGGATTGAAGCTTCAATCCAGTGTGGCCGAGTGGTTAACAAGTTAGTCTGGGGTGCAAAAGGGGGGAAGTACGGGTCCCGCCGGTTTCATTTTGGCGCCCAGCCATGCCGACAAGAAGTTTTGGCTAGCCAAACAATATTTTGATTAAAAAAATACTTTTTAAGTTGTATTTTTTGCTTTTAGACACTTTTAGGAAGAAATAATTATCAAAAAATAGCATTTTTTGAACTTTAAAGCTATACCCTTTAAACATATAAGGATATAGAGCCTACTGTAACTCGCTAGCCAAGTCCATTTAGCAGGTTTTGAAAACAGTTCTCCCGGTAACTTTTTATGCTCTTTCATCCTATATAGGTCTCGTTCAAAAAGCCGAGGGGTATTTGGTGCAATTCCCTAGTAAACACAAATTACATCGTAAAAAAACAACTACCCCAAGGTCCACGCGTTTCAGAATTCTCAGTTCAATACTTTTTCGATATGAAAACCCAAAACTTTTTTTAAATGTCCTCTCATTTCTTACTATTCCATAGAATAGCGTGCTCAAAAACCAACCTTGTTCCATGTCAACGCTCGTTACAACTTTCCAACGACTAAATCTGCCACATATCCAACGTTTTGTACTGTGACAACCTTATAACGTACTCTTCTATAAAAAAGACTAACAGACTCGTTATTATAATATGAAGGTCAAGACTTAGAAGTTATTTTTCCTCTACTGGTCATTACACCAATAGAAAAAACGAGTAGAATTACTGCAGAGTCTTGTGCATCAAAATACTACCACCGGACTTGAAAACGACTGGTAAAGGATTGAGCTTGGTTCTGGTTCGATACCACGGTAACGAGAAAAAAGCACCAAAAGGACGAGGACTGAGCGTGAACATGATATTAGGCCACTAAAGTCAATAAAATTACGTCAATAATCTATTAGATCAATATAGGTTCTTCAAAACCAATAATTACTAAAAACCAATCTTTACCATGTTTAGTGGCAGGATTTGTAAAAGGTCAACGAAATGGTATGAAAATGAGAGGCCGTGGAATTGGCAGTACTTGTGGGATCACGGTACGGGTAATGGACAAACTGTAATTTTATCGGTTATTTTAATACCAAATTATCAAAAGCTCAACATTGTAAAACCTGCTTTAACTCGATGCTATGGTCAGTTTGTAATGGCCCACCGAATTGAGAACAGCATGAACAACCTTCTAAAAATCGTTTATAAAATCAAAACAATTAAGAGAACAAATATTTAGGCAACAGTTAAAAAAAAGACTATATTCAAGTTCTAAGAGAGATACAAACAAATTTAAAAAAAAATAAATTGAGTGCAAAGCTGTTTATTAATGTTAAACACAAAAACTTACAACACTTTAACGAGATGGAGAACGTGAAGCAGACCGTTCCGAACGTGGAGAGCCTGAAACAGAACGATCACGCTTAGGAGATGCAGAACGCGAAGCTGAACGATCCTTTCCGTTGGTTGGAGTTGGGGATCTAGAACGGCTTGCCGATTTAGACTTTTTCACAGAAGGAGAGCGAGATCTGGAACTACGAGGACTGTCTTTGGCTGGAGTGCGGCTCAGTGATCTGGAAGCCTTCTTTTCTCTCTTCGGACTTCTAGAAACTGATCTGGAATCGGACCGACGTCTGGGCGATCGGGAACGTCTTGGTGATCGAGAGCGGGTTCTTGATCTTTCACGGCGTGACGACCTACGTGGTGAACGTGACAAAGAACGATGTCTTCCTCCACGACCACGTGGACGGCCTTTGGCGACTTCCACCACAACTCTAAAATTCATATTAAAATGCATAACAGAAAAAAAAAGTTTAAAAATAACAAACATTGTAAATTTTTGTATGCTTATCACATGTAAAAATAAACGACTTAACTACACCCAAAATCTCATGCGTTTTCCTATATAAGTTATAATAAAAAATCTTTTGAAAAAGTAATGTAAGTAAAAATCAACAAATCTAAAAAATTCAAAAAACGTTATCCAAAAACTTCCATTCATAAACCCCTAGCAGCAAAAAAGCTCCCATAAATACCTAAATTTATAAAAAATCAATAAAAACAGCACCTACCTCATTCCCATCATAGAACGGCCATGAAGATCGTAAACAGCATCATCTGCGTCTCTTGGATCCGAGAACTCGACGAAACAATATCCACGCTTCATCAGAATGTCTCGGATTCTGCCGTAGCCTTCGAAGAATCGCTCCACATCTCTTTCACGAGCCTCATAAGGTAGATGGCCAACATAAACACGGGAACCCATCGTTTATTACAAGTTGTTATTAATAATATTAAAAGAACTAGCTATAAATAAGTTCAACAATAAATTTTAGACGAGCAAGCGTCTGCGAGGAGTAAAACCTTGGATATACGAGGCAAACGCGCCAAAACTTGTAGAAAAAAATAAAGCCGAGAAAAAAGGCTTCGTGTTTTCGCGTCGGGACCACACATCTCCTATTACGCGCAGTGTCTGAACCGTTTCGACACCATTAACCAACTCACGGTTGTTTTTTTGCGTCCTTTATTTCGGTCTTTTCCGAATTTCCGAAAAATTCGCTGCAGCCTGCGGTGGACGTATTATACGAGAAAATTTCTGTACTATTCGAAGGTGTGCACTTGCTATTTAATTAGGATTACACTCACTAATAGCGCAAATAATTAGTAAAAACCATCATTCTCGAATAATTTTATTTAAAATTGGTTTTTTTTGCGTTTTTTAGCTTCAACTAACGAATAAGAGTAATGTAGTGGTTGACAAAATTAACCTACAACTCTGTAACTTGAAAGTGTCTTATTCGATTGAGCTAAAATTTGGCATACGACATCTAGATAGTCTTCTAATGTTATGTTTGTAATATGAAATAAATATAAACTTCTGAAAAATTTTTAAATACACTAAAAGATATTTGGCGTTCAAAAAGTGGTCAAAATTACTAGGCCATCCATGTAACTTACAAGTGACTGTAGTTAGAAACTCGCAAATTTGTGTTAGCGCAACTATTACGTTTAGCTGAAAATACTTAATGGTGAATTTTTAATTTGTTACTCCATTATGATTTTGGAGTTCAACGTCAAGATAGCCATGTACATCAACATGGGTATTTTAAAGTTGGTAATCACTTCTAACTGTGAATTAAATTTGATATTTAGCTCATAGTAATAGTGTAGAAACATTTTTTACTGTGTGACAGTAAAAATTTACAGTGGCTTCAGATCAAGCCCCTAAATTGTCATAGGTACCCCCCCCCCTATTGCCTTTCAACTACCAGTAACTTCTCAATTTAGAAAAAATAACACAAAAAGCAATGTTTAACACAACTATTACTAATATCAATGTATTAAATCTAATTCAGTACCTGTATCATCCCTCTCTAGATGGCAGGTTGACAATTGTTTAGCAAAATTACGACCAAGTTATAAACTGCTTTTTTGAAATATTTTTTATAAATTATATAATGCTTAAACTAATTATTTTAGACTTCCAAAGTCGTTTTACAATTCGCATAACATTATTAAGATAAATACACTATCACACATGATGTTTTCTTACTGTAGTACTTGGAGCTGTGTACGACAGCAGTGCTTTTGACAAAAATCGTCAACATACTAAATAGAGAATAATAACAAGTGTACTAATTGTAGTTTAATATGTTGATATTAGCTTATTGTTAGTAGTTGTATTAAACATTGCTTGTTGCGTTATTTTTTTCTAAATTGAGAAGCTACTGGTAGTTGAATTCAGTGGGAGTGCTTATGTTAATTTAGATGCTTGATTATGAAGCCGCTGTAAATTGTCACACAGTAAAGTTGTTTATACGCTATTACTATAAGCTAAGTATCAAATTTAATTTACAGTTAAAAGTGATTAACATGTTTGAGATACCCATATTGAACATGACCACGTATAACATGTGTAACATCATAAAGCCTAAATTATGTAACCAGAACTACTGATTTAGTAGTTGAACTACTTTTTATAATTGTTTTCTACGTCGCAGTTAGCTATATTTGCGTATCATGGTTTTAAATATATCAAACTTTCAAGACCATAAGTTTAGATTACGTACCATGTGTAATATCGGCTCAGACATTCGACATTTTTGAGCATCAGATGTCGCTCGTTTTTTGAGATGTAAGAGCTAAGACCCTTTACTTGTAAACCTCTGCAGCGATTTTCTTGTTGACTGACTAGATTTGAGAAATTACAATTTAAGTGACAAATTACTGTATATTTAAGGTTTTGTGAGTAATATATTGGCTATAATTGGGTAAATGGATATGTTTTTGAGCTTAAATTGACTATGAACAACGCAGCTTAATATAAACACAAATTCCATTACAGTGGTTGCAATATAAAACTTGATATGTAATATTGTAGGTATCAGATGCTTACTACAACATACAATTGTTAAAACAAAAATTTATAAATAAGTGTGATTATTTTCATAAAGCTCAAAATCAAGTTGTAATTTGTCAAAAAGCAAATCTTATTAAAACATATCCATTTCGGAGTTACAACCCTTTAAAACCAACTAGGTCTAGACAACAAAATGAAAAAATTCCGCAGCCTGCGTCTCCGCCTCAAAAAAAGGACAGAATTAAGGACGCATTTCCCTTGCTTCAAAACAACCGTGCAACTAACTTATTGAAAGAAGCGCCAAATATGGATGCAAATTAAACAGAACAGGTACACATCAAGCGAATATCCAGTTGATGGATCTTTTAAAAATTATTTCAAAGCAATTTGCACTAAATAAGTCAAAATGATAGTCTCGTTTTTCCCAGAGACATAGTCAAAACCAACCTTATACCATGTCCAGGCTTCTTAAATACTGTCGTTATTCTTGTCGATGATTGAAGGCTCAACTCGATACGTGATTAAGGTTCTGTGCTGGTAAAGGTTTAAACGATCTTGGACATAACAAGGACTGACTATCATGGTTGCCACCGATTACCGCAAGCGTGCCACAGCTTAAAAATTATGTTTTCTCTACTGGCCGTTAAACCAATAGAAAACTTGAATAAAAATTACATTGTGAAACATTTTCGTAATGAATACAAAAAGGTTTTTGTATACGACCGCCAGGCTTGAGATTTGCTTGGTAAAGGATTGAGCGCGTTCTTGTTTTGACACCACCGTAAGGCACATGAGCACCAAGTCACAAACAGTACTATGCCACTAAATTTGATTATATTAAAAATTTATCAATGAACTACTTATGTTACTTGATAGCACAAAAATGTTATCAAAAGCCAAAAAATCTCTTTTCCTTATAACAAAACCAATCACCTAGGGCTTCGGTTTCCAATTTTAAGTTTGTCAAGACAAACTTGTAACTGTAAAAGTTAAAGCTTTTTAAACAAACCTTCCAAATTTTGTACTATCAAATTTAAAATCTTACTATTAATCCTAAATTAATCTTACTACTTTACGTGTCAAAACCTGCTTTATTATCGAAGTGGTCTGGACAGTTTGGAACGGCCAACCGAAACGACTGAAACAAGGTCAGGCTTCTAAAATTCATTTATAAAATCAAAGAACAATCAACTAGAGAACAAATAGAGCATAACATTCAATAGATAATAACCAAAAGATAATCTGTTTCTAAAAAAGTAATAAAGACTGGACTGAAGCTATAAAAATAAACAAATACAATTGAATAAGAGGAGAAAATAACTTATGAGTACAACGACCTTTATTAATGTTAAACACAGAAACTTACAACACCTTAACGAGATGGAGAACGTGACGCTGATCGTCCCGAGCGTGGCGAGCCTGAAACTGAACGATCACGCTTAGGAGATGCAGAACGCGAAGCTGAACGATCCTTTCCGTTGTTTGGAGTTGGGGATCTAGAACGGCTTGCCGATTTAGACTTTTTCACAGAAGGAGAGCGAGATCTGGAACTACGAGGACTGTCTTTGGCTGGAGTGCGGCTCAGTGATCTGGACGCCTTCTTTTCTCTCTTCGGGCTTCTGGAAACTGATCTGGAATCGGAACGACGTCTGGGCGATCGGGAACGTCTTGGCGATCGGGAGCGGGTTCTTGATCTTCCACGGCGTGACGATCTACGTGGCGAACGAGAAGGAGAACGATGTCTCCCAGTTCGACCACGTGGACGGCCTTTGGCTACTTCCACAACAACCCTAAAATTCGTATTAGCAAACTAAAATGATTAAAAAAGCTATATATAGACCTTTAAAAAGCTTACAATAATCCGCTTCAAAATGTGACTTTAAATTAAATTTACTTTTAGCTCATGAGCATAAATGTACCAAAAAAGCTTGTAAAATTTTCCGTTTCTTCGCAAAATTATACATCTTCATCTAAATTTATAGAAAATCAACAAAAACAAAACCTACCTCATTCCCAACATTGAGCGACCATGAAGATCGTAAACAGCATCATCTGCGTCTCTTGGATCCGAGAACTCAACGAAACAATACCCACGCTTCATCAGAATGTCTCGGATTCTGCCGTAACCTTCGAAGAATCGCTCCACATCTCTTTCGCGAGCATCGTACGGCATATGTCCAACGTAAACGCGTGTACCCATCGTTTATTACAATTTGTTATTAATAATATTAAATATAACTGGCTAGAAATTAGTTTCAACTAAACTGCGAAAAACAACTGTTTCACAACAAAAGGCGGTAACGCGACGCGCCAAAAGTTCTAGAAATAAGTTGGAATGATCGTTTGTTTTCGTGTCGGGACCTAAGACACTTCGTTGTGCGCAGTATGTAGAATTTAAATTTATATGTTTATCCATAAAATTACAAATTAAATAAACAGAGATACTTTATTAATATTTCGGATTGCACGGTTAAAATTAGAAAGTTATTTTGGAGAATTATGTAAAGCTTTGTACTTTATAACTAATTAGTAACCAGGGGGTGTTCGTGGAGTCGGACAATGATCACAACTTGTTTTTGGACCTTGTGTACCGGTGGCTCCTGGATTTCCTTTTCTTCCTGGCCGTCCATTAAAGCCATCTCTGCCTGGTAGACCAGGCGGACCTGGTAGGCCACTAGGACCACCGGAGCCAGGTTGTCCCCGAGGTCCTGCTGGTCCAATTAAACCCGGAGGCCCCGAAGGTCCAGGTGGTCCAAACATAGGTATTAAAATAACTTGTCCTGGATTGCCAGATTGTCCTGGGGCGCCAGTAAGTCCTTGGCGACCTTTAGTACCAGGTTGACCTATCTGGCCAGGAATGGTTTGGCCTGGTGGACCAGGTGTGCCTGGTTTACCGGGCTGGCCAGGGATTCCTTTCTGTCCAGGGTATCCTGGTGGACCTGGAGGACCGTCCGGACAGTTGTAGCAAATATCTGGTACTTTAGGTTCTTGAGGTGAATCTTGGCCTGGCTGACCTGGTTGGCCTGGACTGCCGTCTTCACCTACAAAAATGTAAATAATTGTAAAATATTACAAAGAAATAGTTTTTTACATTTTTAAACTTGAATAAAACCTTTACCATTAGCTCCATCTTCTCCCGCTGGTCCAGGTGGTCCCGGTCTTCCATATCTACATTGACATTGGCCTGGCCTAGCCTTATATGGTCTTTGTTGCCTTGGCGGACTTTGTGGTGGAATAGGAATAAAAGGGGGCTTCCTTACATAGTTTGGTGTACTTGGTACTGGCGGTCTCGCATACTGATTTTGTGGTTGAGTATTGTATTGAGCGACCGTATAAGCGGGATAGCTTTGTGGAGCTGGATTGTAGCGAGGCACAGAATTCAATGAGTAATGCTGTGGAGTTGGTACATGTTGAGGGTAGACTTGAATCGGCGGAGGTTTTTGGTATTGAGAAGGATCTGGTCTTCTGGACAGCTTGGCCAATCTCGGTGAAAAAGTGTTGCGTACGTTAATGACAGCTTGTGGAGATTGTCGCTTTTTTACTCGATGAAGGATGTCTGGGTCGTGAAACTCTTGGAACTAAAATTAAACTTTATATTTCTCAATTTGCTTCATCTATTCATAATCTTATAATGACCTGTAATTTAAAACCTCATTTTACCTTTTAATAATATTAACTTACACTTTCAAACAGATTATTCAAATCCGTCAGTCGTACCACACAAAACTCCAATTCCTCACTCGTCAGATTGTGAGCGTACTGTAGATAGGCGTATAACAATGGAATCGCCATAACAGTCATCAACAAGGCTACCACAGCAATCGTAACAGCTACGATGGCCAAGATCTTGGCTCTATATGCTTCATAATGAATGTCAGCTGGATTCACAACCTTTGGTTTTGTTGATGTTATGATAGACCTGGTCACGGAAGACTGTATCGTTGAAGATTTGGATGGTACTGAAGTTGATACACGCTCAAACGCTAAGTATTCTCCATCACGAGGTAGCATTATGTGGTCTCCAAGTTGCAGTAATCATTTACTAGGTACTCTAAGAAATATTATTTAAAATTGTAAAAATATAATTGTTGCTGTAAGTACTTGTTAACCTTAATATGAAGTTAATATTAAAAAGTACAGTAAACTTACATGAACTTACAGTAAAAGTTGTAAATTGCAAGATGAAATAACAATTGATCAAAACTTGATCAAAACAACGCTGCAAACAATGACGAAGAGTTAATTTGAAACATGCATCTCCTCTCTCATAATTACCACTAACTGACCATCCTGTCTTCCTTGTATTCTAGTTTTAGAGATTGTAAACGTCTGGCGATAACCACAGTTAATTTGTTACATTGTTTTTCATAAAGCATCAGTAGTCTCTTCCTAAAAACGCAGTAACGTATATTATAATTTAATAAAGATTTATGTAAATTAACGTTTAAAAGTAACAGAGCTGTTAATAGATCTAGAAAAGTTAAATAAAAATTGAGTAGATTTAGGAAAGACCAATATTAAAAATGTAAGATCATAGTAAAACCAGAAAACAGCCACAAAAAGAAGGAAGTACAGATGAAAAAGATATTTAAATGATTAGACTAAAAACTTATGGCAAGGTTAAAATAAGTAAGTATTAAATCAATCTCTCTATAACAATAAAACTGTAGTCAATGTCATAACTGTAACAACAATAAAATTAAAGATTACCCCTCGAGCTGGACCAATAAACAATTCAAAGGCTGTTCTCTCAAAAATCATTGCTAATCAACAAGGTTAGACAAGGCGGACAAGAAACGTCTGTTGTGCCAAACTCAAAATCCAGCCTAGCCTAGAGCTCATCCCGTATAGCATAAATGGTTGTAGAATATCATTTGTATCATATTATCAAAACTTGGCCACACCATAAATCACCACAGACTGTTTATCCATTACAATACCGGAGTTTACTTAATCAAGTGTCATGTCGTAGGTCAACCAAAGCTTTTTGTATAATAAGATTAACAATGTTAATTAAATGTTATTGTTATTCCGTTCGGAAAGTAAAAACAAAATTTTCGAATTTACGAAGTGAGAAAAACTTGAATCCGCCACCGAAAGTGGTTTTGTAACTTGGAAAACGGGCGGTCGAATACGCAAATGACAAGTCAACCGTGCTGATTAGCTTGATCCTGTCTCCGCCAAATGCTGGTTCTGGGTCAGTTTACAAAGTTTATCATTTCCTGTTGCTTAATTTTGTCAAAACTTGAGGTAGACCGGGTCAGTTGAGGGTGAGGTACAATGCCGCGAGGTTCGTAATAAAACTTTTTCCGCCATCTTGATCAACGGATTCCACAAAACATTTCGAGTGTTTTACAGATCGTTTATACTGTTGCGGGCGGGCTTTACAACCATTTATTAAGGTGTTTTATTTACTGGAACTTTTGTGGTCAGCTTTTTCTAATTTCAACCTTATCTTTTTGACACATTTTCGCTTTCATTGTACTACTCTTTTATGCGAAATTCTTTACAACTCCAGTGTAGGTAATGCAAAAGACGAGTATTAGTGTTTGTTCCATTTTCAGTATATTTTTTTTGGTTCTATCGCAAAAACAAGTTGCCAAGAATTTTAGTTTACTTCAGCCAAATTTTCCACTATCAAGCGCTTTTACTGTAAAATAACAGTACAAAAAGTATGGTTAAGCATAAGCTAGCTTTATCTGCACATAACAAAAGTTTGCGGCTAGTTGGCATCATAACTATAATCAGAAGGCTTAAAGAAGAGCTCCAAACAAATATGTAAAAATTTTACCCTGGTCCTTGTATACTTCAAAAAACTTTTTTAGCTAAAGATTTTATTTCCCCCGTCTTTAGAACAATATCGCGTGCCTGACTCTGCCTATAACAAAAGGTCGCTTATTATCACAATAGCAGCCTACTATAAAATCGGCGAAGCTCTCCCTAGTGAAACCTCTTTAGTATAATCCTCGACAGTATGACACCCTATTTATAATGACGGCTTGCTGACCGCTTTGTGTAATATAAATTCTATCAAAAATTACCTGAATAGTGTGACACCTTGTTTATAACGGCACTTTGATCCAGTCTCTTGAGTGTCATACTAATGAGTTTTTGCTTGGTGTGAGAAACAGGTTTATCGTCTAGGTCCGGCCTGTTTTTGGTTTTTTTCTCAGGCCCGCCCGGCCCGGTTAAAAAAAAACTGAAGGCCCGGGCCGATCTTCCGAGATGAGACTGGCTTACATGTCCCGTTTCTCACCTCTAGCTTTGACTGTATTTAAGAACCAACAAAAAATCCAAAATTAGATAACTCAACTATAACATGTAAAACGATAGAACACTAGATTATTCAAAAAAAATTTCGAATTCGATGCCATCTGCCCCTTCCGGCGCCACCTCACATAGCTAAACACTCTTGCAGACAAATCAGTTCGAATTAGTAGGATACATTGTGTTGTTTCTGCTCATGGGATTGATTCAATGATCGTGTGTGAAATGCCCTTTCATTCAAGTTTTTACTTTTGTTTTTTCGCCTTTAAAGATAAAGCAAGCACGCCTAAAACACATTGTCTGCGACATGGCGATAATTCATGTTTTTTTGGGTTTCAACTACTATTAAACTACTATTTGCAACACATTAAGTCAGCATTTTTGGTATTGCAGTAGATTTTTAAATTTGCAAGTATATTTTTTTGTACTGTTTTTTGGTTAGCCTTGGTCAAAGCCGGGAGGCATACTTTTAGACCTAATATAATTTTTGTAAATATACAGTATACGTTTACTGTAACTTTTAGTTTCAATAGTACGTTTTATTGCAATTTAAACACTCTTTCATACCATTTACCTCAAGCTTACAGTAACTAGGTCTTTACAGTATATTTTTATTTTTATGAAAAAATAACTTTCTACTGTAAACAGAAATACTGTATTTTAGCGTACATTCCTTTCCAAATCAACTTTAACAATGAAACGACTACTTTGTGATCTGACTTTAATCCTACTAATCTCTACTACCAATGCCATTGTTGATAACAGAAAAACAGTTGATGATGGCAAAACTACAGTACTACCAGTGACTGATGAGCACATGGTGCAGATGTATCAGAAGTGGGTGGATTCTGCATTCAGCTCCTTCTTCTCGGCCGTGGCGCACAAAAAGTAATATTTTTGAATTTATAATTCATCTTTATTTATAGTGTAAAGCACGGCACTACTTTAAAGCATTGTAAATTTAAAGTTTTTACTACTACAATATACTTATGAAGCCATATACGTTATTTTAAAAAGAACACTCAAAAAATAACCTTTGTTGTATATGTATAACGAGCCTCTACTGTATCTTTAAACTTTCCAGATTAAAAAAGAAACGCCGTTCCACGCTGGAACGGTTTGCCGAATGTAATGTAAAAGCCAAGGATGTGATATATCAAGCAAAGTGTGTTACTCGACTGCTGCGGAACGGGTTTGACAAAACGAAACATAGAGTAAGTTACTTTCACATGAAATCCATCATCTTCCACGCACTTTTACCATTTATAAGCTTTAGCATATAATTATTATTAAGTTGTTCAACTAATTCTGTGCCTCCTTTAAAAGCAAATTTTGGGATTAAAGGCACATAATTATTTTAACAATCTTATATTCGGTAAAAAAAAGTGTGTAGCATCCTCAATATGATTGTTTAAAGCCCTATAGCGTTACCTCTACACACTTTTTGACCAGAATAACAATAACCAAGTTAATCTTCATCTACCAAATTTAAAATTATCCAAAAACTCCGTTTTGATACAAAAAAGGGTTACAGATAAAATTAAAGTAATCGGTAATCTAACTGTTTCAATTTTAATTTGACCATCTATCCCGGTATCGGTACAAAGCCGAAGATCACACGAATTACCGTAGTAAACGAGCGATTGGGCCACGCCGAGTCAGTGGATATCGAATAAAAGACACCAAAGAACAAGTGACACCATTAGGAAGTGTGGCCAAGATGTTGATGGATGCCGTACTCAAGTCAAAGAACAAAACCAATTCTGAAAGGTAATGTCAAAGTAATCAGGATGTTTTACATAGTTAAAACCTCTAAAATTTTAAATTTAAAAAATATTTAAATAATATAATATTTATAAGCTTTGGCCCGAAAAAATTCAATAAAGGTATTTTACCATATTTGTTGTCTTTTAAATGTTCTTTCCAGGGCCGGGCGGGGACTTTTGGTCTGGGGGCAGGGGTCCAAAAAATCGGCACAGTGCAAAATTTTTTTTTGAAAATCCACAGGAGGGACCACGTTCAACTTTTTTCAAAATTTTTTTTCTGGGGGAGGGGGGGTACCCCCCCCCCTCGCGCCCGGCCCTGGTTCTTTCGCTAAATTTTTATAAAACTTAGGTTCAAAACAATTATATTAACCACGTTTTAGCTGGCAGTACACAGTATCCAAGTTAAAACGAATAGCCAAGAGGAAAGAAGAGGAAGAAGAAAAGAATGACCGAGAAGACAGTGAGGAGAAACTGTATCAAATGAGTTCGTATGGCTTCAAGCAGAACGATCAACGGAAAAGCGAACGTTCTGAGGTAAGTCAAGGAGGTATGGACCTGTAAACGAAATAAAGACCTTGTTTTGGGCTCACATGTGCCGGCCCGGTCCCTTTAAAATTTGTTTCGGGCGGTTAGCCCAAAGCCCGACCTAGTGGGCCCCTTTCTTGGCCTAGGAAAACGACAAAATGAAAATTTAATTTTTAAAAATAACTACTTAGAATCTTAATTTAATGTCATTTCCAGCTGAACAGAGCGTTCAAAGATCCACAAGCGATGGATAAGTTAATTGAAAAGAAATTGAAGAATTCGAATAAGAAGCCCGAAGGCAGAATAATGCAGTTCGTCAAAGATGCAGTCAAACTTGCCTATACCATCTCTGGCAAAAATACTACCAATTTTGACAAACGAAACATGAAGCTAGTATCACCACGGTTTTTGGGCGTGGTAAAGGAGAAAAAGACAGATGACGAGGTAAGGCAAATTTACATATTAGTTCGTCTCACATTGTAAAAATTGATGAATTTCAAAAATTAATATAAAATGTTTTTAAAGTTAATTTAAAATCAATAAAAAAATTTCTATTTTTAAAAACTTTTTTTTAAAAAAGTTCTTACCATTTCCAATTCTTCAAACATTCAGATCGACCTTCTGAGTCCGTCTTTGTTCTCTTTACATGATGAAGGTGAAGGTATCGAGAACTTGACCAGTTTGCCACAGTTAATGAAAGGTTTTGCTATGAAGGATCAACAAATGTGGCTCGACCTGATATTGGAAGCGGCTGGTGTTACGGATCAGGCCAAGAGTCTGGAAAGGGTAAAATTAAAATCTTATTTTCAATTCTTCAAAATATTAAAATACCTAAACAATTTCAATCTTACATATGTTACTATAAAGTAAAATACGGTACCCCTTCCCCAGTAGTTATTTTTAAACCACCCCCCCCACCTTTCAAAACCTCGCGTCCTACTAATCACCTTAATATTAAGTTTTTCACATAATTCTGCGTCCCGTCTTAAAGAAAATTTTCGGAGTTTGGGGCACAGAATTATTTAGACAACCCAAAAAACAGCGAATTCACTTTTAACAGTATTGGTTCAGAAAATAGACGAAGAAGATAAAACGATATTTGGAATACCTATTAACGAAACAGATCCAGCTAAATTCGTACGAGATGACGGACATCCACTGTACTTTAGCAAGGATAACATCACAGACGTTGAGAAGGCAAAAGTCGACTATTTCCAGAAAGTCTTGAAGACCATGAGTAAAGAACAGGTAAGTAAATTACATTTTTTAACATCGTAAAATACGAATTCAAAAAATTCTCGTTAATGTTTTCAAATTTGCATAAATTTTAAAAAATTAAAAAATCTTTAACAATCGTAAAACAAACTTCTAGATAAAAGAAATGAACACGACTGGCTATGCCATTATGAACAAGACCCAGATCAACATGTTGTACGGCAAACATTCCCCTTACGGTCATGCAGATACACATAGACGGCTAGCCAATCTGACCGAACGACAAATACATCGTCGTATCACCAATGACATAGCCACGATGTCAGAGTTGGAAAAGTTCAAAGTCCGTCAGAAAGACATCACCCTCGCTCCCATCGTACTAACACCAGTTGTCGAGGCTCCGCTTGTAGCTTCACAGCCGATCGTGCTGTCACCTCTACTGTTAAGTCCTATCATCCTGTCCCCAGCTGTGTTAGGTCCTGTCATCGTATCCCCATGGTTGTTCGTGCCTGTCATCGTATCTCCTCGTGTCTTGTCACCTCTTGTCTTATCACCCTTCGTACTCTCGCCAGTAGCCTTGTCTCCTTTGGTACTTCATCCACTCATTCTGTCACCTGGAGTTTTGGATGTTGGAGTACTCACTCCCTTCGTACTGTCGCCCATCATCTTGTCACCGTTGGTGTTTGTGCCCCTTATTCTGTCACCTTTAGTGTTATCACCGCTGATTCTGTCTCCTGGCTTCGGTTCTCCGCTGATCCTGAGTCCGTTCGTACTGTCTCCAATCATATTAAGTCCTCAGGCAGTGTCAGCCTTGTTCTTGAGTCCGTACGCGTTGTCGCCCGTAATTGGTAGTGAATTGATCTTGTTCGCTGCTGTTTTATCACCAAGTTGGTTGAGTTGAAGTTGATATCAATCGTGTTTAATATAATAAGAGACGTGCTGTTTGTATACTTTTTGTTAACAAAAATTGTCCATAATAGTTTGCCATATATTGATAATAAATTATTACTAATTGATAATTTTTTATTAGAAAAAAATTAAATAAAAAAGCAAAAAAAGGTTGTAAAATCTAATTTTTGGCAGAGGGAGTCATGTAGTATTTAAAATACAGCAACTACGACCAGATTTTTAAAAAGTACATCTTTTAAATGACTTATTTTTGTATTTTCCTAAATATGCCATATTAAAAAATAAAAAAGACACAAATTTATAAAAAAAATATTGAACATTTAGAAAATTTGCTTTAAAACAGGGTTCGCGAGAGAATCAAACATGGGTCAGACAGGGGCGAGCCAGTAAAAAAAAATATTTTTTTAAAAATCTTATTTTGCAACCACAGATACCTTTCAGGCCCCACATTACAAAAATGTATTAAAATTTTGAAATTTTGGGTTACTGTAGGTGTACTGTAAAATTTAAAAATTTTTTGTAACTTTTGAACTACTTGACAGAATTTCACCGGACTTTTTTTAAACTGTAGAGCACATAAACGTAAACGATATTGATGTTAACAACTTTTTTCTAAAATGCCCGGAAGGCACAAAAAAATTAAAAACCGCAAAATTTTGTTAAAAAATTTAAAAAAGTGCATTTTTTTCAAAAAAAAATCATACTAGAACCAACTTTTCAAACCTTGATGATTTTTCAGGAATTGAAAATTTCGAAATGTTTTATGCCCTCCGGGCATTTTAGAAACAAATTACTAACATTAATATTGTTTACGCTTACGTGCTCTACAATTTAAAAAAAGTCCGGTAAAATTCTGTCAAGTTATTCAAAAGTTATAAATAAACTACTAAATGTTACAGTAATCCAACAGTAAGAAAAAAAATTAGGTAAAATACGTTTCATTGGTATTAGAATACTTCTACTAATAATAAACAGTTATTTTGGAAAATTTGTTCAAAAACTGGGTACTTTCCGCAGAGTTATACTAACGTAAAGTTCAGCAGGGCTACGGTATATCGTATTTAGACGCCCATATCACATGAGAGCCCCAGGCTTATACCTTGAAATTGGTACCGTTTGAACCGCAAACGCGTCTAGTGTTATTATCTGGTTTGAAAAGTTGGTTCTAGTATGATTTTTTTTTGAAAAAAATGCACTTTTTTAAATTTTTTAACAAAATTTTGCGGTTTTTAATTTTTTTGTGCCTTCCGGGCATTTTAGAAAAAAGTTGTTAACATTAATATTGTTTACGCTTACGTGCTCTACAATTTAAAAAAAGTCCGGTAAAATTCTGTCAAGTTATTCAAAAGTTATAAATAAACTACTAAATGTTACAGTAATCCAACAGTAAGAAAAAAAAATTAGGTAAAATACGTTTCATTGGTATTAGAATACTTCTACTAATAATAAACAGTTATTTTGGAAAATTTGTTCAAAAACTGGGTACTTTCCGCAGAGTTATACTAACGTAAAGTTCAGCAGGGCTACGGTATATCGTATTTAGACGCCCATATCACATGAGAGCCCCAGGCTTATACCTTGAAATTGGTACCGTTTGAACCGCAAACGCGTCTAGTGTTATTATCTGGTTTGAAAAGTTGGTTCTAGTATGATTTTTTTTTGAAAAAAATGCACTTTTTTAAATTTTTTAACAAAATTTTGCGGTTTTTAATTTTTTTGTGCCTTCCGGGCATTTTAGAAACAAATTACTAACATTAATATTGTTTACGCTTACGTGCTCTACAATTTAAAAAAAGTCCGGTAAAATTCTGTCAAGTTATTCAAAAGTTATAAATAAACTACTAAATGTTACAGTAATCCAACAGTAAGAAAAAAAATTAGGTAAAATACGTTTCATTGGTATTAGAATACTTCTACTAATAATAAACAGTTATTTTGGAAAATTTGTTCAAAAACTGGGTACTTTCCGCAGAGTTATACTAACGTAAAGTTCAGCAGGGCTACGGTATATCGTATTTAGACGCCCATATCACATGAGAGCCCCAGGCTTATACCTTGAAATTGGTACCGTTTGAACCGCAAACGCGTCTAGTGTTATTATCTGGTTTGAAAAGTTGGTTCTAATATGATTTTTTTTTGAAAAAAATGCACTTTTTTAAATTTTTTAACAAAATTTTGCGGTTTTTAATTTTTTTGTGCCTTCCGGGCATTTTTAGAAAAAAGTTGTTAACATCAATATCGTTTACGTTTATGTGCTCTACAGTTTAAAAAAGTCCGGTAAAATTCTGTCAAGTTATTCAAAAGTTATACATAAACTACTAAATGTTACAGTAATCCAACAGTAAGAAAAAAAATTAGGTAAAATACGTTTCATTGGTATTAGAATACTTCTACTAATAATAAACAGTTATTTTGGAAAATTTGTTCAAAAACTGGGTACTTTCCGCAGAGTTATACTAACGTAAAGTTCAGCAGGGCTACGGTATATCGTATTTAGACGCCCATATCACATGAGAGCCCCAGGCTTATACCTTGAAATTGGTACCGTTTGAACCGCAAACGCGTCTAGTGTTATTATCTGGTTTGAAAAGTTGGTTCTAATATGATTTTTTTTTGAAAAAAAATGCACTTTTTTAAATTTTTTAACAAAATTTTGCGGTTTTTAATTTTTTTGTGCCTTCCGGGCATTTTAGAAAAAAAAGTTGTTAACATCAATATCGTTTACGTTTATGTGCTCTACAGTTTAAAAAAGTCCGGTGAAATTCTGTCAAGTAGTTCAAAAGTTACAAAAAATTTTTAAATTTTACAGTACACCTACAGTAACCCAAAATTTCAAAATTTTAATACATTTTTGTAATGTGGGGCCTCAAAGGTACCTGTGGTTGCAAAATAAGATTTTTAAAAAAATATTTTTTTTACTGGCTCGCCTATGTCTGATTCTCTCGCGAACCTTGTTTTAAAATTGTTATAAAATAAAAAAATTTTTTTTGGATCCATAGACGCCTAGATAAATAAAATTTTTGAATTTTAACTCGAAATTCATTAAAAAATAACTCAAGAATTCCTAAAAAAACGTCTTTCAGAACCGCGAACTAAAAGCTTTCAGAAGATTAGCAAAAGTTTCGCAAAGTCGACGAGATTAGCAACAGTTGGCGCAACTTTCTACAACATTTTGTTAATTTGGGGGATGCCGAAAGGCGGAAATCTACAGGATTTTCACTTAATACCGTTTCAGATCGAGTTCGAAATCAGAGCTTCCGCCCTGCGGCATCCGAAAGTACAGCAAATTTTAAGCGAATTTGCTTAATTCGGAAGGCTGTAAAATGTAAAACCAACACAAAAGTATACCTGAAGGTGGAGCTTCGAGGCGAATACGACCGGTTCGTCATAAAGTAATGTTAATCTCGGTATGTTTCTGATTAAGTACGATTAAAAAAAGCGAAAGTTTTTTTCGTGAATTTTCGGTTCAAATGATTGGAAGTACAAGTCAAATGGCATACTTTACTTTTGTGTTCCGTGCCTAGACAGCCGGTTTCGAAATCTTTTATTTTTTCGATTTTGTTTTGTAGGATCAGTTGGGGAAGGTTTAGAGACGCAGTATCAGTTTAGTTACGTATACACTATATCACTAATAGAATAACTTCGTCCTATACCTTGTTTGGCAAAAAATCCCCTAAGGTTGACGTCCTATGGCCCTTATTTTAAAGATTACTTCCCTTTTTTAGTAAAAGTACTTTAGAATAATCGGTAAAAATCAAAAGACAGAAGCATTCGAAGATATAAAGTTATATAGACCATGCGTAATATCATTAACTATTTTTTCATTTCAGATATGAGACTCAGCTTGGTATTGCTTATATTAAGTGTGGCCTGGCTGGCAGCCTCGGAAGAAGCCGCTAAGAAGCCAATGACGCCAAATCTAGACATGGAGATCACAAAAGAACCAAATGAAAAGTTCTACAAAGCTAAGATAAACGACGAAGACTACGTGGGTATGTATCAAAAATGGACTGACACGGGTATCAGCTCTCTGCTTTCGGCTGTGGCTCAGAAAAAGTAAGTAGCTATATGGCTCAAAAATCAGCTCATAAGTACTATAACACCATCAAAAAACTAGAATTCTTTTAAAATTAAAAAAAATGTATTAACTTGCAGACTAAAACGACAACGCCGGTCAGTAGCAAAAGCCTTCGGAATGTGTTCATCTGAAGCGACAACATTGACAAAGCATGCCAAGTGTTTATCTAAACTACTGAAAAATGAAATGAAATCAGAAGAAACAAAGAAGAAAAGGAGAGGAGAACGTCTCGACCGTTACCGCAGTCCCAATGCCGCCGATTGGGACAATGGATTCAAAACGGAAAAAACTTCATTCAGAGCCAGAAGATCTCCAAAGGTCCATCAAGCTTCAAGTTACTCACTAAATTCAAATAAGGAACAACTCTCACCTCTCGGATCGATCGCCAAAGTATTACTAGAAAGCGTCAAGAAGGCCAACAACAAGACAGAGCTACCAAATTGGCAAGAAACAGTCAGCAAACTTCGATTCAACGGCCAGAAACGGAAAAAGATCAAGAAGATGATCGAAGATGACAGTGAAGAAAACTTGAACCAAATGGCACTACGAGGACTGAAGGAGAAGATGTTGGGAGACGACCAGAAGCCATTAGCAGAGAACGTGGATCTCGAAGAGATTATAAAAGACCCAGTTAAGATGAAGGAGTTCATCAAGGCTCACAAGAAAAAGAAAAGAAAGCCGGAGGAGAAGGTGGTGGATACTATCCGGGATGCTATGAAACTGGTATATAGTATAGCTGGTCAAAATACGACCAATTTCGATAACAGAACAATGAAAATCGCTTCGCCTAGGTTTTTGGGTGTTGTGCCGGAAGATAAACAGGAAGACGAAGTAAGTTTACAAAATTTCATTCATATAAAAAATTTGAAAAACTCAAAATATAAACTAATTTTAAAAACCAAAAAGATTTTTTACCCAAAATTTTTAATTTCAAACTACAGTAATCCAACAGAATATTTAAAGTTTCAATAAAAAATAAATTTACAAATATTCCCTTTCCAGATCAACCTAATCTCCCCCTCCTTGTTCTCCCTACACAGTGAAGGTGATGGTGTGGAAAAGCTGACCAGTATTCCAAACCTTCTTAGCCAAGTTGGACTAAAAGATCAAGACGTGTGGCTAGATATCATTATGGAAGCTGCTGGTGTGAATGATGAATCAGACAAACTTGATGGAGAGATTCATGACTATGAGTACCAGAAGACGCAAAACTTGATGACAAATGTGTCCAGTATGGTGGATGAACATGGCACACCTATGTATGCTACAAAAGACAATGTCACTGAGTTGGGTGGGAGTAATGCGCCGGCTGAATTGTTCGAAAAACTGCAGCTGATGTATACCAAAGAACAGGTATGGATACATAGATAAATTTTTAAAAAATTATATGAATCATCATTTCTAGGTCATAGCTGAACCAATAGTATTTCTTTTGCTAGTTCAAGTTCAATAGACCATTAAAACAAATATTTTAGCTACGTGAAATGAACTCAACCGGCTACACTATGCTGACGAAAGAGCAGCTACACACTCTGTACGGTGAAGACTCTCCCATGAACAACTCCAAAGCTCTACAGAAGTTCACTAACATGACGACCGACGAAATGCATGATCGTCTACATGAAGATGTGCACATGATGGCAGAGATGAAGAGTTTCGAGCTGAAGCAGAAGGATATTGTGTTGTCTCCCGTCGCCTTCTTCCCTGTTATTGCCAATGCTGTAGTACCATCTCAAGCCTTTATCCTGTCTCCCATCATCTTTAGTCCTTTAATCTTGGCCCCATCCGTGTTTGGTGCTGTAGTTCTGTCTCCGTGGATGTTTGTACCACTGGTACTGTCGCCTCGTGTTCTTGGTGCCCTTATTTTGTCACCCTTCATCTTCGCTCCCATTATTCTGACGCCGTTAGCGGTGCATCCTGCCATTCTGTCTCCAGGTGTGTTCAACCCTCTAGTACTCTCACCAGTGGTACTGGTACCATTCATTCTCTCACCCCAAGTTTTCACCCCCATTATCTTGTCCCCGTTGTGTTTGTCGCCCATTATCTTGAATCCTATGTTAGGTTCTCCGCTTATTCTGTCACCCTTCGTGCTTACGCCTATTATTGCATCGCCTATGGCGCTAAGTGCCCTGGTACTAAGTCCTTATGCTCTATCGCCTGTAATATGGAGTCCGCTTATTGCATTCGCAGCCGTCTTATCGCCAAGTTGGCTAAGTTAACATTTTTTAAAAAATTTTTAATAAATAATAATTGAATTATGATAAAAGACTTGATTACAGTAAAAAGACTGTTCAATGAATAAATTATCGGTGTTAAAAAATAAAAAAGCAAAAACTTACAATATGGTATAAATTCAAGTCATCATTCTTGGCTTTGCAATAACATTCCACCAATGACCTATATAATGTGGTATCACCTCATCCTATTACGGTATAATATAATATAGTATTAAACGAAGTATAATGTAGTATCATAAAACTCTGATTTGTCCAAAGAATTAAGAACCCATTTCATTAATTGCTCTATTAAAGTAGTAATCTGACCAACTCCATTATGTTGCTTTATATTCATATGACAGTATTCCGGCGACAACTTCTGAAACAGAAAGAAGTTCATATGCCTTCAAGTAAGATATAAAGCAAATTCGAAAAAGTTGGTCGTTCATTGCGTTTAAACATCGCCGGGAGACGGAATAACGCGTCAGAGTTTGAGAAAGCGGAACTCAATGTTAATTACATGATCAAAGTATTCTACACAACATAACAGTAAATATAAGTGCAATAGTGTAAAAGCTATAAAACCTCATAAATGCCATCTAATAGTATGTTACCTAAGTGACATTTGATAGTATGTTAACCACGCTTCATTGCTACATTCCTACGCATTGATTCGAAACACTTCCTATCCCTATCACTCGCTTGCACCCGTCAAACGGAATTAAGATCGAGATGAAACAAATTAAACGCACCCACTGCCGCAACGTACGTACGCGAATACGTACGTATCTAACTTGCTGTTACTCTTCATCCAAATACTATCAGACGGATTTACCGTATCTCACGAAAAAATGGAATCGTACTTTGATCGATTTACCGTGATAATTAGCTTACAATAAAGCTGTAAACCAAACTTGAAACGCCTGATTTTGACTAAAAGATTGCACTGATCGTTAAACAAAAAGCTCAGGATATAACGAAACCTCGTTACAGCATAAAGATTTTCCAATCCCCTTGCGCTTCGTATACCGAGAGTTTACTGTACTTTTTAAGTATAATATAAAAAAAGCAAGAAGTAAAAATTTAAGACACTTTATATGTAAAGGGGAAAACTAAAACTGTTGCAATCGATAAGACAAAGTAATAAATAATAACAACACGCTTCCTTTACGATTATTGCGATCCATAAATCTTTTCGAAACGCAATAAAACTTAAGTTATCAGCGTTAAAATAATAATAGTAATTCTCAGCTGATAATTGCAGTTTTCAGCTATAAAATTACTGTTTTTGAAATTTTGCTATCTTGGCCAAGAATAATATGATCCGATGAGTTCATCAAGACAATTGAAAAAATTGGTAAAAAATACTCCCACAAGTATGACAAATCTAAATTTAAACCTACAGCAGCTCGAGTAGTTACAATAGTTTCTAATTGCATTGTAATATCACTTCCGTAAAAAATTAGGTTAATAAAGGTATACAGTACCCACCCGTTACAAACAACCGCGTTTAAAGCACCTCTCTTAATATAAAATAATCATTTAAAAAACAAACCGTATTTTACCTACGCAACAGATTTTCAACCACCTTAAATAAAGAATCGGCAACAAATACAATCATAATATATACACTTGTAAGTGTAACACCCGCATTTATACCCACCGCAACCCCAAAACCAGATAAATATCATGAAGAATCACAATGGGTGGTCTAACGCACATTTTTGTCATCTTATATCACCCTTAATCATAAAGGCGTTAAGAAACTTCGAAAAGTGTCAACGTTCCAGTCGAAACCGATATTTATGTTCTTTTGGTAATTGTTTCGACGAGGAAACATACCAGTAATCAGGTCGAGTTATTAACCTATCTGAACTCGGAGTCTTTTTATGCGTGTCAATAATCAATAACACTGTGTGAAGCCATTAAACTTTTTTCTTAAGCATTCCCCCCCCCCCTTATGAAACTACTTTCCAACGTTTCGCACTTTTACAGCGCAGTCAATGCAACAGCGTACATTTACTTTACTTTTTTTGGAACGGGTACTATTTGATTTTTGTCCTTTAATAGCATATATAATTAACATTTTTGAAAAACTTTGGTGGTATTGCTCACTTTAAGCGCTGTTTAATCGTAAAGACCTCTGTCACCCCAATAAACTAAGTTACAATGTAATGAACTTACATATTGTCCTTACTTTCAGTTCCAGGCCATAGCTATAAGATAACCGGGAAAGACGTGCCATTCTTTTCAACTATCTACCGTATTCTGCGCCGTGCTAACCACAAATGACCGAATATTTGATGAGAAAGGCTACCTCTTAATTAGCTTAAACTTTTAGTTCGTGCGGCTACACTAGTTTTGTACTTTAATCCCAGCAGCAAAATGAATCCGCCTTCACTTTTACGGACAGCAGAATCAAGGTACGTTTGAGATACTGTAACAGACTTAAGGCGGGGTTAAACACCTTAATTTGCTTAGTTTTCGGCATCTTTTCGTCGAAACATTGTAAACGTTTGAAACGTTCGAGAAAGCAGTAGTAGACTCTACGGTTACCGATAGATCATTCAAATAGCAGAGAAACAGTATGTTAGGATGATTTATGCATGAATTGTTTCGTATAACAAGAAATTCAGAGACGACAGAGAAAAGTCAAGCGGTATAAACATAGATTTAATTGGAATCAAGGGCGGGACTCGAACAGAAAATAGCATTATTCAACGTGTTTGAATATACAAACATTACCAATACAAGATTAAAAACTAGTAGTTTTGTGCCATTCTACGAGAAGGTTAAATGAAAATAAAAGTGCGTACTTGAAAGCCTAAGGCTACTATAACTAGTTAATATAGAAAAACTTTCCCAACATAAAGATTAAGCCTCCTGAACAACGGTATGCAAAGATACGCACATCCGGAATTAAAATATACCCAAACCAAAGTAAAATGCTAAAAAAGTAGACAAAGGCGGAGCACAACAGCATGTTAACAACGTGCTAATCGTGTGCCGTGCATTTCATCTACATCATGTACGGTAGGCGGCACAAAAGTAAAAGCCCTGATAATTGAATAATAAGATTAATCAATCTTTTTTTTATTCAACTCAAAGTATATTTGAGTACAATGTTCAGGTTTTGTTGCAAATCATGGTTTTGAGGAGGAAGTTCATTTTGTATTGTCATTGTTTTATATGAGTGTAAATGTTTGGTTGCTTTTATAACATTTAAATCTTTACTTCAAAGTCTTGAATATGTTTTAGATTAGTGTAAATCTTTAGTTTATTTTTCAAAACTTCGAAATTTTGAATATTATGGGATTTTGTTCAAATTTAGAAATACTTTTCCTCAAAAATGGCATAATTTTCGTCCAAAGATCGATAAAATGTGATTTCAACGTTTTTGCATCACATCTCATCCGGTTTTGTTGCTGAAATCGATGCGGTTTTACATGATTCGTTTCGAATTTTCAGCATCAACGAACTCGCTTCATCCGGAAAAAGAAACATTTGTTAAGGAAGCTCTTATAAAAGGCTAAATCAATGCAATCATCTGGTTTACATAGCTCGAACTTGAATATTTTGGGCAACGGGTTTTGTTTCGAATTTATTTAAGCTTTTGTTTAATATAACATTATTTTATTTTATTCTTTATTTCTTTGACTGTTAATAGAAACTGGGTATTAATTTCGACTTTTTAATACATTATCATCCCTCATTTAGCGTTAAGCCGTATATATAAACTTATATAAATATTATTCTTTGAAACTATTACCATGCACATTAGCCATTTTTAAAAGAGTGAGTAGTGTAATTTTCAAGTATCAATTACCTATCTACGTGACTTTTCCAAAATACCTTTTCGATTAAAATTTTAGTTCGATTACCACGACCTATACTATCAGCTTTGACAAGGGTTTCAATTCAAATTAGCTTGAGAAAGTCTAGTCAAAAAAAGTTGGCGCTGCGATCTGTCAGAATTAAGGTCGAAACAGTTTGTCATCAGTTAATTAAATCAACTACAAACTCTAAGCAATTGCAAGAAAACTGCAGTTTTGTGTTTACGTTTAGTCACGTTGGGTCATAAAAACATAGGTTAGGCTTAAAATATAACAGAAAACCTAGTTAATGCAGATATTCTTAACAAACCGTGTTCTGTTAGATTACAAAATAATACCGTGTTTTAATAAAGACGGTAAATCGTATTGGAAGAAATTATAGTTCTAAACCAAACGTTTAAGATGCCGACGACAGCTCAACTTGGCATATTGACGATACTTATAAGCGCCCTTGGATCTCAAGCTTTCCAAAAAAAAGCTTCAGAACTCAACTTAGATTATGACATTCAGAAGCAACCCGGTGACAAATATTACAGAGCAAACATTAAAGATGACGACATGCTTGGTATGTATCAGAAATGGGCCGAAACTGGCATGAGTTCACTTATGGGAGCTATTGCTAATCATAAGTAAGTAAAATGATAAATATCAACATATATTCTGTGTTTTGCTTACACAATCTACCATACGACAAAATTATTGAAATAATACTAAATCATCATCAAACCTACCCTTCATACAATTTATAATTTCAGACTAAAACGTCAAAGAAAAGCCATAATACAGAAGTTTGGAGAATGCTCAGCCAAAGCTACAGACATTCCGAAACATGCTACATGCCTAACTCGACTATTGAACGACGAAATAAAAGCTGAAGTTACAAAAACGATTGTCAAACCTGGTGCCCGGTTGCTCAAATACCAAGGAAGACAAAAACAAAACGAATGGACAAGCGGATACATTACTGAGAATAAACAACCAGGTATTGGCTACAACAGACGACTAAAACTACAATCTGAACCTTATCAATCGGAAACTGATGACCATGTTAGACGAAACTTCCGTCATTCAGAAGATGACACAACACTAACACGTGTCCGCCGATCTCCCAATATTAGAAAATCAGATTCTTACACTCTGAACTCAAACAAAGAGAACCTCACCCCATTAGGTCAGGTAGCCAAGATGTTGATGAACTCGGTCAAAAAACTAAAAGGCAAAAAAGAACTGCCAATGTGGCAAGATACTGTGGAAAAGCTCCGAAACAATGGATTGAAACGCAAGAAGTACAAGAAGTTGGTTGAAGATGACAGTGAAGAGAACCTTCGTCAAATACAAATGAACGTGTTCAAAGAAAAATTGATGGGAAAACCTGATTTAACTGCTGATATTGATGTAGATGGGATGGTACAAGACCCCAAAAAGTTGGAAAAGTTCGTTAAAGACAGGAAGAAGCCTAAGAATAAAGAAGAAAGGGTTATCGACCTGATTAGGGATGGTCTTAAATTGGCCTACACTTTGGCTGGGCAAAACACAACCGGCTTTGATAACAAAACCATGAAGATTGTGTCGCCAAGGTTCTTGGGTTTGGTGCCTGAAGAGAAAGATAATGATGAAGTAAGTCATAAATATTCGTTTAACGGCAGTTCAAGCATTCAACTTTAGAAAACTAAGTAAAAGTCTACTCGAAAAATATTAATACTTTCAGATTTCCCTAATATCTCCATCTCTATTCTCTCTTCACGACCAAGGAGAAGGTATCGAAAACCTGACCAGTCTTCCAAACTTATTGAAAAACCTTGGAATCAAAGACCAGCAGCTATGGCTAGACATTGTAATGGAAGCAGCTGGTGTGAATGAAGAAAGTGAGAAACTGGCAGATGAAGTTCACGACTACGAATTCAATTCTACACAAACAATCATGACAAACATAACACATCTGAGAGACAAAGACGGTACACCCTTGTATGCTACGAAAGAAAATGTCACTGAAATGGGAGCATCGCCCGAATACATCGAAATGTTCGAGAATCTACAACAAAATTACACCAAAAATCAGGTAAAGTGGCATTTACTATTAGCATTACAGGTCCACACTATGCTATAAGAAATGATAATAAAAAAGTAAACTTATGTAAGACTAACCACCTGTAACTTACAAATCCTCAAGCAGTAAATTTTAGCTTCGAGAAATGAACACTACTGGCTTCGCGGTACTGAACAAGCACCAAATTAAAATGCTCTACGGTCCTTCGGCACCATTCCCTAACCTTCCAGTATACAACCGCTTGATCAACATGACAGAAGAAGAGATCCGAGATCAAATGTTCAAAGAATTCAACACAATGTCACAAATGAAAAACTTCAGAATTGACCAGCACCAAATTCAGAAGTCCCAAGAAGAACATGCCAGACGGAAACGTCAGCTACTGCCTGGAGTAGTTTTATCTCCTGTAGTAGCCACTCCTGTAGTTGGACTGCCACTTCTGGCATCAGAACCGTTTATATTATCCCCGATTGTACTGACACCTCTGATTCTGTCACCTTCAGTATTCGGTGCCATCATCTTGTCACCGTGGTTGTTTGTGCCCGTTATTATTTCTCCGCGTATTTTAGGAACGTTGATCCTGTCACCGTTCGCTTTTTCGCCTATTGTTTTGTCACCGTTCGTTTTGCATCCTGCCATTCTGTCCCCAGGTATCTTTTCGCCTATAGTACTGTCACCTCTACTGTTACTGCCTTTGATCTTATCGCCCCAAGCCTTTACTCCCATTATCCTATCTCCACTATGTTTATCTCCTGTCATTCTGAATCCTATGGTTGGCTCACCTTTAATTCTGTCGCCATTTGTGTTGTCTCCAATCATTGGCTCTCCTATGATACTGTCTGGATTGATTCTATCGCCATATGCCCTTTCTCCTGTATTGTTTAGTCCATTGATAGCATTTATCGCTGTATTGTCTCCATCTTGGTTGAGTTAGGTAGTAGAGCATTGCCTGAAATTGGTTTTATTAAATGTTGTGAATGATTAAACTAATAAATTATTTTTAACATTATATTATAGTTAAATTACTAATGTCAATTGCTAATAAAAATGAATAACTTTAAACTTCACTTTACTTAAGTTGAAAGAACAATGACATTTCAACTCTAATTTGTAGCTTGAACACCTTTAAAGTTTAAACTACAACCCCTACCTAATTCGAAAAGTACGCAAAATTGTGTTTAATCAAGCTCAAGAAGCAGATCGCGACACAACGGCAATGAAACAACGTACGTATTTGACATACGTCGAGTAATTAACTACCGCCGAAAGCTGATAGTAAATGCGGAGTAGAGTGAAAGAAGCAGACAGCTACCGTATTCCGTTCTTTGCTCGCATGTAAATATTTCTGGATAAAGCAAAGTACGAATCAGACTAGACAGAGTAATTAGCTACTGTTTTAAAAAGCGCGTATTTTGATTTACCAAAGTAAAGCTAACAAATAATGCGGTATAAACTTTAAATTAGTTATAGTACAAAATTTTTTTTAAAATTCCCCAAAAATTAGCTTTTATAAGAGGCACAAATTTATGTGAACAACATAACATATCTTAGGTTGTTCCAAAAAGAATGACCAATTTCAACATTAGGTCAAAAATGTTATAAAAAATTTAACTTTATTTTAAAATTGTAAAGTAAGCATGCAAATTAAAAAAAACTTTATATTAGTTCAAAATTTAAGCCAGTTTTAACAAATATCACAATTATGCCATCACGAACAACTAGTCAAGATCAGTTACCACACTTTTCGTCAAACAAATTATAACAAACTGGGTTGAAAACATGATCGTAAAAGTTCGCCCCGAACCCAACGAATATAGGTGGAGTTTGCCCTTGATATTGATATAGTCGCACTCTTAAACTTTATCAAGACTCTTTAAAATTTTTAACTTTGAACATCCAACTACGTACACACCTTTCTAAAGTATGTACATCTTCAAGAACAAATACACATATCTTCAAGAGCTAATACACACTTGTCATTTCTTTTTTTGGCTAGGCAAGGCGGTCTGAACTTAATCTGGCGTATCAATCATGTTTCAAATGTTAATTTTTTCGATAGGCGGCACTTTTCACAGCCAATCAACAAGCTGAGCGCAACGTAACACCATACACTATATTGAATTCGAGGTGTCAAATCCCCACTGTCTAGACAAATAATGCCATACCCGCCCATTTTTAGTCAATTCACTGCCCATTAAAATTTAAATCGAATTTCACAATTCTACCGTACCAAAATTACCGCCTAAAACGTGTTTTAGCACTAGAAGAGGCGTGTTGGTCACTCGACCGGAAGCCACAGTGTATTCAACATGTTTTACATACTGCAAACTTTGTTTTAGATTGACAGATTGCTGGGTAAAATGTGTTTGTTTAGGATTTTCCTTTCAAATTCAGTTAGATTTCTGAGTTGATTTATTTGCAGCAAAATATTAAAACTTTTTTTGGTTCAAACCTTCTGCAAATAATTTTAAAACATAATGTCTGTTATTTTAAAAGGGCAAGAAAGCTTCATAAAATTCCTTGCCCTTTTAAAACCCTTATCCGTTACGCTTCATTTCGAAAACAACCGTAGCAAACATTACTTATACTTTTTGTTATTATTAATGTTTTAGGTTTTTTAATGTAGTTTTTCCTTGCGGGCATTGTAGAAAGTGTGCGGTAAATTTGTCACAATCCCTACTCGATGTGAAGAACTTGCTCATAGCGAAGCACACTTGTTAAACTAGATATTAAACATTGTTTCCTTCTCACATTGCGATGACCATATTTCAAACTATGTTGCGAACCCATTTCTGAGCTTGCGGTTGTATCCTACTACAAAATTGTTCGACTTGACTTTGTAGCCAACAACATAATCCTTATAGTCATCTTTTTTAGCTTATTATAAAATCTATTCTTTTTGTGAACAAATGATTTTTTTTCCTATTTTTAATTTCAATTACTCTCACAAATTATAACTGCCTCATTATTCGCCTTAAGATCTTCCCAATACACTTAACCGTAATGCTTTAAAATGCACTTTATTTTAAATGCTTTTAACTTGATAGTCGTATACCACATCACATCGCAGTAACTGCTAGTCATTAATAATCTCAATAGACTAATTAACTCTTTAACCATCTCATCCCATTAAACCGTCCCCATTGTATCAATCATAATAATGTACCACATTAAAATAGGCGCGCCTGAACCAGTTAAAATTCCCAGCCACTAACCACCCCCCCCCCGAAAACAGTTTTGATACCCGTTATTAGCCGTTAACAGCACGCTTCGTTCGTAAAAAACGTAATTAAGATTATAATTATGAGATAATCCGAAGCCCTTTGTTGTTCCACCGTTCCGAATCCATTACCAAACCCACGGCTAAATCACGGCGCAACATATCAAAGAAGCTGATTAAATTGTTTCGGACATTTTTTCGAATTAAAAGTGCGCGTTTAATGAGTTTTTGAAATTAGTGGCTACAAACTCAAAATAATGCTGTCCATTTTTAAAAATAATGAAATTGGATTCTGAGTCATTTTGATTTTACCCGGAACCTTGAGAATCTTGTTACTTTTTAAATTTTTTTACTCTAATAACTTTTTTTTTGAAATAAGTATGTAGTTGACCCGCTAAATTATATTACAGTCAAACCTCTTTATTGTGACACTCAAAATACTGGACTAAAATATCGTTATAATCAGGGTGTTTGTAAACACAGTTTACACTACCTAGGTACCTTTTGATAAAGGTTCTATTAGAAAGGGTGGTTAAAAAGCTGTCATTATGAAGAGGATGTCACACTGTTGATGGTCCTACTACCAAAGGACTCTCAATAGTTATACTGTATTCATCATAAAGCGTAATTGACTCTTAGTTTGTTAAAACATTAACTTAATTAATGTTTAAGCATACTGTTTATGTAAACAAAATTAAGTTAGTAACTAGTCTAGTCTAACCGTAAGCTTAATCTTTTTATGTTCGCGTAGTAAAATTTATGTTTCAAACTACCTTGAAATCCAACTCGACAAGTCGTAAAACCTCAAATTCGGTTTCTTTGACTTTCCAAATTGAAATTGTCAATGACAATTTAGTAAAAGTTAACACTAAACATTTACGACCCTCAAGCTATAAAATCTTAATACTTACTTATTTTACAACTTTTTACGTATACGTGATTAAAAATATTAATTCTCAAAATACTTTTTCATTTATAGAACATTAATTTCAGAATGATCCTCAACTCACACATACACGTACTGGTACTCGTTCTGTGCATACTAAGTACCCAGGGATATCAAAAGCAAACAGAAGCAAATTTGGACTTCGACATTCAAAAAGACCCAAATGAGAAGTACTACAAAGCGAATGTAAAAGATGAAGAGGTTGTGGACATGTACCAGAAATGGGTCGATACTGGCATCAGTTCACTCATGTCTGCCATTGCAAACCATAAGTAGGTTTTATAGACTAAACTTGTGAAAACATTAACTATTATAATAATAAAAACCATATAATGAATATTATTTTTATAAAGAATAACCTATGATTTTGACAAAGATGCATATAAACTTTATTATGCTCACTTAAAATTTTATTTTAAGACTAAAACGACAACGCCGAACAGTAATACAAGAGTATGGTCAATGTTCATCCAAAGCAACAAACATTCCAAAACATGCCACATGCTTGACCAAATTATTAAATAACAAATTTAAACCAACAAACGTCAGAAGGACCAGGTACCAACGACTGCAGAAGTACAAAAAAGAAGAGAAGGTCTGGACTGGCGGGTTTAAGACGGATCAGTCCAACAATGCCGTGCTACTACCTAAAAAACAACATGACACAAACCACATGGTGTTCAGAAGCAAAAGAAACACAAGAATAAAGGAATCATCGTCGTATCATATAAACAGTAACAAAGAACAACTAACACCCATGGGTCATATTGCCAAGATGCTTATGGAATCTGTAAAGTCGATAAAAGGCAAAGACAACCTCCCACAATGGCAAGAAACCGTATCAAAGTTAAGATCGAACGGTGCCAAACGCAAAAAGTACAAGAAGTTAATAGAAGACGACAGTGAAGAGAACATGAATCAGATGCAAATGCATGCTCTGAAAGACAAAATGATAGGAAACAAACCAATGTCAACTGATGAGGACCTTGAAGATGCTCTGCAAGATCCACAAAAGTTAAGAAAATATGTGAAAGACAAGAAGGTATCAAAGACTAGAGAGGATAAGATACTCGATGTTGTTAAAAGCGGATTGAAACTCATGTACAGTCTAGCTGGAGAAAATACAACCAATTTTGAAGACAAAAACATGAAACTCGTGTCACCCAGGTTCCTAGGACTTGTGCCTGAAGAGAAACAAGACAACGAGGTAAGCATATTACTCTTTCGAAACAGAAAGTTAAAATTTTACAAGAAAAAGCGATTAAATACAATCTTTTACAAACATTACAGCCTTTTAAAAATATTTTTAAAATCCAGAAAAATAAGATTACAAAATTTCAGATCTCCCTGATTTCCCCATCATTGTTTTCGCTACATGACCAAGGAGAAGGTATTGAGAACCTAACCAGTTTACCAAATCTACTCAAAGGATTCTCAAAGAAAGACCAACAATTATGGCTTGATATTATCATGGAAGCAGCTGGAGTTAACGACGAAAGTGAGAAACTGGAACAAGACGTTCATGATTTCGAATTCAACAAAACCCGGTCCGCGATGACAAACATTACGAATCTAGTAGACGAACACGGAACACCATATTATGCAACAAAAGAGAATGTGACACAGATGGGAACATCTCCAGAATATGTGGAAATGTTTGAGAAACTACATCAGAATTACACAAAAGATCAGGTAAATAACGCTAAATTTGGATAACATATATTTTATTGAAGTAGGCTATTTTATCAAATAGCCTACTTCAACAAAATTAAAAAACGAGAAAAAAAAACCTTTTCATACTGATATTTTGTTAAAACTAACATCAGTACTTTACCTATAATCTTTTCCAAACCTTCATCTTTCAGCTACGTGAAATGAACACCACAGGCTACGCCATCCTAAACAAACATCAGATTGAACTACTTTATGGACCTGAATCTCCTCACAGTGACCCCGAAACATACAAACGATTGATGCAAATGACTGAAGATCAAATTCATCACCATTTACATAAAGACTTTGAAGTCATCTCACAACACGACAGACTCGAAATTGACCAACAAAAGTTCAGACAAGCTCAACAAGCAGAACATCGCAGGAAAAAACGTCAATTACTTCCTGGCATAGTGCTATCTCCAGTATTGAACACTCCTGTCGTGCTCAGTCCTCTACTTGCTTCTCAACCATTCATCCTTTCTCCTGTCGTACTCACTCCTCTGATCTTATCGCCTTCAGTATTTGGTGCCATCATTCTGTCGCCATGGTTGTTCGTACCTGTAATCTTGTCTCCTCGTATCTTGGGTGCCCTGGTCTTATCTCCATTCGCCTTCTCCCCTCTTATCTTGTCACCATTCGCTCTCCATCCTGCCGTACTATCTCCTGGTATCTTCTCTCCCATCGTGTTGTCTCCATTCTTGTTATTGCCCTTGATTCTGTCACCTCAAGTCTTCACTCCAATCATTTTGTCACCACTTTGTCTGGCTCCGGTTATCTTAACTCCAATGGTTGGATCCCCTCTCATTCTGTCACCATTCGTACTGTCGCCAATTATTGCTTCACCATTAGGTCTGTCGGCTTTGGTACTGTCACCGTATGCACTATCACCTGTCATCTGGAGTCCTCTCATTGTTTTCGTTGCCATTTTATCGCCTTCCTGGCTGAGTTAGTGCAAAGTGTGATATAATTTTGTTTAGATAGACAGACAATACTTCTATTCCGATTTAGCTGAGAGTCTAGTGTCCTAAATTATGATACATACCCGTCAACTTTCATTCGACCACATATCACTTTAAAAACTGCAATACATACGAAACGAACATATCTCAAGAAAACATAACTTATTTTAATATTAATAAATATTATTTATTTCTACTTTACTTGACTTTACTTTAAAATTAAAAGTAGAAACGTGATGTACAAATTGTTCTATGACAAGGAATATACTACTTAGAATATACTACACACTTATATTCGTACCAATTAAAAATTGCCATCAAAACAAACGTGTCACAAAGATATATGGCGAGATTAAAAGATACATACCGCTCCCAGAATGGCGATCTATCTATTACACGCTTCGTAAAAACTGATTAGTTTCTAAATAACCTTCACCAAGGTTACAAAAGTGCGGAAGTCACAAACTACGAAACTAACAACCTTAAACCAAAAGTGTACCGAGAATACGTATATACAGTAGAGATGTGTATCAAATTGATTAATTGACCTAACAGTAAGCAAAGTTTTAGAGTATAAAAATAATTAAAAACTGTGCCACAAATCCATAAAACAACTTCAAAAAGACAAAGTAACATACATAAACAATAAAATAAAATTAAAAAATAACTTTTTCCATAAAAAGATGACAAGAAACGCCTATACTATCAAAGGCTTCCGAAACTAAATACCACGTCCCCAAAGTGCTCATATTTTTGAAAAACCAGATACTCACCATTCAAACTAAGATCCACGTCCATTTTCTGCACCATGTACTCACTGTTTTTTCTTCATTGCAATAATCCTGAAATAAAATGGCATTAATGTAATAAAAAACATAAAACTAAACAGATTTTAAAATTGTAAATAAGGCTAATGTTCTCCTCCTATCATCACTTCACCTTTAGGTCAATCTAGTCTAGTACTGCCGTCACATGCACTAATACCTGACATTTAGAGCCATCGCATTATATTCGCTGCTATTTTGTCCCCCTCATCGTTAATTTATCACAAGAATAAAGTATGACAACACAACGATAATCCTAATATATTCATCAATTCAGCGCCGTTAATACTATGTACCTAATAGAACGTATAAAGATTAAACTAAAATATTTTTAAAAACTTTTATTATACTACCGTTACTGATACTGTTCATATTGAAAACGTAGAAAAAGCCATCTAAACCCTACAAGAACCAAAAAATAGATCTTTGGTAGAAGGTAAGCGACCCTGAGATGACGAATATCACATACTACAGAATGTCACTAATCTCGATTGAAGGTCGTCACACACTACAGATGCCGTTTACATGTTTACAACATGTTACTGTACTTTCCGCAGTATAATCAATTACTTTTAACAAATTAACATAATCAGGAAAGTCTACAACAAACAAAGCTTTAGTAAACGAAAATTGTCCAATACTGTAAAATTTCGCAAACGACTGAAAAAAAAAATAACTTTGAATGGCTCTAACTAAGCCCCATACGCAAAACTAAAAACCAGATCAAATCTACTACCAAACCTACTCTGTACCAGCAATATATTATACCCCCACATGAAAGCATCAATGATAAAAAAATCCCTATCAGAGATAAAAAAGTCATCCATATATCAACTTTAAGTTTATAGTACCGCGAAAGACGTTTCGTTTACAATTTATCGCAAAAGAGGCAGGCGTAAGTATACTGTAGACAAGATATCTCCGTCAAACGCAACATTTATAAACCACAAAAAGGCATGAAAGATATTAATCAAAATGTGTAAAAAAGCTACACAATGAGTGAGCCGCTTCAGAAAGCCGTTCAGCAATTTAACATTTTTGACCAGATCGAAATGAAAACTAAAAAAATGAGATAAAAGAAAAAACTAAAAATGCAGTAGAAATATGAAGTAAGAAGACTACGAAACGTTGTTTTTAGACCGTAAAGCGCTTCAAAGTTCCTGTAAAAATTTAAAAAATAAAAACTATTTATTGTATTTGATCATGTAGAACAACGTGCTTACTTATACCTGTATCTATTCTAAAATTATTCCTTTTTCAGACTACGGTAGCGTTCTTAATCTCTCAAAAAGCTTTACACGCTAGAATTACTTTCCCTTAGAAAACCGGTGCACCCGCTCGTTGAATCGATCCGTTTGAACCGCGAAGGATGCTATTCATAAATCATATCAATATAAACTTTTCGAAACCCCCTTGATCAATAACCACCACCATGCTGCAATTAAAAACTTGCTGTTGGTGCCGTCAACGTTGATGAGAGTGAAACTCCAAACGTGTCATAAAAACTTCCGCCAAATCAGGTTTGGCTGTCACCATTGTTATCATAGCATACATAATACCAGATGCTACCCTTCTTAGTACTACGTTCATAATGACAGTTTAGTAATTTCATTATGCGAGCTAGCAAAAGCGTTCCAACCTTAAAGGTTCATGCAAGGATAACAAGATCATAAAACAATTTTGTGTTTTGTGGGAGCAACTTTGACACGTTTCAAGAACGGCAGAAAAGCAAAAATGGTTTGATTGTTTAAGGCGATATCACTACTTTAAAACTTCCAAAATAGATTGTCAAATGCATAAGAAAAGATAACACCTAATTTTAGAAATACCATGTAGCTAACTGTGTATACAGTCAGGGCCGGGCGGAGACTTTCGGTCTGGGGGCGGGGGTCCAAAAAATCGGCACAGGTAGCAGCTACCTGTCCCGATTTTTTGCGAAATTTTTTTTCCAAAAATCCACAGGGGGGACCACGTTCAATTTTTTTCAAAAATTTTTTCTGGGGGGAGGGGGTACCCCCCCCCCCCTCGCGCCCTGCCTACAGTACCCTTTATATATTTTATGTCCAATATAACCAAATTTTACATTTCAAAACCATTAGAAATAGACAGACAACACTTTTGACCCGACCAACAAAATTTGCACCCAAAATGTTTCGACCGAATGTTGAAAACGTGGTAAAGGCGTTGGATTTTGGTGTAACTTTTCAATAATTCGTTCGAAGTACGTATATGAATGTAGAAACACTCGAGAATCCCGGATGTTTCTTTATTATAAAAACAATTTGATAAAAAAAGTAACGCAAAGAAGACAGATGTGTTAAATCCACATTGATCTTCATATATAAGAACGTACGAAACGTAAGTGCATAAATCTTTTTAGGCGTGGTAAAACTTTTATAATGTTGCGATTTAGTATATCCACTTAGTGTGACAAATTTAGTTCGCTGGGGATGGTTGAGGGAAAGTATTAGCCTTATTATAAAAATATTTGTGTTTGTTTACTTATTGAAGAAAGTTAGTTTGTTGTAAAATTTGCTTTAACAGCAGCAGATATTGTTTAAACCCGATATCGAGTATATCTGTCATCTATTAAAAATTATTTTACTTGTAATTTACAGTATCAAAGTTTCAGTTTATGTCCAAGCTTCTGATAGCTCTAACTGTTTGCCTATTACTACAAAATGCCTACTGTAAAGTTGAAAACTTAAAATTAAAAGAGAACACAATTAAACGAGTAGAAGGTACAAATACATATAATATTGGGATAAAGGATGAGGAAGCTATGAAGTTGTACCAGAAATGGTTTGATACTGGAATGAGCTCTATTTTCAGTGCTATTGCAAATAAAAAGTAAGTTGACCTACAACTTTATTTACCATTTATATGGTTCGCCCAATAACTAGTACAAAATCAAGTTTCAATATTTACTTAAACAAGATAAAACTTACTCTACTAATGTTAGGTTATCATTTACCCCATCATTTTAGGTTAAAGAAACGCAGAAAGTCAATAACAAAGAAATTTGGCAAGTGCTCGGCAGAAGCAGACGACCTTAAAAAGCATGCTCGTTGTGTATCAAACTTATTGAAGAACAAGTACCATGCCAATAAGCCACAGACAATAAGCAGGTTCAACAGATATCAACCGAAAGTACTTGAAAGTACAGAAGAAAGTGCGTTCAAGCAGGTCAGAAGCAGAAGATCGATTAAAACTGTAGAATCTTATCACATTAAGAATAGTAAAGCAGTTATTAGTCCAATGATGCAAGTAAGCATTCATAAATTTTTAAAATTTACGTCTGTCATAAATGTCATTCTTCATGACATCCTGTACGCAACTTTTAAACATTAGCTAGGCCATGGCGAAATCAAATTAAACATAGCCAGTTCTAATGTTTCCATTTCAGATAGCCAGAACGGTTTACGAATCAGTAAAGAAAGCCACAAACAAAACCGAACTGCCAAAATGGCAAGACACCGTGCAAAAGCTACAAGAACAAAAAGTCGAGCTGAAGAAGAAAAAGAAACTCTTAGAAGACAACTCCGAAGAAAACTTGGACAATATGGGTTTGAAAGGCCTACAGGCTCAGATCAACAAGAATGACATTGAATTTGACGGAGATTTGGAAGAGATTCAAAAAGACCCTGTAAAGACGAAGAAGCTTCTGTCAGATCTAAAGAAGAAAAAACAAAACACTCTTGAGGGCAAAACAGTGGAGTTGATCAGAAGTGCAATGGAACTAGGGTACAAGTTGGCTGGACAAAACACAACCAACTTCTACAACAACAACCTCAAGATTGCATCTCCCAAATTCTTAGAGTTGTTCCCTGAGAAACAAGACAATGACACTGTAAGAAATATAGCAATTTTTTAACTTTAACTTTTTTAAAGCTAGGATACCTCCGCTGGTCTTCATTAAACCTATTAAAATTTGACTAAAATAGATAAATATATTAAAACTCAGACTAAAACATTTTTAGATTAACCTGATCTCGCCGTCACTGTTTGCGTTACACGACAGTAAAGACCCTATCGAAAACTTGACAAGTATTCCAACATTAATGAAGGATGTGGGTCTACAAGACCAACAACTGTGGATGGACATTATCATGGAAGCTGCTGGAATCAACAATCATTCAGAACAATTAGAAGAGGTATGGAATAAATAATTTAGCATAAACCAATTATAATAATGATTTTTGCTATAAATATGTTTTAATGGCTCCTTTAAAGACCATTTCATATCATTTTGAGTATTTTCAGATTTAAAAATAATATATTTATAAAGTAATTACTTAGGAACAAATGCCTTACAGAAAATAAAAGCCGAAGGAAGACAAGACACAGAAGACCTGATAGATGGCATCAAGAAAATGGTGGACGAAAATGGAGTTCCGTTATACCAAACCCAACAAAACGCCACAGTACTTGGTACTCCGAATGCAACATTTGAGTATTGGGAAAAGATTAGAAACTCGTATTCAAAAGAACAGGTAAGTAACAATACAAAGTAAATAAAAATATATTACATAATAGATAGGTAAGCATCCGCTTAACTTAACCTAATATAATATTACTAGGTTGTTCAAAAAGTAATGAGCAAGTCTTATAATATTTGAAAAAACAAAAAAAACCTTTCAAAATTACCTTTTTGAATAATTTTAGCTACGTGAAATGAATCACACTGGCTATGCCATTCTACGCAAAGACCAAATAGAAACTCTTTATGGACCCGCCTCACCTATGAGAAACGATGAGAAGTACCACATGCTAATGAACATGACTGAAGATGAAATCCACACCCAAATCGACGAAAATATCCACGAACTTGCCGAAGTAGAAAACTTTAAATTGCGACAAAAAGACATAGTATTATCCCCAGTATACTTCACATGGGTAGTACTGAATCCCGCTCTCACTTCCCAACCCTACATCTTGTCACCATTGGCGTTTGATCCCATTATTTTGTCTCCTTCCATTTGGGGTGCTGTCATTCTAACTCCGTGGATATTCACACCATTTGTTTTGTCTCCACGTATTTTAGGTGGAATCATCTTGTCTCCATGGATCTTCGGTCCTATCATTCTGACTCCAATCGCTTTACATCCTGCCATTTTGTCACCAGGTGTGTTCAATCCCATCGTCCTCTCGCCACTGTTGTTAACACCATTTATTTTATCGCCCCAGGTCTTTACCCCATTGATTTTGAGTCCATTGTGTCTTGATCCGATCATTCTGAATCCTCTGGTAGGTTCACCATTAGTTTTGTCGCCTTTCGTGCTGACTCCGACAATCTTGTCACCACATTTCTTGGGAGGCCTGATTATGAGTCCTTACGCTTTATCACCTGTTATATTGTCACCACTTACTGCTTTCGTAGCTTTGTTATCACCTAGTTGGCTTAGTTAACCGTTGGAATAGAGAAAGGTGTTTCAAGATTATATATACCTCAAAAAGATAATAACATAATAACTTTTCTTGGAAGAATTTTGACACAACATAAAGGTAAAATACAAAGTAAAATCCAAAGAAAAAGATAAAAACAAATTCGAAATACTGAATACGTATACGAACACATTTATAACAAAATAAACATTTAAACCAGTCGCGCGACACAGTAAAACAATCAGTCACGTATCACGTTTTGCGGATAACGGTACAGAGCTTTCCGACGACAAAACTGACGAATATGACAATAATGATAAATGGTAGACACTACACCGTCTTCATATCACACGACAACGGGGGGTCTGTCTGATAGAAAACACCAAATTAGTTTTTGCTATCACTTTTGTGATCGTTGTTCTACTAGCTAGTTTTTTTGCTATATCAAGATTTTCAAGATTTAACAAATTTTAGATTAAACTTATTAAAACGTTAACTATATATATATTATAGAACGTTAAATTCCATGTTTTTTTAGCTTCAAAATTTTCATAGTTATTACCACTTTCAGATTCCTTACATTCCATGTACCTACTAACCACATTGACATTCTTATCTCTTCTAATCACAAATATTAGAGGAGAAGAACCTAACCTAAAGTTCAAAGAAGGCACTGTAAAAAGGATAAAAGATACTAACACCTATAAAGTAACCATCCATGATGACGATGCCATGAAAATGTACCAAAAATGGTTTGAAACTGGATTAAGCTCCGTTTTTAGTGCCATAGCCAATAAAAAGTAAGTTGTCGTTAGTTATAAACATAACCATAAGTCAGAACTTTTTATGTTTTAAGTTTTTACAAAAGTTAGTCATGTATAAGTTATAGAAAAGCCATTTTTCAGACTAAAAAAGCATCGTAAATCTGTAGCCAAAGAATTCGGTGATTGCTCAAAATCTGCAGATGATCTCAAAAAACACGCCAAATGTTTGTCGGACTTACTCAATCACAAGTTTGCTGCCAAAAGCCGCAAAAAAGTAAAACGAATCCAACGATATACTACTAATATTAACCCTGAAGGCAACGTAGAGAATTCTTCCGCGTTCAGACAAGGTGACACTTTGAAACCGCAACGTTTCAATAGGCTACAAGCGCACCAACAAAATGCTATTAACAGGCGTCCAACATTAGTCAATAAAACTAAAAGGAAAAGCAACAGATTAGAAATGGTGAATAAGATCAGAAGGAAACGTGAAGTTAAAACCGTAAATGACTATAAGATAAAGAACAGCAAGGTTTTGTTAACTCCTATGATGCAAGTAAGACTTCTTCTTCTTCAACTTAATACTCTCCTACTATATGCCAAATTACTCACAATATAATATACTCCATCCCTAGTCCATAATCAAAACAAAAAAATTTTTAGGTAACAAAAGCCATTTATGACTCCCTAAAAACCGCCACAAACAAAACAGAACTCCCCAAATGGCAACAAACAGTCCAAAAACTAATGGATCATGGCACCAAGATCAAAAAGAAAAAGAAAATCCTGGAAGAATCAGAAGAATCCCTAGATGCAATGGGTCTAAAAGGGCTCCAAAAACAAATCAACAAAGACAATATTGACATTGACGGCGAGCTAGAAGAGGTCCAAAAAGACCCAAACAAAATGAAGAAGATGTTAGATCAGCTTCGGAAGAAAAAACAAAACACTCCAGAAGGCAAGACAATAGACCTCATCAGAAGCGCCATGGAATTAGGCTACAAAATGGCTGGCCAAGACACATCAAAGTTCTACAACAGCACCATCAAGGTAGCATCGCCAAAGTTTTTCGAACTATTTCCAGAAAAAGATAATAACGACACAGTAAGCAATATTATCATTGATAAATAAAACAAAGTTCACTTACAGATCAAGTTAATCTCTCCTTCTTTGTTCTCCATGCACGCCAGCAATGATCCCATCGAGAATTTGACCAGTATACCGACTTTGATGAAGGAATTCGGTGGCCAGGACCAACAACAGTGGATGGATATTATAATGGAAGCTGCTGGGATCAACGATCATTCTGAAATGTTAGCAGAGGTAATAAAAACATCAAAATATATTTATTTATTTACAAAAATAGCTTGAATTACCAAAAAGATTCTAAAAAAATTAGAAAACAGAATTTTGTCTGGGTCATGTTTGGCCCTCTCGAGTAAAGTCTTTTCCTAATATAAATTTGATTTCGAAAACAGCTTTTTGTTACAGTAAACACAAGATATGTAAAAGAATGAAAAACAACAGTTTGGGCGTGAAAACAATGTATTGTTTTAGATGGCCAATGAAGACAAAAAAGAGATGCCATCAGTGATGGAGAATATAAAATCGATGGTGGACGAGAACGGTGTTCCTTTATATTCGACAAAAGAGAATGCGACAACCATTGGAGGGCAATCTAATGAAACTCTAGAATATTGGACTAAAATCAGAAGCTCTTATACAAAAGATCAGGTAAAACATAATTTGGGTATAAGAGTTAAAACTAATTTAAAACCCATAATTTTGGTTAATTGACAAAAGTAATGTGTTTTTCTATTTTCAGCTGCAGGAAATGAACCATGCTGGATACACAGTGCTTCGTAAAGATCAAATTGAACTTTTGTACGGCCCTGACTCGGTGTACAACAACACAGATCAGTATAATGCGTTGATGAACACGACAGAAGAAGAGATTCACGCCAAGATAGACGAAGAGATTCATCTGATGGCAGAAGCTGAAAGTTTTAAGCTTCGTCAAAAGGATGTTGTTCTTTCTCCAGTTTCATTCACATTCGTCACTCTGAACCCGGGTATTGTCTCTCAACCTTATTATCTGTCTCCATTGATATTCGACCCTATCATACTATCTCCTTCCATTTATGGTGCGGTGGTGCTCACTCCATTCATCTTCACGCCCTTCATAATTTCGCCGCGTATTTTAGGTTGCATTTTGTTGTCTCCATGGATTTTCGACCCGTTGATTCTGACGCCTATCGTGCTTCATCCTTGTATCTTGTCTCCGGGTTTCTTCGATCCGATTATATTGTCACCTCTCGTGTTGACTCCATTCATTTTGGCACCACAAGTGTTCACTCCTTTGATATTGAGTCCTTTGGTGTTTGATCCAATTATTTTGAATCCACTAGTAGGTGCACCATTGATATTGTCGCCCTTTTTGTTAACTCCAATTATATTATCACCACAGTTCTTGGGAGGACTTATCATGAGTCCTTATGTCTTGTCACCGGTTATCCTGTCGCCTCTCACTGCTTTCGTTGCTGTTTTGTCGCCAAGTTTTCTTAGTTAGCACTTTTATGTTAGTATTATGCTTGTCATACCTAATATTATAACCATTTAGTTATTAATTACTATTACCCTACCTCAAACCTATCGTAATATTACTGTAATAATAGTCAGATGTAGTAAACATCTATTAAGTCTCGTACGACAATATAATCAAGAAGTAAAGAATCAAACTTTATTGTACTTGATCCAAAAGTAATCTCGGTACAAGACAAACAGAAATAACCATTGAGAGAATGAACAGCTGAACAAGAATATTGCTGTAATCTTCAAATCTCCAGATGTATCTCCAGCAAAGTAACGACTTATATGATCTGGAGTGTGAGCTTCAACAAGTAACACGATGGCTATGTAAATATAGAAAAATGGAGCTACAAAATCAAGGACAATATTTGGCAACAATAAGAAACGTATGCGTAACCATGATCCAATGTAAGTTAATATGTAGGATATACAGCATAAGATTGGAGCGATCGAGGTTATGTAGTCATTGTAATAGAGATATGACACTATGAAAATGTATCTGAAAGGGAAAAAAATGATTTGACAATTATTTTTGGTTTTTGAAATTTAAAATTCTGAAAGGTATGTGCAACTTACTGTATTATCTGTGAGTATACATGAAGGAACAAACACACGTATTGTAGGATTCTGATAAACTTTGCAAAAGTTCTGTTCTAAAATGTTGATGGCATCACAAACACTATTAATCTGCTACAATATAATGTCTTGAAAACTTAAAAAAACCCAGTAAACCCAAACTTTTTAGTAAAAATGTGTACTTTTTAAAAGTAACAGCTTTTCTCATGCATGTTCAGATAAGCTTATTATTAATAAGATATTCCAGAAACTTTCAAGGATTATAGCACGACTTACCTTATGTTCCAATTTATCGACTGGTAAACACAAATTCTCAACAAAATCTTCAGCTTTGGACATTTTTTAATTTAAAAAACGAAATTTAGTGACGAATATACAAATACGAGATAAATATCAAATCATTCGGAAAGGCAAAATTTCTTATCAGTACTCCAACCTCACTAACAATAGTCTTCGATTTCAGGGCGTAACTCGCAAAAACAAAAATATTGCCTTGGGCATTTATTTTTTAAAGTTTTTAAATTTTATTTTAAACTAAATTTTTAGAGTTTTTCTTTGTAACATTTTACGTATTATACTGAAGGAAGAAAGTTTTGACCCCCCATCTAAATTGGCTACGAGTGAACCAATCGGAACCAAACTTGGTATATGTACTCATAAAGTATTGAGGACTGTTTTGATATAATGAAGCATCAATCGGTTTACTCACAGCCAAGTTAGATGGGGGTCAAATGCCAGTATAGTATATTATTCATGATCTAATTATTGTTAAAAACCATTTGGATCTTTAAAGGACCTGTGAACATATTGTTTGAAATGTTGGCGTGAAGTTGGTTGGGCCGCTTAAAATTGGCGTTCCGTTTCAAATCCAGCGAATTTTTCGCGAAAATATTTTTTCTTGGAGAATATTATTTTTGTGTTTGAATTGTTATTTTGGAATTCATATTAATATTAAACTACTTGTAGCGCTCTTTTTGTTAATTTTCTCAAAGTTTTATCCTTATATTCACTTTTGACATTGTGAAGGTGAATATTTCGATAACATTTTGAGGGTTTTGACCAAATTTTGAGCGGAGTTTGCTAAAAAGGTAAAGGTTTATTTAATTACCAACTTTTTAACATATATAATTTTTTTATTTTTAGGGTTTATTCACCATGATCGGCATCTTCTTCAAGTTCTACGTCCAATATCTACATCTTCAGTCTATAATGTATGTTTTCACAATATTTTGTTTCTCTTTTTAGGTATATACACCATTGAAATAATAATATACAAAGAATACATTTTTACATTGTAATAGACAGTATGAAAAGCGTTCATTCGTTTAGTTAATGCGTTGACAAGGAATCACAGCTATTCCATCAAGACATTTATTCATATAAGAGTTGATGTTGTTATTGTACAAATTCTACACGTAATTTAACTGTTGTTTTATTATGAGAGGTAGATCTGCAGTGATTGTTGCACTAATCGTCTTACAAGGACAGAATTGATCATTTTTATTGTTTTAATGCAACATATTGTTAGAATAAATCTTATAAAAGCATCAATTGGAGTATTAAATGAAAAGCTAATGAAAATTAACCTAAAAGTAAGTTCAAACAAGTAAATACACAAATTTGAAACAAATTAACGAAAAAAGAGATGGAGTAGATCCTATTGCTTCCATGGTGTATATACCTAAAAAGAGAAACAAAATATTGTGAAAACATACATTATAGACTGAAGATGTAGATATTGGACGTAGAACTTGAAGAAGATGCCGATCATGGTGAATAAACCCTAAAAATAAAAAAATTATATATGTTAAAAAGTTGGTAATTAAATAAACCTTTACCTTTTTAGCAAACTCCGCTCAAAATTTGGTCAAAACCCTCAAAATGTTATCGAAATATTCACCTTCACAATGTCAAAAGTGAATATAAGGATAAAACTTTGAGAAAATTAACAAAAAGAGCGCTACAAGTAGTTTAATATTAATATGAATTCCAAAATAACAATTCAAACACAAAAATAATATTCTCCAAGAAAAAATATTTTCGCGAAAAATTCGCTGGATTTGAAACGGAACGCCAATTTTAAGCGGCCCAACCAACTTCACGCCAACATTTCAAAAAGGGTTTTTTCGAAGGTTCACAGGTCCTTTAAGTTGACGTTTAAACTTTTTCAAGTGTGTATAATTCAGCGTGATGTTCTATTACGCAGATCCCAATTCCAAGAGCATATTCAACATTTCTACTGAAGCAAGTCTCCGAACACGACAGTTCAGGAGCTCAACCGCTGAAGTCCGTCTTGTAGTCGTGTTTGTTCATTTGAAAAAACCGAGTTACGGAAGGAGAAAATAGAATGTAATTTAAGTAGCATTAATGATTTTATTAAGCACGGCGCGGAATTGTGCGCGAGCTTTTTTTTCCACTGAACACAGTTGTGATTTGTGCTCCGCGGTCAATAATGGTCGAATTTCGCGCGGATTTCAAACACCTTCGCTCTTGACGTGGGATGATGTTCTTTGTTCGCGACTCGCACCGAATGGACTGTATGGTTTTTGTAAAGGATACTTTGGGTACAAACTGTGAAATAAAGTTGAGTTGGACAAGTTGTTATTGGCTGGGGTCTTTAGGAAAAAGCTACAGTATACAAGAGTTTCTTAGCGCCTAGTCTAGATAGTACTTCTATGTTTTTTTCAACATGTAAATTTTTTAAGCACTTAGTGAATACTTTCTTCAAAATTGTCGTCATTAGCTATCTTTAGCTCTAACTTTCTCTCTACCTCTAAAAATAGTAGTACACAGTATATTATCACTGCTATTTTTAAAGATGTGCTTCACTTTTTCCTATATTGTAACATCCTCTCAATACCAATCTTTTCTTTTCAACGACCTTACTGTTTGATCTTCGCACACCCGCGCTTTACAATGCCCGAAAATGTGTCATGATGACAATAATTCTTAACGACTTCCTTCTTTATAAGCACGTGGTGATTAAATGAAGTTGACATTAAAGAGATGATGATACGAATCTGCTATTTGAAACAAGAAGAATGTGGATTTGCAATGTTTATGCTGCGTTTTCCACGGAGCGATGCAGTTAATGACTTTTGGAAGTTTTTCGTTATTTTTTTTATATTTTCGAGAATATCTTTGCAGATTAGCGATTCTTGTAGATGTGATGGGAACTGCAATTTTATGGGTTATGTGACGCAGCAGTTTTTTCAACTTTAATGGGGTTGATGATCGTTTTTTGCAGCATTTTAGACTGGGCATAGGTTTTATAGTATACAGAGCAAAAAAGTAATATTTGCTTTTTAGCTAGCAATTTTATTAAAAAATATAGAATGAAGTAAATATTTAGTATTCATGGAGCTTAAACATTCTTTTTTACAATTTTTGAAATGAGATTTGGTTAAAATTCGAAGGGAATAAACTAAAATCATCTTGAAGAAAGTTAATGTGTCTTACAGTACAATTAAAGCGACTTTTTAAATTAAAAGTAGCAAATTTGATCAAATTTTAATCGATTAGTCTGCCGCAACTTTTGTCAGTGTTAAAAAAAGTTTCGGAATTAGGAAAAGCTGTCTGCGCAAGTAAAGTTACATTCTCAGCAGCTAAAGCAGAGATATCACTTGTAGCTGTTTTTCTACTTTTCAATATATCAAAATTATTTTAAAAATTTTAAAAAGTTAAAGTTTTATTACTGCAGTAAAGACTAAAACTTTTAGTATAACATAATTTTTTGAATTTCTTAAAATCTTGTCATTATCTTTTTAAATTCCAATATAATGACTGAAAGTTCTCTTTCCGCCCAAGAGTTTTGAGAATTTTAATACCTACACTTGGGAACCCAATATTCTATGCAAGAACAGAATTGGGTTTCCATTTGTTCTTTTGCCTCCGGGGGTTTACTTTTTGAAATTCCGAGGGAAAAAAAAGGAAAAAAAAGGAGCGTTCGTTAGATCTCGAGTACGGAAGCTGTGTTAATTCTACGTTTATGGCCTTCTATTTTGGTGGATTGATAGGAAAATAATGCACTAATACATATTCTTTAAAGTCTTAAAATCTTTTATATAGTGGTAACTTGTAAAATGGTTTTACAGAGTTATTTGAGAGATTGTTCAAGGTTTTAGGTCTGATATGTACGATGTAATGTAACTGTTTTGTGTTTTATTAATAAATTAAAATAATTTAGCTTTTTTTAAATATCTTGTCGTTTATTGCTAAAAAATCTAAAAATGTGTAGATATAATATAGCCTCAAAAAATTAATTTTTTAAATTTTAATTTTTTTGACAATCTCAACTCTCCTCAAACATTAAAAGTTCAAGCCGTTCATGATATAGGTGTGTGTATCAGCGGTTTCTTCTCGGTTTAAGTCGAGTTAAAAAGAATCTCTCTAATTATTTGACCTTATGTTCAGCGGGTGACAGTCGCTCGCCAAAAAGTTTGCACATCTTTCGAACAAAATTACGCGAAATCTTATTATTCACGAGTTTCGGCGGTCGGAAATCTTATCGAAACGGTGTTTAAACACCTTTTGTTAATTGAATGTTTATTCGGTCAGTCTTTTTTTGGTCGGTATTTTGCAGCCAAGCCAAGTCTTGTTTAGATAAGGAGTTGCTTTGGCGCACTGATAAGCTTTTTGATAAGTTTACGTGGCTTTTTGGGTTTGCAAGGCTAAGGTTGAGTGCAGGTTTGTGGTGAAAATGACCTTTTAAATATTTTGAGCTTCTATTTTGTATAGGAATGGCAAAAATTATGTTTTTTGAAGTAATTTAACTCTGTTTAGTACTAGCCCTTCTACCATAACATTTTGATCTGTGATCCCCTGGTTTAAACCTCTTGAGGACGTGTTGCACTTTAGTCATTTGAACTATAGGATACTCTTCGCTATCGTATACTTTTTTAGTTATTACATATGGTTTGTGACAAACATTGTTGCGGATTTGAAATCTGGTTTTACTTTATTCTGATTGTGTTATTTACAAAAAAAATTAATTTTTTGAGTTATTTTACCGTCATTAAATATTTTGGTATAATTGTGTTCTTCTGGAAACCTACCGTAGTGTACATATGTGGTTTCTTGTGTAGTTTCAAACCTTCCTGTTCTTATCTCAAACGATCCGCGGTGTATTCCGGGTTTTGTGACAAACTTTTTCTCAGCCGCGGGGCGCTTTAATAAGATCACGTTTATATTGTTTTAGAAGCTAAGTTGAAGAGTTAAAAATAAACTTATTTTCTAATTTTGAAAATTTGAAAAAACGACGATAAAATCTAAATTTTTAAAATTTAGTATATTGCCTTTGTAATACAGTATATTTCCTTTTTAATACTACATTTATATTGACAATAAAATGCCTCAAAAACCTTTTTAACTAGCACACACTAGCCACAAGAAAACACTGCTGACCAAGACACTAAAACCAAAATAAGATGATTATCCTTAACCTTTAACACATCAAAAATCACCCACAGCTTAAAGTAGTAGTGGACAATGTGTTACATTGTGGAGCGCGTTGTCATAGCAGTTATATTACATGCGCGCGACAATTACTAATTAGCCAAAGCCCCGGATTAATTCGACAAAATCTGGCACTGATGCAAATTTCCACAAAATGACCATTTTTTGAGGCAATTGACGTTATAATATGGCATAAATTGGGGGCTCGGCGCGGAGATTACTGTATTTCTATTGTACGTTTTTGCTTTCATTAAAGGTTTCTATGAGGAAGGGTAGATGGAGACAGAAGAGGGGGTGGTAGCTAGAGTAGAAAAGGTAGGAGGAGCTGTGTAAATATGTATCAATATGTTGGACACAAACTTTTTGTCAGCGTTTTTTGTAGTATTATTACAATTTTTTGTATTTTGTAGAAAAATGACGTTGTATTCAAATACCATGACCTATATTGTGACTTTGTTTGCATTTTGTGGCGATATCAAGGAAAAAACTGATAATTTGTGGAACTGTTCTACTTTAACTAAATGATTTATAGTACTTATCAGTTACTTGATGATGTTTGTTCTAATAAAAAACCTATATATAAGTTGGCAATACAAGTCGTTTCAGAACGTGTTATTGATGGTATTGTAGGTAGTAGAATTCTGTTTGCTTGTTACACTTTTCTTTAGTGTAAAACTTAGATTTTAGCGCAATATTCGAGTTAATTTTATTTTTTTGCTTCAAAATTTTGTACGGTCGTTACCCTTTAGCTCTTCCCATTGCCACGGTCTATGTGCTTTTACCTTCAAAAACTTTTTAAAGAAGTCTATATTGTTGCCAAAAACGATTGAAGCCATGTGTCAAATCCATAACTCTATGAATTATTTAAATTTCGAAACCGAAAACTTGACCTTCCTCTTGTTAGGCCCCTATTCAAATGTTTGCACCACACGTGTTTGTGCTTGCACACTTGTGACAGACGTTTTTTCCATTTCTCAGTTACAGTTGAAGGTCCGTATTCTGTTTCCGAGCGATTCGACCGCAGAAGAAGTGTTTCGCCGGGAAAAAGAGTCCCGAAAAATGGGGCAATTGTGCACATAAGTCACAAGTCGAGAGAAAAGTGCGGTTGAAATTAACAAAAGGTGTTCGTCCACCTCAACCTTCACTCCACTATCCCGAGGTGTTCTTTTCACTTTACGGTTAATGTGGTGTTCTTGTAAGACAAGGTTTTTTGATGTTGCAAAAAGTTGGAATGAAATTGCGGCAAATTAGGGAAAATTTGCAAATTAGTTACTTTTTTTTGATTTTTTAAACTTTTTTGAAGATATTAGTTGACAAAATAAGTTTGTGCTTTAACCGCGAACATTTGCTTTTAGAGGTAGCACAGAATTATTTGAACAACATAATTAAAGCTAGCTATACAACACAAAGGTTAGCCAGAAAAGTCAATTTTATAATATAATAAAGGGTTGCTTAATATTTTTTAAAATTTTTAAAGGTTTTCTTCATATTTTATAAACTAAAGACATTTTCAAGCCTATTTATTATATAACATTTTTCGTACACTTTTAATTAAAAAATTTAAATAGACATAACCTCTTTTACACGACAAAGACACACAATATTGTGATATGCACGTGCTAAAGTAATATCAACTCATTTTTACCTTTTGTTTACCTTATGTTGATGTACACATGTATTCTATTTATATTCAGCTACGGCACTTTTTATTATAATGCTTTTAACTCCTTTTATAATTAGTTGGCATACCTTACCACAAAGTGAAAATGTTTTGTTTTGACATTACTTACAAGTTCAATATTGTTTAGTTAATATAATTTACATAGAAAATCTATGACAACTTAATTAAAGTTAATAAAAGACTTTTTTTTAAAGATTTTCAAACTTTGCTGAAACCAAAAGTAATCATTAGACTTCCGTTATTTTCGGCTAATTCTTTCTAGATGACTAATTAAAGGATTGGCAGTAATAGCAGGATAAACCTTTCCAAGTTTCAACGCGGCCGAATTCGCAATACTTTTGGACCTCGTATGTCTCTAATTACCGGCGAAATTACGTGTTTGAGCTAGCTAATATCATCATAACCATGCGTGTTATTAAAAAGTAATCAAGGCACGTATTTGACTCATAATAGTCTACTGTTGCCAGTGTACGTTTACTTTCAACACTTGCACTATGTTGCTTATAGTTGTATGTTTATAATGTTAATGACCATATTTATATGAGTTGTTCTAGAAAAAGTCATTATTTATGTTTGTTTCGTTGTAAGCTGGGTTAAATTGTATAGATTTTGGTACACGGTTCTCTACTAAAAGCGGTGTATCAATACTTTTGAATTACTCTGGAGTTGTTTTTGCAAATTTTGAGACATTTTTAAGCTAACTTAAAAATTGAAAACGCATTTTGCAAAAATTTCTCTATACGATTACAGTATAAGACATTTACAACTATCAGCGGTCGATGCCATATACAATGTTATCGGTTAATCGTATGTTATCAAATGATCTTTCTTATATTTAGAGGGTTCGTATGTTTTCTAAAGAGTTCGTTTTCAAAAGGTCTTTTTATTGAATGAAAAGTTTTGCAAAAGTTATACCGATATAGTTATTATTAGTGTGGGTGAGCTGTTTTATTATAGGTAGGTGGAAAATCAATGATTTTTAGCAGGCAAGCAAGGCAACAGCAATAACATTTTTTTACTTAGTAAGGCGGGGGAGGCTTAAGTTCTCATTTTTTCTGATTTTGGTTCTATTAGAGTGTTTAAATAATTGTGTGCCCTCTCTCAAAGCATTTTTTTGAGATTAAGGAGCACATAATTATTTGAACGGCTTAATACCACTAAAATTAGAAAAAATATTGGAGCACTTCCATTCTCATGCTGAATAGAGGGATTCCTATAGAGTCATGTTTTGTACTGTTTCTGTAGCATGCAATAAAAAAGCACTAGCCTAGTCTCAAAAATTTTGGAATTTCGACCACATGTTTATGTTAACTCAATACCTATTCGAAAAGACAGGTCCACATCCCGACATTGTACACTTAAACTCTAATGTTTTGGACTAATAATCGATACCTCTGGATGTTTTTACTCTCGCTTTTCGCAAACCTTTGTAACTATGTGCAAGCTTGTTAAACAAACATTTTTTGCCTTTTTTCGAAATATTTTTTCATTGTTTTTGTGGGAGACTCAAGTGTGTTCTGAATTCCTTTAAAATGTTCATGTTTAATAAAAGAAGTGGCTGGGGATGAACGACCGTTCGATGTTCATTCACTTACTACAACTGTTCAAACAGTTTTTGTAAGTCAAAACAGGTCCTTATATACTGGACTTGTTGCAGCTTGGGCTCTAAACTTTATTAAACAATGTTCAGCGTGAGTTAAGTCGAGCGTGTCGTTCCAGAGAAAGTACCTTTTTTTATTTTTTCAAGGGTTTTGGTTGAGGTTTGAAGTATTAGAAAACAAAATTTTATCTATTTTTTCTATTTTTATCGATTTTAAACCATTTTATGAAATATATATTGTAAATCTAGGTATTTTATGTAAGGTACTATAAGTCTAATGCGTCCAAGACTTCCAATGACAGTTTATAGTTGATAAACTGGTTTTGTTTCTTTCTCTGAATTTTTGAACCTTATTAAAAAATACTCTGACATATAATCTTTATTACCCAAAATGTTTTTTTAAGAAAACTTCCGCTTTTTTAGCTAACATCCCAAAAATGCAGCATTTTCTTCGATATCTCGAAATGCGATTTTTGGTGTCTTAAGAAAGTCTTTAGGTTTAGGCGAACGTGACAGGTGAACTAATGTCATGGATAATATCGGAAACTTTTCTTTTTTGTAAACGCGGTTTCTATTAGCTATCTTTTTTACTTAATAAACCTTGATTTTATTGTTTTTTTAAAATATTTTTTAAATTTTATTCAAATATCAAGATTTTATGTAGCCTTTAAATGTTCTACCATAACTTCCAAGTACAATATCCATCGTAACCTCAATCATTTTTCACGTTTAAATTGTGGGATTTATATGTACTGTACTGCACTTTTCTGTATTTTACTGCATTGTATCATTTTCCATCCTTTCTTACTTTTGCCTACTATATTGTAATTTTTATTTACATATCTGTATGGATATATTAGTACACACCTATTGACGTAAGCACGTACCAACATGATGTTATATCCGATTTACGTTTAGGTAAAATTATTTAAATTTCTTCGCGTATTAACTTTTAAGCCTTCTTAATCTACCTAGGTTTTACTGTATCTATATATACTTTTTGTCTACTTTAGTATAATATAAAAGATTACTTGCTTTTCTGGGCTTTTTGAATATTCAATTTATTCTCGCGTTTAAGAAATATAATAATGATTTACCGTATGTTTTACATTACAGTATATAATTATTTAAATTACTTTGTCAACTTACATTGTAATCATTTCAGGAATCTACAAAACTGCATGGTATCTTCCTATAGATCTTCCTATATACCCTATCTTTTATGTTTACACCAATCAGATTGAATCGACCAAGTGAGCGAACCCACCAAAAGCCCACTTACTGGTACCAAATGCAATATACAACTCAATCCTAATATGTCTCCTAACCTTTATTTATCACTACGATCTACATTATCCGGTTACACGATTGCTCCATTACTGCCTTGTTATATGGACAAAATGAATAGGAAATTCAACTTTGACTTTGATACCTCGTTTGCTACGGTAGATGAGAACTGCGACGACGCAATGGATGTCGTGCTGTACGATGACTGCTGTGCTTCGTTGAGTACGCAAGAGAACGACTCGCCAAACTCTACTATTGATCTCAATACTGGTACTGTGGAGGAATGTACTAATGACACTAATATTGGTTCTGCTAACCAGAATACGGTATACAATGATGGACATACTACGATACATAATGGTAGCCAAAACACGGTATCCAATGGACAAATAGCAGTATGTGCCAATAACCAACTAGTACCTACTGGCAAGAATACAGCATCAACTAGAAGCCCAAGAAATGTCACTAATATGAGTAAAATACCAAATGACCCACAAGCTACATCTTCAAACAGTATCGTACTCCGTAACTCCATCAAACGTCGTCGTATACCAAAACCAGTGATGGTTGAAAACAAGCTGATCAAACTTGAACCTCAACATTCTCCATTACCTCATACGTTGCAAATAAATGAAGACAGTAAAGTTTGGTATACCAAGTTAACGATGGAGGATACCCAAGAATGTCCTCAAGCCTCTACATCTTCTGCCAACTCACGCCACTTCAACCACAGGTCTCGTCCTACATCAACAGCACATTCGTATGCAAATCACGGTTCCAACAACTCTTACGAAGATACGAACCAAGGCAGTGAAGATGACGAAGAAGACAGCTCGTATTCGGGGTCATACGACGGTAACTTGTGCATGGTATGTGGGTTCAAGTGTCCACACAAGAACTACGGTGTCTATTGTTGTAACGCGTGCGCGGCCTTCTTTCGGCGAACCATTAAGCAACGGCGATCGTATGTTTGCATCAAAGGACGTAATTGTAACATCGGGTTTGGTGGACACAAAAGGACATGTCGGTATTGCCGCTTTAAGAGATGTGTGTTTGCTGGAATGAGCATTGAGTGTAAGTTTGATGTTATGTAACATTATTGAAGGTTTGCTAACCATGCTTCTGCTGACTTTCTTATTAGTGCTCAAAGATAAGTCCATCGAAAAGAGTCCAGAGTTTTTTACCGTCAATATTAATCGTTAAAACAGAAGTTTACTATCTTTATGTTGTAGATGTTATGACACGAGGTGATGAATTCATGTTTGACCCAGCCTTGGACAATGACATGATAAAGCAGATGGCAATATGGTTCACCTCCACCTTTGTCGACCGCTTTCGCTCCTTCGAACGATCGTTTGCCAATACCAACATACAAAGAAGCGAAGGGACTCTGAACAACTCTCTACATACGATGTTTGTTGAGTTCGATGTGATGAGAACATACGTTCAAACCAGTGGCCTTCTGAATTACTTGAATCCAGGAGATGAAATCACGTTTCTGAAGAAGTTGTTCTACAAATGGCTGTTTGTTCAATGTGTCTTCAACACATTGCGGCATGGTGGACATAGATCTAACAGACTGTACTTGGTAGACGATTCATCATTGCCGTTGGAGTCAAAGTATCATAAGGAATATGTCAGGTCGATGCCTAATATAAAGAACGCTGAGTATGTTGGACAAACACATTATGATTTGATGCAGCAAGGGATGAAGGATGTGTGGATGTTTCACCATGCAAATGTTGATGCTACTGACTTTTCCATCTTCAATCATTTGGTGTGCTTGAAGACTGGTATGTTGTTTTTTTATATTATTATATTGTAAATAACATGAGAACGTAATTTTCATTTTGAATTTCATAGTATTATGAGTGCATTTTTAAATAGCAACTTAAGTTTTCATCTTATAATGTCTACTACAATATGATTGTTAACTTTTTTCAGTCAAAGAAATGTACCCAGAGAACACTCGATTACAAGATGAGATGAATATTGTGTTCAAAGCCGCTCATCGTTACTACAAACTGGCATTCAAAGACTATCCAACGAGAATGGGCAACTTGATCTTACTCATGAACGAATCAGAGGTAGGTACAAGAGAACTTATATTCTCATATACCCTGTCACACATGTATATTCCATACACTTTTATATTATAGTCGGCTCTGGTTTATGTTGTCCGTTGGCTAAAAACAAAATAATTGTTGAACTTTTCAGATGTTCACGATGAAGTTTCAAGAGTGGGTAGTCGTAATGACACTAAACGGTGTAGCCTCGGCACTAGAAGAAATCGAGAAACATTTCACAAAGTACGGTAACTACAACGCGTACGAAAGCCTGGTCAGCTATGTTCAAAGCACGCCGCAGTAAAGTAATATCTTCGTGGTAATGTTTGGGTACAGCCACAATTGAGGCCTCAGTAGAACTGTCGTATTTTGATAACACTGTCTAAATACAGTTGTTTTAGTACCTTCCAGTACAATATTAACTTATAGGTGTATATATTTTCTTAAAATTTCTACACCTTTTTAACCCATTGCAAATATTTTAATATTACCATTGTATTTAACCTTGGTCTTACAGTAATACGTGATGTAATAGTATATATTGCAGGTCCATTATATCCAATATTAATAAGTTGTGTTAAGTTAATGTCTTGTTGAAGATTATGTATACTAATAACATATATTGTTCACAAACACGCTCCACGGGTTGTATATTCATAATTTTCAGACTTCTATATAATATCTCATAATAACGCGTTATTCGGATAAACTCAAAATCAACATTATTTTTGTGTTGTTTATACTGTACATGATAATATATGTCAAAGTTTACTCTTTTTGATAACATTTTAAGCTTAACCGTTTGTAATTTATACCCAAAAGGTAACAAATGCAAGTTTATTGTACCAAAAAGACAGTACCAACCCAACTTAGTAGCCAGGAGCCAATCTGGCTGGAGGGCAGTGGTCGCAAGTACCTGGAGCACCAGGTTGACCGGCCTTTCCTGGTGGTCCGGCTGGCCCGCTTGGTCCTGGAGGTCCCTTCTGACCCTTTTCGCCGGGTGGTCCAGTTGGTCCTGGTTCTCCATCCTTGCCTGGTGGACCAGCACGTCCTGGTGAGCCAGGTGGACCTGGACGACCGGGCTGTCCTGGTGGGCCTGGCTGTTGAGCTTCGCCTGGAATAAGTTGTCCTGGCTCTCCGGGTGGACCACGTTGGCCGGGCTGTCCTGGTTGACCGTTTGGTCCTTGTGGGCCGGGTGGGCCTTGTGGTCCTTCTTTGCCGTCTTCTCCGTCTAAAATACAAAATTTAGGACAAAAATTCTTTTTTGTGTGATAACCTTATAGTTAACAAACTTTAAACTATTTTTCATTTTGTACGATAATCTGTAGTACCATTAGAACAAAAAGCTTACTTCTTCCTGGCGAGCCAGGCTGTCCGTCGTTTCCTGGTGGTCCAGGAGGTCCGGGTTGTCCAGTCGGAGCTTGACATGGACATTGTGGCGGAATAGGCAACAATCTGTCATGCAACTCAGCGTCTGGTCCTGGTGGTCCAGGCTCTCCAGGTCCTTCTCCTGGAGCTCCATCCTTACCAGGTGGACCGGGTGGACCATCAGGTCCAGGAGCTCCTTGTTGACAAGTGCAGCACACGTCATCCGATGACGATTGACGAGCTACACGCTTGAGGAGAAGTGCCGCAGGTGAAGCGACTGGAATCTCGTCTTCAAAGCCGACTTCCAACATCTCGTTCCAGAGATCACGAGAGCGGGAACGGCAGTATTCTACTTCACCCTAAAGGATTTTGTAGTTATTTTGTGACTTTAAAATATGAAAAAATTTTAAAATTATTATTAAAAAAAAATTAATTCAAAAACAAAAATCAAGTTTTTGTTACCTAAAATACACTCAAATGTTACCTGAATTGAAGCTTGCAAAGTCTGAACATAGTGGAATACCAAGGGGAATGTGATCAAGCATGTAGCAATGGCTACAGTGCTGAAGACAACTGCAGCAAAGGCTACGGATCGTAACGATCCCTTCTCCGGCTTCTCCGAGTACATGACTGTAACAGAATACATGGTAAGATCCGTATATTTACTCAATCTAGGTCGCGATTAACCTAAATCGTTTAAGAACCGCGAAAGTTGAGCTACTACTTGTAGTTGACAGGGGTATGGTAATATCGGTCTGGGGACGGATACTGAGAAAAATTTTTTTTTCAGCTGAATTAAAAAAAAGAATGTTAAATTAACAGAAAGTAATGGTGGAGGGAGTAAGAAATTTAAGTTTTAACAAAAAGCTTTCAAATGACAGAATTTTAGGTACCAACTAAAACCTTTTAAAGATTAAAAACCTGTAATCAATGACAAAAATGATGTTGATGACAAAAAACCGGCAAAACAGTTGTCGCTCCACTTATAACTTGCTTCCTGACTACAGGAATGGATTGCTTTGCGCTTAAGAGTGTCTTTTATACTACAGAAATCCTGATTGAAAAACAAAAAAAGGAATCGAAGTAAAGGATGTTACATGAGAACAAACGTTCCCATCAGCTGAATAACGTTGTTGGTTTTGTGGTATATTTGTGAAATTGTACATCTTATAAAAGTGAAAGTAAAAACTTGGTAACTATTTATATATGAATAGTGTCCTCTTTTGATGATTTTACTACTATTTAAAAATTATAATAAATAATACATTTTAAAGTTTTGTTATAAAAACCACAATATAAGTTAAAAAACCAAAATCAACGAACACCACAAATGTTCTTGTTTCAAGATGTCGTTTCCCACGACAATGACAGTCGTTTTATACTGTAATTAGTTGCATAATAAGGAATCGAAAAAAAGTTTTTCCGTAGCCGTCTTTGGTGTGACCGTTTTTTTTCCTTTTGTCAGAACAATTATAATACGACACGGAAAGAAAGAACAAACGTCGTATCTACATCACAGTGTGTTCTTTTAGTAAAAAAAGAAAATTAATAAAAAACTTTGAATTTTAAAAATAATCTTCAATTTATAATACATAAATTTAAAAAATCCGTATTATGATATGCTATACATATTATGTTGTTATAAATGCCAAAATTAAGCTCTGCAGCTCTAAAATATGATGTTATTCATGCCAAGTTTATCGTTTGAAACTCTAAAATATTGTTTTCGAATGTGTCATGCAAATTTCGGAATTAGTTTAATATCAAGTGATGGGAGAATAGTTTGGGCCGAATAAACATTTGGTGTTTATTCCGTTCCGTTCCCATTAACGTTCTTGCTGATCGTTCGGGGGAAATTTTGCAGCCATTCTTTCAGATTTCGTTTTTTTTAATTCTTTGGATTTCAGTTTTGATCATTTTCACTTAAACTTGAGTTTTTTATTACAAAAAAAATTAAGAATTTTAACCATTAAATTTTTAAATTTTAAAAATATTACTACCTAAATTATTTATAATCAAAGTATAAAGTTGTTGAAAAACTTCTGGGCCCCCTAACCCCAAATATTTGCTTTGAGAAGGGGCACAGAATTACTTGAACAACCTCATATAACAAAATTAAGCCTTTATCTACAGAAGCATGTACGTACCATTCATCGTACTGTGTTTGTGCTCAACATTGGTTTTATCTAAACCACAGCTCAACTACCCCAAGGATGACGACTGGGAAGAGCACAAGGTAATTGGTAAAGTCAGTTGTAGTAAAGACCCTGGATTGGTGACTGAATCCAAGATCAGTCTGTGGCTCAAGACGTGGGACGTCTTTGTACCCAACTTCTATGAATGCACGTGAGTTATTGCTTCTTACATAATATGCCAATTCAAATGATTATTTAAATTTCATAGAACTACACCTTTCCACAACATGCAGTGTAGCTTTACATATACCTCTATAACATAAATAAATTACAGTAACCATCCCAACTCGACCAGTCTGAGATATACTCTCGTACATCCAGACAAGGATGGTCACTTCAAAATACGATGCTCGATCGACATGTCTCACCAAGGAATCACTGCCAACTACCTTCAGCTTTACATTCTACATCATTGTAGCGAAAGTGGCGAGCTGGTCGAACGTTATGTTGATGTTGACTTCCCTACTCCTTACTTTGTCAACAAGACTATCGAACTTTTTACTGTGGATTAAGTCATCTTGTATTGGACTTATTTTACGTTTTATACTATCATTTCGAGTTTAAATTTCAATTTTATTAATTTTTAATTAGAAACTTTCATTTGTTTTACCGTAACATTTATTGATTTAAAGCTCTGTAATAATTGAAGATCATATTGATAAACTATTTAAATCATAGAAATGTAAAATATTGTATTGTTAACATATTCGAAATCAAAAAAAAGTTAAGTGAAAGAAGTTATTTCAGCTAAAAATATTGATTTTACTCTAACATAATATAAATACACGCCATTCTTTTCATCTCAAACTAAAAAAAATAAAACGGCTAAAGAAGGCTCTTTTCTATTACAATATCAGCTTCTGTATACATTTTGAAATCAGAATTCAAATATCTGCTAGACTATATAAACACTCTTCAATATAACTAACATAACATAAAGCTTATAACACCTATTCTAATTCTTTAATTTGGCCAAAAGATCGTTGTACTCTTTAGACTGTAAAAACCTTACATAAGGGTCGTTTTTCAGCAGTTGTTCCACATGTTTGATGGCGTTATCAAACAGATGTTGATCAACCTCTTCCTTCAACAACTTCTCCACGCCCTGTCTGACTCCAAATGGCAAGAATATTTCGTTGTGAGCTCCTTCCTTAAGGTACTGATTGTATATTGTCTTCCCCATGTTCTGCATCGCTGGAGATTTGTCTTTCAGTCCACGAAACTCGACCACAGCCTCCCAGAATCGAAGATTCTCTTCAGCGTGCACCGAGAAGAGGTATTGCCGGAAGTGATGTCGTCCTACCTGAAAGTGGCATAAGTATATTTTATAAAATAATGTAGTTTCAAACATAATTTTGACAAATTTCAAAGAAAAATTTAATTTTTCGTTTTTTGGCATTATTTTAGAAATTTTTATTTCAACGACATCTTATACGACGAAAGCTATACTTTATTGATGATATTGTGAAATTGGACAAAATTTTGTTTCCAGAACCAAAAAGATGGTAATGACTATATGTATAATTCTATATTAACTGACCTGATTGCCCAACAGAGCCTCGAAACTCTGACTCCACCTTTCCGCGTAGCTTCTAGGTAACAATTGCTCTAGGAATTCAATGTAAATGGCTGATCTTCTGAATCTGGGGAATTGGTCGTTTTCTAATAATTTGGAAATCTCTTTATGAGCTACTTCTAACGCCTTAGGATCTGGGTTGTCTGTTGCTGCCGCTTCTTTTAGCATCTGAAAGTGGTTTTCTTATATTATCCATGATGGGTTTGTGAAAATATTTGGTTATCAACAAAGTATTGTAGTTTTTCTTCGCAAAAATAAGTTTTCTATGTTAATATCGATCTCTTACAGCCATGGACTTGCTGCTCAAGTTGATGTACGATCCGTAGTCGTCCAGCAGACCTTTGACGCCATCTCTAATATGTTTGCCATCTTTGTCCTTTTCTAACTTCTCTATCGCCTCCACGAACAACAGGTTCTCTTCGGCCAACGACTGAAACAAGAAGCATCTGAAGACTTGTCGACCGATGGAATCGCGGAGGATCTCTTCGACGGTGCTACTGGACCAGGACGCCGCCCGGGGGTATTCGATGCCCACAATGGCCGGCATCTCGGGCGCAGGTCGGTCCGAATGGGCAGTTTTATCAAACATCGAGGCGGAAGTCTGAAAACATGTCATTAGGTGAGGTAAGACGTAATTACTGGATACAGTTTGAGGTAAATGGTGTCTTGTAATTTTAAAAATTATAAAAATATGTTAGAATACAGAACTTTCTTTAATTTTACATACATAGTGATTGAATGTAAATTCTTTACAATTATGAAAAAAGAAGATCTATGTTATTATTGTCTCTCGAGATATTGTAGTTAGGTAAAGACACATGACGATGAAAAGTAGACCTTATAAACAAAAGTTTTATAATTTTTTAACTTTTTAGGTAACATTATAAAAATACCAACAGTTGTTTTTTTAGGTAACACTTTTAATTTTATCTATTTAAAACAAATTCTCTTTTATCCATTTAAAACAAATTCTGGCTACATTTTCTCAGAACACCACCACTTTAGAAATGCTTTACACTTGCACTATAATATCTAAACAGTACGATATCCTTCGTTAACAATATACTTTGACAGCTACAACCTACTTTTTTATAAAAACGCACAAAAAGTCTGGACATGGCGAGAAAGCTTTAAAATACATAAAAATACAATTTACAAAACAAAAAGTCAAAGAACGCTGCGGCATTTGGCCGTGCCCGCAGGATACTCAGTACTTTATGTATCGAAGCAGGTGTTCGAATTAATTAAACGTCAGATTATTAAATTCAAATTCTGCAGGAAAACAAACAGAGCCGGGTACTGGAACATACGGGGTGTAGGTGTATATGTATTTTAGAAAAAATGGCAAAAAAGGCAGTTGGAGACTGATTTTCGTGAAGTTTTGGCTTTTAGATATATACAAATTGTAGATCCTATTAGACACAGCTCAGTTACTGGTAGACAAGGCTTAGATACTGTTTGATAAGGCACCACTTTTAACAGTACCTTATTTTAACCCAACAATAACGAAAGCTAACAGAACATCATACCCGAATCAGCCGGAGCACCGTCGAATCCACATTCATAGACTTGTACATAAAGGTAACTTGCGGTAGGGGAAGGAAGAGACGAAAGAATAAACTACGTGCTTGTTTTCACAGAATATTACCCATGACATCAGCAAGAGTAAATTATACTTGAGAGAAAGTAGTCGATTACCAAAGTTACTGCTACAGAACCTAATTGGAGGGTAATGTTGTTAGTACGAATAGGTGTTTCAAAAGGGTTTGGACTGTTTGGCGGCTCTTGGAGGCAATTTGAGGGGTTTTGAAATTAGTTTTGGCACGTTATGACAACGTAAAAGGTGAAATAACATTGGTAAAAGATAGAAATTAGCGTTTAAGATGTTTTTTCAAGCCTCTACTTTTAAACAAATCTAAAATAAAGGATCTAAAGCCCATGTTATCCATTCTTAAACTATTATTGATCTCTGTCTACCCTTATATTTTTCTAAAAGCTTTACTTCCTTATGTAAATCTACCAAATACCTCATATGATATCACGAATTCGGTCCATAAAAATTGTCGGAAAATAAAAGTAAAGTCAAAAATTTATTGACTGCAAGTATTAATACTCGGTAAGTAGTCGAATAAAATTACCGAGTAATCCGATAATCGCTTAAAGGCATAATTTATAAAATACATTTGAATTACCTCGGGGAAAATGGTCTTTTTTACAATGTAATAGCATTGTAGGGTCTTTTTAGGCATCAGCACATTTAAAATTTGGCCAAATATTTGGATTTTAAAGGAATAACAACATAACTTTGATAGTTTTTATTAATGACAGCGAAAAGGATATTGTAGTTTCATTAGTCAGTTAATTGTAATGTTACTTTTCAGACGGATTAAGCGTTAATTGATAGGTCATCTACAATTTTATAGCACTCTATGGGTAATATTTTTTGTTTTTAACAGTAAAGTTTTCTGTATCCCAGAAGGTACTCTAACTTTATGTTTACCCTGTTTATTTTTCTTCGATTTTTGCAGAGTAATATAATAAATGCTTCTTGTAAACATAGCCAAACTACTTACCATGATGTGTTGTTTAGTAATATCAACTTTTGGTTTTGGTTTTTCGGTTGGTTTGACTTCTTCTGGCTGTTCAGAAGGCTCTTCGAGGTCTAGCTTCTCTAGACTTTCCTCTTCCAAAGTGTCGGTCTCTGGGGTCTTTACTGTATCTACAGTATCTTCCTCTTCTTTAGAAGATTCAAGCACTTCTGGTATTGGTTCCTCTAATTCTCCCTTTTCAGGCTTTGAAAACTCGGCTTCAGCTAGCTTTTGTTCTGCTGAACGACTTCTGAAACAGGCATAATGTAAGGTTATTTATATATTGAAGATGAAACAACTTAACAGCGTTAAAAGCAGAGGTATACCCTACAGCAAGATCTAAAGTAAAAGACGGAGGTATACCTTACAATAATCTCTAAAGTAAAAGGCAGATGTATATCGTAAAACAAGGTCTGAAGATATTACTTCCTACTATCTATGTCTTATATATCTTGATGACAAATAGACTTATTGCAAAGCTGAATAGCATTCAAATCGCACGTAATTTTGTTAAATGCTTCATTACCACATTCAAGACGCCGGTAATGAACTGACAGTCTGATGACAAATTAAGACCATATTCATGCCACAGCGGTCAAACTTCAAAAATACAAAAAAACTAGAGAACTCTTTTTAAAAAATGACATTACGTCTTTTAGACGTAACTTTTTAAACTGCGAAACCTTATATAAAAAACTTATGCAAATATAAAGTATAATATTAGGCTGTCTAAATAATTCTGTGCCCTCTAACCATAAAAATTCGCTTTGGATTGGGGCACAGCATTAAATGAACATCCTGATATATAGCTATTTTATGCTTACTTGTTAGTTCTGCTAAAAAAAGCAGCACCATAGTCCTCATATAAACTCACGTATGTTAGCCTTCATAAAACAGACAATACGTTCGTTGGGAAACAAACTAATTTATTCTAGTAATAAAAAGTACATTTTTTGTTCATAAACTACATCAGTCTACGTGAACATGTAAAACGTGAATATGTTAGGGTATAAGAATAAATCTGTTTGAAGGTATGTTTTCTAAGTAAAGTTATGTATAAATTTTTGTATAACGAGTGACTTTTGAATACTGTATACCACTAATAACAAGGAAGGTACTCGACCTGCAACAATCAGATTTTGTTCAAAATTTTTTTTATTGAAAGAGCATGTAAATGTAAGATCTTATGCAAAATTCTAAGTTGCGGTAACTTTTAAAATTATACAAAAGCAATGTTGTTAAGTTGCCGAGTTTAAAATGTGGTTGTTAGTTCGTAATTTTTTAAAAGCTGTTAAAAGCTTTTTGCAGGTTTTCTGGCATTTTGTGTTCTTTGAATTTAAAAAAGTTATGACATCAGTACTATCAAAAATCAAAAGATATAAACGTTATACTTTACCTCAACAACTCAATGTCCACAGATCGTCTTATCTTTTCGTTTCCAAGACCCCCCCCTCCCACCCCCTTAACCTATTATTTCCCAACACACCACCCTCACAATAACCAAAACAAACAAACACGCCTAATTACAAAGCACTTCCAACAACAAGTTTTTGAAATCATTTATTCGCCGAAACCCTTAATTTTTATGGTTAATATAAGTCGGTAACCCGGACAACCTTTACATTCTTGTACATGTTCATACTTACCTCGAGAGACTCAAGAAAGACATACGTTGGGTGCGTGATTACCTTTCAGGTATTAATTGCCGGAAAATAAGGTTCTTATTCGAGGAAACACGACATTCAGAAATGAAGTTGAATGTCGTCTATCTTTTATAAGGGAGAGATCAACAGGACTATGCCTAATCGAAAGCTTTTTAGTGATAAAAGTAAGGTTAATTCCGACTGAAAAATGTTTGAAAAATGAGTTTGAGTTTCAAGATTATAAAAACGCTGTCCTAAATACTTTAAAGTGAAAAAATTTAATGTTTTAGTAAAATACAAAAGTGAAACCAAACAAAAAAACATATAGTAAATACTCGTAACAAAACTGCTTCATAAAAAATAACGTTCCAAGGCCCGAGCGCTTCGTTATAAAGAAATTCCGCTGCATAGTCAAACGAAAAACTTTATAAAACTCAAATATTGAAGGTCAAAAACTCAAACATTAAATTTATAAATACTTAAATGTACACATATTATTACATTAAAAAGTAAAAAAAAAATTTTGATTTGTTTAAATATTATCAAGGCGTTTTACATTATTGTAGTTTTTTTTTAACTCTTGCTATTAATAAAACGTTCTCTTTGGTTTTTCTAACGCTAAAAGTCATATAGTCAAACCTGTTTGTTATGACACCCAAGAAACTAAAAGTGCCATTATAACCTAAAAATGCCATAAGGTGTAGAATGACTATAAAACATGTCACACTATCCAGGTAATTTCTTGGGTTTTATTACAAAAGTAGTCACAAAGCTGTCATTATAAAGAGGATGTCATACTATTCTATTTTAGGGGTCATACTAAAGAGGTTTCACTGTACGTCAATGATGTTTAAGACCAGTACAAAGGTGATCAACATAAAATATCAAAAAATACTTCAAAATAAAAAATTTGAGCTCAAAAACATACCACAACTTACCGAAAGTATTCGGACAAAAATTGTTGCTCGCAAGCGAAGGAACGCCACATAATGTGGCCGCCGTCCACGTTGTGTCAATCTCGGTATTGTGCGTGATACAGAAATCCTCACCGAAGTAATTAATTCGTGTGTGAGGAGGAAAGGGTAATGCCCGAGGGTTTTGGCACCTGGATGTAAATTTAATTACATTTCCGTCATAACAACTGATTTTTGAGGGTTTGCGACAACTTGACGTTTTTTTATGTTATTTTATATACATATAGTGCGTAAGTATAAGATAAATTTATTTTAAAAAACCGTGGCATTAAAAACATGTAAATCATATGAAAAATCATGTAAAAATACGACAAGCCTTTAGCGTTATCATTGTGAAATACGTTTTCCTGAACTAGCCTATTATAACATATTTATGAGAGTTTAAAACGCGATTGAAACAAATTGTAAACTGAAATTAAAAATGTTACAATTGTAGGAAAGCAACATTAACTAAGCAGAACCCTCCGCAGACTAGTCCTTCTGTTAATTAAATATGGAAAAACAAGAGTAAAGGTAATCATTACATAGCCAAGATAGGGCATAGTCAAGGTGCGTGTCAATTACTAGCTCCAACTGAGCAACAGGTTTTGTTACAAAAAAAGATGTAAAGACATGACCAGAACTCACTCAAAATCTCACAAAAAACCTTTTAAGCCCATTTAAACTACTAAACTATCTAATATACCAGTACCTTAAAGTATCAGATGTATTTGCAATAAAACAAGTCGTTCTTGGTCCATAAAGTAAACCAACATAAAATCTAATGTACAACAGGTTCAAAAACAAAGTTAATTGTAGTTGAAAATGCGCAAAAACGCGTGGGAACATGTTATTATGAACACCAACTTGCTCTGCTGTTAGGCAGTGGTGCTACAAACTCAAGATGAAGAAAGGTAAAGCCACTTCTTATCTTCATAGCAAGTTTACTTTACATTGTCAATGGGTTACTTATGAAAAGGCAGCTTTAATGTTTAAAGTTTTAATTTAACTTGCAAAATTTAAAAAAAAATTTTAAAAAAAGCTAATATAAAACAATATTATAAAATTTCGAATTCTAAACCATTTGAAATGTATACAAACTTTGTGTCTATATACCAAAAGTAAAAAACCAAAAAGTAACAAAAATTTTAATCTTTTCCAAGATTAGTACATTAACTTAGCGTATGTATGAGTAATGATTCTTATAATACGTGTAACAATGTCAAGTAAAAAATAAGAAATAGTACTAATTTACCAAATTCAATTAATTTTTGTTTTGCCACCTATATTGTATTTAATATATATTACTAAAGCACATTAAGCACAATTACATTTGTCATAAAGTTGAATGTGGGAAAAGCTCAAAACAACAAAACGTCAATAAGCTATTCTAGTTTTTCTAGGCTAAAGAAACACTAACCCTATTTATCATACAACTAGTTTTATTGGCATTCTATGTCAAGATCAGGTAATTGCGCTGCAAAAGAAATATTATATTTTTGCAAAAAAATTTTTTAAAACCAAATAAGGTTTGTGATTCTTTAATAAAGAATGAAACGCCTTTGTAAGAAATCTACATTGAGTAGGTGTGCTCACTACGCACATTACTATCAGCAATAAAAAAACAATTTGTTGGAAGATCAAAGCTAGAAAACAGCCCTGTAAGATAAAATAAAAGCCAAACCTAAAGGAAAAGCTAAAAGTAAGGCTGGAGCTAAAGCTAAAGCTACTACAGTAAAAGCTAAAACAAAAAACTTTACAAAAGTTAAAGCTAAAGCTTAAAATATTTAAAAATTATACCCACTTCTACCTATTTTTAAACTTACTGTTTTTAGAGCTACGCGTTAGCACGACCTTTTGAACTCGACAATAAGTTTCCTTTTGCTATAGAACTGCAGTGCTTCAGGCTTTAAATTTGTTCATTATAAAGTAGTTTTAATGTATAGAAGTTAAATCTTGTTTTTACAGTGTTTCAATTAAACATTTTTTTCTGTAATTATATTTATGTTTCCGTAAAAACTGTAAGTTTAATAACTGTGTTGTATAACTGTTTGTTTGGATTAGCTACAGCTAAATCCGTATATAACACTCTGAACATACAAACTTTACTTCACATTGTTATATAAACAGTAGTAAAACATTGTCTGTAAAAATATTGTTCAATACCGAGTGATTGTGAGTGGGTTATTGTAACTAATTTACATTTTTATTCAGTAAAACGTTTTAAATTTTTACGTGAATTACGGTAAATTGGCTACACTTGTTATTGGAACAACTTTTACCGTGGTATTTAAGGGGATTGACTTTTGGTTTTGACAATTTTGTTTATTTGTTTTAATTTTTAAAGGACTTTTAATTGTAAAATACGTTGCAGTTATTAAGTTTTACAATATTATAGTCGATATACTGTATACTTTCAGTTTGTCGCTTACTGTACTTTTCCCTTTGTACTCACACATTATATATACATTATCTTTTTATTACTTTAAAATTACTATAACTCGATTTTTCAGTGGTCTAAAAACACGATAATGGGCGACTTTTTCCAATGTCTATGTGGAATTCATGTTCACGTAAGTTGACGTCAATATTACTTTAGCTACTACAATACAATCATAATTTAGCTAGCCACCTTCATCTTTGGCTTGGTATTTGTAGTGATATCACCTGTTATGGCAACATGTGGCTTCTTCTTGTCCATGTATGCCTTGCTAGTGAGTAGGGCCATTGGTACTATAGCCAATGTGTTCATATTGTTGGGTAATCACCTGCCAGTCGGATTGTTCTACATGATTTATCTCATTACTAACGTGAGTTTTTTATGGAAGTGAGCGTTTACTATTAGAATATAATTCTTGGTTGATAAGAATATAAATCTTGTGTAACCCAATTAAATCAAAATTTTAAAATTTTCTTCCTTCAGGGCATTTCCGTGTTCATAGAGATCATCTATGTGGTTATCCTCCTCCTGGCGTCGTTTGGCATGGCCCCAATGAACGGCTTCACCGGCCTCTTCCTAGCCCCCATCGTCCAACAGATTGCCATCCCTCTGCTGATCGTGCTGGTGGTGATGTGCGTGGTGAACATCTACTCAATGTGGGTTTCTTACAAAGGACTAGCGTTCCTAAAATCAAATCCCAAGGACCCCAATAATTTTAACATGGCTTCGAGCGTATGAGTACATGCAAGCCCAGCCCCCGCCCAAAGTCACCCTGAACACCGCCGCCAGCGAAGAAACCATACCATTGAGACAGGACAGCGTGCGAACTGTCTTCTTGTAAATAACATAAATCATATCAGTTTAAATTTTTATGAATAATGTAAAGAAATACTGTAAAGTAAGCAAAATTTAAAAAACGTAAAATAATTAAAGTTTTGAACAAGTTTTGGTTAAAATATCGTGAAGAAGATGTTTTGGCTTAAAGAGAGACTGTTTACATTTTAAAAAACCAAAAATTTGTTGTAATCTTTCTTGTGAATCAGTCATAAAAACTTTATTTTTTGATAATTTTTTATAAATTTTTACATTTTTAGAAGTTTCACACAAAGTAGGGAAAAGTATATCCAATTTAAGATGTTGTTATTGTTAATAAAATTCCGAACTTTGATAAAAACGGAAATTTGGAAACTCTAAAAGCCTTTCTTTATTTTAAATTATTATATTCACAATTGTTAAACATAGAACCTACATTATTATCTACAGTACATCTACAATTAACATTATATTAAGTTATAAATTCAACCTGTTTTCAACTTTTCAACTACAAAAACTCAAGTAATCAGCCTCAGTCTATTCGTTTTTAATAGCCAATTTAGACTCTGTCATTTGACTTTTGAAGTGCTCGACCTTCTTCAACTTCAACCTCAAGTACTGCCAACTTCTGAACACAATCCACAAAACATATATTCCACTAGCGGTTTGAGAGAACAAAGTAATCGAGGCTTGTAGGGCTTGTTCTGGTACTGCTTGGAATTGGTCCCAATGCTCCATTAGTCCATTGCCTGGGCCAATTATTTGGAAGGCAGTCAAGTAGAGATAGGCTGAGTAGAGGAGTTGTAAGACGGAGTTAAAGGTCTAAACATTGGGCACTTGTAAAGATTTTATACATTTTGGTAAATATGTAAATATTTGATTGTTAAAATAATTCTGTTGCCCCTAACCCTAATAATTTGCTTTGAAAAGAGGCACAGGATTTTTTGAGCGACCTAACATAATGCCATCTAACACTTACAAAAACAAAGATATAAGGCATGTACAACCAAGGCATATCAAAGTGATTCCCACTCAGCAGCAACATATACGACACTATCTCTACTCCTTTACTCGTTATCACCAGATCATTCTGGGCCATATGAATCAAAGTTCCAGTAGTTAAAGCAGAACTTGTCAGATATATTAATGATAACACAAATGTTGCTTTCTAAAATGATAAACATCAACGATATCGATATAATTTTTGTCAAATTAACAATAAATATAAAGGTACGACTATATAATTTCAATATTATATTTGCCATGAGTTTTCCAAAAAATATTTAAAGTTGCAATGTATGAGACAAAACATAACTTACATGAACATGAAACCCATAGATACATTTATAGTAATCATCAGGACTCTTTACCTTCTTTGACCGCCAGTTATAGATTAGTGACGCTAACGACAACAACATTTCATTCAATCTAAAAAATTTTTATTTAAAAAAAATTAAATTTTATGCAAATTTTGATATTTGTATCCCCTTGGGAACGTTGGGAACAGCAAAAACTTTGTAAAAATCGTAAAAATAGCCTTGAAAAAGCTGAAATTCGTTCAAATCTCGCCGTTGCAAACTGTCGGAGAAGCAGTTGACCTGAATCTCTTTCAAAAACCGAATAAGAAACGGCAAAAGTAAGACTATTACCTAAAAGCATTGTCATCACTCAATATTTTAGGTTTACGTTGAGTCGAAAGTCAAATTTAAAATTTAAAATATTGGCTTTATAATTGTTAATTAATAAAAAAATAAAATATGTAACAAAAAAAAGATGTGTAAAATATAAATTTTCGTAAACCACACAATTTAAAAAAAATTGAAATAAAAAGTTTAAAAAAATTAAAACTACACACATAGATAGTAATTACCTGCTAGGTAATTGATCAAATAACAAAAAAAGTGCCAGGTCTGCCAAGCTCTGATTGACTTCAAACTTTTATATAAGAATCACGTAAATATAAGATCAGCAAAGTTCTAAATTGCATTTCTAGTCAACCTCAAAAAATCGAATTCAAAAAAATTACGTTTTACATTTCCCGCCAAATTGGCATTGTGTTTCAAGCTTATAACTTCGTAATTTTCGACTTTTAATTATTTTCCTTTAATATACTAGTAGAAAGCCTTTTAATGAACCAACATTTTTAATTGCTAATTGTAGCTTGGCCGGTAAGTTAAAAAAGTGTTTAAAACACAATGCCAAATTTGTCAAATTGGCGGAAAACTCAAATATTTGAAAGTTGAAAGCGCGAACTAAAATTTTCTATGCGTACTATTAGGGCGCTAGGACACTTGCGATTTTGGACATTTGCGGATTTTTTAAAGGTTTTTTTTTATTTTTTATTTAATTTAGTTGTATTATGGTACTAAATTGTACTAAAGTTTGAATTGGTACGGTTTTAACATAACAGTACCTTTTTGGGCTTTTAGTACTATTTAGTACCAAAAATATAAAAACAGTACCGATTAAAAATTTAGTACTATTTAACATTAAGAAATATTAAGACAGTGCCAATTTAAACTTTAGTACCATTTAGTACCATACTACAACTAAATTAAATAAAAAATAAAAAAAACCCCTTTAAAAAATCCGCAAGTGTTCAAAAACCGCATTTGTCCTAGCGCCACTATTAGCAGTACAAGAAATTCATATAAAAATTTTGAGCTGATTTTGAGTGGGCAGATTAGGTACTTTGCTTGTTAGCAAAAAACTTCAAAATCGAAAAAAATTTTTATTAATTTAAAATGATACATCTACTAAAGCTGGCAAGTATAATAGTACTACCGCTTTGTATAGTATACGATGCCCGAGTTCTTTATACAGGAGTTATTATATATTGTATTAAAAATGTCTATACTGTTTAATAAACTATGGCATCCTTGCTTTACATTAGTTGGACATTGTGTTAGTACCTGAACGTCGTTTTATTTATATGAAATTTACGAAAATTCAAAACTTTTCAAACTTTCAATTTTTATTGAAGATCCGTTTGAGTTCAAAATTACTGTAACATAAAAAGTTTATGCGGTTCATTTTGTTCGTCGGATTCGGGAGAAATCCAGATCGCGAGATTAACTTGACTAACTTAATTAACTCAGAGTAATGCAATTTGTCTGGAGCTTGGCAGATTAACGCCGATTCCATTAGACTATTAACCTTTTTTGTTAATTTAAATAAAAAATGGTTGAAAAAAGTACAGTATCTCGGAAATACGGTTGAAAACTAGATTTTTTTTTATTTTTTGATACTTTAAAGTCAAAAATTGTTTTTGTTACCTAAAATATAACTATAAAACAGTAATATGTGTAACATACAACAACATTATTGTACATGCACTAAATATAGTTTATTTCAATAGTTATACAAATTGCAAACAACATAAGATAAGAAGTTACAAAATTTACAATTTGGCCTTGAGCTTGCTAGGATCCAAGATAGTCTTCAACTTCATGGCCATCATGATGTTACCCTTGATCTTCATCTTTCCTTGCATGAAGGCTTGGTCTGGCTTCAGCTTGCCTTGACTGATTGTGATAAAGTCACCGTCCTTAATCAGAATCTCCACATCTGGCTTAGCGTCGGATTCTGTGCCAATGTACGGTGTAGCCTTCTTCATGTCCACGGTCCACGACTTCTTCTTACCGGAATCAGCAGTGATTGTGAAGCGGAAACAGCCCTTTACTTGTTTGGCTAGGTCTGGCTCCTGTAATATGTTTACAGTATTCAATCATCGAGTATAATACTTAACATTACATTGTTAAGATAATTATGGGCCCCCTTGCCCCAACAATTTGCCTTTATAAGGAGCCCGGAATTATTTGAAGAACCTATTATCATAGTAAGTTTCAAAAAATCATTTTGATTTATAAACATCAACAATATCTATATTACTATTTATATAATTATGAACGTTAACTGTGTCCTCAAACTCCTTACCTCTCCAGCACGACTCTTGATTTCTTCGAAGATAACATCAGATTTGAACTCAGAACCCGAACCTCCGTTGCCTCCAGCCCCTCCACCAACTCCATCCACTCCCAACGCACTCAAAGATGTTATTCCTTGGCCTGGAGACACTCCACCATCAGCTCTTTGGTACAGTCCAACTACGACAGCACCACCAATTCCGATATTGTGCTGCATGGCTAACTTTACCTTAGGCACTTGACGTTTGCCACAGCGACCGCGAAGTTGGTTGGAGAGCTCGACGATCTGGGCTACTCCTAGAATGGTAGAGTAAGTATAAGTAATTTTATAATGTATTATAATAAAGAGAAATTTTTAGAAAAGGCTTATCACATCAAGACATGAAAGAGTAATTATTAGGTTGTTCAGATACTCCTGGGCCCCCTAACCAGTAAAATTAGCTTTGAGAGATAGCACAGAATTACTTGAACCTAATGAAAGTAAGCATGTTTGTTGTATGATATATAATGTCCAATATCATTTATCATGACAAGGTCACCGTTTTAATTAAAAATATAGACCACCCAATATTTTACAATAAATAACACAAAATTTAAAAGTATCGCTTTGTAAAACAAGTATTTGATCAAAATCGATATTAACCATTAATCGGTCAACAGTCCGGCGCTTTTCATTACTGATAAGAACTCCATGTGCAGTCGAGTAATCATATGATAACATGCTTTACAATGTTTACTAAATTTAACTTAAAAAAGCATTTTTATCTTGAAAAAGTAAAATTTTATACCTAGTTGTCTTAAAAGTTACAGATAATTTAGCTTTCATTTTCATGTTTTTCATGGGGGAAGTACATAACAAAAACAAAATTTTAAAATTTTTCAAAACAAATAAGAAATTAAAATTTGAAAATTAAAATCATTTTAAAATTAAATAACATTTTTAAAAAAGGCTGAATTCGTTACCTGTAGCTCCAATCGGATGCCCCTTCGAAATTAAACCGCCAGAGGGGTTGATGACCCATTTGCCACCATAGGTGTTATCACCCCGATCAACAATCTCTCCAGCTTTACCTATCGGACATAGTCCGATGGCTTCGTACGTTATCAACTCGTTGGAGGCGAAACAATCGTGTAGTTCTATTACCTAAAATTATTTTATTTTTTTAAAATTTAAAACTTTTAAATTTGAAAAATATATTTTTTGAGAAAGATTGTCGTTAAAAATCCAGTGATTTAATTTTAAAATGATTTAATATTGATACCTGAACATCGTTGGGGCACTTTCCAGTGTTCTTGTACAATCTGTCTGACGCCTTCTTTACCATGTCAAAGCCAACCATTTTCAAATTTGAATTTTCGGCAAAAACACTTGGCTCATCTGTAGCCAATTCCATACCTAAAACAATATTTATAGTCACATCAGTATCTAAACATGAAAAATTACGTTTTCCTTACCTAAATATCTATAAATGAAAAATTATGTTTTTATTACCTAAAAAATTATGCTGAAATGACAAAAAGTACTCAAAAAATTTTAAAGTAGGATTTTTGATAAATTCAAACGTCATAAAATAACTTACCAACAATCTCCACAGCTTGCTCTCTCAGATGAGGATTCTTTGCCAAGAATCTTTCAGAAACCACCACGATGGCTGCAGCGCCATCTGAAGTCGGTGAACATTCTAATAGACCCAAACATTCGTGCATTGATCTGGCTTTCAGTACTTGTTCTAATGAATAGTACTTTTGGAATTGGGATTTTCTAAAGGTTAAAGTAAATGACAAATGGTTTCCTTTCCAATATATGGCGGGTTTTTTATGTCGGCATCTAATAAATAGATCGAAATAAGATTTAAAAATATTTTTTGACTTTACAGTGACATAACTTACGGATTATTGACTGAATGAAGATGGTTCTTCCATCCAATCTTGGCAAAGTGCTCTCTTTTAGTACCGTACTTCTCCATGTGTTCTTTGCCAGCATGGCCAAACATTTGGCACATGATCGGAGTTGGTCCGATGCCATAAGTGTCGTTCATTACCTAAAACATAAGCTTTTAACTTAATTTTTAAAATTTTTAATATTTTGTCTCATCAAAAAAGTTTGAAATGCGTACCTAAAATAACTAGAATGGCTTGAAAATAGCTAAATAACTTGCTTCTAAAAATAAACCTTAAAATAACATGATCAACCTACTTGAATATGTTTTTCCTGACTGAAGGTCCTATCCTCTAACAATGGCTGCATCTGTTCCAACGATCCTGCGGCCATCTTCTCGAAACCCACTGCCAAACACACATCAGCGTTACCTCCTTCGATGATCTGCTTACACAAAAACACTCCAGATGATCCACTGGCACAAGCGTTGTTCACATTGTATATAGGTATGCCAGTGAACCCGATTTCGTACAAAGCCCTTTGGCCACAACAAGTGCCACCGTACAAGTAGCCTACTGTAGCTTGTTGAACGTCTTTGTACTGTAGACCAGCATCGTTCAAGGCTTCTGTTACGGCATCTTTCACCATCTCTGGGTAGTCCTGACCAGTGGATCCGGGCTTGGTGAAGGGAGTCATACCTACTCCAATTACATACACTTTTGGCTTTGACATGGTGAACTAAAGATTACGTTGTTAATGGAAGTATTTTTAAAACAGTAAAAAAGGTAATAAATAGTTTTATAAGATAAATATCCGCAATAATAATACAAAAATAGTCCTAATTTTATTAATATTCTTCTTAAAAACTGTTTTAAGCCATACTACAACCCTACTACAACATCACCAGAAGAAAAATTTGACCAAAAATTGCTTTCTAATCAATTTTTGGGTTTTGTGTCCAATCACAAGTGATTAGAAAAGTAAAAACAATATAACCAGTGTAAAAAGTATTGATTACAGCCCTCAATGGACACCGGTCGCTCCTCGCTTTAATTTCTTGTTATCAAAGGTTGGTCGCTATAATTGTTGTAGTTTCACTCAATCTTTCTTTATTGATCGCGCGGTTATATATCGACAAAGTGAGTGGAAACCTCAAATATCTTACTCCTCAACGCTACGCGTCTGCTTCTGACAAAAAAATAAAATTTAAGTTCCAGTACAATACCGAACAAATAACACAACAATAACAATATAATAAGTACCAAAACTTTAAAATATTTTTAAAAATTTATTACTTTTCCAATAACTATGCAATAACTACATATCAACTCCAAAATAACATTACAAAGTAAACTAAAACGCAAAACAACAAACAAAATGTAAAACAAGGTCGAATCTACAGCCGGCTGGTTGCAAATCCACCATTATATGGAGATACTCCCCCATCAGCACGACGATACAATGCCAAGACCACAGCACCACCAATACCAAGATTATGTTGTAAACCCAACTTCATGTTTGGCACTTGACGTTTACCACAACGACCACGAAGTTGGTTCGACAGTTCAACACATTGGGCTACTCCTGAAGAAAGATTGGTCTAATTTTAGATTTGATATTGAGAATGATTAAGAAAGTTCAGAAAATATTAAGTAATATATGTGGGTATAGTATATAATGGTGCTGTAAGTAACAATGCTGTATTATATTAACCACACCCCCTTCTACCCGCTGTTTTTAAAAACAAATTTTCAAAACTTACCAGTAGCTCCAATTGGATGTCCCTTCGAAATCAGACCTCCAGATGGGTTGATGACCCATTTGCCTCCATAAGTATTATCACCTCGATCGACCAGTTCTCCGGCCTTACCGACCGGACATAACCCCAGTCCTTCGTAGGTAATCAGCTCGTTCGGAGCAAAGCAATCGTGCAATTCGATAGCTTGCACATCGTTCGGGGTGTAGCCTGACTTCTGAAACAGTCTTTTGGCAGCCGTCTGACACATTTTGAAGCCGACCATGTCGATACACGACTTCTCGAAAGCTCCAGGCATATCTGTAGCCAACTCCATACCCGCAATCTCGACAGCTTGAGTACGAAGATGAGGATTCTGATTCAGCCACTTCTCGCTGACCAGAATCACAGCAGCTGCGCCATCTGAAGTCGGAGAACATTCGAGAAGACCAAGAGGACCGTGGATCTTGCGAGCCTTCAAGACTTCGTCGAATGTGTACATCTTGGTGAACTGTGACTTTCTAAACATTTTTTTCATAATTTTTTTAATTTTTTAAATTGGCTTTTAAAATTTTATAAAAGTTTCGAAAAAAACTAGTCAAAAAATTAGCTATGAACTAACTTCGAGGTAAATATAAGCTACTTCTGATATAACACCAAACTTACGGATTATTGACTGAATGAAGATGGTTCTTCCATCCAATTTTGGCAAAATGCTCCCGTTTAGTGCCATACTTTTCCATGTGCTCCATAGCAGCACTTCCGAACAGTTGACAGTTAACTGGAGAGTTCGATACTCCATAAGCATTCTGAGCTACCTTAATATGAAAGTCATTCGATTGAGCCCTGCCATCCGGGTTACTGCCCATCTTATCCAAGGAACCGGTTGCCATTTTCTCAAAACCGACTGCCAAACAAACGTCTGAATTGCCACTTTCTATCGCCTGTTTTGCCAAGTATATACCGGTCGATCCCGAGCAACAAGCGTTGTTCACATTGTATATAGGTATGCCAGTAAAGCCAATCTCGTACAAAGCTCTCTGCCCACAACAAGTACCTCCAAACAGGTATCCCACAAAGGCTTGTTGAACATCTTTGTATTGTAAACCAGCATCATTGACAGCTTCTGTTACAGCGTCTTTCACAAGTTCTGGGTAGTCTTTACCGGTCGATCCGGGCTTGGTAAATGGAGTCATACCCACTCCAACAACGTACACTTTTGGCTTTGACATGATGGGATGAAATTGTTTTTTAGAAGAGTTGGGCTGAGTTTGATGACAATTCGGTTGGTCTGTCAAATGGCTATCGTAGTACATTTTGAAAAGCGCATACGAGTGGAAAATGACAGTTTTTAGAATATTTTTAAATTAAAAATATTTAAAAATTTAGCGTAATATAAGCAAAAGTATCCAAAGAATTTGTGAAAGTGAATAATAATGCTTAAAAACAAAACGTGTGGTAAGTCAATGTTTCAAGTAGTAGAAAATTAACGTGGTAATGTAAAAAGAATGACAAAGTAAAAGACTGTTTAGATCAAAATAGTTCTAATTAACTTCCTCGATTTATAAAATGCACTCTTTTAGGTTTATTACTATAAAGAAACGCAAAGTAACCCTAAAAGACACATATAAACCTTTATGAAAATCACCATATCTGAAAAAATTTTCTTACTTTTTACTACTTTCCCACCCCCGGCCCCTCTCCTCTCTATGAAGCTAAAAGCCAAAACAGCCACCAGCTATTAAAATTTATGCTGTTGTATGGCTTTACATTACAGTTACTATAAAATAAAAAAGAACAGAAACCGCAACAATGTTGTTGCCTTATTAACTTGGAAGGCATGTTTATATACATGAGTAAGATTGATTGAAAATCGATTTATTTTAGAGAAGAGAACGTATCTGTGGACTACAGAAGTGATAGTTTACTCGAATCAAAACACAAATTATTTGTTTTTATCAATATTGTAGTACAAGAAACACTAAAGGAAATAAATTTTATATTTCGTAGTTTACTACACCTAAACCTTAATTTTTCATAAAGCAATTACTGTATATTTACAATAATATTTAAAAAAATTTAAGTTTGAAGTAAAAAATAATTTAAAATTTAAATTTAAAAATGATTAAAAGCAAAAAACGTCCTGATACTCCAGATGTACTTCCTTTATAATGTTACCATGAAACCGTCTATCAATTTAATTTAAATTAAATTTCACTTTTACTTAAACATGTTTTAAGGAAGTCGACCTTATTTGTTACCTTTTATGTTCAGAGAAAAACAATTACTTTACATTAACTGAATCAGCACGTCTTGATTACAGTTTAATCTAAATTGATATTACAACCTTGAAGTGATGTTTTTTGGTTTTATGTTGCGGTACTTCAATTTCTTTAATTTTATATTACAGTAGGTTTTTATGAAACGGTATGAACATTCATACACGCCAAATACTTTTCGTAAAAGCCGATGTGTCGTGTCTTCCTCCACTTTAGGTCAAGTGTTCCTGTTGTTATTGCAAATGTTTGAAGTAGTTAAAAACAACACATTTTAAAATTTCCTCCAAATAAAATGCTTATAAAACAATAGTTATTTGTTTTACATAAGCATATTTCAAAAAAAGTTTTTGTTTATTCATAAAACCCGTAACTTTATATTATAGGCTATTTGTATGTTATTCCGAGAAGTTGGAGCTGGAAGCCATGCTTATTGTCATGCCTATTGTGAGACGCTTCTGTATACTACAATTAGTCATCAATATAAATTATACTATACTGATGACTTAATATTTGTCCACGATGTATTTTTAAAACAACATACTCATGATCCGATCAAACATCACAAACTATACTAAATATATTAGTGCTATGTTAAGCAGGTTAATGTTTTCGTAAGCAGGTCAAACAATAACAACTTGTCTCTGACTCATGACCTTACTCAAGCTCATTCAATCCTCATGGCCCCTCTCCACCCCCAAAGGGACCTCCTTCACCTTGTTCACGTCTTCAAAAGTCAACAAACTTTTCGAAACCAAAGGAATTGAACAAATAATCCACAGCATGAACAATATAAACCCGCCGCTCTAAGTTAATACAACTTTATTTTTTAACTTTTTGAAAATGTTCAAGAGTACTGTAATATTTTTGGCTCTTGTGGTATGTTGTCAATCGCAGACGAATCTACTGAACAGGATAACCAACTTCAGTATTCGACCACAACAGTCAGTCAGTGTGAGTGGAAGGTTCATGTGTAATGGAAGACCCGCCAACAATGTTGTACGTTTACTACTAACTTAAAATTAATATGGTATATTCTATCATTTATATGGTCATACCTTAGTATACAATATATCGTTAAAAACTTTACTCTATAATAAAAATAATCTAAATTTACTTAACTTACCTCTGTATCTTCAGAAAGTAAAGCTATACGACAATGACCACTTCACATTAGATGATCTTATGGCTAACGGCTACAGCGATGCCAACGGAGCGTTCCGTCTTCAAGGTTCAGCCAATGAATACACCAATATCACCCCCAAACTCAATGTATATCACAGGTGTAACTACACTCCACTGATCCCTACTTGCTACCAAAAATTCAGCATCAGAATCCCAAACGATTACATCACTCGAGGACCAGTAGCACAAAGAGTTTTTGACGTCGGAACTCTGAACTTGGAAGCCAAGTATGCTGGACAAGGAAGAGATTGTTTGAATAAGTAAACTACAAAGTTCATTGGAATACTTGCATTGTACATTATAACATAATAAAATTTTAAGTATCGTATTCAAAATTTCGCCTTTTTTTTAAATTTTAAAAAACGTTTGGCACAATCTATATGGCGTGAATTTTAAATAGTTATGAAGACCTTCTCAAGGTCTTCATAACTATATCCGTCACTTCCTAAGGCTTATTCCCTATGTTCATAAAAAGTCATTTTTACTGCGCGCAATTTTAATACAAAAAAACCTCTTTTTGATTTTTAACATCGCCTCAGGGGATTTCAAGAAAAATCCGCTGAAAAGACGTAGCAAATAAGAAAAGAGATCAGCGCGGCTCAGTGGTCTAGTGGTATGATTCTCGCTTTGGGTGCGAGAGGCCCCGGTTTCGATCACCGGCTGAGCCCAAATTTTTTTGTCCGTCTTGAAGACCACTTTAATATATAAAACAAAGTAAATTTAATTGTAAATAACATTTTCAACTAATTCCAAATAAATTCCGTCTTTTTATTGTACATAAAAACTCTATTGCTATCAGACGATATAAATTCACGTAGGTATGAGATGATGACTGCTACTCGGCTTCACTTCTGGTGACGCGCTAAAATTAATTCGTTTTTAATATGCAAAAAGCTAAATTTATACACGAAATCTCTTTTAAAACAAAACAAATATATCATGAGTTAAAAATCACCTTTCTGATCAAGGCTTGTTCTCGACCATCTTCAGTCACCTTCTGACTCTTCTTTCTGATCTTTGGAGCTTTTGACGTAGAGTGTTTCTCATCTACTGATCGAGTGCGAGACCCTGACGTTGTTTTGTTAGATCTGGCTGACCGACGGCCTTCTTCGCATGTCTATAACAATCAACACATGTACCTTTATATCCTGTTTTTCACAAAACAAACTGAACTTTATCTTTTATTTTTAACGCCACACATTCTATAGGTACCCCTGAGATCAACTCTGTAACGACCCCTGCCTTCAACTTACCTTCAATGTAGAAGTCTTGTTTTTGTGTCTTGATGCCAGCCCATCAATGCCCATATCATCACGGTCTTTCACAGTAACGCCAGGTAACCTGGCAATGCATCGCATTGGGGGTGGCAGCGGTCGATACAGTTCTTTGACCAATGTGTGCAAAAACTTGCATATACAGTCAAAGTTGATGCGATCGGCCGACGGCTTGATCCAGCACTTCAGATTCACCAAGTCTTGGATTTCACATGGGGTTTTGGCTAAATAGTTTATGATTTACATATGGGTAGATAAGACTAATATATTAGCCAAAATAATGTAAATATAAATGAAATCAGAATGGTTTTTAAAAACTAATAAAAGCAGACAGAAAAACATGATACCTGGAAACATTGGCATGTCCAAGTCTTTAATAGCTCGAGCGATCACTTTTGGTGGCGAATCTGGCCAAGCAATGTCACCGTTCGTAAATATCTCCCATAGTAGCATACCAAACGCCCTGAAATCACAAACAAAACTTATTTCTGTAGTTCCAAACTACAAAATTTACAAAATCACAAATGCCAAGCCGGAATCCATGACATTTATGTTTAAACCGTCAAAACTACTAATACACTATATCATACCAAACATCGCTGCGACTCGAGAACTTTGGATGTTTTCCAATTGTTTCTGGACTCATTAATCTGATTGGTGCTCGGAATTTAGCTTTAATCACCTCAGGGTCGGTTTGCTTCCGACTCATGCCAAAGTCGGCTATCTAAAACAATAATATTACTCTAAGAATATACTGACTGTAAGTTTAAATTAGACCTCATTTTATAAAAAACAAAGCACAGAAATTGGTTCCATCCCAACTTACTTTGACAACTCCTAACCGGCTAATAAGGCAATTTCTGGCGGCCAAATCTCGATGAATAACTCCAACACTCTCGACGTATCTCATGGCTCGACTCACTTCGAAAGCGAACCAAACCCTTTCACTCGTAGTTACCTCCTCTTTGAATGTTTGTAGAAAGTGGAGCAACGACCCTCCATTACATAGTTCCATTACCAACTACAACAAAATTATTTCTACGAATTTTCCAAAGTTTTTAATTTTAAAAAAGATATTATCCATGTGATAATGTAAGTAAACCGTAATTTACATTACTATATGGATAATGTACAACTTACTTTAATATTCGGAGTATCGGCAGCGAACCCGTAGAACTGGATGATGTTGTAGTGCTTCAGAATCCGCATCGTAGATGCCTCTCGTCGCATCTCAACCTTTTCGCCTTTCCTTTCCTGAGCTGTGCCTTCTGTATCCTTGAATTCCTTAACGGCACATTCTGTTGGAGCATCATTCTGATTGTGTCTGAAGAATCCTTTCGAAACCACGCAGAAGTTACCTAAAATCAGGTTGGAAGCAAAAAGCAGGTGGTTGTAGGAGTAATTTATACCTACGTTCCTGATTTTTGCCTAAATCTTTACCTAAAACATTTTTTTTACTGAAAGAATAATTAATTTACCTTCTCCAATAACCTTGCCAATGTTCAGTTCTCGATCGCGGATCAAAAAGTCTGGTCGCGAAGCCGGAATCGAAAGTTTTCGCTTCGAGACCCAAAACTCGATCAGTTCCTGAATAGTGGTGTAGGTCTTGCTTTTGTCTAGCCACTGGCTCTTCGCCAACTTCCAACCGCTTTTTCGGAAAAACTTTGGCGACAGACCAGTCTCGTCGCTAGTGTGAGTTAGAGGTATGTGAAAGATTTGTAGGCCTTGTCCTGCGTCCGACCACTGTCCTACTGTCAGTTTGAGTTCGACCTTGTCATTGGAGTCGTCTCCCCAAATAGCAAACTGACCGAACTCGGTGATGCACATTTCCACCTCCGACTGGTCGGTGAAGCCAAAGTAGTAGCTCTTGGTGAAGAGCTCTGTGGGGATGTCGCTGTAGACTCGGCTCGGCTTCCCTTGGACTGGTGGGCCAGCGGTGGGGGTGTGGTCGTCGTTGCCACTGTCAGTGTCATTATCTCTCGAAACATCTTTACTGCCCGGTTTTTGTTTCCACATAAGCGATACTGTCGAGGGACGGTCGATTCACGGTTAGAACAGTTTATTGGTCACACTGAAACACCAATTCAGGGTTGATCAATATACTTTGTAGATTAAGATGAAGAGGGGTAGCTAACTTTAAAATAGTATTAGCATATTCGTTAAACGAAAAAGTCAGAAAACCTATGCTAACAATTTGTAAGACTATTTGAAACTTACAATGAATGTTAAATAACAGTGGAAACTGTAGGATCGAATCGACCGCTCGCTGGTAAAGTTATGGTAAAGACTAAACCAAAATCAAATTATGTCGTTTCCAAAAAAGCAAAAATGAAGTAAATATTTTTTCAAGATTCTTTATGAAAATGCTTGATTATGAAGTTACGTTTATTATCTGACAATTATTACCTAAAATTTCTTTTGTTTTGAGCTGAAAACATGACGGATGTTGTTCAAGAGCCCAATTTTGACACAAGTTTGAGAAAATGTGCATAAATTTCAAAAAGTTATTTTAAAAAACAAATTTGAAAATCAGTTCTAGACTCAAAATGATTCTCTTCTTTTTTCAAAACCTTCATTTCACTCGCCAACCACGACCAAAGTCAGTCGCTTCATCGACCAAAACGATTCGCAATGGACGATCCGGACGATAATGCGGGCAACACCAACGCCCCAATGCCGATACCCGATAGGAGCAAACATGGTGATGGGAATAAGACTGAAAACAAGACTCTCGGAAGCAAAAAGGAGGCTGAAAACAAGACCACCGGCAGCAAGAAAGATGCTGAGAATAAGACGACTGGTAGCAAGAAGGAGACCAGTACGACCGGTGATAAGCCGGCCTCGAAAGAATGGGAAGAACCAAGCCTGAAGAAGGATCTCAAAAGCAAATTGGATCCGCCCAAGAAAGTTGTAAGTATTAAGTTGTTCAGATAATTCTGTGCCCCCTCTCAATTCTGTGCTCTCTCAAAGTAAATTTGCGGGCGCAGAATTATTTGACCAACATAATAGTTGTCAGCTGTTTTATGCTAAAATTTAATTTTACCCTAGCTTATTACCTATTTAAACTTAAAATTTCAATTTCAGGAAGAGAAGAAAGGCTCCAAAGAGGAAGTAAAGGGCTCCAAAGAAGACTCGAAGAAGGAAGTTACCGGTCGAAAAGACGTTTCGAAAACTTCAAAACGAAAAAAGAAGATTGATTCGAAAGAGGATCCAGACAAAGAGGCCAAGCACCTCAAGAGACTGAATCATGTACCACCCAAGCCGGAGCAAATCTACGCCGAATTGCCGAAGAAACGGACCTTTTGGGGTTACTGTGAGTTTTTAGGGCAGGGTAGAGTAAAGTATAGTAGGGTAGGGTATGACGCAGTAGAGCAGAGTATAGTATGATAGGGTAAGGCCTATCATACCATACTCCTTATAAGGTAGAAACCTATCAAGTCATTTTTAATTTAAAAAAATTTAAAGTTTATTAAAATTTTTTAGTCGTTCTACCCTTGTACATTTTGAGTATTTGGACATTGTTGGCCGCCATGATGTTCCCTATCATGTTCTTCATACCTATAATTTACAAAGCAAGTCCGGAAAACATTGGCCCAGGCAGCTTTTTGGGTAGTGTGCCAAGTAAATTATTTTTTGTTTTGTAAAGAAAGTTCTTACTATTTTAAAATTTGTAAAGAAAGTTCTTGCAATTTGTTGCTTTGTAAAAAAAGTCTTTGCGATTTTACGCTTTGTAAAGAAAGTTTTTGCGATTTTCGTTACCAAAAACTATTTTTTCAGAACTGATTTTTGAACCGAATGTAGCCCGTCTGGCAACGTCTAAAACTCGGCAAGAAGAAGTGGAGACACGTCGAGCAGACCCATCAAAGATTTACTACGTTGATCGTCGACCAATCACATACGAACCCTACCTCACTCGGCTACGGTTCCTACTTACTGATGGTGAGTTACAGACGCCTTGGCTTGCCTCGCTACTGTTAGTAGATAATGCTGATATTGTTTTAGAATACGGGCCAGAACGCTTTGCTGAATGCCACAAGGACAACTTTCGTATGAAGTCGGGCTGTTTGGTCGACTTGAATTATGACAACTTGGAACTGGGCTATGGTGCTTGTGCCGTGCCTCGGGGCCAAACAGTTCAATCGTTTTCGTTCGGTTTCGAAGATCAACAGCCTTGTATCATGATTAGACAGAATAAGGTGGGTATTTTGATTAGAATTTGATGGTATCGTACGTATTGTGCTTATAATAAAGTTAATGGAGCAAAGATAATGTAGCAAAGGTACTGTAGAAAGTATAGGTACTGTAATAAAAAATAAATTGTATTTTAGGTACAGTAACAAAAAAATTTATTTTGCAGCTTTGGGTACTGTAGCTGAAATTATGCGTATTGTAACAACAAATATTACGTGGGGTACTTTGGCTATCGTACCGTAATCAGCACTTTGTACGATATTTGGTGTTATCTTACCGTAACCCTTCATTACCCTGTTTTACCAGATAATACCCGACCGTATCATGCCCTTCCCTAACGTAATCTACCCTACCTTATCCTACACTACCCCGACCTATCCTACCCTACTCTACCATACTCTATTCTACCCTACCCTACTCTACCATATCCTACCTACTGTAACATAACCTTCTATTTCCAGATGCTGCACTACATGCCGCCGATGGTGGATATTCGCGACGAAGTGACGGACGAGCGAATAATGAACGAAATTCGAATATTGTGCGAACGTGAACATTACAATACGGCACCGGACGGCGACTGCTGCTTTTGGTACCGCTCACAGTTACGATGCGAGGTCCAGAACGGCGATATTCAAATATTCCCGGCTTTTGGCGTACCAGCTTGCCATTTCCCGTACCAGTCGGGCGCGGATGAGGACGACATTAAGAGTTATCAACAACCGATTCAGTTTGTTAGGGTAGGTTTGGGCAAAAGCTTTGTTTACAGTGTAAAAAATGACAAGGACTTTCTTTACAAAACTTAAAATGGCAAGAACTTTCTTTACAAAACTTTAATTGGCAAGAACTTTCTTTACAAAACTTAAAATGGCAAGAACTTTCATTACGTAATGAAAATGATGAGAACTTTCTTTAAAAAAAGAAAAATGTCAATAACTTTGTTTACAAAACTAAATTAAGTTATCTTTTTTGAGTTTCTATAAAAGCTATTATTATTAAGTCTTCAACTGTTCATTACCTGCAGGTATCCTGAAAGAAGGAGATACAGCCGAAATCAAGTGCTACACCGACGAATCGCTGAAGGACGACGAACACCACTATGTCAAGTTCACCGTTCAGATCTTTAACGCCAACGAAAATGCCGCTTCTGAATTCTCCATGCCCGTTCTGGGAACTTTTTCCTTCATTTTGGCTTTAATTTTGGCACAATAAAGGGTTTTAACAACATCGCTCTCATTCGTTCATACAATATTTTATTTTTTGGGTTATCTTAATATACCATTTCTACGTAGAATTTACTCTAGTCTTCATATATAATTACATTTTTTGAGCATCAGTAAAACTTTCTGACTTATAAAGTTATGGCTAAAAAGGTCAAGAGTAGGGTCAGGTATGACCAAAAGGAAATAAAATTAGGGTTTGGGGTAGACTGAAAGGGTGGGGGAACATTTTTTTGCCATTCCGCAATATTTTTTATATAATATTTATTGTTCCGGAAATGTCACTATTCCAGCGTTCCGGAAAGTGTTCCATTCCGAAGGTGACACAACACGAATTGCAGGAAGCGTAGATGCAAAGCTTATTTCTAAAAACCGAATTTCGTGAAACACCCCGAAAAATGCCATTTCAATATAAAGCTTTAAAATTTATGAATAAAATCCATCTCATACTCAAATATCTACCATAAAACCTAAGAAATTCAGCATGAAATAGACCGATTTACAAGGTTTTTGAATTCCAACTTTACCCATCTTAACAAATACCAAAATTTTACCAAAAAAATCGCAAAAATGTCGATTCAAGTCGTTCCTTAAATCAAAAAAAAAATAAGCCAAAAAATTTCAAAAATCAACCAAGTATTAGTCGATAAATCGACTTCCAAGAAAGACCAGAAAACCAAACAAGAAAAAAATCAAAATATTCAAAAACAAATAAACATAATCAAAAGCCGAAAATCAAACAAAAAAGTTTATGACACAACAGAACAGATTTAGGCAGCAGTAACTGGAAGAACAACTTCACCGGCTGGGGGTCCGGCCTTGAATGGAGCTTGAGGGTCAGTGGCGTCGGCGGCGACCTCGGCGTACTGGATAACCATCTTGTCCTCCTTGGGGGCACCGTTCTGAAAATAATAAAATGAGAAATTATAAAACAAAACCTATCTTTAAAAACCAAGTCTCTAAATTCCAAAATTTCAGGAACCCAAACCTTCCAAATCAAAAAACTTACCAAACGAGTGATCTCGAGAGCGGTTCCGGCTCCAGGCTCGATGAATCCGAAGACGGGCTTCAGACGGTACTCGTTGTTGTTCGAGGACTTGACCTTGAAGGCAAGACGAGTGGCTCCCGAGTTGTTGAGCTGGTGAGTAGAGGTTCCACCGGCAGCTGGGACTTGGCAGGCTGGAGGATCGACAGCGAGGGTGGCCATTTCGACTGAAGGGTTCTGCGGTTCTCGAGACGGCGGAAAGACCGAATGATGAAGAATTCGGAATATCAACCCGCTTTTATACAGCTCATTTCCGCCGCACTTTGACACGTTCTGAATATGCAAATTCACGGGAAAACACGGTGAAAACCGAGAGAAATAAAAAAGTCGACCGAAAATGGAATTTTTTTCAGAATTTTCAGTTTTTGTGGCATTTCGTCGAGAATTTATTGGCCGATTTTCAACAAATTTTATCGGTTTTCGGTTGCACAACAACAATTTTTCGTCTTTTTCGGTTGGTTTTTGTTGAACAGGGATAAGTTCTTGTTGTTTTAAGATAGCTCATCTATCTGAGTATGGCCCAAAACTAACCCTATTTTCCTTTTTCTTGCTTTTTTATAAATCGCGTGATGAAAAACACAGTATTGTTGATGGAAACACGATAGAATCATGGGTTTTTGTGGAATATGAATATTATGATAGCAGCTGATGGTTAAACCTAGTATTTCGATTTTTCAACACTATATATTGTTTAAAATAGCATTTAATTTTTAACAATTCATTAACATCCGATATGATTGGGAAAATTATTTATTTTTAAGGAAATTTGAAAAAATAGTGTTTTATATGTTTCCTCGCTTTTTTTAAATGTCTTTCTTTTTAAAACCAGTAGTGGCTTGTATATTAACATCTTAGTGTTAGTGATAACATAATATTTACAATCATCTCAACCTTAATCTTCAGCAATACTGTGAAGGTTCTTTTTGCTCTTGTAGAACATTTTCAAGCTCTCAATCTTGGCAATAACTTCGTCTTTGCTTGGATTTTGGTAAAAGTCAGACCAGTCCACGTAGCTTGGTATCAGACCAACATGAGGTACCTTCTGGCTGTCTAGCTGGATTTCGTTGCTCAGATCTACGTAGGCCAAGGCTAGATAAGGTAGATTAGGGGTATCTGTTTCAGATTTGTATTTCTCTGAGATTTCTGTCAAGGCTTGCTCAATCTCTGATGTTATGTCACTGGAATAAGACAGATGAGTATCAAAGAATGGTAGGGCATGAGTAATATTGCCTTTTTCATTGAAGTCTAACGTCATTTAAAAATATGATTATGCTAGTAAAATGTTATACTCTTTAGTAAAGTAAAAATAAATAGTTTGACTTAAGTATCGTACCTAGAAGTCCTTAATCGGTCGAGTAGCATTGAAGTCAGATGGCTGGTTCCAGTGGTTTCTTCATCGTGTTTCACAGAAGTCACTAGGTGCATAAGAGAGGCATTGGCAAAGATGAGGAATTTAATCGACTTGTTGATCTGGAAAATATAATTTAAGATAGTTGTTACCTTCTTTCAGAAAAAAATAATAATTTTTACCTTAAGGTATCATAAGTTACCTTACCTGTATGCCTCCGACCACTTTGGGCTTGCTTGTCTCGCTCTTTCCAAAGTATCCGCTTAGTGTTTCACTTATTCCATGGTGGGATTCTGTCATTGGAAACAGTGCCAAGTCCACCGGGTCTACACAAACTTGATTAATATGTTGTTTTTGTTAACTTACCTCCAATTTCTTTTCCCAATACCACACTGAAACATAATTATGATTAAAATTGGAAGAATATATTATAAGTTGTTTTGTCTGACTATTGCGTAAATCATGTTCAATATTTAGCGTTATAAAGAGTAGGGAACTCTTCTAATAAACTTAACTTACACCACATTACTGTAATCTACAGTATACAAAAAGTCGTTTACGAAAAGTGTCATAACAGCAGCAGCACCAACGCTTCCATCACATTTTAGGTTTTTACATTGATCATTTACGTCCATAAACACTTGCGTTAGTATCTTCTCAACCTAAATATCAATGTTAATACTTTCTTACAAACCCACAAATATCAATGTTTTCTACAAAACATATTGATCTTTCACTTGTCGCTTTTCGTATCAGTATGGACTTACCGTGTCATCGTTGCTTAAATCCACTTGTCCTTGGCTAATTTTAGTCGTCAATTCCTTCAAGCCGTCGTTCCCAAACACTTGTCTTGCCAGATTACTGTTAACATAGTCAACGATTACACTGTCATCGCCAATTTGCTCCAGTAAAGCAAATATCGTTATAGTTACATCATTTATGTCACAGCTGGAATTTCAGGATTACTATTGTTTAAGCAATTTTACAATACTAAACCTTCCTATCCATAACTTTTCCGTTACAAAATTACAATTACACTAACATTCCCTATCTTTAAAAGCAAGTACCACCCCCTAGTAAAGCTACGCTTAGGTCTTTACATTCCCTATTTATTGTAAAATACCTCTCCTTGATCCACCGTGTCTGGTTTTCATTGTGTAGCGTGACAAAAGATGATGGATACATTTAACGAAAAGCCAAAATTAATATTTAAAACATTCAATAGCGAAAAAAGATGATATTCAAAGGCATCCTGACCTTGTTATGTCAAACTCAAATGTGAAACAACAACTTTATTAAATGCTTTCTTTCAGCTTTTCAACAACTTGATCAACAGTGTACCTTTTCGAAGTAATCACCAACATCTTGTCTCGACTTTTGGCACCCTGCAATTTGTCTAGTGATAAAAATGTCAACAGTTTTAAACTACACATTATTTTAATATCATATCGATAGTATATTCAATGTATTTCATCTTACAATAATTAAAAATTTCGATTTTTAGTTATATATATTGTGCCATTATTATTTCCCGAAACTACACGTACTTTACCTTTTGAAATGAGATCTCGTTCTTTCTTAACCCCAGGAACTCCATCATTCCTCGCAGTAGCTCTTCATTGGCTTGTCCATCTCTTGGTGGTGCAGCTAGGGCCACTCCAATGGCTTCGGGGCTTAAATCTAACAGGATTAGTCATCAACGTAGTCTGTACCAATTTAAATGTTATAATCTTAAAAGTTTTTAATATTTAGAATCATATTAAGTCACAGTAGTAGACGATAGTATCCCAAAAACAGACCTAAATAAGCTAGTAAATAACCTTATAATCATTCATACGTAGGTAACCCTTTACTATATGGTTACCTTTCTTATAATGAATATCGAGAAACATACCAGTAATAAGAGTTTGTTTGGCGCCAGGCTTAGCATGCACCCTCAACAATATTTCCCCGTCTTTGGTCAATGAAACGGCTTCATCTTGTTGTACAACAACTTCTTTCTTCTCTTCCTTTCCATTCGGCTTTTTACCCGTTTTGGAAGACATCAATCTGACTAAACTGATTCTTGACAAAATTTTGTCTTACGTACCTTACAGTAACTGACTATACCTAAAGTATAGTTTAAATTGCTAATAAATGTTACAAAATTTATTAGTATTCAAATTATTACCCAAAAATTGTAAAAAATAGGCAATACCAATATCTGAATAACCGGGCTTTACTCCAGTTCTTAACAACCGGGTTAAAAAAATATTAACTTATATAAAGCCAATCGATGAGAACTAAATATACCGTGAAACAAGAAAAATCAAAGTATAAGGTAACTGCCACCACTTCTAATCAAAAAATCATCCACAACATCCAACAAATAACAATTTTTATTTTTTCCTAACAAGTTTGCAAACGAACATCGGTCCAAAATTAGATCGAACATTTGGAACGACCAGTAGACCTCTAGTTGCTTTGTCTGAGAATCTGAAAAGCGTTGTGTTCATCAACTGATTTCGCATCTTGTTCAGAGACTGTTCCACTACTTCTATGCCGTAGTGTTCCGATGCTAAGATCGCAGCGTTCTCCACAACACTTTCGTTTTGAGCTGGAGACATGGTGCAGGTTGAGTAGACCACTGAACCGCCTACACGCAAGGAGCGGATTGCGTTTCTTAAAAGTGAATCTTTAAAAAAATCTCCGAAAATAAAATGTCCAGACTAATTTTTCTCTACCCCTCTCCCTCCATTTATATGCAAAAAGTAATAACAACCCACATGAGAAGCCTAGTTTGAAGTTGTGGAAGGTTCAGACGTTCTTGAGTGTTTCCAGGACTGAATAGGTTCCCTTCGTCGTCAGTAGCTGCCAACCTGTCCGTACTACATGGTGCGTCAACCAGAACCTTATCGTAGAGATTCTCTTCGTCCCACGAATCCAGTAAACTTGCATCCTTTCGCTTCAGAATAATCTTCTCGTTCACTGCAGCATTCACTGGTATATACATGGCCAAACCACGACGTAGTTGGCCAAATCTACTGAGCTTTGCGTCGTTACATGTTAGGGAAGCTAAAAAAGATTGCATTTGTATATAAATAAGAGTAATTCATTCGCTTTGCCTTAAAATCATGACTTTTTGCCTTAAAAATAAGACATACGAAACCAAACAACCGTACCAAACTTTCCAGATTGAATAACCATCAAACTTTTTCCGCCAGGCGATGCACACATGTCCAAAACGTTGTCATCGTCTTTTAAATCCAACGCTAGTACTGGTAAGACAGAACCTCCGTCTAATAACCACCAACCTTAAAAATCAGTGTAATATAAAGTTTCAATCAATATATAGTATGAGTTATACAATAAAAGTAAAAAAGTTTTCGAACTTCATACTTCGGTTCGGAGTAAGGCAAACTTACTTGAAATACCGTTCTTATCCTTCATTGGAGCTGGATAGTTATCGAACACGTCTCTCGCATAAGACAGTATCCTTAGATCACTCGGGTACTCTATGACACCTTCTTCTGTCTTAAGGTGAGAATTCAGAAATTCTAGACCTGTTATTCTAAATAATATCACACCAATAGATGTAAACGACGTTTAAAAAACAAAAAGTAATTTTAACAATTATCAAAATATCGATTCTTTACCACCATAATAATATTAGCTGTAAAAATCATTTGCCTAACGCAAAAGACACCTCATTTGAAAATAAAATTAAGTCCATTTAAAAAAATCATAAACCTGTAAACTTACTGTATTTGATTGCTGTTTGGTTCCCCAACATCTTGTTTAACTTGTCCTGACTCATAATCTTCTCCAGAAGGTGTAAACTCATCTAAACCTCCGTTCACTCGGTCCACAAACTTGTCTTCCTCCTCTAACCCTTCTATAACATTCCCAGTCTCTTCTTGTCCAACTTGTTCACCAGTCTTTGCCACCTTCTCCTTGACTTTCTCAAATCCTTTGCCTCTTTTCAAAGATCCGATCACATCAACTGTCCCCAGATCTCTTATTACCTCCAAATTCTGCTCATAATCCTCGCTGAGCCTGTTTAACACAGCTACATACTTATGTTGAGTCAGTAGACCAAGTCGAACTGATGGCCATCGTTTTCCGAACAACGGACTGTAGTAAAAGTCGAAGTTGTCCAAAGCCAACATCGACGGGCTTTTCATCTTATTTTTTGGTGCTATTCTAGGCTTAAATTTAGCCGCTTTTCCTCGCACCGGCTGTATAATGGAACATGTTGGGTGTCTTTGGATTAAAAGCTTGGAAAACATCTAAAGTTTATAAGTTTACTCGTATCTTTTGCTTTTTCTGTCTAAAAACATAACAAAAACAAATGATTTACCTTACATTAACAACAAAAACTTTAACAATATAGATAGCAAACAATTGAGCAAACTAATATTTAGAAACCTAAAGCATGATCAATCAAGTCTGAAATCCGATGGAATTTACCTGTAAAATAAAATAAATAAAAATAGGAACACATGACACAAAAAGTCAAGTGTTGCACTTTTGATAAAGGACGTCTAGAAATTATGTCATTCAGAAGTACGTTGTTGCGGATAGTTCATTCTTATTTAATGCTTCTATTTTAATATTTTTATTGTTTATATTAAAATGTCATGTCCTCATTAATATATTATTATTTATTGTATAAATACTTGAAATGTGAAATTAATAAGTAAAGTTATTTGGTGCAACAAAAGATGAAGACATTCCATTGTAATTTGAAGATGTTGGAACGAAGGGTTGAGAAGACAGGTTCGAATTGTAAAGGAAGTTTTGAGATAGACAACTGTGAACATAATTCATATTTTGCAGGTTATATTGGTTTGGACCACAATAAACAGCATTGTTAATTGGCATTGCAACATCTGGGGTCTGATTGTACAAAACGTTTCTAGTTGGGGCCCAGTTAGTCGCGTTAGTACTAGTGGGAACATAGAAAAGAGTACAATTTTGTGGTTGACAATCGATAGTATTCATATTAGTAGTAGTAATCATGTTACAGTTGTTGATACCATAAGATCCGTTGTTGTAGTAATTGTAGTTCGATGTATTTGCAGTGTTTGTTAAAACGTTCATTCCGAAGTTTGGATTCTGGAACTGGGTATTCATAGGAGTCTGGTACCATTGTTGGGCCACTTCTGGAGAGCAGCGATTGCTGTAGTCGACTGAGTTGTCGGAATGATAACATGAATCAAAAGAGTGTCTGTCATCTTTCGTGGTTCGTTTCGGAGCTGGTTCTACTTTGTCCTAAAAACATTAAACGAAACTTCTATCGTTAATACGTTATCTGATTTTTTAAATTTTCCAACAGTCTGTTACTAGACATTATTTATCACAATGGACTGAAGCAAATTACATATAAGTAATAACTTTAAAATACTGTAAGTTTCTTTCTAAACCACAGTAAATGTCTTACCTTTGCAGCTATTCTCTTTCTAGTTTTGACAGCTTTTTCTTCCGGAGCGTTCGTCTTTTTGCAAATTTCGTCGAATTTAGCCTTGAATCCTGGTGTTTTTACATCGATGTCCGCAGCCATCGTGTAGCTGCTTCGGCGAAGGTAGTCTGTGTGATTTGGATCAGATCCGTACTCCAGCAGTACCGCGGCCACGTCCAGAAATTTGTTCTCTACTGCTGTCTGTAGCGCAATTTGATGCTAAAATTAAAAATTGTATTTAAATTCTCACAAGGCTGCGTAAAAACCATGAGCTAGTTCCAATATAATATATTTAAAAGCTAGCTTTTAAGATCGAAATTTTGTACAAGCACTGTTATACGAAATCATCATAGATAACGTTCAAATCCTTACCATATAATCGCATCTCGCTGGCAACAACACGTTTTTCTTCAGAATTTTGATGCTTTTCGCCGTGTCCAGAATCCTCTTCACACAATCGACATGTCCTCCAGCAGCAGCCCAGTGAAGAGCAGTCCAACCAGCTCTCTCCATTTCTCTATTGACAATTCCACCAACATTAAACCCGTTCTTGTGAGCCAATCTCATCAAGCTCTCCACCAGATCTGACATGCCCCAGCAGGCAGCCAAAGTCATAGCACTTTGGGGGTAAGGGGCTGGTGTGGCAATGTGGAACAAGGCTAATGCATCCACTCGGGTAAGGATATGATTGGCCAAGGTTGTGTTCTTGACCACAATACATTCATGAAGAACGGTGAAGCCTTTTTTAGCCTGATGTGCCGTGACTTTAGCTCCTTGTGGCAATAGACAGTTTATGGCAATTTTATTGCGATGGCATGCTGCGGCCAAGTCAAGCGGAGTTTTACCTAAAATTGCTTAAGGTTTAAAAGGGAATTTAAAATATTTTGAAGTTAAAATTATTAACAAGTTTTGTTACGTGGCAACTAAATTTCCCCAAAAATGATTAACACTTACCCATTTTGTTGACATGGTTAACGTCAATGCCAAGTTGAATCAAATAGTTGATGGCCTTAATGCAAGATTCTTCTGAATAGTTTGAGAAGTGGCATAACTCGTGAATAGCATTATCATTGTGAACAGTAGAGTAGCCTTTTAAAAACTCGTTGGCACTTGGGTCCAGCGTGAAGTTGTTGCACAACTGATGTACATATGACTCAAATACTCGTTCTTCATTTGTTGCGATTTTTACCGTTTCACTTTTTAATGCAACCTGAAAAATGTCAAATCAAAAACGTAATCAATTAGATTTCAATTTTAAAAAAGCAATTAATATGTGCCAAATAAAAAAGTTGATTTTAATAACTTAAAAATTAGGTAAAAAATAATAAAACCTCAATACTAACCTGGATATTCTCGATGTTGTTCTTTCTCTTGATAGTGCCATATTTAAATATTGCGCCTTGACTTGAAGCATACAGTAATCCACCAAACAACGCAGTCAAAACAGCTCCACAAAGTAAGGCAAGTATGCCATAGCTAACATAACCTGCTTTAGGCTTCTGTACTGCTCTCAACTCTTGGGGCTCGAAGTGACTTGGGAAGACAGGATCAATCATCATGGCAATCACATCGTCCAGGGTCAAACTGTAGTCGTTTTCTTTCACTGTAGCTACCAACAAGGCTTTCCATTCGGTCGCAACGTCATCTAAAGTCAATTACTATATAATTTGACACCAAATCACAATAATTTTAGTACTAGTTGAAGTTTATTCAAAGATTATGTAAATATGTAGCTCAATATCAAAAATTACAAAACGTAAATCTTACCCTTTGTAGCATTGGTGTGGTGAATAACATCATAAAAAGAGGTAGTTCCATCAGGCAAAGTAACAACTTCTAACTTTACATCTCTGTACCTTTCAATCTCCTGAGACAAGTCCTTCAGCTGTTGCTTTAACTCTTTCAAGGTTGTCACTTTGTTGACTCCAACATAGCCAAGACTTTTGTATCCCTTTGGCACATTGCCAATCACATCATTAATGTCCTCGATACTTGGAGTTCCCCAATTTTGTTCCGCCTTCTCATCCAGAATCTCACACCTTCTCCCGTAAGTTCCATTCGGGCATTCACAAGTGATCCCATTCAAGGTATCGTGGCATATTCCATTGTTCTTGCATGGAACAGCACGTTGATTGCATGATGGAGTTAGTTTTATTTCGCAGAATTGACCAGTAAATCCGTATTGACAACGGCAAGTAAATGTCCTAAAAGTGATAATATTAATACTGTGGTCATATCAAAACACGATAAAATTTTGTATAGTAATTCAAATTGAAAATAGTTTCAGTGTTGTAACATACGAAGTCCATAGGTACACTATGAACAGCAAACTTCAAAAACTTTCAAAATTAGATAAAAACTCACTGGAAGTCTCTCGATGGTTCACAGATACCCAATCCACATAGTTCCTTGTGGCGGCAGGGGTTGTACGCTTCGTTGTAAAAGCTCCGTGTACTCGCAACGCTAAACAAGGCGGTTACAATGCAAAATGTTAGTAGTTTCATCTGAAATTGTATTAAGGTTAAATTTGTTGACTCTTATGAATATATTAATCTACACGCTACCGATAACCCTATTTCACTGTTTAATATATCTAAAACCAAGAAAAGTCGATTCTTAGAGGTGGAACTTCTAAAGATATTAGAAACAAAGAATTGGTTGCTGAAGAAGGAGAAGAAGGATAAAAATCAAATAATTTTAAAATTCACAAGAAACCAGTGTCAACCTCAACCCAGCCTTACACGTCTTTATATGATCCTAACTCCGAAATCCCCCTCTATTTATAGTATGTTGGAGCGTATCTGCACTAATTTCATAGCGCTTGCGTAACAATCGTATCGTTTAAGGAAAGGCCATCACTACGTAATACTAAAAGGTCAAGCAATAAGCAAATTAATAGAGATCTTTTGAAAATCGCAGAGAAAAACAGGTAAGGATATCTTATCATACATGCAAAAAATGATCAAGCATAATCTAGTTAAAAAGCGCACAAATAACCAGTAAATAAGTTCTTACCTAAAAATCTTGACCGTCCTTCATTCACGAGTTACTTCCTTTGACAAGAGCAAATTATGTCGCAAAATGTAGTTGAGTACCAATATATTGGCCAATACGTTATCCGTTTCTTGTCTTCGTTTATTTCAGTGGTATATCCATCTGTATTACAAGATAAAAGCGCTGTTTTTAGTCTTATTTTGCAGATGAATGTCACAATAAGAATATTTTCATTAGTCAGGTCAACACTACTTTAAACCTTAAAAAATCAATTTTAAACTAAAATCTCTCCTTGAGAAGGTGTTTTAATTATATAAAATAATAACCTTGACAGAGCAAATTTATAAATTTAGTTTCTGCTTTCGGCCTGCGCCCAACGCTGTTATACGACGAAACATGCCCTCTCGTCGTATATCAAAACCACTATTTGCTAACAAAATAAAATTTTACTGTTCTTTTACAATTTTTGCAAAGCTTTACAAGTTTACCAATTATTATGCTAAAAGTCAGGCACATTGTACTTTCGAACATAGTGGTCTTTTCCAGCCGTATATAAGTAATCACCACCATCAGCTATCTTAAAGTCATACACAGATTGAAGATCTGCCCCAGTTGCCATACACACCACTGCTAATTTGTCCCAGTCATTTCGGTAGAAGACAACTGATCCGTTGGCTGAAAAAGTAATTTTATATATACTACTGTCAGATCTTCGTCTGGATATTATACTGTACAAAGAATAGATACCTATTGGTTTGTTTTTTTTATATAATTCTGTGCCCCGTCACCCACAAACTTTCTTTGAGAGGAAACACAGAATTACTTAAACAACCTACTATAAATTGTAATATTAAAACCGTAACATACCAAATGAAACAACTAGTCCTTCTCCGATCATGACCATCCTGTGAACTTGGCCTCGATTTGTGCGGTAAATTGATCGTACTTTCCTAAAATGAAAATTTTATTAAGCAAGTTAAAAAATTTACAGTTAAAAGCAATTTATTTCTAGTACTTACTTCGTATCTAACTCAAACTGTACTATCAAACCATCGTACAAGCCAGCGAAAATCAATTCATTATCCGAAACGGCAGCTGATATAGCATGTTCGTAGTCGATTGACATCTAAATTGACATTTTAATTCCTTCATATTACAAATCCATTGACCTTTTTCATTATTTGTCATAGTTATGCTCAAACATTATTTCTTTTTCATAATTAAAATACCTTTTCTTCCAAATCGGTAGAAAGGAGCTTCAAATGTCCTTTATTTGAAGCCACTAACAAGGTTTTGTCCTTTTCATGCCACGAAATGCTTGTCAATTCACAGTCAGGGATACTGTAACTTTTAAGACTTTTACCACTTGAACACAGCCATTTGTGAACAAACCCATCAGCTCCAATAGATACGACTTCAGCACCTTTTTCAATAAAATCTAATCCTGTTACACCTAAAACAATATTGTTTAATCAATTATCATACTATAATAAAAGGGCGCTAGGACAAATGCGGTTTTTGGACATTTGCGGATCTGCGGTTTTTAGACACTTGCGGATCTTCGGTTTTTGGACACTTGCGGATTTTGGACATTTGCGGATTTTTTAAAGGGGTTTTTTTAATTTTTTATTTAATTTAGTTGTAGTATGGTACTAAATGGTACTAAAGTTTAAATTGGCACTGTCTTAATATTTCTTAATGTTAAATAGTACTAAATTTTTAATCGGTACTGTTTTTATATTTTTTGGTACTAAATAGTACTAAAAGCCCAAAAAGGTACTGTTATGTTAAAACCGTACCAATTCGAACTTTAGTACAATTTAGTACCATAATACAACTAAATTAACTAAAAAATAAAAAAAACCTTTAAAAAATCCGCAAGTGTCCAAAAACCGAACATCCGCAAGTGTCTAAAAACCGCAGGTCCGCAAATGTCCAAAAATCGCATTTGTCCTAGCGCCAATAAAAGTATTGTCGATAAATCAAAAAATTCATAAAAACACAATCTTAAAAATACAAAACAATGCCAATAATAATCAACGTACGTCTAGTATGCCCAGTCATCGTACGAACACAATCTCCAGTTTTGACATCCCAAATCCTGAGAGTCATGTCCATACCACCACTTAACACCACCATTCCTGATGGAAAGAACCTGGCCACTTCCACGTCCAAAGCATGTCCCTTCAGCTCTCTCAAAGTTGAGTTGTCATCCGTGTTCCAAACGTTGACATTGCCATCAGAAGACGGAGAAATACCCAAATTTCCAGATTCTGATATGTCCACAAACTGTTGAGGTACTTTTTGCTCAAATTCTAAACAAATTCCTTTTAGATGCACACGTATGTCTTAAAAAACATTATTCACACAAAAAATCAAAAATTTAACTGTCAAACATACCAAATCTAGGGGCCAAAACAACGAAATCCCCTTCCCATTGAGGTATTTTCACATTCAGAAGATCGTTCCGAATCTTCTGAACTTCAATTTCTTCTCCGGAATATTCTTCTTGAAGTTTGGCTACATCTAATTCTATATTCTTCTTCTTTTCGCCTTCAATCAACTCGAAAAACACCTTTGAATCAGGTGCATTCTCTCTAAAACATAATTTAAACTGTAAAATCATTAAAAATACTTTTTATCTTGTATTTTATGCTAGAATATACGTTCTTCCAAACCTTACTGTTTTAGAACTCTTATTTTGTGTGCAAACTTAAAGATGTCGTATTTTACACTTCAACGAAAAGACTTTATTACTATCAAATCAACCTAAAAATAAAAGATGAAATTAAAATAACTTACTTTAAAGCTTTTTGCCAATCTGATTGCACGTAGCACTCGGTTTCAATGTATTCGGCAGGCATCTTGAAGTAGGTGAGATCTATTTTTCAGAAACAAAATGTTATTTACTTGTTTTTTAGTGACATTTCGTTAAAAATCAAAACGAAATGCCACTGAACTTACCAAAAAACTTTTTTTTATGGGTAACTCATGTGAGGCAATTAAACTAGTTAAATCACAGACATTAAAGGGAAATTTTTAGCACAAAACAGTTTAAAAGACGTGTTTATTATATTAAGTTAGGTTTTTTGGCAAAATCTGTTTGGAGTGCGTTAGGTACTATTGGTCGACGAACAAGAAAAAGTTCAAGAAATTCAAGTAATAATGAAATACTTTATTGAAACCCGTTCTTAAAGAAGCCATGCAAGTAATGTGAATATAAAAGAATATATACATTTCAGATATTTTTGGTTTTTTGTATCTTATCTCAAGTTGTTACATAGCTATGTTAACATTAACCACAGCTAACTTGTGCTGTCGCTGTTAAGTTAAACCACGTTGAACCATTGTCTTCGTAAGCCGTCTATGGTGAATTTGAACTAGCTGATTGACTGGAACTGCATCTGCCATTAACTCTTGAGCTCAAGAAGGTGGCGTGGCCGTTCCTTGGAGGATAGAATCTGTCCACGAAGTCGGCGGCCATTCTCATTACTTCCATTTGAAGCGGTTCTGGAATCAGAAAGTCCTTTTTTTCCTCGACCTTCTTCCTCAACGTCAAAAACGAATGTTTTTTGCCATAATCGCGGTCGATTTGAGCACAATACTCTTCGATTCGGCCTTTGATGCCAAGATCTGTGAAGCGACGCTCCAAAAGTGCCAAAATGATGCATCTCATGTCACTGTAAAGCAGACATTTGTCTACGGTGTCTTCTGGGTCGTATTGTTCGCCGGATTCTTTGTAGGAATCTAGGATTCTCTCAAGATTGTTCGGCATCTAGAACTCAAAACATATACTATAGGTAAAACAAAGTTGAATCCATTAATTCTTCCGTTTTTTAACGAAATTCCAAATTAAATCCAATGTACATAAAAAAGGCGCCATTCTTTTCGAATATACACAAATTTAAATAATATTAAATAAATTTTAAGTATTCAATCGAAGTCAACATTGTTCATCATATCACCATCATTAGCACAATATTTATTACAGTAAACTTTAATATGTACACATTAAATGTCGGATACGTTAAGTGCGTCTACCCGCTGAGGCAATAAGGCAAAAAATAATGGACATTCTGTACATACCATTCGTATGAAACTACGGGATTGGGCGTATATAGGTAATATAACATAATACTGAATATAATAATGTCATTAAATAAAATAAAAAATAAGAAATGAGAAGTCATAATAACAGAAGACAATATAAAGATTTAAGTTATAACCATATATAAAAAAGCTATATTGCATCGAAGAATATATTATGATACGAAGACTATATTATAGTCGGGTCGTAGAAAATCTAAAGAGGTGCTATGACAAATTAGATGGCACAGCGATGGTGCAAGAAATGTGAAGATGTAAAGTATAGTCACAACAAATTGTGACTCTTATAGACATTTATACATTATATTACAGTAAGATATACATAGCACAACAGCAAAACTATGGCAATATAGCTCTAAGGAAAAAAAGTCGATTGACCTACTACCAAAAACAAAAACATGTCACTAAAGTACTGTACGATCAGTCTTTAAAACAAAATATAGTCTTGAGACAGACTATAAAATAATCCGCAGTATATTATAACAACATTATACTACACTGCAACATTATAGCAAACGCCCAGATTACTCCACATTCTTGACCATTTTGTGATTACTGGGGTAAATGAACTTGATGATAATGTTCATCATGTCACCTGCTTGCAATAAAGTAAATGCGTTCGTCTGGTGAAAGTACGGGTATAGTTGTTGAAACAGTGCTTCGATGTTGTTTATCTCTGTGAATTGCTTCGTCGCTTCTTTCCTAACATCTTTGAACGCCGTCTGTCGAGAATTCAAGACCGGTTGAGTAGACTGAAGCCGAGGAGACTGTCCTGGAGCTGACAGTTGTTGAGTTAGATATAGGTTCAGCAACTGGCAGATGAGTTGGATTCTGAAAATATTGAATTTTCTAGGATTTTTGAATGATAAACATCAATAACTTAATCAGATCTAAATCATTTTTTCTAAAAAGTAGTATCTTCCTCACCTAGGTGGAAAAGCAGACTTTTTCCCAAAAATGGCCATGACATTAAACAATGACACTCCCTTCTCTTCCGTATACGTCTTTTTCAAAAACTCCATCAACATGTCCATGTCATTGTTCGCTTTGTTCATACTCAATCCATTAGAATATTGTCGTATCACCAGCTTCAGCCATTTGTCAATACATAGCGTAAACCCGACTTCGTAGTTGACATACTTTGGCTTTAGGTTGTTAAAGTAGTCAGCTAACCGCTTCACTAGTCGTTGATTATCTGGCAATGAAGCTTTCGCAGATTCTTGAAGAATATTCAGGTGAATGACAAGGAAACGGGGCTCGTTGCCTGATTCATGACTGGGTGTGGTGTATAACCATTCTTTCAACGAGTTGGAAAGGGTTATTAAGCTGCTTACTTCATCCCAGCTGCATGATAGACGTCCTAGAAAATAGATAGATTAAAAATCATAAAAAATACTATTTAAAAATTTCATAAAACGTCAATTACAATATCTTTTGAGTGATACAAAACAACACCAACAACAATAAACCTATTTTTTCAGTTATATAAAACACGAAATCAATAATCTTACTTTTGAAATAAATCTTAACACTGTAATCCAACAGCCTCAAGCACAATTGTGGTGATGACTTTTCCAAAGCACTTGTAGTAGAAGTCAGAATCAACAGTAATAGGGTAGCATCTGGGTGATCTTCTAGCCACTGTATCAATGTTTGATAGTAAGCCTCCAAAACTTTTGGTTTTGTGACTTGAGGCCAGAATGAGATCAGTTCTCTGGCTACGTCAGCTTGTTGTTTGTAGTCCTCTGAAGCGCCAATTAGAAGGCAGACCTTGTCAAGCAGCTGTTTGTAGTAGCGGCATTGATCAGCTTCCGACAGTTTTGATCGTAGTAAAAGTTGAAGATCAGCCTTGACGTATAAACTCTGTTTTTTCGATATTATGTCAAGTTTCGAAGAGGTTGGGTCAATAGTTTGGCGGATTTGAGCGGTTGAGAAGAAGCAGACTTCTTTCCAGATACTAAAACATTATAAATAGGCATAGATTAAAGCCTTTAGTATAAAGATCAACATACAAAAAACACAATATCATTATATAATGTTAAATTATCAAACTGAAAAGCTTCTTATAAATTAGGTAATAAATTACTCGAAATTAAACAACCATATTATGTAAAACCACTCACTTGTTAAAAGCATTGATAATATCATTGCTGCTGCTTAACGAATCAATTGGAAACGATGTAGCAATGAAGTTAGATGTCTTTTCGACCGATTCCACCTTTACCAATGACCAATGTCCCAACGACAAAAAGTCACGTAGTAATTTTTCGACTGAAGCTCGTGATTTCTAAAATATATATAATATTTTTTAAAACCAAGTTATTGCCTGACCTTTCCATCTCACTATTGTAAACAATTACAGTAATCATTTAATTTTTGCGCAACATACGGTAAATAACTTAATTGCCTTAAACGAATTACTACATTCTTGCTAAAGCCCTTACCGCATAATTTTGCTGTCGATAAGCGCATCTAGCCAATATATTCAACAACAAGGAATGGAATGCACGGTGAGCTTCCAATGGCTGATTCATTTGTCCTTGAATCAGCTGAATCCATTGAATCCGCACCATAATATCCGTGATCAAGGTGATGGCTTCTGGAGATCCGTCTGTACAAACCTTTTCGATGGTCGACAAATCCATTAAAGTCGGCCAAAACCTGGCCCAGTTTAGACTGACAAATCGTTTTTCCTGAAAAATATTTATTATAAATACAAATTCTTTTTAAAAAATAACTTTTAAAATGATTCTTCAATAGCTATATAATACGTAAACCAATAATAATTACTAAATAAAATAAACTTGAATATCTACTGACATAAACCGCAAAGACATGAGCCGTTCCAGCCCTCTGAAGCTGACTCAATTTGTTTGAAAAGAATTGCCAAACCAAACTTTCCACGGTTTCCGACCCTGGTGGTAGATACGTCGAGTAGGGTAACCAAATCAGTAGATTGATAAACGGTTGCACTACTGACAAATCAGCAATCTGGGAGTCAGACGGATTGAAAGGTGGTAGTCCACTTGGTGCTACTGGTTCCAAAAGCGGTGTGTAGACCTTGAGAATCATCATGAACACGTCACGTAGCTCCTTCTCCATGACCGATGGTGGAGCGTCGTATCTAAACTGTTGACATACGATGTTTTTAGTAAAATACTCTGTAAACTGAGTTATCATAGCCAGATGATTGCTCCATATTGAGTATAGTTTAGTTGTCAGCTCTTGTCGACTTTTTATCAATTGATCCGATATGATCTTGATACATTCCACAGCCAATTCATATGTGCACACAGATTTTTGATCTACTACAACATTATCTTTGGTTCTGTTGAGATACGATTGAATGTTGAGCTTGTCAGACAAAGTGTATAACATAGATTCTGGTACAGCTTGAGAGTCGACTCCACTTAACAACAACTTCAGCCCTTTGGATACATTAACTGGGAACTGATGAAACATGGTGCACTTGAAGTGTTCGATACAAAGTGAGTGTAGAGGAGTTGATGCCGTCACGGATATCAAATTTTCAAAAATAACTGGCATTAAGGCACTGAATTGGTCTGGTGGCAATAACCTTCCGGCTTTTTCGAAATCCAATCTCTGAAGCAATGACAAGCCAGACTCTGCTGTAGATGGAGCTCTGACTGCAGTCGATAATTCATTGTAGATTCGAATGAGTTCGGTGGCACTGACACAGTGAGGAGAAAAGTGAGGAATGATGTAGACGTTAAGTGGGTTGGCTGAGAGAACAGTACGTAGAATGTTGAGTTGTTCATGAGGATTTTCGAATAAGAATGCCTGAAAAATTTATTTTTTACAATACCGCCCTTCAAAGCAAAAAAAAAATTATTAATTAATTTTAGATGAATTAAATCTTACAGAATAACTTTTGTTAAAATTCAAACTTAAATCAGACAAATTTAAGTCTTACCTGTCCCAAGATTTGACAACAATTCTCGAAAGCTGACATCAGAGCTGGAAACAATATCTGTTCAGCCGTGACGTTGTTACACAATCTGTAGAACAAGTTTATGCCAGTTCGTTTCAAGAGGTCTGTTCCTTTCGAAGCAAATCCAATTCCATTGCCATACATATTAGGTACCGCACTTTCCTTCGCATACGTTAACAAAACAAAGCACAGGTGCTCGAGTTGAGCTGAATTGACAGCCATGGAGTCTAGTTTCCCCAACAAATCTCCAATTTTATTTTCCCGATCCTGGCGATTCTCGTTCATACTGACAGCAATTGTGTTGTCATAAACACTTTCAGTTACTGGTACACTTCGCTGGGCTGGTTTTTGACATTTTGATGACAAGATGCTTCCACATCGAAGAGTTACTGCTAGGCTAGTTCGACGTTTGTAGTAGAGTTTTTGGAAATGAACTGCATAATCTGTGTTCAACTTCTCTACCGTCTCTTTACAAGCCAAGAAGTCACTGAAAATTAACTTTTAGTAACTTTCAAACACATTTTAGGTTTTTAAAATCAATGTTTTGCTCTTACCGTGCCATACTAGTCAACTGATCCAAGTAATTTTGAAATCTAGCCAAGATAACAGGTGAGTTTTCACAAGTTTGTCTATTTGGGTTATCTGCTGATGTTAAGCTAGGATGTGATAATACTTTTGGGAATGGGAGACACATTCTGGCAGCTGAAGTTAAGTCGATTTGAGCAAAGAATTGAGTCATATCGGTTGGTAGACTATATCCTTGTTCCAAGTTAGTTTTTGAATTTGACTGTTTTAGGTAACACAAATGATTGTAGAACTAAAAACAATACTTTTAATTTGATAAATGACATTCAATAACATTAAGTTTCATCTTTTGTTTTAATTATTTAATTTAAATATATTTTTAATAGTATAGAGCTTATGTTAACTTACTTTTCCTTCTGATTCGATGACTTTGCTCATTTCGGATTGCCTAATGAATTCGGCCCAAATGTGCTAAAATATTTCATTTTTCAAAACCTAAGCACAAAACAAAATACAACAAGGAAAAAATATTCAAAAATCTTATTTAGATTACAACGTTCCACGATATTAACTTACATTGTCATTCGAAGTGATCATTTGAACCAGATAATCCATTGGCAAATCATTAAAGTTCTCGAAGCTGGGATTGTAGACTTCTTTGTTGAAAATCCATTGACTGACAGCTTTGATAAACGCTGCCAACCGGTCGTTAACAGCATCTTTCTCCGCCTGAGGTAAGGAAGTCTCTCTCAACTGGTTGAACAAGTGTTTCGATGTTGTTGAAGACAGAAGACGAGCTCCTGGACAAAACTTTTTCCTAAAAATATTCGTTTTAGCTTTTGCAACAAAATTACTATTATTTGCACAATCTTATAAACTATTCTAAATTTTTTTTTTGCTTTTAAAATTATTTTTCAAAATTATAACATACCTTTCATACATTTCCCGTCGAAACAAGCAAATACACAATTGTTGTAAAGCCAGAGGGTACACAGCGCTTTGAATAGCCTCAGGTGTATTACAAAACTCCAACCATCTATAGTAAGATAGCCGATCCACGCCAAGCATTATATTCGACTTGGATTGAGCTCTCTAAAACATTAATATTCAACTAAAATATTACAAACTTTTAAATTCTATAAATCTCTTTCTTATTATATTATTCACGAAAAAGTTAAACATAAAACTACAAAGCAAAAAGTCTACAATCATATGATAAATGAGTTACATACCTTAACACTCTCCTCGATGGATCGTGTTGGATGTTTCCCCATATTCTGATATAATACTGTGTAAAACTGTGAGTAAATGATAGGCTCCGCTCGTAGAAGAAAGTAAGTCAACCAAGGAGATACATTCATCTGAGCAGTCGATATTAAGGGTGGAGGCACTTGAGTTGAGAACCATCCCAACATACCTTTTGGGGCGTCTTTCCAGTAGTTGTACAGTGACTGAAAATTATCATTTAAGCAACAACAAACAATGTTTTCTATATTTTCAAACTTAAATATTTAAAAAAACGAATTTTCCTCTAATAAAATAGTTTTTTAGTTAAAATTCTACAACATTCATACCTTATAAAGCCCAACAAATCGATCGACAAGTCCTTGAGATTGTAAAGATGTGTTAGAGAAATACATTCTAGCCATAATGCCCAATAAGTACAGTAAACTCTTGTCTTCGTTCCATTCGATCGACTTCTTCGAAGCCATCAATATGAACCACCCATCAGATTTCGTAGTCATTTCTTGAGGATCGGTTATTTCGTTCAAATGGCTCTACAAAACATCAAATATAATTCTGAGAAGCTGTTGTAATTGTTACTATTATATATATAACCAAAAAAATTTTAATGAGAAACCAGAAACCTACAATCGAAGAAGAATGAATTCAAATTTCCCGTGAAAAAATATCAAAAATAAATTTAAAGCCTTCTTCAATTTAATTAACTTACCGCAATCGCAGATCCCAATAACCGTAGTACTGGCCCCGGAAATTTGTCAGCCCCCATTAGAAACTGAACGGCAAAATTCGATTCATCTGCTCGTAGAAGGCGTTCGAATCCGTCCCGAAAGCTACAATAACATAACGTAAAAAAGGTAAACAACAACAAAATGTAGTCTTATGTCAAACGAAAATTCAATTCAATTCATATCAATAAAAACTATCAATTACAAGTATTACAACCACTGTAAAAATAAATGCAAAGTGATTTTATAATCGTAATTTAGAATTTTTAGTTCTTTACACCTTATCATAAGCCTACCTATTATTCGCAGTGAAATAAGACATTCTTCCGTAGCTACTGCGTACTAACTTTGCCAACACTACAACAGCTGCATTAAACGATCCGGAGTTGATTAGTTCCAACCAGTAGTTTAGGCCGCTTTCCATAAAGATCTCTGGCCTAAATTACATATAAATCAGCGTAAAAGTTAATAAAGGTCGAAGAAAAAACTAGATTTTGACCATAAAAAATATTGTTTTACTAACTGACAATATTGTACTTCCAACTCTTTATTATATAAAATAAAAAACTTACGTTGAAATTCCCTTTTGCATTAGATAAATGTAAAAGGCTGATAAGTCCGAAGTTGGTGCATTCACAGATGGCTAAAATAAAGTCATGAAACAGCTTAAATATAAACAAAACATACAACAGTTAGATACAATATCAAACATTAAATTAAAAAATTTAACAATTAAATCTTGCAAATTCTCAAACCCTACCTTAACTTGAATCTTCAACTTGAGCAGAGTATCCCAACAAAACTTGTCAAAATTCTGTTCCAAATCCGGACACTTTAATGCCATTTTAGCGGCTTTTGAAACCGACTTTGATATCAAAGAATTTCTGTTTTTACAGTGTACAATATGTGCTTTTACCACAGTATCCGCGCAGACTTCGTGCGCTTCTTGGCCTAAAAAGTTTGGCTCTCCACTCCAGTCCAGAGAAGACAAAACTCTACGAGCAATCATCGATGCTGGGTGATTTACCGGTCGGTTGATCAGCCATTTCCCCAAAACCGATCCAATTTCGTCCGAACTGACTTTGCACTTCTTTAAAGATGCATTCGTCAAAATATCGACCGCATATTCGTCTAGATGATCGATCTGCCGGTCGATAAACTTGATAATTGAAGGTAGCAACTCAGGTTTCTTTTCGATTAACACCGACATCGCTTCCGAGCCGGCTTTGTAGTATTTTTCTCGAGAAAACTCGTCCAAAAAGCACGTGTCGATCAGTTCGTCGGTAAAGGTCCGGGTTTCAAACTTTGAACAAACTGCGACAACACTAGCCAAAATGAGAATGCCGTATGTAGCGTCTTCTTCATATTGATCTAGATTCTCCAGAAACTTTCCTTCTAGAAATTTTTTATTTTAAAGGAACAAGTCTTTACATAAATTGGTACACATCATGTTCAAATCCCAAGTTTTCTTGATTTTCTAGCTATTTTTTGTGATTATTTTTTAATACTAAATGCCACTTTCAAAAAAACATAATAAGATTTACTTACTTGACACTTCCTCCTTGAGTTTACAGTCTTCAATTTCAAAAACCTTTTCAAAATTGTAGACTTTTGGCGACTTTATCATCAAGATCACCCTTAATCTTGCCTTTTCTGTTAGTGCAATGTATGGAAAATCGACCAGATATTGCCATAAGCCAACGCTAAAACAAGATGACATTACAACATGTTGAGTTATTAAAAAATGTAAAATACAAACAAAACTATTTTTAAAGTTTTTATAGCACCGTGCCATAAAAAGGATAGAAAATATAATTCTTACCTTTTCTTCGTGACAATATGGTTTATTGCTATCAAAACTACCCGGTTGATCTCGTTTTGAACTTGTGCTTGCACTGATTTAGAAAGTTCGTCCTTTGACAACGTCCAGTAACTCGACAATAACTGCGTCATCTTCCTATAAAACAACTATAGTTATTTCACCACACACTTATAAGCTTACGTTAAAAAAGAAAAAACATAAATTTTTGTAACTGAAAACAATCCGTCGTATTTTACAAAAAAAAGACTTACTTTATGTAATCGCTGACTTTCTTACACACATTCTTCAACAAAGTGTAGGTTTTGAGTCCTTGGTTAAGAAGCTTTAAGACCATCAAAGTGAAAGAGATAAGTGAGAGTAATATCTGGTATTTGTTACCCTCTAAAAATGTTTAATCGAACTAATAGTTTTAAAAAATTTGTATCTAAAATCAATTTCTACACAAAAAGTTAGTTATAACATTATTTACGCAAAAGAAAACAACTAAGTCACCTTATAATACTTCCGTCAAAATTAAAGAAATTTTCAGTCCCAGGTAGAATATAAAACAACATACGATGTACAAACGTAAAGTGTGTCAAAGCCACCGAAAACAGTGAACTCATCGAGAATTGACTCAGCAACGCGATCAAATCCAGTTCGTTCATGTCGATCAAGTTTAAATTCTCCTGAAATCAACTGACTTATTACCAAGCTATCATACCCAAAGTTATCTTCAATTCAATAAATATAAACATCCCAAAAAAGCTGTAAATATACAAAGATATTACCGTATCCCCGTCTTCGCTGACCAAATTCCATTCATCTTCACCTTCATAAAATCGTTTAAAATGACTTAAGAACTCGTTTCTTTTTTCCACTGGTTGTAAAATTAAAGTTAACATAGCCAGAAAACAGTCGACTGCTCTTTTTGGCTCCAAAGTAGGTACAGTAATGAATGACTGTAGTAAAGGAACTGCCCATTCTTCGATTGGAGATGGGCAACGAAGCAATTGACACACGATGAACTTCTGATTTGTTGGTGTTATCGCTTTTAACAGTACTGAAGTCTAAAAGCGAGGAAATAATTTTCACTTACTTTACAAAAAATATATATTTAAGCTTTTTTTAACTAATATCACATACCAGTTCTACGATCCAACCCGTTACAGAATCCCTAAACCTCTTAGGAAGCATTGGAAACCTGAGAAAGTAAAACAAGTCTGACAGAGCTCCAACAAGTTCAATTCTATGGGGTTCGTAGTCTTGTTGTGTTGATATCACTAAAACAAAAATCATTAATATAATAACATTCTTTACATTTATCTCCCTAACACAAACATCGTAAGGTTCTTATTCTTCCAATATAAACGTAAAAGATCATAAAAACATTAACTTGTGACTTACAAGTAGGAATGCTGTTCAAGTTCAATTGCTGAGCAGTCATGAACCTGTTATTCAAATAGATCACCACCCACTGAATCTGTAACACCAATGATCGTGCCCTAACTTCGCTACAGAAGAATTGTCCCAACTCCAAACTAGTCAGATCAGTCAGTTCTCCTTTCAACTGTACCAACTTTTCCGGTACTAAAGTCGCCTTCTTATAATAAGCCTCTCCGTGCCCATTCCTATCGCACCCACATCTACCTGAATGTGCCACTTTGTGATCAACCACATTCCAAACGTCATTGTTCGTTTGTGCCAATTGTGCTCCCATCTTGTTCTTGAGTTCTGAATCCCGTTCTAACTGTTCACATGAAGTTTTAAATCGTTCCAAAAGTTCAAACAGCAGGTTATGAGGTCGGAGTTCCTTTTGATTAAAATTCTGAACAAAATCATCGATTGAATCGAGTTCCTCGTTCTGATAGTACCTCAAGAGTTCCAACTCCTGCATAAGATCTGTTTCAGTCCGAACTAAAACTTCTTCCCGAGCTGGAGCACTAGCAATGCCATTAGCAGTCATTTCTCGAAGATCAGGATACATCTTTTTAGTTCTGACTACTGGACTTGGTGGCTTTACTTCAATTTCCGGAGCTTTCAAAGCTGATAAATCAGGATAGGCGGGTAGTTTTGCCTCTTCTCGACTATGTTTAGGTAACAATGCATCCAACGGCAGCTCAATTAAACTTGATACTCGTGATGCTTCTTTTGCTTTGCTTAATTCGCTAAATTCATGTTTATTAAATAGTTAAAGTTATTTAGAATTAGTTACTAACGACCGTCATGTTTACTATAAAAAAAACTTGTTTTCTTATAAAATAAGTTAAATATACATAATCCTTGAAATCGCACGATTTGAAACAAATATTTTATATCTAAATTTAGAAAACAGCACAATCAAAGGTAATAACAACTTACATTGATTTCTTTTTCTCATTTTCCTTATCATCTTTTACTTTTTCCACAACTTCATTATGCTTTACATTATTTTTCTCCTTTTCCTCCACCTCCTTAACTTCATTCTCTTCTTCAGCATCATGAAACTCTTCTTCATCAACAACTGCGTCTTCTGCTCCTAACCCCACTTCCTCTTCCTCAACAGCTTCAGAAGCTTGTTCAGCGCGTGGATTCTGAGGCACAGGCCTTACAATACCAAATTCCTCAAAAGTTGGAGCAGCTGGAGGTGCACCAATGTCATTTCTCTGTCTGGTTCTTGACTTTGGTTTAGGTCTTTCCTTTTCCATAACATACACCTCATAAATCTAAAAAATATGTTTAATAAGTTTGTAAAAACAAATTTAAAGTAATATATTTTACGAAAAAATGATATAAAAGTCTTATTAAAACGTAATTTTTGTAGAAGAATATCAAAACAAGGCGCACAAGAATTTGCTATTAATTTTGAGAAACAGTTTACCGAGCTGCGCCCAATTTTTACACAGAAAACTTTGCAGGTCGACGAAAACATGTTATATAATGAAATGTAAAAGCATACCGCAATCGAAAAATTGTATGACCAAAGCAAAAACCCCATTTTAATGACCTTTATAGTAATATAACTTTTAAACTTTCTTTTCAATCTTATACCACTTCACGAGCTGACAATGACTTACCCTATCTTTTAAAAAGTCTACCTACTATTATTTGCTCCTGTATTTTAAATTCTTTTGTCTTAATAACTATAACTAAAAATTAACCATCTTTACAAGTAAAAACTAGATTTTGAGCAAAAACAGTCGTCTTTGTTACCTTTCCACTAGCAATTACAAGACTTTATTTTAGAGCAATGAGGCAACAAGAACATTCAAAGTTGTAAAACAAGCAAATTAAACAAGATTTAAACATCGGAATTAGAGATGCGAACGACTGAGATTGGATGGATCAAACGGTATGTTGTGCTCATTAGTTGGCTTCTTCACGTTTCTTGGTTCCGCTGATAATGTCGTCGATACGGAGCAGCATGATAGCGGTCTCGATCGCAGTTTTGATGGCTTGGAGACGGACGGTTAACGAGTCCCAGATCTTGAGTTCGTTTACATCAACCTGCAAAAGTAGCCAAAATTAAAGATGTTTAACTTATAGTATTCATTTTGAAAAGGCTGATTTGTTTAATTCTCAATTCTAAAACATCATTTTAAAGACTTACAATGTTTCCAGTTTCTCCATTAATGCCGTAAGTCCAATTGTCTGGACTCTGAGCATGCTTGGCTCTTAAAGCGGTCAACTCTCTGATCGTGGATCCGCCACAGTTTTGAACCAAAGTTCTTGGAATGACTTCCAAAGCCCTGGCGATGGCCTTGTATGGCCATTGTTGAACTCCTTCAATCGACTTTGATTGTTCGTTTAGAGCATGAGACAAAGCCATTTCCAAGGCTCCAGCTCCTGGCACGATTCTTGGGTTCAAGAGGATGTTCCTGACACAAGCGACGGCATCTTGAAGATTTCTGTCGACTTCGTTGATGATATCCTTAGAAGGTCCTCGTAGTAATACTGTAACAGCAGTGGTCTTCTCTGACGTAACAAAGGTAAAGTATTCGTCTCCAATCTTTTTGATTTCGTACAAATCAGCCAAGGTACCAACGTCTTCTTCTCGCAAGTCCGTTGTGTCGTTCAAGATTCTGGCTCCAGTCACTCTATAATATAATTTGAAAATTGTAAGGATTGACAATAAATAGTAAAAACACTCTTAATTTAAAAATTTTTAAAAACTTGCAAATGTCAAAAACATCAAAAGCTGGAACCGCATATAAGTCTACAACTGACACGTAAAAATTAACTTCCTTTTAAATCTAAAATTAAAAGCAAAAGTAAATAAAACATACCTAGCCAATCTGTTGTTATCAGTCTTCTTCAACCTTCTCAAAGCGGTTACACCAGCTTTAACCAAGAAGTGTTGAGCCATGTCTGAGATGCCCTTCTCGGTGAAGACAATATCGGGTTTCAAAGCAATAATCTCGTCACATTGCTTGCGAATAGCAGCTTCTTCCTACAATCAACATATAAACATGTGAATTAAAAGTTCAAGGAAAAAGATTGTACAAGATAAGAATGTTTATAAAACCTTTATCAAAAACTAAAAATAAATTTAAACAAGAAAAAGTAACCCTCACCTGTTCCAAAGCCTTGCTGAAATCGGCGTCCTTGGACAACTCCATGGCCGTCTGACTCTCGCCCTTTTTGTATTCCAGAGAACAATCTAGCAGAATCACTCTCGGCTTTTCGATTCTTCTCTTCATTTTAGGATGAACAATATCCTTGTTCAACACAACCCCCTTCAAAATCTGACTGTCTTCGATGGCTCCTCCTGGGATCTTCTCCACACGACAATACCTCTTGATATCAATTTCTTTGGCTCCATTTGATTCCACCAAAATGGTCTTTACAGCGTTCAGAGCAATCTTGACGGCCAAATCCATGTATTGGCTCATCATTTTTGTCGACAAACATGATCGGACAACAAGCTCGAGTTGTTTGTCGTCGTTAACATCAACTGGTTTACTAAAATATTAAAACTTGAATTTTATAACGAAAAACAAACTTCAAAAATACAAAAAAAATCAATTTTTAATACCGAATCTGTAACCCTGAAGCAAATAAAAGTTTTATTACCTGAACTTCTCCTCAGCCCACTTGATCATGTCTTCCAAAGCTTGACGGTAAGCCTAGAACCAAATAAATACAATATTTTACAACCATTGAACAACTAAATATAATCTATCATCGCATAAACGTCTAAGATATATACAGTAAAACTCCTGTATAACGAACTCCTCTATAACAAAAATCCCGTATAACGAACAACTTTTGAATCCCCGTCTACCACTACATAGTGCATTTAAAACTCTTTTATAACGAAACTCCTTTATAACGAACAAATTTCAAGTCCCCGAGCGATTCGTTATGCAGGAGTTCTACTGTATAACGCAAACATAAACTTACTCTAATGATCAAAGTTGGGTGCATATTTTGTTCCAAAAATTGCTCAGCTTGAGCCATAACTTCTCCAGTCAGAACAATAACTGAAGTAGTTCCATCTCCAGTTTCTTCATCTTGAGTCCTGGCGATCTCAATGATAGACTTGGCAGCTGGATGCTTCACCGTAATCTCACGAAGAATAGCATTACCATCGTTGGTCAAAACAATACCTCCCATAGGGTCCATCAACATCTTCAACATGGCTCGAGGGCCCAACGATGTGCGGATCACATCGGCGATTGTCTACAATAATATAGTTTATTTAAAAAGTACTTTTGTTATAACATTTGACCATTGAAATTTTTTAATTTTTTATATTAAGAAGTAACTTTTGTCAACTTTTAGCCTCCAGAATTTAAATTTTACAAAAACGTCGTTTAATTCATCCTAAAAACTAAAACAGATGAAAAACTTTAGTTTACCTTGGCAGTTGCAATGTTCTGAAGCTGAACCTTGTGTCCTTGTTCTCGTTGAATCTTCTGATTCACAACAATAACTGGAACTCCACCACCTCCTCGAATCATGTTTCTATTCAAGTTTCACCTAAAAACAAACCCAATAATTGAATAAAAATTATATATAAAATAAATACGTAAAAATAACGCTAAAATAATACAAAACAGTCGAAACAGACATGGATAATATAAAGGTTCGCGAATTTCGTCCCGGGAAATCGGAAGAATTCTCAAAAATTCTTATTTCCACCAGAAAAGAGGGCCTATTTGACACTTCGTCCTCGTTTTCTCAAAAAAGCCGATACGGATTTGAGAAGCGTTTGTTTTTCAAGATTTTACATAAAAAGTGAAAATGTGAAGGTAAAATACGCCTACCCTTTTTTAATTTCATTATTAAAAATATTAAGGTATAAACTAATAAAGTAATAAAATCCTCATTTCCTTAAATGCTTTTTCATAAAATGTATGTTAAAACTGGTAATAAAATAACTGATTAAAGTTTTAAAAATTTTCGAAAACTATATATATAGCATTAAATAAAACTGGTACGCCTATTGTAACCAATTTGGACTCAACACTTTTATTTTACTTGTCCTTCACAACGAAAACATAAGTTCTTGTTTTTTTGGCATTTCGTTAAATAAATTAGGAATTTTTTGTGAAAATAAATTTGCAAATGTAATTTAATGTCTATACCATCTTCTCTCCAGATGAATAGCGATGCAGCCGGAACGTCAGCAGAAGGCTTGGCCAACGATCGAGCCATTGGTTTTGACGATTTTGGTGTTGATTACATAACAGACGAGGTAGATGGACAGCAAATGAATGATAACGTTGCTTATAACATGGTATGTTGTGTTCATTTTTCTTATTTACGGAATTAGGAGATTCGAGGGGCTGAAGACGGACTAATGGGACACCCGTTGGAGAGTTTCGATGAAAACCTTGAAATGCATGGTCAATATTATGAGATGGACGACAATATAATGAACGACAACGGTATGATGCCCATGCAGGAGAGCAGATTCTTACTGAACACGGAGCTTGGGAATATCTCGGTATGTTTAAGGTTTCAGCTATATTATTGTTGCTTTAATATTCATTATAACATTTTAATGTTCTCATTATCTGGTGAAATAATTCTTTACTTCTTAATGTTTTAAGGTAACACGGGACGACTTGATCTCAGTTGGAGTGGATGTTACGGACCCCAACAATATCAATGTCACGGCTTCTCAATCGGATGCTCTATTCTCCTTATGTCAAGATCGTGGTGATATTATCCAACCGGAGTACAACGAGTTCGAGATGATGAATGACATGGTGTATCCACCATCATTAAAGCCAGAACAACATGAAACCGAAACGTATTTTGAGGATAATGTTCCTGGACCATCAACTTCTGGTATGCAACTTGATCAAGGTAAAAACGACGAGTTGTTCGTTTATATCACGGAGGAAGGTAGTATAACACTGATGGGGAAGAACGGACGATGTGTTGGAACGGTAAGAACTCTTTTCTTTTGGGATTTATATTTGCATGCTTCTTATGATTTCGTTATTTTAAATGTTACCAAAACTATTCATAAAAAAGATTATTTATGTTATAACACGTTTCAGTATCATGCAGACGAACTCCGTGAAATGGGAATAACCGATCCGACGACCTTGAGCGAAGCAGAAATGCAGACTCTAGTTCAGAACCTTGGTCACAGTGACGACGTTCCAGTCAGCAGCATTACCTACACAGCAAGCCCAGCTCCGTTAGTGCCTTATCAACCAGAACCTGTGCCAAGGCCTCGTGCTCATCCATCACGTGCTAAACCGCGTAGTGATGCTGATGGGCACATTGGAGAAGTTGTTGATATTGTTAAAGGGAAATTAGGACCTCGGAAAGCTGTCATCAGATATTGTAGGAATAATGGGACCTATAAAGTACAGTATGATGTAAGTTTTGGTGGACGAAAGATTAACATTGAAAACTGAACTTAATATGATAAAAATGATCATTTTATATTTTAGGACGGACGCTTCGAATGGGTAAAAGAATCGGAAATTCAAAGGAAAGCCAAAAATAAAACGGTTGAGAAGGTGAAGGTCCAACCAGGCCGCAAACGACGTTTCGTATCAAAAACATGCGGTAAATATTATTGTTTATCTACTCTCACAAATGAAGCCCTAACATTAAATTTCATGCCCAAAAACCTTTATATATTTCCAGAAACCCCAGACTACCACGCAACATCAACAGGTGTAATCGAAAAGCCGACATTGATCCATGCCAACTCGGGTTACTGTGCTTTATGTGATAAAAAGATCCACAACTCTCGTCCGGCCTTTATTGTGATGCGAATCCCAGCATGCAGGTGTTGTGCAGAGAACAACGCACTTCTGGTGGAGGATGTTATAGCTCCAGTTCAAGAGAGATCACGAACATGCAGTGTGAACAAAGGCACTTCCAGAAGCAGGAATACTTCAGAAACCAATCTAGTGTTATTGAAGGAGCCAAAGTTGATAAAACTGAGTAAAGATCCACAGGTTGTTGTTAATCATGGTCATCAAACTCCGCCCGAACTTTAAAAATATGATTTCGATCTCTATTTTTACGTGGTATGTAAAATATTTCTTTATTGTAATTTTTATAAAATATTATCAGGTATAATGGAAATATTAGATATAGAAAGCCATTTTTTAAATCTTGTCTATGTTTATCAATGTTACTGTTTCAGCTATGAATATTGACAATTGTTTTCATTTACTCTTTGATGTATAATCCCAATCTCTTACTAATGTTTAAAAATAAGCGTATTACTAATTTAAAGCCTCCAGCTATAGAAACGAATAGGTTGTTTTGTTTTCCAGGAAACGGGTCTATTATTGTAATGTAACTAATTATATTATTGTTTTAATTCGATAAATGTATATTATTTTCAACGGATCAGATTTACATTAACCTTCTTAAAATATCGATGCACATTGGTGACCTTCCCCCAAGTTAGATAACATTATAGTACAAATCTTATTTATCATCAACCGATAACATAAAAACGGGTTAATTGATAAAATTGATCAATTTAGATTAGGAAGCCAAATATGCATGAAATCAAATGTTATTGAGCACCAATTTACAATATAGACATTTAGTTAAAAGTACAATTTTGTTATAATAAATGGTATCTTATCCTACTTAAACATATTTTACATAATCTAATGTTACATACGCCTTTACATCAAAATTACTTAAATATCTACTTTTTTCTAGCCATGAACTTTTGAACGGCTTCAGCACAATCCTTTCCCTGCCATCTCTTCGCGATCAAAGTACATTCATCAGAATTGGCTTTGTGTAAAGCATCTTTAGTCAATGCTCTAACCATCGTCTTGTTAACTCGTAAAGATTCGGTAGGTAATTCACATAGTTGGTCGAGGTATCGTTGAGTCTCCTGTTCGAATTGGTTGTGAGGAATAACTTGGGACACCAATCCCCATTCGTAGGCTTCTTGGGCGGTGATGGTTTTGCCAAAAAGTAGCATTTCCGAGGCCTTGGAAGTGCCCATGATGTTGGGGAAGGTGAAGGATGAACAGCCTTCTGGACTGTAGCCAAGGCCAGTGAATGGAGTTTGGAAAGTGGCCTTGTCGGAGCAAATAACAACATCACATAATGGTAGAGTAGTGACGGCGATTCCAATGGCAGGGCCTTGAACAAGGGCAATTAGAGGTTTTTCGTGGTCGATAAAGCTGGCTACAAAGTTTTTAAGGAATTCAGCAGCATCCTCTGTCATTTTCTTTAAATCAGTAGCTCCGGTGACGTTGAGGAAGCTCTTGAGATCATTTCCACTACTGTAATATGGGCCGTGAGCTGAAATTAACGAAAGTCAATTTTGTTTATAAGTAACTGGCTATATTAGCCCAAAAGCTTTGTTTATACACATTCACTTGATATTAACATCAAACCCTAAACAACAATAAAAAAAACTAAAAACTCACATGACAATACAGTAATCTTAGTGGTTTTGTCAGCATTACTTGCCCCCAAAGCTTCCCGAATGCCGTCGTACATAGGCGTAGTAATGGCATTGAATTTGTCTGGTCGATCAAACTTGATTCTGTAGATACTGCCATCTGGTCCAGTTTTTAACCCAGCTACTTGTCCTGGTTCTACTGGTTCGGCCGCTGCTGGTTCTGAACCTGCCAATTCGGTGATTAAAGACACATACTTGGCTCTGGCTTCTTCCTGAAAATTTAGTTTAATGAATGTCTTGGAAGAATATCTTTTTCTATTTATGTTGATAAATAATAAAACTCTAGCCGTTACTAATATCTTGCCTTCGAAAGCCCTTTATAAGTATTCCATGAGTCGTACTTTGCTCTAGCCACAAAATTCAAGGCTCCAGGGCGGTCGCCGGTCGCATCCCCAACCGTGGCTTGTTTGAAAAGTCCGTAGACCTTCAGCTTGACATCATTATCAACATCCTGTGTCAACAAATTCAATCTCTTCTGTGCTGCTTCGAAATCCGATTCTGACGCCATTCCTCTTAACACAAAAACGATTAAGTACTATGTTAATAAAATTTGTAGAAGATCTTTCTGGTTTAAAAAGATAGCATTATAAAAAAGTACCATTTTAAATAGTACTACAATTTTTTGACCAAATCAGTACCTTTTTAAATACGAAACAACTTACCTGATCAGGTTTAGGCGGTGACGTTGGAAGCGACCGAGAATCTGGGGCACTTTTGCAGATCGGAACATTTTTTTAGGTTCGGAAAGACTATTGACCTTGCTGAAAGTTTTGGTAAATCAGAAAGAAAACAAAAAAAATTCATAATAAAAAATAAAATGAAGAACGTTCAAAAACGAAATTTAATAAAATTAAAACGATCTTTATCTTCTAAACAACAAATTTCGTAGCGGCAGACCTGACTAGGTTTAGAATTATGGTTTATTTATATTCACAGTGTTTAACCTTTGAATTTACAATGAATATAGTTTTTTTAACATGTAAAAGTCTCTATAAATAAAATCTACGACTTCCAGTAATAAGCTGCGTAAAAATAGGTATTAAAAACTTGGTTTAGACAAAAAATAAGGAAAACAAGTGGTCAAGGCTATAAAACACAATGTTCAAAGGTCGTTTTTAGCAAAGTAAACGAAAAGATATTAAAACTTATAAATAAAGTATTGAAGACGAATTATTTGATAAAGTATAATCGCATCTACAAGTAAGTCGGTCGGTAACTGAACAAAAAACACAAGAATTTGTTGGAAATAAAGAAAAAACTCAAAATTGAGGAAAACATTTTTCCGAAAAAATGTTATTTTACACTTTCTTGTCCGCAAACCTATTTCTTCATGAATTTACAAACATTTTTGAGAAGATAAAGATCTGATGGAGCAAATAAAAAACATCAGATTGATGCGTTTACCACATTGACCTTGGATTATTTTTCGTTTCTTTAATTTACAGTTATCAAAGTTGTTGTCGACTTGATAACAAGTTCATTCTTTGCTGTTTCTTATGGCAGGGATTGCTTGTAAAACAATTTCGAGGTGTTTGCAATAAAGAAAGAAGAGGTTGGACGATAGTTTTTATGGGGTTTCGTTGGTCAGTTTAAAAAACATTCTACTACAATATTGGGATTGGGTTTTCGGGTGAAATATGGGTAACAAAACTATTATTATGTTATTGTTTATTCTTTCTATTGCCGTTTTTGGTAGTTTTATAGGTTTTTGTATATGTAGAGTGTAAACGGATTAACTGAAAAAAGGTCTTTAGCTTGACCCTACTATAATATAATTATGTTTTTGTGTCAAATTTAGGTAATAAAATTGTCATTATGTCGTTTTTAATAATCAAAAGATGATTTTTTCGTTTGTATAATGTTAAGAGATGGAAGGTGATAAAATAAGGTGGCCTACGAACTAATCTTGAAATTTCGATCTGATTGATCCTACTACAACATCGAAATTGAGCTTTTGAAGGTTTTTTGTCTGTCGCCTTGATGTAAGATTTAAGAACATGAAAGAAGCTTTATTTTTTTGCACTTTAACTTGTTAGACACTAATTTTTGTAATTTGGAGATCTTTTAATTTACATTACTTTACCGCATGTATATAAGGACCTCATAGTCACGAATTTTGTTACTTTCTATTGACCTTATACTTTATAATTTGTGTGTAAAAAGTACTGCTATCTTATTTACATTTGGCAACTTTTTAGATAACGATTGTTGCTTTCAGAGATGGGTTTGGAAGAGATAACATTAAGTGAACGTTTCTTGGAATGGTTCCTCTTCAGATTCCGATGGATTTTCGTGTTGTTTTTTGTGCTTCCGGCTAGTTTAGCTTACGATGGATACTACCTGGTCCGTAACTACTTGATATTTAAATTGAATTCAGCTCCTAAAGCTCATGATCGCAAAGTTGCGGTTATTCAAAGACAGGTGAGTGTTATGGGTAATATCTACAATTTATAGGGGATGTTGATTGGCGGTAAAAAAGATACATGTTAACATGGGTAGCTTTTTTTATTATTTAGTTCTCATTCTTTGGTATTATAATATCTTCTTTTATAGATACGTGAATGGAACGAAGGCGGAAGAAAGAAAAAGTTATGCACGGCACGATCTGGATTCCTCACGATGAGCTTCCGATTCCCAAAATACAAAAAGGGAATGCTGGGAATCAAAACTGATCAACTGGTCGATATTTTGGAGGTATTTCATATACTTTTACTAATTTTTCATTAATTATCTTTACAGATTGACACCGAAAACCGTACCGTACGTGTAGAACCCATGGTCAATATGGGACAGCTGACCCGTTTCCTGATTCCTCTTGGCTACACTCTTCCCATCGTGCCGGAACTTGATGATCTTACAGTAGGCGGTATGATTAATGGTTGCGGAGTAGAATCGAGTGGTCGGAAATACGGTCTATTCCAACATATTTGTATTCAATTCGAAGTTGTCACAGCTACAGGAGAGGTTGTAGTAGCCAGAAAGGACGGATCGGATCATCAGAGTCTGTTTTATGGGATTCCATGGAGTCACGGCACGTTGGGATTCTTGGTAGCGGCTACCATTAAGATTATTCCTTGTAAACCATACGTGAAGTTACAGTATCGACCGATCCGGGGAGCTACGGTAAGTTGTTTTGTGTTGTTTTTTTGGATTGAGCTTTTGATATGATGATTAAAGTATTGTTTTGGATATCCACACTAAAAGTGATGACATTCACTTTTTATTTTGTTATAATTTTCAAATTTTAAACCTTTGTTTTACCTTTTAGGAGATAACCAACACGCTCCGTGATTGCTCCACAACTCCATCCAACGAGTTCGTCGAAGGTATCATGTATGACAAAGAGTGGGCTGTCATTATGACCGGTCAATTTGCGGAAGAACCGCCAAAGAACGGGATTCGAAATGACATTGGCAAATGGTACAAACCGTGGTTCTTCAAGCATGTTGAGAATATTTTGAAGGACAATAAGGTAAGCCATGTTGTTTTTCAATAATTACTGTACTTTTGGCAAAAGTGGAAAGTTTTGAAAAAATATTGATATGAATGACTCACGTTAAGATGTTTTGATGACTAATATCATTTCTTATAATTTGTGGTATTTTAAGGATGTTACCGAATACATTCCACTGAGAGACTACTATCACCGACATTCTCGAAGTATTTTCTGGGAGCTGAGAGTAAGTTATTTACTGCTGGCAGAGAATTACCATAGTTTTTTCACTTTATTTATGGCATCCTTTGTAATTTAAGTGCATGTTCTCTATTTTTTATTAATAATCACTTTTCCTACTATACATTGTTCTTGCCCTTATACACTAGATAATGTTAAAATTTTAGGATTTGATCCCATTTGGCAACAATGTCATCTACCGCTACCTCCTGGGCTGGGCATTACCTCCAAAAGTTGCTCTTCTCAAACTCACCACCCCAGCCCCAATCAAAAGACTATACGACAGACATCATGTCATTCAAGACCTTCTGGTACCTCTGTCAACTCTCGAAGACTCAATTAACTTGATCGATCAGGAAGTTGGAACTTATCCTTTGTGGATTTGCCCATTCAACCTCCCTTCCATGCCTGGCCTTCTGAGGAATCGTACTGGAGCCAACGTACTCTTCGTAGACATTGGAATCTACGGTAATGCTGAGAGGGAGCAGTACCAAGCAGCAAAGAGTACCAGAAAGCTGGAAAAGTTTGTGAGAGAAGCTAAAGGAGCACAGTTACTGTATGCCGATACCTACATGACTACGGCCGAGTTCTGGGAAATGTTTGACAACACGCTATACGATTGGCTACGAGTAACGTACGATTGTCTGGATGCTTTTCCAAATGTGTACCAGAAGGTATGCAAGGAGGCACGAGAATAGGCTTTTTTGGAGATTTCTGATTGTACTAGTTAAGTGCCCTTTACTATTAGAGATCAGCTTGTTAAGAAGAGTAGAATAGAGGGGTGGCTTGGTCAGAAAGTTCATAGAAGTTTTTGGGGATTACTTTATAGTCATTATCTTAGCTTTGCAACAGTATTCAGTCTTACTTTTAGTATCATTTTTACAACTTTACACTTTTCGGTTCTCCATCTTTTATTTCTTGTTTATCTTTTATTAAAAATGTCACTTCAAAAGTTTGAAATAAGCATTTTGCACGGTGCAGTCACTTATTACTATTATTGAATCACTTTACATTCGAAAAACTTTTGAAACGGCATTTAAAGTACTAAAATTTTACAATATTGTCATTCTAGTCTCCAAAATCATGTTTAGGTATTATGTTACTTTACAATGACATTACTTTACATAAAAATCGTATTTTTATTAGTCTTGTTTTGATATTTTTATTCTGTGACATTTTTTAACATTAAATATTGCAAAACTGACATTTTCTATCTTTGCTAGTCTAACCATTTTATTAACAATAAATTATGTGATTTAGTTGTAACGATTGCTTTACAGAGTTTGACTTCTTCGGATATATACAAACAGTAAAAATATTGTTTACAGAGTAATTTTAGACAAATTTAGGTAATAATACAAGAAATTTAGATAACATCTCAAGATATATTTTAGTAGGTTGCGTGAGATTGTCTACTAAAATATAGGGTCGTATAACAGTAATCGATAGAAATTGTGCGATTCAACTATACCAGTGCGAGCTGTAAACTTAACTTACATAGATTGCACAGTCCAAGGAGTATAGGATCTTTTGAATTTAAACTTTGAATTAAAAAAAATTTTTAAGAATTGAGAAGGAAATGTAATGTATGTGGGAAAGAAATGTAATCATTGAGCGATATTTCGAGGATTCATAGAAATGTCATACCGGGATTCGAATTCGTAGGAATGATATCAAGTTATGTTACAGTTGACCACGTTCGTGTCGTTCGAACAGCTTTTCAATCGAGATTTTTAGCTAAAAATTAATTTTTATATTAGATATTAAACAAAAATTAATTTCTTCGAAAGTTTAAAACCGCATGCATACGTAGTTCAAAAGCAACCAAATTTCGTATTTTACAAAAATTTTCGTTTTTACTGGTGCATAAAACTTTAATCAAGAAAGAAATCCTACCTGTTTTTTAGCACCAGCCGGGAAAGTCCTCAGCCTCAGCGCGACAATCTTCCCGAATAACATATCCTCATCCTCCAGCCAATCAAACGACCCCGCATTCTCGGTCGATTCTACTTTGAGTGGTCGAGATCTGGTCGGTGTAGATTTGCGTGGTCGTTTCGATGGTACCTCTAGTACGTCTTCTGATTTGTCATTCAAAAACGGAGTGAAATTGAGTTTCATGGGTTTGGATTCGGATTCTTCGAGGTCGTTTTCTGAAGTCGATGTGATCGCTGAATCCGTGGATTCGGCTTCATTGTAGACAGAATCTGGGGACGATTGTTGGGCACAAGCACTGAATATGTTGGTTAAGAGGGATGAGGCTGATTCGTCGAAAAGTGTTTGGAAATCTGTAATTTTTAGAGGTATGAAGAACTCTAAATTGTTTTTAAAGGTTGTAAACTTATAAGTACCAACAAAGTTTTTAAAAATACGAATTAGTGACTTATTTCATATTATTTAGCTGATCAGATATATTTTTTTAATTTTCAAATAACTGCTTTTGTAAACAGAAAATGCGTACCATTGTTGCCATTATTATCTGGTTGTTTCCGTTTTTCGACCTGTCGTACTCCCAAGTTTGCTCTTTCGGTGGTATCTCGTAGATGTTCGTCCAAGAAGCCCAAATCCCAAAAATAAGGCCATTTAGGTTCGTATGCAAAGTTATCTCGTATCGCGAACTTGAGCTCTTTTCGGTAACGATCTCGGATCTGGAGCCAGCGTTTCTTCACGGTTTCAACTGAAAAATATTTAAATTTGAAAAATATCAAGAGCAGTTTGAAAATTGTAAAATTGTGATCATTTTAAGTGTTCTTTATTTAAAAAAAATGCACTTTTCTTTCATTGAGAACCAATTTTCAAAAGCTGATTTAAACAAATATGTCAAATAATAAGATTTTAATATCAAAATTAACCAAAACTTACCAGTAGCACCATCTCCAATATCCTCAGCAACACTTTCCCAGATCGTACCCAAAGCTTCATCCGATCCTGCTCTTAACTTTGCATCATAGATCTCTGGTCTTCCTTTGACAGACTTTATCAGTGCTATGTTGAAGGTGTTCTTCTTGCCAGAGTGTTGTTCTTCGTCTGGTTCTTCCTCCGTTTCCTTCACTTTCTGTTTCACCTTCTTCCCACTCTTGCTCGTCTTCAGATCGTCATCTTTTGCTTGTTGTATACATATGAACTGCTCTCTATGATACATTTTCAGATGATGACTTAACGAAGTGGTCGATTGTTTTGGTCCTCGGTTGAAAACAGCACCACAAGTGTAACACATGGCCGTGTTAGTGTCGGTTTGTTTTTGGAAGTATCTCCACCATGATTTGGCAGGTTGTGAGAGGTCGTACTGTTTGGGGAAGTCTCCAGACGCAAACCGAGAACGTTGTTGAGGACGTCGCGGGGATGGATGCGATGAAGAGGGGTTGTCACTGGCTATGAGTTTGGTCGATTGGCCGCCGATTATGTTTAGAAGCAGGTCGAACGGCGGCTGGGCGTCGTTTTGTAATATATCCACCATTACTGAAACGGGCAAAATTATTTTTTTCGCTTGATATTCAATTTTGATTGAAGTTTAAAATAAAGTGGAAGAGAGGTAACGTATAATATTTTAGACAGAAATATCACGTTTAGCCAAATTCGATAAAAACGCCAAAAATACAGTGCTTGCAACATAAAGCCAAACTAAACAGTTTCAAAATAAGAGCTTGCAAATTCGTTCGGTTTTTTTTAAATTAGTAAAATACCATAAATTTTGGAGACGTACTATGAGAAGAGTAAAAATTAAGACACAATTTATACTATGCTTGTTCAAAACTTGTCCATAAGGATTGACACTTCAGGTTTAAAAAAGCTTCTTAAAACGACAAGTTTCGTCAGAAAATTATAGTGATTACGTAGATAAACTGATAGATTTGGATAATCTTTTAGATTTTATAAATTCAGGTTTTAAAAAGGCGGCCATTAGTCTATGTTTTTCAATGTACTATCTTTTTGGTAAAAGTCAAAATTCAAAAATTTCAAACTTGGACCAAAAGTTAACTTTGGTAATGATCGGTCTAACCTTTTCTTCATTTTCTGATCAATACTCAAACGTTTCTTTTCTTTTTGATCAACACTCAAGAGTTCAATCAATCCGGCCGAATCCCCAAGCAAACCCTACAAATTTAAAAAACCGGAATTGCCGAAATTAGTGCGAATCAGAGACGCCGGAGGTGTGGAAGTGTAACGAATACTGCAATTATTTGACTCCGAAAACGAAAGGTCTTTGCAAGGCGGGCCGGTTGCCCGGGCCGACAGGAAAATTAAGAGGACAGGATTGTATTAATGTCATGAAGCCCAACAACCTGCGTATCGTACTCGTGTATCTCCACGTACTTCCGTATTTTTGGTTTCGTTTTGTAGAGAAACGATACGGAGGAACTAAGCTGGCTACTACAATTGTTTGCGAAAAACTTTAAGTTTCCGTAACAGAGCGGGCACAAAAAGCCTTACTTTAAAAAAATTTGGTCAAAAATTTGAAATAAGACTTGTTACAGAACTTTTACAGTAAAATTTAAAAATAATAAGGTAGACAGTTGTGAAGAACAAAACAACACAATAAAGATCACAGAAAACATTGATTAAAGTAAGAGAATAACCAGCTTACAGCAATGTAAATAATACCTATAATCAGATACAACGACAAAGTATAATATATTGTAAAACAACAACAATAGATTATGTAGGATGAATGTGTAGTGTCATCAAAAATCATAAAGAAGACACCAACATTAGAATATCCGAAAAAAAATGCTTACAATCAGGTGTATGGCAGTTACAGTAACCTTTACTAACTCAGTTTGAATAAATTATTGAGTACCATGTTCTTGAAAATACGTTTTTAGAGACATTTCGTTACTCTACATTTTCGTAAATTTTATTAAGAAGAAATGTAAATCGTTTCAAAACTACCGTAAAACACATTAACCTATCCATCATCTCCTATAAACCGTAACAATCCCAATATCAAACCCCATAACCCTACAAACGCCTTATGTTCACTTTCTTAAAACTCGGTCGGCCATTACTCCATAAGTAATATGTTCATCACACTGAGAACACGACCCCCCCCCCTTTCTCGTTCTTGTCGCCCAAAACTTCTAATCCGGCGTGCCGGAATCCGGTGTGTGCTGTCTTCTCGTGGCTCCGGTGTAGCGGCGGACTCATTAGCACGGGGCCTTCCCCTCATTTCCTCAGGGCATATCTTTGAAAACTCAGGAAATCCGCCCCTTCCCTTCATCTCTTAATTCCGCGCCCACTTGGCCGTGAAATGGAGCAAAAGGCTAAAACAAGTTTGGCGCGCAAACAAATTCACGTATCATGGTGAATATGAGGACAAATGATGGGGAATATGAGCGCGTACGATGAGGAAGTAAGCGGGTATGACAGTCGTTGTAGGCGCACAACTGTGGCTAGTTAAAATTTTGAGTTTAAAGCTTATAGTTTGGGTCTGCAAAGTAAAACGTAGCTCTTTCCTATAGCCAATGCAAGAATAGGTACTAGTACATATCTTTAAATATTTAAAATTACTGATAAACTTCACTCCAGATAAAACTGTAGTAAAAAATCAACCGTTTTCCATACCTATCAAAGCCTAGATACCCTCAAAGCGCTACGTACAATCTTGAAATTAACCGTAAAATCAAGTACAGTACTATCGACTACCTTCTCTACCAAAATCACTCTGATAACTTTGATAAGAAACCGTTTTGTATAACAAACCCCTAAAAATCGAACGTTAAAACAATCCCGAAATATCGAATGGAAAAGCGATAAGGCCGAGGTGGCGCCTGATTCCGCTTTCCGACTCCGTTTCCGGTTCCGGCCCTACGCCAGCCCGGAAGTCGGCGAACAAATTCAGCCGGCCACGTTTCGCGGTTTTATGGAGCAGCGGAATGAATGTCAATTCTGGAGAAAATCTTCGGAAAAAGTAAGAAAAAGCGAAAGTTCCGGTTGGCAAACAGTAGCCGGTTTCAGTAGCATATAGTCGTGTTGGAAAAAGAATTTTTTAATTTTAGGATTTCATATTAATTTTAAGAAAAGTACAAGATAGAAAACACTTTTCTATTACTTACAACTTCTGAGTACAGTTCAAAAGAAGTTATTACAATCAAACGAGAACTATTCAAGCCTAGTATGCTCATACAAGTATCAATTGACCCTTCTGTACTTTTAAACTAATAACATATTAATACCTATAACATAAAACCCGCCATTGAACCCCTTTCATTTCGATTTGACGTTCAAAAGTTCGCCCCGGAAGGTCAAGTTCAAACGCATCAAACGAAGATGTTTTGCGTCGCAACAACAACAACACTTGGAGGGATCTTCTTCCACCCACTCCAGCCATTCTTTTTTCATCCGGATCCCCTCAACGTGCGCGAGAACCGGAGGGGATGGAAATCGATTCCAGTTCTGACGCAGCTTGAAGTCAGTAACGGAAGTTGAGGGATGAATCGCGTGAAAAAGTGAAAAAATGGAGAATCAGCCGGAACCGGCGAAGACGTTTTCAGTTGTTTTTTGAGTAATCTTCTAATAGGAGATGAGTCAGGAGGAGAAGATCATGTACAATATGTAAAAAGTAATTGAAGAAGCTCATGTACAACAAACAAAAATTTAAGACAGTTACGTACAATAATATTGTAATGGTAACTTATTACATCTACTTTATAATAAAAATGATTTTCACTTTCAACCGTCTTAACAGCTAAAAACTTACAATATAGACCCAAATTAAAACAATGAATGTTCTAAGTAATTTTTGACCGACAATATGCTTTTGAAATTCAGAACCAAGAAGCAGAATAGAAGCAAGCTTCCATCCAAAAAAATTTTAAAGTTGAAAGCACTGTTAAGTTAAAAAAAATTTATGCCCTCCCTTATGTCAAACCAAAATTACATGCCTTTTAAGACTGGAATTAAAAACTAATTTCAACACAATACAAGAATATCATCATATCGCTTATATACTTTACAAAGACGAGTTAAAATTAATAACATATTTTTGCGAACTTGTTCCGAAGAAACTTGATCCGAAACTTCTTCTTCCTTCTGATGTAAAATACACTTCAGCATCAGCAATATTCCATAAAATACTTAAAGTTACAGTATCAACAGTTTAAAATTATGCGTTATGAAATAATTTAATAAAATTTTGAACAAAAAAAGTGAAAATATGTTATAGTAAACCTTAACTTTATTAACAAAGTCTTCTAATATACTTAGCAATATAAAACTATAATACTAAAAATTACCTAAATTTGAAAAAAACAACACTTTATTTACATAAGTGATGTCACATTTAAAAAACATTTAAAATGACGTCATAGCCAACAAGACCTCCCACATACCTATAAAAACCTATATCTCTTAGTCTTACTAATCATAACTTTACCTACTATAATATCAGTAAAAACCTAGTTTTCCAAAAAATATAATATTAAACTCGAATACCGGAATGCCAACAACCGGACGAGCCATCCAAAGCTGATTCCGGATTCCAGAGATTCACACGGCCATCGTCTCACTCACTCAGAAATGACACCTCGGGCCGGAAATTCCCGGAAGAAAAACCGCCCCCTACATATGGCAAGATGATGAACAACAAAGGCCTTTTACACAATTTTTAATTTATTTTGTCACAGACCTGACAATTGACATATCGAGAGGGGAATGGTGGGGCAGAAAACATGGTAACGAGGATGATTGTTTTGTAAAGGAATATAGTCCATGTCTTACTACTTAAAAAATGACTTTTACATGTTTACATGCGTCTTACTGTTAATTTAGACTCACCATAACATGGTAAAATGTTAACTTGTTTTCCTCCCCCTCCTCAATTGATACCCGCCCCCCCCTCCCCCCCCCCGCTCCATAGTAAAGCCTTTGGTCCAATTGGCCGCAGCAGCCTAACGAATTTTTACCCCCCCCCCCCCCCCACTTACCACTCAAAAAACACCCAAACCCTACTGTACTTTGACTTTTTACAAGCTTATTCATAATCGCTACCGTAACTTCGACCTCTTAAAATAACATCATCCATGATAATATCCCAAAGTTGTATTACTAATGGCACCCAAAAAGACATTACTAACATGTTAGCTAACACCCTCGTATTTTAATGAAAAGTGGAGCCAGAACCGGGTGGATTGCAATGCACGATCCGGTTGCCAAGGTGACTTTCCTTTAAGCGTATTAAGGCCCTCGAGGCAAATGAATTAAAACCGGAACCAGATTATAAGACACGCTCCAAGGAGAGAAAACGTGCGCCAATTAGCGAGTATGACATGTGGAAGCATTAATGGCCGCGACATGAAGAATATATTAGTTCAGAAAGGGTGTTGCAGGTTTTAGGAAGTTTTAATGTTCAAAACTTTCATTTCTTATATAAAAATGGAAAACATACACATACAAAGCTTTGTACATATTTATCAGCACTTCATACACATATAAAGTATATTGACCATTATGAAGAATATAATATAATAAAGGTAATAATTTAAATTAATCACATACTTATAAGGCCCAAGTCTATTTACAAATACCACCGTATACATTATGCTATTTCCTCCGTATTGCTCGTATCGTCTTCCCTGGAATAATTGGCCGTTTCTCTGGGCCAAAACTGCACCGACCCGTCTCCGGTAATCGCTACGAGATCATCGTCTTTGTAAGCCATCTGAAAGTTTTAAAAATTAAAATTCCTTCTAACTAACAAAACAGCTATCTTCTGTTATAAAACCACAAAACAGTAGATAACAGCTCACATTAATCAGCATTTCCTTAGACTCCAGCTTTCCGTACAGCTGAGGCTTCCTCCCGGGCATGTAAGCTGACAATTCGTATGCTGTAGAGTACAAGATCATTCCGTTCGAACTCCTCGTGTTGACATTCTTCACAACATTCGGTAGATTGTCCACCTTCCACGTGAAATCAGATGACAGTGTGGTTGGATTAAAATATAACACGTTCCCATTCCTCATCGACACCAGCAGATGATCGTTGTTAACATCGAGTGATGATACACCTCCACCGTGACTTACTCTCAACGTTGTTAACACCTTGAACTGTCTTTTGTCTATCTGTGCGAATGGAGACCCTTTGCCATGAGCAACAAACAAATCGTTTCTTGAAGAATCGTTAGCCATGACGGATAATATCAGAGAGCTGATCTTGTCCGTACACGACCTCTGTGGCTTTAGTCCTGCTCTAGGGTCAATCATATGTATGCCTGATTTTAAAGTTGTCATGTAGAGAACGTTGTAATCCATGGTACATCGCATTAGAGTTTGATTGTAATCAAAAGAGGCTATTTCCTAAAAAACAACGTTTAAATATGTGATAATAAACTAATAATTGATTACGAAAACAAGCAATAAATGAAAAGTCCAACGAAAACCTACCCTTAATCCGCTTTCAGTCAGTTCATGTTGCCTCAAGGTGTAGTCAAACCCACAACTAAACACAGTTTTATCGTCGTCTGCCATTTCAACCCCATATATCCATCCTTTATGAACTTCTCCTGAGTCCACACACCATTCACGGTCGTCTTCACATTCTGCCACCTTCTTCAAATCCCAAATCAAAACTTTTCGATCCCGAGAGCCTGTCAAAGCCAGCCGGTTGCCATTCTTCGTAGTATGGATTTTGAGATCATCTATAGCTGCTATATTCCTACAACCCATCTTGAACTTGTTTAGGCCTTTATTCCTCTGCCACCTAAGCTTCTCTTTTTCTATGGCTAAAGCTTTTTCCATTGGATTGGCTTGTAGAGATCGCCGACAAATTGGAGCAAAGTCGAATTGAAACTAAAAAATTTCTAAAGGATTTGACTGCAAATAACATTCAATGTACTTAAAAGAATATTAGATATGATGTAAGAACATTTACAGTTTCGAAAATTCGTCCAACTTCAATTTAATGTCCAATACATGAGCTTCAATTGACTTATCCATCAAAATTTCATTTAATCTAGACTAAAATCAAAGAAACTAAAAGGAAAAACGTACCTTAAGATACCGTTGCCAAAATCCATTGCTATACGAGAGTTTGTTTAACTGGCGTGAAGTATTGCGAACATTCTCCGTTATTTCCTTAGCTGGAATGTATTGCATAATAGCTTCCAAAGTCTCGTTTGCCAAGTCGGCCAGCCCTGGCTGGCTCATGATAACCTAAAACAGAAAGTTTAATATAAGATCTATAAAATAAAAATAATGTCGCGCAAAACACGAGTTATTGACAAGAGATCGAGGCTCAATTTCCTGTTTATTCATCTCCGAAAAATTTTTTCTCAAAATATTTATTTTTCCTCGCAGGCTGCAAAACATCGGGCGCGGTAGCCTTTTTTCTTCCTTTTTTTCTTTGAGATTCCAGTAAATTACAGTAAGTGTCTTCTATTCTTTTGAATATTTCTGTAATTTACTTTTAAATACGGAATTTATTCTGCAATTTACTTTTAAATACGGAATTTATTCTGCAATTTACTTTTAAATACGGAATTTATTCTGCAATTTACTTTTAAATACGGAATTTATTCTGCAATTTAAAGTGTAAAACAGCGTATTAAGAAGGTGAAGTGGAGAACTTAAATGCTGTCCTGAACATAACTTTTGACCGGTTCATTGAACCGTCATAATTTGGCCAAGGTACATGTTGACAAAATTAAGCGTTTAATAAATACAAAGATAGTAATGTTAGTGTAGTTGTAATTTTATAATGGAAGTGTTATTCGTAGAATCTTTTTGTTAGGCTTCAACTTGCTTAAGCAATAGTAATCCTGAAATTCCAGTTATGACATAAATGATGTAACTATAACAATATTTGCAAATCGGAGGTGACAGTAATTGTTGACTATGTTAACAGTAATCTGGCAAGACAAGTGTTTGGGAACGACGGCTTGAAGGAATTGACGACTAAAATTAGCCAAGACCAGGTTGATTTAAGGCAGCGATGACACGGTAAGTTCAAAAATATTATGTTGTGATTAACCTTAAGATGTTGATAAACAAGTTACTACTGATTTTAAAAAGATAGAAATTTAAAACTTTTAGCAATCAGCTGCTACCATAATATTCGTATGATACACAAAAACCGATATATAACACTCAAGTAAACGAAGATAGAACACGGATAAGACATTGGCCAATATAATGGGACTCAGCTACATTCTGCCAAATAGTTTACTTTTGTCAAAGGAAGTAACTCGTAAATGAAGGACGACCAGGATTTTTTATTACAGGTTATTTGTGCACTTATTAAATAGAGTATGCTTGATCCTTTTGAACATGTCTGATAAGATATCCTTACCTGTTTTTCTCTGCGATTTTCAAAAGATCTCTATTAATTTGCTTATTGCTTGACCTTTTAGTATTACGTAGTGATGGCCTTTCCTTAAACGATACGATTGTTACGCAAGCGCTATGAAATTAGTGCAGATACGCTCCAACATACTATAAATAGAGGGAGATTTCGGAGTTAGGATCATATAAAGACGTGTAAGGCTGGGTTGAGGTTGACACTGGTTTCTTGTGAATTTTAAAATTATTTGATTTTTATCCTTCTTCTCCTTCTTCAGCAACCAATTCTTTGTTTCTAATATCTTTAGAAGTTCCACCTCTAAGAATCGACTTTTCTTGGTTTTAGATATATTAAACAGTGAAATAGGGTTATCGGTAGCGTGTAGATTAATATATTCATAAGAGTCAACAAATTTAACCTTAATACAATTTCAGATGAAACTACTAACATTTTGCATTGTAACCGCCTTGTTTAGCGTTGCGAGTACACGGAGCTTTTACAACGAAGCGTACAACCCCTGCCGCCACAAGGAACTATGTGGATTGGGTATCTGTGAACCATCGAGAGACTTCCAGTGAGTTTTTATCTAATTTTGAAAGTTTTTGAAGTTTGCTGTTCATAGTGTACCTATGGACTTCGTATGTTACAACACTGAAACTATTTTCAATTTGAATTACTATACAAAATTTTATCGTGTTTTGATATGACCACAGTATTAATATTATCACTTTTAGGACATTTACTTGCCGTTGTCAATACGGATTTACTGGTCAATTCTGCGAAATAAAACTAACTCCATCATGCAATCAACGTGCTGTTCCATGCAAGAACAATGGAATATGCCACGATACCTTGAATGGGATCACTTGTGAATGCCCGAATGGAACTTACGGGAGAAGGTGTGAGATTCTGGATGAGAAGGCGGAACAAAATTGGGGAACTCCAAGTATCGAGGACATTAATGATGTGATTGGCAATGTGCCAAAGGGATACAAAAGTCTTGGCTATGTTGGAGTCAACAAAGTGACAACCTTGAAAGAGTTAAAGCAACAGCTGAAGGACTTGTCTCAGGAGATTGAAAGGTACAGAGGTGTAAAGTTAGAAGTCGTTACTTTGCCTGATGGAACTACCTCTTTTTATGATGTTATTCACCACACCAATGCTACAAAGGGTAAGATTTACGTTTTATAATTGTTGATATTGAGCTACATATTTACATAATCTTTGAATAAACTTCAACTAGTACTAAAATTATTGTGATTTGGTGTAAAATTATATTGTAATTGACTTTAGATGACGTTACGACCGAATGGAAAGTCTTGTTGGTAGCTAAAGTGAAAGAAAACGACTACCGTTTGACCCTGGACGATATGATGAAAGAAGGAGAGAAGAATTATGTTGGCTATGGCATACTTACCATTTGTGGAGCTGTTTCTGTTGCCCTGCTTGGTGTATACTGTATGCTTCAAGTTAAGGTGCAATATCAAAGTAGAGACAAGAGGGAGATTTTTGTGATCACTTCGAAAAAGTACACTGTTGATCAAGTTGTTGAAAAGCTGAAAGAAAGCATTTAATAAAGTTGTTGTTTCACATTTGAAGTTAAGGTAACAAGGTCAGGATGCCTTTGAATATCATCTTTTTTCGCTATTGAATGTCTTGAATATTAATTTTGACTTCTCGTTAGATGTATCCGTCATCTTTTGTCACATTACACAATGAAAATCAGACACGGTGGATCAAGGAGAGGTACTTTACATTAAATGGGAATGTAAAGTCCTGAGCGTGGCTTAACTAGGGGGTGGTATTTGCTTTTAAAACTTTAAAACAATTGAAAGCTCAAAAGAGTTAAAAATTAGCATATTGCAAAAAAGGACTATAAAAGCAAAAGCCAACCTTAAAAAATTATTTTTTCCATTTTTCAATAGCGAACCGGTGAAATGTCGCATAGTAATCGAGTAAATTCCAAAGAAGATGTCGAGGCCGAAGCGTATTGGCCGAAGAATGGAATCGACGTTTTGGATCCGACGTTAATGCGTGAGAACTACTACCACGGCTTGCTGCCGCGCGAAGACATACTCGAGATGCTGAAGGAGAACGGCGACTTTCTGCTGCGACTAAGTGAACCAGAACCGGACAAACCGCGACAACTCATTCTGTCGGCCATGCAGGACAAGGAGGAGGGGACGGATGGGGTAGGTTTGTTAACAAAAGCCTAAACTTTTATAAAAAAGCTTTTCTAAAAGCTATCCTAATGTTATCATTTCAGATCCGCCACTTTGTAATCGCCAAAACCGACGACGGCTTTGTGTTGGACAACAACAACCCGTTCCCCACCGTGCCCGAGATGATAAAGTTCTTCATTATCAAAAAAATCAACATCTCGGAGCGCTTTCCCCTCCGACTGGTCAGTCCGCAACTTCGAAAGCCTTGGCAACTTAATCACACGGATATTGTACCTGGGAAGAAGCTGGGCGAAGGGCAGTTTGGGGAAGTTTTGGAAGGAAAGCTGATTAAAAATGGCAAGAAGATCCCGGTGGCCATAAAAGTAACCAAAACAGAAAGTATGACAAAGGAACAGATAAAAGAACTCATGAGTGAGGTAGAGTAGGCTTTTTTTATTCTCTATGTTATGTTATGCTTAATGTTGTGTTAAGTATATGATAATGGCTTTCTTCGGTATACAATACCTTGTGTTATCCCAAAAACTAATATAGTAGGATACTAACTTCATATAACAAGAAACACAAGTAATATTACCTTATTTTAGGCCAGAATCATGAGGTCTCTACATCATCCTCACGTTGTCCGCTTCTACGGAGTCGGCGCCTTCCAAGAGCCTCTACTGGTCATAATGGAACTGGTCGATGAAGGAGCATTAGATGCCATTTTAAAAAAGAAATCTCTTGATGTTCACACCAAGTCCAAGTACTGTTTGCATGCTTCATATGGGATTACGTATCTTCATGGTAAAAACTTATTACATCGTGACATAGCCGCAAGGAATTGCCTAGTTGGAGGAGGAAAATTGAAAATGAGCGATTTCGGAATGACAAGAAGGACAAAAGTGTACCGAATGGACAGGAAAAAGAAGATCCCGCTCAGGTGGTAGGTTTTGAGCTTTCAAATATTGTTTTAGCTTTTAAAATTAATTTAAGAGATGAAAAAACAGACTTTTAAATTTTTTCATAACTACAGTGTATATTATAACCCATGATACTATAATTAGCGTTTTGTTTACAGGGCAGCACCAGAAGCGCTAAAAACGGGCCGGTACACGGCGGAATGTGATGTCTATTCTTGGGGCGTGCTGTGCTGGGAGATATTCTCGGATGGACAAGAACCTTACGGAGATACTACGATGCAAGAGATTGGCAGAAAGGTAAGCTACTTTCTTCACTTTAAATCTTAAAAACACGTTAATTAAGAATATTTAAATGAAAAAATTGGTTCACCTAAAACAATATTTTAGATCAAAAACGGAGAACAACTGATATTTCCACCCTCCGCCCCAAAGTTCCTTGTCCGACTGATCATCCAGAGAGTATGGTGCAGTGCAGAACATCGTTACATGCAATCAGAAGTCACAAAACAATTGGAAAAACTGATGCCCATGCTAGCAACAAGTGCACTAACAACACTCGAGAACGAAGAACCTGGCACAGAAGGGCGAAGTGGCAAGGAGAGACCCAGGACTAAGAACAAGAAGAAGAACACCATCACACAGGGATGACTGTTTTGGATTTACATTACTCAAGATGAACCATTTCTAGGCTTATTACCACTTTTGATCATGTTTTGGGGCTGCTGTGTTCGAAAATAAATGGGAGTAGCTCTGTCGAATATATTGATGTCATACATGGCTAAAAATTGAAATGTATTGATGAATTTATACAGAAGAACGAGCATAATTACTATAAGGCTTCGTTAAGATCACTGTTTATTCTACTAACTATCATAATCTTACAAAAACAAGTACATATTAACATTACTAAAAGATTATAATGAGATATAAATACAAGTTGAACTCTCAGAAATATATTTATTTCAGTTCAAACGTTAGTCATCGTACTTTCCCATAATACCCGTCTTCTGACTTCAGCGGACACAAACGTGTCATCTGAATACAGACGAGTTGATCATGTCGCGAGTTTGTCCGACGATATTCTCTTCCAGCAACTGTCGCGACAGGTCGCCGAGTCTTCTCTTCGGATTCAGCTTGCCCATGGCCTTCAGCTCGGCCTCGTCCTTCTTAATGTCCTTGTTGAGCTCGATCTCTTTGGTGAAGGCCTTGACCATCTTGAGCATCTCCTTGGCCGTCTCCAGACTCTGCTCTTTGTGTTTGTTAAAGGTTTTTCCTACGAATGGTACACTCCAGTCCTTCTTGTGGACACATTGCAGCATTTTCTGAGCTTGAGAATTCATTTTGAATGAAATTGGCAGAGAATAGTAGCGGGATCCGAGGCCACGCATCTGGGCGACGTAAGACGAACGGACGAGATGGCCTGAAGAACATAGTTTACACTAATTAAAAAATTATAATGTTAACTACAAGAATCTAATTCACTGAAAATAATCTTTCTTTTTCCGACTTCATAAATTTAAAAAAAATTAAAGTTGTTACCTAAATTTGAAGTTAGTTGTCGTGGTTCAGCCGTAGGCGCAAGTGACTTTCCTAAACTCATTCCCAGGTTCGGTATAGAGCGAAACACATCAATAACTACCTAAAAAACCATTTAATGCAATTTAATAAAGAATATAGCACAACAAACTAATACGTTTTTCCAAAAAAAATCATAACTTGACCCTTTACGTATAAAAATCATTTAACTTTCTAAAACTATAATAAAAAATGTCATAAAACATACCTTCCCCTTGACACTTTGAATCGGATCAATTACAACAGCGACAGCTCTCGGCGACAAAGCCTCGAAACTTTGTTGAGTATTAACATCAACACTAGACAACCAGCACCCAAACCCAGGATGAGAATGGTACCACCCGACCACCATTTCCTGTCGGCCAGTCTGTTTCAACAAATCCATCATTTTAGTCTGGAACACCGGATCCACGGCTTCGACTGACACTCCAGTACCCGATTGCGGCATGGCAAACACGTCCAGCACATTGATAGTGTAGTCATCAACAAAGTCACCCAACATCAGCCCCATCACTTCCATTGGGACACCTGAGCGAGCGTGACGAAGCATCTTCAACAAGGCCAAAGCCGAAATATAGACGGTTTCTGAAGTGTCTGGGTGAGTGGCATTGTCTACGGCTGGAGCTGTTCCTTGAGATAACTAAAAAACAAATATTATTCACTTGTATTATCATATATTGGCATAATCTATAAGTTGAAGAAATCTTTTTACTTATAAGCCATCTTTATGCCTAAAACAATGTAAAATGCACAAAAAACTTTTAACATCAGAAAAGCCTTTACCATACTAACTACACATAGTACTAAGACTAAGGCGTGATTAAATCAAGCGCTAGACCGCCATAAACAAAAATCACCATCATAAAACTTACATTACGCAAAAGCGAAAGCATTGTAACAACCAACCGTTCTCTTGGCACAAGAAAATAATGACTAGAAGTTGATGGAGCTTCTGAATTCGAATCAAAAGGAAGAGTACATCGGATTGATAGATGTCAACATCCCAACCTTACCCAACACAGAGAAATTTCAACAGGAATACGAGTTTTTGTACAACAAACTTATTTTCCGAAACGTCTAGAAAATACGTCATTTTTACAAAGTTAACGGTATGTGTAAACCTATTTTTTAAATAAAGTGTTTTAAAATCTAGCAACGTTATATATTTCTAATGCTTTTAGTTTGACAGGTTTTATAACAGCTATTTTAGATGACGTATTTTATGGACATTTTCACAGGTTTGCAGAAAATATTGAAATAATAATATAAAACAGTGTAAAGATGGGCACAGAAGTGGAAGAAGTCAGCATTGCGCCTTCTCATGATGAAACGATAATTTTAGACGCTACAGATGATAGTATTATCGTTGAAAAGGTGGTGTTCTTCAAAAATCGACCTAAACTAACCGAATACGCGAAGAAGTGTGTGTTACTACATTGTTTACTTCGATGGAAGGATACTAGATTCGTTGATAAGTTTGACGCAACTGTGTTAAAACATGCGGTATGTTTTAATATCTTTAGTGTTATTGATAATGTTTAAAATCATATATATTGGTTTAAACGTGAGAGGACGTATTTTAGGTAATATCCAAAGAGTTCTCTGGCATTTTCTACAAATTATTGAGCTGTTCACATTTGGAGTTTTGTGCAAATTGGAATCCTATCAAAATCTTTGTTTCTTACAAGTTTATGATCGTTATGGACTCACGAACCTTGTTGATATTACACTTGCTGATAAAGTTTCGCGTAGCGTCGATTGAACTTTGGAAACAGTTCCGGAACAAATTGAAGAATGGCATTGCCACGATGACAGAGTGTTTTCTAAGTATGGGTTTAATTTTACGTTGTATTTTTAACTTTAGGTAACAAAAGTGGAAAATTCACATTTTTAATTTTAGTTATGTATAATGTTAGTTTGGCCAATTATTACGTGATATTACTTGCTTAGTTAATTTTGTTACAATTTTAGTGTTACGAAAGCCGAAAGCCGCTTTGAGTCACATCAGTTATGACGTTTTTAAGCAACTTTTGTTGGGAAGAGTGTTGAAGTGCAACAATTCGTTTGTGATGGTCGAGTGTTGTGCACATCATGTCAAAGACTTCCCTTATTACACTACAGTAAAGATGTTAAGGCTAGATCCATGTCAAAATGATAACGTATCATATAAAATTAATTTTCCCGTTCAGAAGTTGAGAGTGAATTACACGGTGGATCGAAATTTGCTTCAGTATATTCTACCACAGTAAGTTGTTTCAGATATTGATTTTTTGATAAAAATAGAGAAAATTAATCTTTTTAAGGCTAAAAAACTTAATTAAAGCTGGATTGTCCATCTAGTTTTGAGTATTCGTATGTTAACATTATAATATTTAGAGGAAATGTGAAAGACAATTTAGAAGAGCTGGTAGTAATGCTGGACATTAATGGCACAACAGAGAACTTGAAACACAATTACTTTAAAGGATTGTTGCAATATTACCGTTACTTTAGTTCTTTGAAGCATGTTATTGCCAAAATACGTTTAAATCTACATTCATATGATTGCTTGGTAAGTTCTGGATCATCTACTTTTACTGATACGGTAATTATTATTATATTTAAGGGATATTAAATATTTTTTAGTTAATTTACAGTATAAACTTTTAGTCCAAGTTCAATGCCAATGCAACGTCTTCGTTGGTATCTGAAATGATCAAGTACTGGCAGAAGGTACCAGTTAGACTGACACTAGAAGTGAGTCACGTTATGTCGGACAGGACAGTAGATGAAGTTACAGTAGTTAAAGAGTTGCGAAGAGTATTATTTGGTCAATATACAGTAGTTACCACGGAAAACGGCGAGGAATGCGAAGCACGCGGGCGAGTTTTCCACTTATTATTAAAGTTTGTTCATTAGTTTTCAGTTTGTTGATTTTGTTATTGTAACTTTAAGTAGTCAGAGATAAACTTGTTTGTTGCAAGTTAACGATCACATACTGATCATTTTTCAATATTTTAGTTGGTTTAACTGTGAATGGTAAATTAAGAGGGGATAGGTGATTGTGTAGGTACTAAAGGAGAGGCTTTTACAAAATTTTTAATTTTTTAAGGAAAGCTTTTTATTGTCCATTACTCTTTTCTAGGGAAAACGCTGTGTTTTAAGATATCAACAAAGTTTACAACTGTGGTTTGTGGCTTCTAGAGAGTATAATACCTTGTTAAACAAGGGTAAACTTGGGGTTGGGTAAATATTCAAATTTTTGCGGTTGATTTCTAGTCATAAGACATATAAGGAGCGATCTTTGAACCGCATTATAATGTTAAATGATAGTTATTTTATGATAAAAAGTTAAGCAAAAATAGGATGTTTAATTATTAACAACTGTTTATAAATTCGAAAAAGGTTCATCTTAAGCCTAAAAATGACTTATTATGAACATAAGATTTTTAGGCTTAACTATTATGGACATAAGACCTTTAGGCTTAACTTTTTATTTTAAAGGCTGTACTATTTATGTTATAGGATTAGTTTCATGACTTCAAGCATTATCGTACAAACTACATGATACATGTGTAAAATTGTATTACGAGGTCATTCGAGATTAGTACCATATCAGTTGGAAGACAATTGCTGATATCAAGTTTTGACTTTTTTCGGAGTTTAAACCTTGTTCGCATAGTTTAAATTTAGCTTTTAAAGTACATTAAGACTAATAAAAGTCATTAAGAAGGGCAAAACAAACTTTTGTTTAACAAAGCATTGAGTTCTTGTAGCGTCACTGTAGTTATTTGAGGTATGTAAGGCAAAAAGATTAACTTTTTTTTGTGAAGATTATAAATTGTAGCGTATTACATATTGTAATCGACGTACTGTAAGTGGTTGTACGATGCATATGAATTCACTATGCGGTAAATTAGTTTTTTTTAAAATATTTTTTCATTAATTGTAGTACTTTAGACACTACTGTAGCTTATTATAAAGCAAGGTAACCTACAATTTTATTTATAGAACTTAAATTGGCGTAAAAGCTTTGTGCAAACTACAAATCTGGCTACTTGATGCTGGTGCTATACAGGGCACTAATTTTGAAAAAGGAGGATATTGTATGATGTAAAATGTAGGATATTATGTTAAAAGATAAGCTTGTTATAAAATTAGAATAAAAAAAATTGTATTTTAAATTTGAGAGAAGATATTCTCAGTATAAGGCACACTTCTTGTTCTGTTATTGACCTATACTTAACTATCTCTTTGTTATTGTATTCGCTTGTGACGATTGACGTCGAACGCAAATAGCCGTGCTGAAAGGCGCTTGCACAGTTGGGAAAACAGTAGCATATCGTTACATAGCTAAAAAAATTTGTTTTAATAGTCAACGTGTTCAAATAAGGAAAGTTTCTGTTCAAAGGTTAAAATTTTAAAAAAATAAAAAAACATAAAAATTTTAAAAAAGTTTCGAAAAATTAGAAAGAACTATTTAAAAGGTTTTAAAAATAGCTACGTGTGTTTTATTATAATCTCTATACAAAAAGTTGTGGAAGTTTTAAAAGTTCTGATAAGACTTGCAACAACTGCCAATGTTATGTTACATTTAATGCAAAAAAGGCTAGTTCTCTCACAATGTCTTAACTCGGCAACTTTTTATCAAAAAACCCACTAAAATTACAGTAACCTTATACAAATATAATTTTTTTAGAATGACGCAATTTTTAAAATTTACCAAAAAGTTGTAATTGATAGCCAAACTACAGTAAACTGCTGAGTAAATAGCAAAACTACAGTAATTTGTTGAATAAATACGTAGTTTTGCAAAAACCATAACCGAACCAAACAGTTTGTCATGCTGTTAAGATAATATACATATTTCGTTGTAAAATCATTTTCCATATTCTGGAGCTTGGTTGTAGTGTTACACTTTTAATTAAATAGAGTGGAAAGAACCACCTGAGGCATTTTTACTTTGGTGCAACTATGCTGCACATCTGCAAGTGTTTACCTAAGTTTAAATTTTTTAAAATTGTAACGAGAAAAAGTAATTTAAAAATAGAATATTGTTACCTGTAGAATTACTGTGAAGAAATTTTTGCGTAAAATATTGGGAAATTTAATTACGCTGGTATGACTTTTTTTATAGTATCGCTTTTTCATGGTTTTACTGTAGTATAAGTCATTCTTTATCGCAAGATCATAAAATTGTTGTTAAACTGTGAACCTTTTACACTTTTTTCCAAAACCTTAACACTAACAGAAAAGGAGGTAACAAGCTTCAGATGTATCTACTGATAGTATTTTAAAATCATGCCAGCTATATCATTATATTATTCATAAACTTCTTATAACAGCTCTGCATCCTCGATAATACTTGCTATACTGTGTAATATTGAAGATACAGTTATGTTATAAGAAGTGTAACATGAAGGCCTGATTGATGTTACATCTCTTTCACCTTACACTGTATTATTTGTTTTACATTTCTCATGCAAGATGATTGGCACGATCATCCCCGCTTAAAACATTTGTGGAATTCCAAAAACAGCCATTTACATTGATCACAACCATCAATTACATCGAAAAACAAACTTAGAGGAAGTTCACTGGCCCCACACGACTGTTTGTGCAAATCATAGTACATGTTTGTGTAGCCGCATGTTGCTACACAAACATGTACTATGATTTGGCTACCTTGCAAAAACTTTCCGAACACCTGGCTTATTAATAATTGTGGGCGGGTCTCGGGGGAATGATGCATTTTTATCAACTTTGATTAACTACAACTCAAAAGAGGCACTTTAATCTTCGAATAAATAAGCGGCCGGGCCTATTCGTATGATATTATCCTAGCTATGGCAAAAACAAGGCTGGTCATCGACACGGACGCGGTCACCGACGATGTCCGAGCGGTTTCGTTGGCGTTGCAACATTCGAATTCAGAAGTATGTTTTGTGTACTATCACTAACCTATTTTTAATTTTTAATGGGGTTTTTAAAATTGCAACAAAATTTTTGTTAAAAATTTCGAATTTTAATGTTTTAAAATTATCACTTTAACCTAATTTTTTAGGCTTCTTAAGCTATATCTTTAAAAAAATGAAATCTCACAACTGTTATGCACAACTAAACTCATACATTTCAGGTTCTGGCCATCACTACAGTAGCCGGCTGTGTGCCCGTGGAGCAGGCCGTTGCCAATATGGTCCGAACGCTGCGAGCCAACAATGTCACGGGGGTTCGCATTTTTTTCGTTTTCTTATCAGTTTATCCGCTTAAAATTGGTCGGGTGAATGGTTGCAACGACCTTCTATATTTAGTTTACAAATATTGAAATTTTAAAATCCCATCCATCACGATATTGATGTAGTACGTTGGGAAAGCTACGTTTTCCTTCGGTTTGATGTAGTTTGATCTGGAGTGGTTGTTTGTGACAAAGTTGATGGATAAGATTGTTAATTTATAGCAGTTATATTGTGGGTACAAAAAAGTTGAATTTTTTACATGAAAAATTAAAATTTACAATTATCTTTAGCAAAAAATTTAAAAAAATAAAAATTTTACCCCCTCCTCTCAAAAAAAACATAGCGATGCCCTTTGCCTGTGCAACTTGAAAAAATATTGTTCACCTTTTCCTCAAATTTAATATTGTTGTTTACCCAAAATAATGAAATGAACCAAACACGGTATGTTTTGTCTGCCCACCGTATTCCGATCGTCCCTTATCGGCCACGTTGTTTATGTTTGTTACTTGAAATTCGTGTTGGTCGTACCACATTAACCTTGTTTTTCGTTCGAAAATAATTCTGTTGAGTAATCAGAAAAGCGATAAACGGATTAAAGCACAAACGCTTTGTTCCTCCGCTGATATTATTAAAGTTTGAAACAATTTGAGGAATGGTATTGTTGGGGTAAGCGGGTTTGGTTGGAGATTGGACTGGGAAGTGTTTATCATTCTAGGCTTAAAATAATTTTAATCATATTAACCATCAGCTCTAATATTTTGCATTTAAAATATTTATTTCCAATTTTAATATGGTATGTTAATATCGATAATTATAACGAAGAAAACAGGTTAAAACTGCATTCATTCAAGCTAGATTCATATCAACTATACTATTTTTAGGTTCCCATATTCAAAGGCGCCTCCAAACCCCTAATCTTGAACAACCACACCCGTCACAACGAGAAGATCCTCTTTGGGAACGATGGTCTGGGTGATCACCCCACAGAGTTTCCCACAGTACGCCCAGATGACTACAATGGACATCAACATGAGATCCCTGCCGCCATCGCTCTGATAGATCTGTTCAGAAAGAACCGTGACCTTACCCTAGTCTGTCTAGGACCATTGACTAACATAGCGTTGGCCATTAAGCTAGAACCCAGGTTTTGTGAATGGCCCAGGAAAATTGTCGTAATGGGAGGCAATATCTATGGCAAAGGCAACATCAGCCCCAACTCTACGGCCGAGTTCAACTTCTCAATGGATCCGGAAGCTGCTTTCATCGTGATCAACGAAATGAAGTGCAAAATCACGGTGATACCATGGGAAGCGTTCCTACACGAAAGTAAAGTGTCGACGGTCGACTTTCATGCTCATCTGAAGCTGGACGCTCCATTGGCACGGTACTTTGAGATGGTGACGAGGAGGGGAAGAAAGACGTTATCAAAAGTGGATAGACAATATGGATATTGTGATGAAGTGGCTATGGGAGTCGCCTTGGATCCGGACTCGTTAGTTTTGAAGGAAAAAGTGCTACAAGCTTCGGTCGAACTTCATGGAGCTTTAACACGGTAACTATTGAGATTTATAAACCTAAAATAATGTTTTGTAAAATCATTTCGTTTTGAAACCCAAAATTACATTTCATTGTTAACTTAACTTATTTTTCATTGTTAATATGACACTCTTCATCAACAAACCACCAATTTCAGAGGCCAAATGGCTATTGACTGGATGGAAGGTATCTTCCCTGAAACCATGAGTGCTTCAATTCATCGTATCAACAGCCATGTCAGCTTTGTCTTGGCATACGATGTAAAAGTACTTGATGAAATGATATTCGAAACGATTCGAAGATCAGAAGAAAGGCGAAAAAGACTCGAACTCTTATGAAAATACCATGGTAATCAGCTCGTTATAGAGTTGGATGTATCTTGTAACAAATTAATGTTTATAAAACTACTGTACATAAAAAATTAAACGATTAAAATACTGTTATCAACCGAAAATGTTTCTAAACTTAGCTTTCAAATTATGATCAAAGTATTTTTGAAAAGGTTTAGTCTTTTTGAAAATGTTAAAAATCATATTTATTTTTAAATTTCGTTTAAGTCTACGGTAGTCCTTTGGTAGTCTTTGTTGGCGACGAAGGCCTCCCATCGACTAGCTGGGTAGATATGTTTGTTCTTTTCGTACCAATTCCTCATCACTATCTTTACGGGGTGAGATTCTCCAATGTCCAGAGCGGCATCTTGTCTATAAACGTACAAGGTTAATAGAAAAAACGATAATGATAATATCTAAAAATAAGATTTAACATCAATAATATAAAACTATAACAATAAAGCCAAAAAAACTTTTATAAAATTTAAAGACCTGCTAAATTCACAAACACAAAAAAATTTTACAGGCTTTTTGACCAAATGTATCGAAATTTATAATCGATCCATCTCAAAAGTAATCAAGTCTAATACCTATTGTACCTACCTTAACCTGATCTCCCCAACAGCATCAAATTGCCATAACGGTCCAGTTTTTCCCATGGTTCTTGTCGCTATGAAATCTTGAAAACTGAAAATCAAATTCACCTGTCAATTAGTCTTTTATAAGGTAAACTTACGTATAGAAGTGTGGAATGATCAGATCTTCCTTCACAAACATTAATCCTTCAGTTGTTACTGATCTAAACTCGGCGAAGTCTTTTCGCAAAATCTAAAATCGTTAATATTATAATATAAGTTAGGTAATTCAATAATATAACATCAAATTCTTGCTGATTACAAAATGTATTTTTTGATTTTTTATAAATGTCGTTTCAATTTTGACACACAATGACATAGCAATATAGCCATCATGTATTATTACCAACTGAAAACAACGATCTACCATCTGTTCTGTAGCCACCAAGAAATGACTTCGACTTGGTCTGAAGTCGAGTGCCGCGTTGTTTAATACACAGCCCTCAAGGTTTCTCCCTCCTCGAATCTCTTGGCAACTTTCCATTGGCAATGACCGAGGTCTGGTAGTATCTTAGTCCGAAAACCTCGACACCTAGGAATAGAAACCTAAGACTTAGGCTTAAATCAAAGGCCAATGAAATGAACAGATGGATTACCTCATCGTTGAGTTTAAAAAAATTTTTAAATAAAGCCTTGCTCTTATACTGCATTATAAGCTCACAAAACTTTGAAATTCCATGTATAACTTAAAGATATTCCTTACCTCAATTGCTCGTACCAAAAACTGTGAAATCGTGGCGCCTTTCTTCATCTTGGTATCCCTCCTATGGCTAGACCCATCCCAATAACAAAATGCCACATTGATCTCCTCATTCTTCTCCTTCTCGGTCTTTTCTTTGAACTCTCGAGCCAACTTCTCACGTTTTCTGAATAACAAAACCTTCACAATACATATCTATAACCATAATCTTACCTTATAATCTCCAATTCTCGCTCCCGATCTGGCAAGAATGAAGTATCTACATCTGGATTCATCCCCAATCGCTTTTTAGGTATGAAAACTGGTTCTTCGTCTTCTTCTTCATCGTCTCCAAACGACAATATTCGCTTCTAAAGATGAAAAAGAAAAGTAACTAAATTTTAATCTTACCTGAATCTTGATGGGCTTTTCGCCGCTTCCGTTAGGATCATCATCCTCCTTTGAACCTCCAGATTCTGATTTTAAGGCAGTTTTTTGTTGTCTTATCTTCTCCAATGTCAGTAATCCAGCTGTGCTTGGCATCAACGGGTCTTCCTTTGACACAACATTCGCGGTAAACTTGTCAGTAATACCAAGTTCTACTGAAAACTAATCGGCATTATTGCTCTTTCATAAAACGTTTATTCTGTTGCCTATTTTCAATACCTAAGACATCAATGAAAAGCATAAACTTACAAGCTTTTCGTTCGTTTTCCAATTTCTTCTTTTGCATCTCAATGTTTTCTTTGGCACGTTCACGTTGAGCGGCCAAGTGTACAATTCGTCCTCGATCCGGTTTTGACATGTTGATATTAAAACAAAATTTCTAAAAGAGTTAAGTTGTTATATCTTCCTCCAAATAATAATATCTATAAACACGTACAACAACTCGGAAACAAAAAATTGTCTAGCTTTATATATTTCGCGCTCAAAAATATAAAGAATAAAATAATCTTAAGTTGAACAGTTATGGATTTCGATTCGAAAATTTACCAAAGTTCAAAAAAAATTAACAACAATAACCAGAGCAAAATATAATATATTAACCTTCGTTTTCGATGACTCCTTGACTTGTTATAGTCACCCATGTACCCACTTTCCTCCCTTTTTTACTTTAAAAAAAGCTTTAATCAACGATCGATGGGATTCTGCAGCTGATTTGCCTTGTTTAAAGTCGTACAACATACACATCCGCACGTCACGTCTCGAGATAGACATCTTTAAAACAATTTTTAGAAAGTTTGACAAAAGCAATAAAGACAAGTTATATATCGTAAGACGCGCATTAAAGCGAACTATAAAACAGACCTACAATGGGACAATCAAAGTGAATATTAAGGTAGATATTAAACACTTAAACACTAAAACTTTCCCAAAATCCGTAACTGGGCAACCTAATATATAAACATGTACAAAAACCCGAAAACTAAAAATTGTCAAGCCTTATATGCAAAAGGCACAATTTCGCGCTCAAAAAATGTAAGAGTAAAACAATAGCGTCCGAAAGCTGCGCCCAATACAAATGAGAAACTTATGACCAACTTATACGATGAAATTAAGGCAAGTAACAAACCTAATAGAGTATGCAAATCATAACGAATATATATCGCGTTTTTTACTATTAATTATAGAAATAAGAACTCTGTTTCAAAAAAAAATTCGCCAAATTATATTTGTTTCAGATTTTGGGCGCAGCTTGACATTGCTACGCTTCACCTGCTGCAGACTGCGAAGCCTTATTATGCTTGTAATTGGCGTTAACAAATCGAAGCGGTTAAAAATTAATAATTTATTGAAAGGTCAATCTGTACAAATAAAAATGACATTTTAAAAAATCTTGCGACAATAAGGTCATATTAATTCTTATAATAATATAATATTATCCCTTTATAATGACTTCATTATGTTATTATTATGCAGAAATATTAAAGTCCAACGGTACCTTTTGCTCATCTTCGAGGGGTACGAGATCTTTTCCCTTTTTGCACAAGAATGTGAAGAATAAGAATCCACAGAATAATATTGAGGATGAACTCATCATTAACTGGAGTGATGGTCCGGTTAGTAAGAAGCCTATCATAGCCGTGGCTTCGAGGATATATACAAAGTGGGCCAGTACCTGTAAAGTCGTTTTTGTTATTTTTTATATACAAAAGTTTTAAAAAATGAAAAATAAATATTTTGCGCGGTGCAAGCTCAAATATAAAAAACTGCACCGTGCAAAATTTAAAAATAACAAAAAATTTTTAAAAAGCCAATAAAATATTGTAAAACTTACTTGACGATGTAAAAAGGAAGCGACATACGATCCAACAGGGCATAAACCTACTGCAATAGGTATGGTAACCTTGATATAGTCAACAACAATATCGTTGACGTCTCCCATTATCATGTATCGCCAGTACACACAGAATTGAGATGATAAGGCTGAAATGCTTATTTTTAACGCATCACTATCAAAATGTACCGTCATTTTTAACCTTTACAATGTAAAGTTCTAAAGTATTTTTGCAGACTGCAAAAACTTTTCCCAGCTGCGCCCTTACAATTGCATTAAAGGACCAGTTTGGATAAGTCTTTTGTCAGGCTTTTCTGCAACAGATCAGGCAATCAGGGAAGCGCGAACTTTTTTGGCGCAAAACGTGAGCGAGTCGATTTGGAATAAAGGAAATCATTTACCTAGTGTACCCGCTCACGTTTGGCACGAAAAAAGTTCAACAGCCAAAACGAAAAAATCTTTGCGACAAAAGAAGTTATCCGGACTGGTCCTTTAACATACTCGTCGATTTTTTCACACATTTTTTTACTTTATATCCCTACAGTCAAACACCAACTACTTTGAGCCACTTACCCATAGCAATGACAGTAGTAGGTGTAGCATTCTTCTCAGAAACATTGAAAAGCAATGTTATGATGGAGAATATGCAAATGTCAACTCCACTACCAGCAAAGGCTGTAAATACTCCTCCGACAAACCCTGTAGCTACAAGTACCATGGCTTTCCAAAAACAGAACTCTTGAATCTGAGGGAATGTCTTTCGTTTCTTTTCGCGATTCAGAATCCACAAAGCGACGGCAAAAGAGCTCCAGATGCTCACGAACAGCATTTTCTTTTCTGGGGCTGTAAAGTTGGGGTCGACCTGAAGTGATATTAATTTAAAAGTCTGTAGAAGTTTTTTCTATTTGTAAGGAATTTCAATTATTAACTATCTTTGTCGTATTTTACAGTCTTAATTTAGGTATAAGAAGTAGTATCTTTACTATATTATTATTCCTTTTTTAGATATAAAACTACTTTTTGTAAAATGTATTATGTCATTAACCGCATAAAAGTCGTCGAGCTTTGACTTACAAAGTAGAGACCAAAGATTTGGCCAGGAATTGATCCAATAACTCCAAATGTAATCGCTCTCCATTCGACTCGTAACCTCATGAATACGATGGCAAATAAAGCTGCGCTCATACCTATAAAGTTCGAGAAGATTTCAAACTATACAATAATTTTCTTTTAAGATTCTAGAATATACCAATATTTTTTGACAAGACTCTCTAACCATTCTAACGTAATATAAAAACGGACTAAAGTATTACCTAAGAATAAAGTTTAAAAAAAGACTTACCACAAGCTTGAATAGTGATTGAAAAGTCCCTGCCGTCTTTTGGTGACATGTGTAAAACAAATGTCATAACTGGGAATGCAATCGCGCCTCCACCTTCAGATGTCATACCTACAAGCACAATCCTATAAGAGAGCTTGAAGCCAAATTGTTCTTGACCACAACTAAGATAATATACCAAAGTATGACTAGAAATAGACAAGAACAAGGCGAGGCTTGAGAAAAATGAAAAAGGTTGGGCATAATATTAAACTGAGCGAGCCTATTCACAAGTATAGTCAAGCAAGAAATTGGGCCCGGCCCATTTCTACCCAAAAACCTTTAAGTTTAAACTGTCAAGAAAGTTTAAAAACAGCTTAAATCAGCCATTTTAAACGTACCAGCAACAATAGCACCGAAGAGCATAGTAACGGGCATGTGCCAATGAGTACTGTATAAAGCAAAGTAATTGTAGGTAATGGCAGTTGTCCACCATAGAAACTGAAGTACAATGACCGGAATGCCAAAGGCTATCAACTTCCGATGTCTTTCCACGAATTGGCCTTCTGGGGTTAGGTCACACAGACTCTGAGTGTCGTCATCTTCTTCTACATGGTTAAAGTACTTCTGGAACCATTCTCGTGCTGTTCGTCGTTTTGGTGGAGGTAACGATTGCATATGGGCTACATATTGAGGATAAGTTATGTACTACATCGACATATTTTTATTTACGCGTCAGAAGACCGGTATAAACGGAATTACAATTGTTTTTTACTGTATAATATCAAAGTAAAAGTAAATTATTATAGTATGATAAGCCTTCAGTTAACAAAGTAGGGTAAAAAAGATATTTTTTTAAAGCCAAAACATTTTACACCCCCTAGTGCTCTTATTAATAATAAGTTTATTTACTTTCCATCAGTTCCCTTCCCTTCTCTAATCGCAAGTTCAACTGTCCCGTGCACCCCCTTATGGTACTATGTAATTAACGGTTATTAATTGAGTATATAAATCAAAAAGACTATCAAGCAGTGACGCCAACAAAAGACACAAATTTTAAAAATACTTTGGCAAGCTCATTAATAACAACATCAAAAGGTTACGGAGAAGGTGACGGCAGTAACTACACACAAGAGGAAGGCTATGACAAGAAAGATACAGATAGGCGGAAAAGGTTACGGCAGTAACTGTGATGATTTATGTCATCACTAAAGAAAATAAAACGTGCATTCAAAACATTTTTAATTTTTTTAAAAGTTGTTTTTAGAGTTCGATTGCTGCGAAAAGAATGGCGCGGTTCAATCAATAAGTTGATGCTAAACCAATATGACGTTACAACCAGTATTAGGTAGGAGTAAGATTGGGTGGAAAAGAATGAGGAAGAGTAGACTTGGGTAGGGCTAAAATTGGCAGCGGTAGGCTTGGGTAAGGCTAGATAAGTTTATTTTTAAATTCACGTTGGGGGTGATCTGTTCAGTGAAGTGACCTATTCTAGGAGTGACCTATTACCGGAAGACGACCCCGTTGATGCATAAAGAATGGCATGCTTGAACAGACAAGCTGATACAAAATGAAAGCCGCATCAATTTTCTACCAAAATTACAAGCCTAAAATACAGTAACCCTCCAAAACCCCATCAATAAGCCCAACATTAAAGCCACAACATTTTGTCCCCAAACATGCTAATATAATAGTACAGTTGCTATTTGTAACCAACTATTTGTCAAACATGGCTAGCCCCACCCCTGAACCCGCTTAACCGCTTAGCCGGTCTTTATTTCTGCGCTAAACAATGGACAAAAGAATACCACGGAAGCGGTCGTAATGCGCGTAAAAAAGGTAACAAATTGTAACTTGTAATTTGGGCTTCAATTGAAATGCAATTTTCGTTTTAAAAGGTCAGAAGATCATAGAAAACCCAATTTTAGGAAATGGTAATCTAGGTAATAGGTAATGGATTATCACAAAGATGAGGACAATAACCATAACGTAAGTAATAGAAACAAAAGAAAAGTAGGTATAAAATTTTTATAAAAAGCCTTGTTTTGAACATATAAAATGAAATTGAACATGTAAAATGTAGAATTTGGTCTGCAATCAGTCCAGTTGTTTTAAAGGTCGATTAATCGAGGATAATATCAATTTTCAATAAAACTTAACATTAATCTATTAATATGACTTCATCAAATTAAAAAAATATAGCTTTTTAAAATGTAATATCACATGTTTTTGTTTCTTCTCTTTTAGTCACTACTATAGCTAGCTATAGCGCTAACTTATCAGCTGATCGCTGGAAATAGAAACAATAGAGTAACGGTCACAAATATTTACGCGCGGTTGACCGATCCGCCCTGTTCCTAATCGTATAACCCCACTAATCGGCTTATACACAACCTTATAGTATAATATAGTACTAGATATATCAGAAGACATATCTGCCTAGTTAGGTATATACGTATTAGCTTATTTATGTTATAATATTAGGGTTTTTAAATAATTCTGTGACCCCCTTCAAAACAAATTTTCGGTGTTAGGAGCATAGAATTAATCGAACAACGTAATACTTTCTTCGGAAAGGTTTAGAAAGAAGTTCACCGGTGCAAAAGTTCGTGGAACTGTATTCTTCTTCACTTCTCAAGCCCTCTTTAAACCTGTTTTCATTAAAAAATTAGTACTAGTACTATCATAAGCACACTATAATAGCAACAAAAACAAAAAAAAGTCCAAAACTTTGTTTCCAATTGTATTTATTTACAAAAGTTTGTGGTTCCCACAAAAACATCTACATTTACAATATAAGAGCTGAATCCCGTGAATGGTGCTAATGGTACACGAATAATTTACTTTCGCATCGATCTCATCGCCAAAGCTATGACGGCCGCCGCGCCAACGGCCATGCTGCCCATACCAGCGGGGGTGGATAGGAAGGTGGGTGGCTTGGGGTCGGCTGTCACAATGTGGTCACGACCAAAGTGAGGAGCTTCCGACTAAAAATATAAAATATTATAATGAAATGTCAAAAATGATACAGTAGACTTCCTAATTTTGATTTTTGTCAATTTTAAAGTTTTTAAATTTGAATTCCGTAGTAAGCCCAAGAAACGCCTAATATTTGACCCTTTTTGCATTGTTACCTAAATATTTACAAATTTAGTGCAAAATTCAAATATTTGGTCGTTTCTTGGACTTACATGGCAAAAGATACGTTGAACGTTGTATAGAGGTAACGACAGATAGGGCAATATTAAGATACCATGTGTCACACAATAACGTGAATGGCAAGATGTAATCGTACAGTTCATACATAGTATATTAGATATACATAAGATACTATTCTGCACATATAGATAATACAACATATGTACAATGATATATCTGCATACATTAAAGAAAGAATCATGTACCATGTATAAAAGGCATCGTGTACCAGTTTTAAAAAGATAACATCACAATATGTGACAAGGTAAATCCGTAAAATGATAAAAATATGACAAATTTTAAAAGATAAACAGTAAAAATACTCAATTCAGCACCAAACACTCAAAAATAGTACTGTGCCGAATCTTGTCACAAAAACTGAGGTAATCTCAAGTAATTTGGGTAATAACTAGTACGAACCGTAGCAATTCCAGCTGCATTCTCGCCCGTCATTTCACGTTGTTGCTTCGTCATCTGTTGGGCTTGCCACGCCGGATTCTCGTGGTCCTTGGCATTTTTGTCACGAGCTTGCTGAAAACAATCATCCTTATCATCAAAATCAAACTTTACTTAAACATTGAAATAAAGAAGTTTAGTCAAATTTTACAGCAATAAAAGTATAATATATCTCCATTTAAATACCTAAAATATTCAAAAAGTAAACGCGGTAAACTTACTCCGAGTTCGTCCAATTCTTTAGGAGAATCCTTCTTCAAAAATACCATTTTAGCTGTTCAATTTTTAATTGATGTGTTAACGTAATCTGAAAAAGAAAACACAATAAAAATTAAATAAACATCAAGATAAATAAAAATATAGTTCAAACAACGCCACATTTAAAATTTCGGATAAAGAGCACTATTATGAGATATAACTATCAAAGCGCAATAATAACGGACTACACAATGTGCTTTCAAAAAATTAATGCCTTAAAATAAAAAAAATGTTTCAATACATATTTTTTAAATCGTTAAGTATACAACTTATGTCATCACTATGTTCAAAAAAGGAAAAAAATAAATCTTTTTACATTTTTTGTCAAAGTGAAAAAACTTTAGACGTCAAAACTTATATTTTTTCGAAGTTCAATGCAGAATTACGATCATAAGTTCCAAAAAACCAAATGTTATAAATTTAACGCCAAGTGTAACACTTTTAATCGCTTTCACAAAACAACAGCATCTCCAAACCCACAGTCTAAACTAAAAGCACTAAACAAAATCGTAAACACTGAACAAAATCCGGCTAAAAACCCCATGTTCTGATCCTACAAACCAGAAAACTGAAGTGAAATTGCGAAAGCTGGCCAACATAAACAGCCATCTGAAGCCGTCTTCGAAACCCTCCCCCTTCGCCGTTATCTCTCGTTGTTTACCAGTAGTTTTGGCGATCTTTGAACACCAAAACAACGTAAGACATGAGTTCGGGGCGGGGAAGCCGAGAGAACGTTGTTTTTCACAGAGAAAGCGAGCTCCCCGCTTTCCCTGTCAGATGCGGCCCATGTAGCGAGCGGCCAAACATCACTTGGACTACGTTTTGTAATAGCAAAGATAGGTAACAAATTTCTTCAAAAAATGCCTTTAGATCATAAAAATTTTTATAAAACCTGTTAAAAGTAAAAGCAAACAAAAAAACCGATAATTATACCCCTACAGTAACGCATAGAGCACCAGGCATACAACTTCCTTAAAATGCAAAAAAATGAGAAAAACACCCCACAATACACAGCAAAATAAAAACAAAAACCCATTCAACCTCGAAACAACCGTAATACGAGAAAAAACCAAACATACGAACATACTATGATGACTTAACCCGAATCAATACCCAAAATCTGTAAAACTTCAAAAAACTTACAAACCGAGCCGGTTGGACACAACAATCGCTTATCGAATCTTTTTCGATCCACGTTTATTTGTTGTTTACGAAATTGTTATGAAATACCAACATAAACAACTTTGATAGGTCCCGCAACGAAACACAAAAGTTGCTAAAATTGCGTAACGGAATGCCACAGACATTTTATTTTTTATTTTTTTTCGAAAACGTTTTTTGAACTTCGCAAAATCACGTAGATAAGTACGTGATTTCTCGAGCATTACATCAAGAGGAAAGAACAGTTTATAATATATTGGCAGTTTGGTCTACTTAAGCATTAGATCATGTTTAAGGTCAGGAGTGTGCTTCAAGCTCGGAGCTGTTTCGGTTTTAGATTGAATTCGAACGGCGTGAAGAATGCTCAGAATACAGAGGTAAGACTATAAAATGATCCTAATTGAATATAAAAACAATTTTAATAACTAATTTAATTGAATATTTCTTGTAATTATTGGTTTTCGTATTTTGCATGAAAACAAGTTTTTGTATACTATAAGTTTTGGAGACTTGCTACTTAAACATTTATTGTGTTGAACACTTTTATATCATAGCATTATTTTTTTGTGAAAGCCTGAAGAATAATTGAAAATACAGGTTTTAGGTTGAGAATAATATGCCAAGACACAGAACTAAACTCGATTATGATCAAAGCAGGAAGTTCGATCGTTCTACAGCTGATGCAAAATCTGGAGGAAGCGAACGGCCATCGGCGTTTCAACGTAGAATGATGGTTGTTACAGGTTTATATAGAAACACGGCCGAAATCCCAGAGCTTGTGTCGTAAGCTTTTTTTGTTTTCTGATTTTTAGGTTAGAGAGACTTTATTGCAAAATTGGTTAAAGTATAGTCAACTGGATGAAAGTACTGAATATTTTAAAAGAAAATCTTTTATATTTTTAGTACCCAGACTATGAATCGTCTACACGACAGGAATCGGGTGGTATTCATTGTGACGGCCGTTGCCATTGTGTTTGTGATTGGCGTTAATGCCGAGAAGTGGATCAGTCGAAAGATTGAACGTGAAAAAGCGTCTGGAAAGTCTATCAGCGGAATGATTCATTAAGGTTAAAATGGTTCTACATTTATATAGGTGGCAAAATAAACTATTTTGTTTTACGATTTTAATATTGACATTGAAGTCGCTCAATCGATTCGAATCTTTGAAGTTTAGAACTTGTTTTAATTTTACTTATATTGCTTTAGAATATGGCATTTCGCTCTCTGATTGTTAAAGGTTTGGGGATACGAACGGCAAGGATGGAGGAAACGAAGTCAGAAGAAGAGAAGGATGCGGAGTTCAAAGCGAAGGAGGAGGAATACAAACTTAAAAAAATCAATGACAAGAGACTGAGATACAGTGGGGTAAGTCTTCTTGTTTAAAATTCGTGTTATTTTGGCACAAAAGGCGTTATTATCGAATTACTCACTAAATTTACATTTTATTAAACTACCATAATATACAAGCATATTAACGTTTTTTGTAAATTAGAAGCATGTAAGCTACGTTGGTTTCAGGTCCCAAACATTCCATCAGACATTGGTTTTAATTCATCAAAGACTATATCAGGCAAAGGACAACAAGGTGGGACGATGTCCCAAGTTATATCAAACCCATTTGTCATTCTTGGAATGGCTCTAACTACGTATGCTTTGATGGGAATGATCAAGCGATCTTTCACAGGTGATCGACTAGGAACACAAAAGTATATGCAGTACCGTATCATGGCCCAGTTCTTTACCGTAACCGCTATGGTTGGTGGTGTCGCGTACTATGGAGCCACATACGAACAGACTAACAAAAAAATTTAGGTTTTGATACACTTACTGATAAGACTTCGTGTTATTAGCTACAATATGTTTTTAGTTCTAAAAGTGTTAAGGAATCATCAATTTTTTAAACCAACTTACACTGCTTTCAATTTATTGCAACTTGTGATAAGGTAAAGGACATTATAGAGTTTGGTTTGCTAACTACATAGGATATTGTAACATCTCCAGTACCATATGTATTAATATATATGTATAATTACAGTGGTCATGTACTATATGTGTTTGCGATAGTATATTGTTGTAGTTTTTGCTGTCGTTTAATTACTGGCTAACAATATGGCATCGTATGGCGGTCTGATATGTAGGTTCATTTAGTCTTTGTTGATCTTTTTATCATTTAAACCTTATTAAAACTCGGTGATAATAAACGAAGTAGTACATAATACGTTAGACCTTTACTATATAGAATAAATAAAAGCGGTGTTTTTTCTTAAAAATGGGAAATCAAATAAGTTTTTTAGGGCTTATAGTAAAGATGTTACCGAACGATGTTGCATATGTGTGGTAAACCGTTGTTTATTGTTATTAAAAGGGATTATGAATGTTTAAACAATAATAAAGTTAAGATTTATATGACAAAGTTTATAAAATTGGTTTAAAAATTAAGGTTAGATTCTGGTGTACTATGCAATGGTGAAAAATGGCACGCTGATGTGTATTATATTGCGGATTCGCCTCTGAAAGTTAAAGTCGATAAACAGTTTATGAAAAAATTCATATTTAAATATAAAAATATTACAAAAGTTCTTAAAAGTTATTTTTACTATTTAAAACAGCAAGTAATTGCAATTTTCACTCTAAAAATTCGGCCACAAGAGTTCCCGCGGGATTGGCATGCTCTTGGCATTCCGTTTCACTTCTCTCTTTTTCCCATTTTCGCGCTTTTTCGAGAACGTAACGTCCGTTTTTGGGGGACAGCGAGAATATTAATTTTTGTGTCCACCTTTTGTCAGTTCTTTCAATTTTTATCGTTCCTAGACAAATTATTTGACTTTTTAATTCCTTAATAAAACAAATAGTGTTTTAGAAAAATTGATGACAAAAGAATGTTTTGTGTATTTTGGAGGATGTAAAAGACAAAATCGTGTTGCCTTGGCTTCTATGACATAACTATTTGCATTTTCGTTGTTAAACGACTTTTTGTGGCGTAAAATTTGGGTTTTTTGGATATTAACAATGGTGTGAACCATTATATTGTCAAAACGAACAAATGTCATTTTCAGTTCGTATACCACCTCAAGGAATAGCTCAAGATGGCATCAACAGTCACGAAACACCCAATTATTTTGTGGGCTCAACGAGAAGATACAATCCTTTTAACCATTGAAGTTATGGACTTGAATGTTGAAGTTCTAGATTACAACGATGAAACACAGACGTTCACCGTGAAAGGCAGATCAAAAGCCGGAGACCAGTACGAGGCTGAACTAAAGTTCTTCGGAAAACTCGACTGGTCAGAAAGAAATCGCATCAAGACTGACAGACATGTCGAACTGATCATTCACAAGAAGGAGCCTCAATGGTGGCCAAGACTTCTTGAGAGTAAGGATAAGGTGCAGTGGATCAAGGTAAGATATTTTTTGTTGTTATTGAACCTTTAGGATCGAAATAGGTTGAGGAATATATGGTTATTGTCGTGGCATATTGCAACATCTTTTTTTACTTATACGTTATGGTTTTTGATATAACTTTTTTCATAAGGTAGATAGAAATCACATATTTTGCTACAAGTTAGCGTATTTCATTCTTCAACTAAAGAAAAAAATTGGTTTTAAAATTTAAAGATTTTTTAAACTTAACTTTTTCCTTAAGCTACTCTATATGAATACGATTATAATGAATATGGATCTAAAAATACTAATTGTATCAAACTTCAGGTCGACTTCAACAAATGGGCTGACGAAGATGATGAGGACGAAGCCGGCGGCGCCTTTGACTCCTCAAACTTCCAAAACTTTGACTTTAGCAAATTCAGCGGTCTAGGTGGAGAAGGAGAAGATGCCGATGTTGATGCCAGTGAATTACAAGATGAATTGGACGCTCACGGTGAAACCGACGACGAAGCTGAAGAAGAGTTGTCGAAAGTTGAGAGCGACGTCAAAACTACAGAATCCAACGCTTAAATCAACCGGTATAAAGTCATCCGTGGGTACCTCCATTCCGTGAATCGCTAAAGAACCTGGACTCATTTTTGGTCTCCTTCTCTTCTACCATCATATTTCTCTTGGAACTATTTTGTTAAATTTTTTTAATTTTGATTTAATTTTTGATAAATTAAGGTATAAATTGGAATCTTTCGAACGGCAATCTAACATTCATTATATTTAGCTATTAACCATATTATAGTTTGTGGAAAAGCGTGACTAGTGTTTGCTCGTTAACGGACGCCTGGATGTAACAAAACTGATGTTTTATCGTTGTGTGGGATAGATACACCGTATGATTATGTATGTAAATTTTTAATTAATTAATTTAGTAATAGATAACATTTGCGTGTCTAACAACTTGTAAGCGGGAGAGGTGTTTGTCTGGGAATTTACCTTGTTCACTTTTTAACAATTTTATTTTTTTACAAAATATGATTTATGTTACAGTAATTTACTAAAAAAGACGAATGAAAAATATTGTTTAAACGAAAATAAGTAACACAAAATACTGATCTGAATAAAAATAAGACTAAAATAATATATATTAAACATATTACACTGCATGTAATGATATTTTAGTAACTGATATACTTACTCGAATTGCTCAGCAATCGGTGGGCTTCTGACTCCGCCATTGATCGGCCGATATCCCTCGATATTGTCGTAGTCGTGTTTTCGGCCTTCATCAATAGATTTGACCGACCTTATACTAGTCTGTCTGCTCATTATCGTATCTTGACGTCGTATTTTATGCAATATTTCTCGCAACTTGTCCAGGATGGTGTCTACCGCGATTTCACGTCGATGACGTTCAATGTAGAAGCCTTCGTCTTGATCGATGGCCGTGAAGTCGGCATCATCACGGTTGGGCAGGTCAACTGACAAGGCTTCGGCTAGGACTTTGGCTAGTTCCCAAAACTAAAATTTTGAGGTTTTTGGGGCATAACTTTGTGGATCGTATGCAATTATTACTTGAAAAAGAATAAACTTTTAATTACTATGTGACATAAAGAAACCTAGGTATCGTAACACAGTCACGACACTTACTTCGAAAGCATTTTTCCTCTTTGAACTGGTGTCCTTCTCTTCTTCCTCCTCTTCATCCAAAATCTCATCCTCAACATCCTCGTTCGTTGCTTTCGTATCTTTTCGAACCGCTACATCTTCAGACATTAAAACTTCTGCGGATTCTGCCCGCTTTGTACATCCAGAACGTGCGGATTCTGGCTGTTCAAGTACCGCATTCTCCAACATAGCTGGCTCGGTAACTCGGCGTTCTATTGGATGGGGTTTCTGTTCTTCTGTAGAGGCTTGTCGTATCACGTCATAGAACTCTTTCCATTCACCGTTACCTTCTTCGTCGACTACTGAAGGCTTTCTTTCTGATTGTTCGGTGGGATCATTGTCGTTCATATTGTCATTGTTATGGCCCTCAATCTCATCGTTATCATTCTCATTGTCATCGTTATATTCGCTATAATTTTCTTCTTTGTTCAACTCCTCATCTTCATTAACTTCATCATCTTGATGCTCAGTAGAGTTCAAGTATTGGTTAAGAGCAAACGAATTGATAGGCTTATCATGGATAACATAGTCAACTTCAGAAACTGTAGACTGCCTATCATTGTGGTCGTGCAAAGCGTTGTATTCTTCAGCTAAAGCTTGTGCATGATCTATTTTGGACGATGAGTTTTCTCGACTGATGTTTTTTGGCTTTCTGTCGGTATTAACTTCAACTTTATTGACATCATTTGTAAAGACATTGTTTCTATCTTCACCATGGTTTTTGGCTTCAGAATCATTGCTTTTATCGTCATTTCGATTCGAATTCTGACTTTTAGGAGAAGAATGAGCACTCACATCATCTTGTCGTTCGTACTGGTCTACAGTATCATCAGCATCGTCATAATTTTTCTGGTTAACCTCTCTTTTTACTCTAGCATCATCATCAATCTCAGGTGATTCCTTATTCATTTGAGAAGAATCAGAAGTTTGATTTTCAAATTGCTCCAGGTCACGATGGGCATCTTTGACTTCTCTAATTGTCTCATCGTCTTCTGTATCCTCCTCGAAGAACTTGTGGGAACTTTGTTGACTAACACTTTGGTTATCATCTTCTTGGCTTTCTGTTCGTTGACTTTTATCATCCACAACACCGCTAGCCGAATTCTCCATTCCAAGATGTGCCATTTGACTTTTGCTAATGTTCTCTTCGACACTATTCTGCAACCCTTCACTTATGTCATCTTGACCTTGATGATGGCTATTTAAAGTTTTGTTGTCTTTATCAGAGTTGACATCATTTTCATCTTCTTTTCTTGCCATCTGTTGCTCCAGCATCTCGTACTTTAGATTATATGGTTCTTCTTGAAGCTGACTTTGTTTTTCAACGTTAACATCGTCTGCGACCTCTGGCATCGGCTGATTTGGATTGTTATCATCAACTACCACGCCATCCTCACTCTTCTTCTCGATACTCGAGCTTTCCGACAAAACTCCCAATTCGTTAATCTCCGGAATTACATTACGTCCTCCATTATCATGCTTTACATCCGTTTTGTGTCCGATTACACCGGTAGCAACACCGCCAATAACAGCATTAGCTAATCTGCCCGTGACGTCCTTGGTGATATTGCTTATTAGCGTTGAAGCATATGTTTCTTCGGCTGTAGGTTCATTATCTTGCCGTTTTTCCCATTCGCCTACTGCATTTTTGACAGAAGAAACTTTAGTTCGTTCGTCAACTTGTAGTGAATGTGAAGATTCGACTTCTGTTTCGATACTACAGCGTGAACAGGAACTCACGGTATCGTGCTGGAATTGATATTGTTTTAGCTTATACTTTTATTAGTTTTGTCAAAACTTGTATTAATTTATTTGGATTATAATAGCTAGTTAGGAATTAGTTTTAAACTAACCCCATCCTCGTCCTTTCCATTCGCCTTGCCAGGAGTAGGTATTCTGCTCTCTAATGAAGCGTCTCTCATGATTCTTGTCTCAATGTCATAAGGCACAGTTGTCGACGATATTGTAGTACGTTTTTTGGTGGGTTCTCCTTGACTCTTCGACCTTAAAAGCTTTGTTCTTCTTTCCTCGTACAACCTTAACTTCTCCATTAACGATTGGTTTTCTATCCTCAGATTCTGAAGTTCGCGTACTAGGTCTGAACGTTCTTTGTTCTCTTGTAGCATCGAGTTTATGGTTCGTTCTTTGTCCAAGGCTTGCTGAATTTCATCAAGCTTCTCGGTTAGAGCGCGAAGTGCGCGACTGTGGTCTTTACCTACAATATGGTACATGAATAATTAAATCCAGAATTTCATTTTTAAAATTAAAAACAAAGTAACTTAAAAAAATTCCCTTACCTTGTCTATCAATTTCCTCTGCTAAATTCCGGTTTTCGTATATCATGACCTTGAGTATAGGTACCAAAACTTGTGGTAGCCAATGTTTGCCTAGATTATGATTTTTGAATTTCAAAAGCAGATCATCTACTCGGTATTCCATTATGTCCCATCCTGGCTGCAGCTGTAGTTGACTGGCAAAGTCCTTGGCCCATTGGCTGAACACACTTTCAGCTCGCAAAGACTCACGGGCTAGTTGAGAAGCTTCTCGCAGCACTGGCAAGATACTGTCAACTGCTTTTGAAATGGGCTGAAAAGTATTGGGTTAGTATAATATTTTGTTAAGTTACTGTATGATTTTTACAAAGATTTCTTCTAGAAGAAGGATGACCTTGTGTTGTCTAACCTCTAATGTTGTCCTGTTTTAAACTATTCTATTGTATATACGATAACACACCCAAGCCTATCCGAAGCTGTCCTGCATTACATTACTCTGCCATATATATATACTAACACTTACATTGAGTTGATCACTGAAGAAATGGTCAAACTTGTCAAAAAGTTGTTCCTTCTCGTCTTGACTCATGTCGGACTTTTCGAAGATTATGCCACATTTCGAATTGACTTCCATCAGTCGAAAGCTGAAAGGTTCTTGTAGCATCTTGTAGGCTTCTCCAAATATATCGCCATTGTTCTTCAGAGCTGTTTCAGTGAGTCGTTGGCTGATATCCTGCAGCTCTTTACAAGAGACCACGAAAAAGGTTTGGTACACAAGCTCATTGATTCGAATCACACTTAAGGCAGCGTTGTCTAGGGCTGAAGTGAAGGTTAATATTAGAGGTATAAGTGTTTATAATGGAAGGAAATTGAGGTCGTAGTGGCTTAGGTTAATGTTTAGGCATAAAAAAGACAATTTTTTTTTGTTATTTAATTTAAAAAAGCTGGAAAAAGGTACTCAAAGTCAACAAGAAGCCCCATTAAACAATTTTTTTCATCAAAAATAATATTTTCTAACACTTCTTATGATACAAACAAAGTTTATACTTACAATTCCTTTTCTGAGCATCGCCATTACTAAGTTTAGGTAATATGGATGCAGATTCTTTTAATCTTGCTACTTCAAGTTCTTTACGATGTAGCTCGTTCTGTAGCCGAATAACACGATGAACTAATTGATTTCCAGTAGAATGAGTAGCTGAAGAGTCAATTGAGCCTCCATTTGAACCTAAAATATAATTTTTATATCCAAAAATTGTTAAATTAGGCAATAACTTTGCTTCCAAGCAAATTTTATTACAAAAAATAATATTTTTTAAAATTAAAAAATTGTTTTTTAAACTTTTGGTGTCTTTCATTGTTAATAATGTTAAACTTACCATCATTATACCAATCAGATCGGCAAGAATTGTCTCCGCTTCGATTTCCTGAAATTTCACTGATTTTGCTCTTTGGCGGTTTGCGCCCGACATTTTTCGCCAATTCCATAGGCTCATCTGCGACTTGTGACAGTGATTTGCCTGTTTGACATAGTCTAGGTACTGGTTCAGCCCTGATTTTACATAATCTTTGGTTTGCGATGGGTATGCGGTTAAACCTTTCGCTAAAGTTGTGGGGGTGGATTTTTTCCTGAAAACGGCAGATATTGCCATACAGTTAGTTAAAGTTTATTTTTATGTGATGTTTGTATAAGTGTTGATTAAAAAATACAATAAAATTTTACACTTCGTCAAAAGTGGCGCTAAAAAGCCTATTTATTTCTTTCGCTGCTATACGATGAAAAGTTTCCAAAAAAGTTCTGTTACTCTACCCTGCGGTCAGTTGTTGTTTTTAATATAAGGGACGAGCTAAATACATCAGATGGAAAGTATCAGACAAAAAATGCAATTCCTTGTCTGATATTTTTTTCAACGATCTTTTTTTTCTCTAACTGCCGTCCGCAACGAGAGGAAAAAAAAGATAGCGGGAAAATCAGAGACGAAAATATCAGACAAGAAATCGCATTTTTTGTCTGATACTTTCCATCCGATGTATTTAGCTCGTCCCTTATATTATGCAAATAATAAAAAACGAAGTAAAAACGTACCCCAACAACAGGTAGACTGATTCCATTTGCATTGCTATCCAACATCCTAGCCAATCCACCGGTCGATTGAGCTCTTCTGGACAGTTTATTCCGTTTTACCGTACCAGTTTCCACAGTCTGATTGGTCTGTAAAAAACGAACGGTTTTAGCGTCAAGAGCATGGGATCTGGTCATAAATACTACTAAAATTTTTGGTTAAATTTTAAAAATTTTATTGAGGAATGTAGCGCGGTACTATTTGGAGTACTATAAGTGTACCATATTAAGTACAATTTCGATAAGTTACGGTTCTTGAAGGTAACATAACCCAAATATTTTGGGGTTTTTTAAACTTTAAATAAAAAATTTAAATTCAAAAATTAAAGCCCTCTATGTTAACATCAAAGCTTAACATACAGCTTTAAAACAAAGCTAGAATCATCTGTTAATAACAATTAAATGTAAAAACAATTAAGAATTCAGGAGATTTAAAATTTCCCTTCAGGCTTACACATACATAATCCGGCCGCGTCGTATGTGTACGCATACACATGTTTATGTGGTAGATGAGAAGAGTAAATTATTTGGAGCGAAAGGGGAAATACCTATTAGAGTTGGAAACCTAAGAACAAACGTATTATTGCCTTTTACTGGTTATTTACATGTTCGTATCTTGGTTACATTGTTGCAAAACAGAATGCAGTGTAATTCTTGATGGTAATGTAAGGTGAAAGGACTATAAAACGCTATGTTTTTGTATAAAACAGTTAAAATGTTGCCTGATAGCGATTACTTTGACATAATACGACTAAATAGTGTAGTAATATGCTCGTATCACAAGATATGTATTTCTTTACAATTAACTTTAGAAAAAGTACATCATGCCATTACAATAAACACACTTCAAGTTAATAGCAAAAACGTTGTTTTTGGCACGCTAAAGACATTCACAGTAAAAATTAGCAATGTCATACTAAATTTAAAATTTTAATTTTAAACATTTCAAAATTTTTGGTTTTACATTCCAAAAACAATTTTAAACCAAAAACAAAATAATTTAAACTTCAAAATTCAAAATCAAACTTACAATAGGTACATTATTAATCGCAGGCATCTGGAACTGAAACTCTTTGTCGCCGAACGTGAGCACATCGCCCGGCCGAAGTTCGATCATTCCGTAGACTAGCTGACCGTTCCGTTCCGTTGCCCCGAGACAGCCGCCTTCACGGTTACTGTGTAAGTCACGCAACCAGTAGGATCGTGTTAGGGGGTGATATTCGACGAACGCGTGCTTCTCCGACACTTTTCGCGACTAAATTCCGAGGAATGATTAAACAATGTCCACGACAGTTTTGGCACGTTTTAACGTTTATTACTGTTTAATAGGAGTCTTTAAGATATGGTAATTTATTTTTAATCAAGCCTGATAAAAAATTAAATTTTTTCCATTAAAAAATTTTTTAAAAGCTAGAAGTACTGTTGAATTAAAATTAAAATATATTGTAAAAAGTTAGGTTAAAAACTCTTAAAAACAAAATCAATGAACATTTGGCCTAAATATCAAAAACTATTTTTTTAAAAAGAAAACGAATTGTATTAACCATGTCTTTTGAAATTGATAATGCTTTCAAGAATAAACAAATTATTTTCTTTTGGCATAAAAGCAATAAGATTATTACACTTTAGGAATTTAACTGTACTATCAAAATAATTGCTGTAAGGTTGTACTCTAACATAGAAGAAAAACATGGAGAGATAGACAGATAATTTAGTATTTAGCCCTACTTTTTGTTTAAAATTCAAAAAAAAATTTTATTTTAATTGAAAGCTAAATTTAATAGTTTAGTTTAAATAAATAAATATATAATAATAAATAAAATTATCAATACCTACTAACCCCCACATATGAGACAAGATTAGAATTAACTCAACTTTAGCCCACCAACATTCAGGATTAAAGCTTGGTTAATATACCATAAGCTTGGCTTGGTAATATACCGTCGTCCTAATCGTATGTTAAGTTAGTTAATCGCATACGATTTGTGGAGTAAACGGAAATTCGAGTATTTAAATGCGTCAAAATGGACACGGCTAATGAGGTCTTTTCGAAAATGGACATAAGTTGCTTGGGGATTAGTAATCACCTGCGGGCATTTCAAGAAAACATTTTTTAAATCTGAAAATTTAAAAAAAATTCAAAAAATTTTAAAAGTTTTTTCAAAATGTTTCACAAACATGCATAAAATTAAAATACTAACCCAATTGTAAAGAAGCCTTGCCTAAATTTAAAAAGTGCAAATTTAGCCAGCCTAAGGCAATTAAACAGCCCAAAGCAGTAATTCCACGTACCTTGGCCATAAGACAATTACTGCCAAATTTATAAAAGTGTAATTTGATTTACGTAAAAACCAGTTTTACACTCTCCACATCCGGGCATAGCAAAAAGTTGTTTATGCAAGAAACTAATCGACCTTTTACATCTAGCGTGATATGTCATGGTGTACATGATAGAACACCAGCAAAGAAATACTCTGTGATTGTGATTGACATTTTAAAATAACTTTAAAAGTTGTGCAAAACATTTTTTTATTTTTGATTTATATTAAATGACATTTTTCAAAACTAAACATAGCGTTTAAACTAAATTTTAAAATTTTTTAAAATTTTGCGGGCTTTTGGCATAGCGTTGCAAAAGAGAAAAATTTAAAGGGATTTCAGGTTTAAGATTCTCTTACTATCTCAGCGCCCTGTCCTGACTGAAATACCGCAAAATAAACGTAGCTACGACAGACATGTAATAACAATGACTTATGTGTTTTAAGCTGAGCCATTTACTATGCCAAGTGCCAAATAATCCTTTAATTTCGAGTAAAAATCCCCAATTTTAAGCAGTTTGTCTTCAGTAATCCGCTGGGGTAATATACTGCTTTATATGTTGTAGTCTACTACGTAAAAGCAAAGGCCTATACTTAAAAAGTTATATTACTATAGCTATATATTAACCTTGGAAAGTCTTCTATGAACTTTTTGGTCAAGATCTTTAACAAGTAGTTCTATCATAGTAATATCAATAAGTAGTACTAGATACTAGGTATTTTATAGTACCATCTTATCTCACAATATTATCATATACTATTCTAGATGTTATATTAGATGTTAGTCCTCTACCAGCACCAGTACCCACAAATATTACAAAACCTTAAAGTAATGTCACACAATGTAAAAAGTAATTGTTATTGCGTAGGAAAAACAATGATAATTACTTTGTGTTAAAAAGTAATACTTATTCGTACAAATTACTATTGTTTTACACTTACATTAACCAGAATGTCGTTTGTAAAAGCCTTGCCAATCAATGTAACACCAGAGTTTAGGGGATAGTAATCGATGGTACGACCTTCTCTGGCACATAACATACCTAAAACAATATTATATCAGAAGACAAAATAAAGGATTGCAATGCCTATGTAAAGTAATATCAAAGTACAAAAAGCCTATCTTCCACAACCAAAGTACCTGACAAGATACACGTAGTCACAGACAAAAGAAACGTAAATTGAATAAGAACTAATACTTTGCACTGTAATTTGTGGTATCAAATTATAGAGTACCTAACTTTCCCGACTATAAAATTAATTTTCAAATTGCTAGTCATACAAAGGCTGTGACATCAAGCTTAGTTAAAGAAAGGGTATTTTAAAAAGTTATAATAAAAAAAGTTACGATTTGTATAAATCAATAAACATTACAGAAACAACCAACAGAAAATTGATGTAAAAACAATGTTTTCAGGTACAATTTACATTGTAAACTACAATTTTATAATTACTGACAGAAGAAATAAAAGATGACTTTTAAAAAAATTTTAATGTTGCAGTCACAGATGGACAAGCTTAATATTTTGCTGTGAAATGCAAATAAAGATATTTTACTGAACTTAAAACTACATTTTTGACAATAAAACTAAGTAAAATACAAAACGTTTTCTCAAAAAGCAAAGTACTACAACATAATACTTATATCATATAAAAACATAGAATATAAAGTCATTTCGAAAATTAAAAACCTTAAAATATAAAGTCAAAGTGTGTGCACTTTGAAGATAACACTTTGCTCTGACAGTGTAAACCTAGTTGTTTTTATTTGCTAATAATAACAAAAAAGCAATTAGCTTTTGTACCAAAAACAATAAATATTCAAGTACTTTATATCGTGTCAGCTTGGGTATACAAAAATACACTCTATGGGTATGTCAGTTGGTGCTAGAGACTACACGGTTAGCAGGAAGTGCGTATAATATACAAATATAGAGTTATGTTGTTAGAAAATTTTGCTAAAGATACAAAAAATAATAGTTTTTTTATTAATTTAGGTATAAAAATTAAATAAAACGAATTTAAGAATAAAAACAAAATTTAAAAAGACTGTCCTCATATAATTTTATTATCCAAACATTATTTTACATTAACATAAATTGTAAAACATCGCTTTACATTTTATTTACTATAACAGAACAGTAAAACATCCAAAATTAGCAAAGAACGCCATGTTTACTCTATTCCTTTGACCACAGAACACCAAACACTAATAGCACGTAACAGTCGAAACAATGTATTCAAATCTAATACGAAGCCCTGAAGCGTTTTGCAGCTGTTCCAGGTACTTTAATGTCTACAAATTAAAAAGTTTTTATGTCAAAAATGACTCCGTAAACGTTCGCATTTGTAAATTTTGCCACGGCCACAGGGCATGAAGAGAGACCGGATATTTGTCAGCAAATTACTCTGCTTTACGTAGCAGATACGAGGTAGTTTTTGTAGTAAAAAAAGATTAAAAGTTAACAGTTTGAATAATTATTTTGGGATTAGTCAACTCACGAAGGTTTTACGACTTATAATATTAAAATATTATAGTTTTTATGACCTTTTATATTGTTTTAGGTAGCAAAGAAGGCTTTACTTTGATAACTTGGATTATAATTTAATCTTTTCAATGCCATAAATGTCAATTTGAGCTATAAAAAAAGGTAAAACGCCTAAAACAATATAAAAATTTATTCGCTTTATAAAAATTTTAATATAAATTAAACTTTCAAGTCAATTATAATATGTGTCATAGCCCCTTCTGCCTTTTAAACTTTATAATTACAAAACATCAACCTCAATTTAGCCTTTTAATAGCCAGGAGCTGTTCTTGGTGGAGGACAATGATCGCAGCTTCCACGAGGACCAGCCGAACCACCTCGACCAGGTGCACCCGGTCCACCTGGCCGGCCAGGTCCTCCTGGTCCACCTTGATTACCTGGTGGACCAGGTGGCCCTGAGTACGCCCGGCCTGGAGCACCAGGCGGTCCCATTGATCCAGGACTACCGGGAGGTCCCATTGAGCCAGAAGGGCCATATTGCGGTGGACCATCAATCACTTGACCTGGTGCACCTCGTCCTCCTGGGTTTCCAAGCCTTCCAGGTGCTCCAGCAGATCCCATAGAGCCAGGCGGACCGGGTGGACCAGGCATGGCGGCACCATAGCTTTCTCCCGGCGCTCCAGGTGATCCGGGCGGCCCTTTTGGTCCGCTTTGTCCAGGCATACCAGCTGGAGCAGGCGGGCAGTCAAAACAAAAGTCTTGAGGCTTTGGTCGGTCGTGTAAACCGGCGTCTGGTCCAGGTGAGCCATCGTTACCAGGTGGACCTTCCTTGCCTGGACTACCATCTCCTCCAGGTGGTCCCGGTGGTCCACCCATGCCAACACCACACGAACAACCCATTGGTTGAGGTCGGTACGGTGCTGGTGCAGGACGTGGTGCTTGTGGACGGTACTGGGGCTGCTGGTACGGTGCTTGGTAGGGACGTTGTGGCTGTGCGTATTGTGGTGCCATAGAATGGAAGTGACGTTTGATACGAATCTCATGACCAGTCACATCTCCAGTACGATGGTACTGATGCCAAAGGTCGTGAGTACGATGCATACAGAAGTTGAGTTCATCGTGCAAAGCTGTTTGAACGTGCTGAATGTAGTTGTAGAGGAGCGGGACTCCTAGTAGAGCTGTTATGATGGCTGTAGTGGTAACTGACACCGCTATAATGGCATGACGACGAAGGTAATCCGCTTCTGACTGAAGATTCTGGACTGATTTCGATGGTTTTTGCGTTGTCATCTTAAATAAATACTTTTAAATTTATCAAAAAACTTAAAAAATTAAATTAAAATATTAAAATTGAACTTACAGTAGACAAACTTGATATAAAATACTGGCAACAAGTTGTCACATTGAATAAAACAATATTTCAGTTTATATACCACAGTAAAGGGTAATTATACCACTTGACCGACGTTACGTTGCGCAACAAACTTTATTTGAATTCGGGTTTGTTACCTATTTTAAACTGGTAATCTTACAATACTCTCTACCGGTTGTCTATTGTAACTTATTGTTTTAAACCTTAAAGTATAGCTGGTTTATAAAGTGGCTAACAGGCAGTTTTTTGAACTTTAAAACGAACATCAGTTTTCAGGTAATACATTTACTATTCTATTCTTTTATAAACCATTTTTAGCTTAAAGTCAATTTTCTGGCATTTTAGGTAAAAAATTTGTAACTTTGTTACCTAAAAATCGTTTTTGACTTTTTAAAAATGACTCTATGGCCTAATCTATCAGTTTTTAATATTTCAAAGTAAAAAAATAGTTTTCCAAAATTTTAAGTAACAAAATTGTAACTTTAGCCTGTGTCATATAGTCTTAAAATCTAATCGATCATTTTTAATACCTAAAATAACAAAATAATTTTTAATTTTTTCAAATTTATTAAATTTAATTAGTTCAAAAATGATATTAATGTAGATTAGACAAAGCTTCCGACGACTTTCCAGTCGTTTTCACTCTCGACTGTTCCGAAATTGTGATAACTCCCCGAGGCCTGACGCGATACCAGAACTTCCTCAAAATGTAGCGACGAATCGTCTTGTTACACCAAATGTAAATCACCGGCGGCGTGCCTACAACAATATTTATGAGCAAGGATAATAAAAATAAAATTTTTTTCAATCTGCAGGCTGCATCTCAAGGATTGCCGATTTGCGCCCTTGTCTCGAAGGGTTTTTTATAAAAAAAGGTAAAAATAAGGTTTTTTTACTACTCATCTATGATTAAAATGACAAACATGACGTACCATGTGAAGCCAGGTAGGCAGATGACGCTACCAATGTGTAGTAGAAGTTCGGAGGAAGGTATTGTATGATAACATACGAAACGGCGGCGATGAAATGAATGGCGCCAATAATGAGGATTTGAATGTAGGTCTGAAATATATGTCATTTATGAGTCTAAAAATGTACTTATGAAACATATTTTATAGTTGACTTGAAACATGGTAATTAGGTGAATACCTACAGTAATGCACTTTCACTTTGATGTTAATTTACAAGGAGTGTTGTATGTAAGCTATCAGTCTCTTACCGATTTATCACGTATGTTGCCGAGGGACTTTGTCATCCTTGTGCGTTTGAAATATACGAAGAAGAAGTAGGCATAGACACCTGAGTGAGCTATCACAACACCCAAGTTGTTCATCGAGTGCAATGTGCTTTGGTACTGAAAATAGGCCATTATAGTTGATGTTAGTACGGTATTATAGTTGGTTTTAGTAATGTGAAATTTTAAATAGATTTTTTGGATTCTACAGTAAGTTTTGTAGATGCATTTTGTTATCTACATGTTACCGTATGTTTTATATATGCTACTGTATGTTTGTTACCTAAAGAACAAAAACACTTTTTTAAATTTAGTCATATTAATTAGACCTTCTACCATTAGTAGTACATTCAAACAAGGCATGGTTACTATAAAAAATTGTTTAATATTCGAAGCAATTTAATTATCACAACATGTATACAATTCCAAATGCTTCAACATGACGAACGCCTTACCTTGTGTGTAGTGTCTTCGAAGTAACCGTAGTGAGGATTGAAGAACCATGACATCATTTCCCCATTGAAGAAAGCGCTGGGTGTGAAGAAGAAAAAGTAGAAGAAGTACATGATGGGGGTGGATATCCAAAACACTTTACAGTAACCGCCGAACAGGACGTCCGCCCACCAGCCACTGGTCAGCTCGGCACATCGGTTGATGCCAAGGTAAAATGAGGTCAACGTGCTTGAGGCCCACATGGCTGAACAGAGGTTTTTAAAAGTTTTAAAAAATTTCAATATTTTAAAATTTTTATGAACTTACAAACTCCAAGTGAGCCGAAGAAGTACATAAGATTGGGGTAATCACAGTAGACATGGCCGAAGTAAGCGTGGATACCAGTAAAGAGACCGCATGTTTGGATACCAAACAGATGCATAACACCGAGTAGGAACATCAACTGATAACTGGCTCTCTTACGATTCTCTGAGTGCATCATGGCCATCAGGCAGGGAATGTACAGTACCTGAAAATAAAGATTACAGTGGTTTCTAAAATTTAGGTATTGACCTTACTGACTGTTTATACTATTATATTAGGTGAGCAACTTATTCTGCGCTCCTGTCACCCGAAAATTTGTTTGAGAAGGGGCACAGAATTTGATTGAGAAGGGGCGCAGAATTATTTGAACAACCTATGACAATATTTATGGTATTATACTTTTCTATTAGATTCTTCACATAATTCTGTACCTCTTTCAAAGTAAATTTGCTTTTTGAGGGGGCACGGAATTATGCAAACAATCTAATGCTATATACCTTTCTACTTATAAGCCTTTGAAAAATATTAATTTAGACAAGATATACTACACTATTTTCTACCGTACTTACCATAGTAGCAACATAAAACGCAATAACACTAGCGCCTAGAAATCTATGTCGTCGTCGTTCCAATGGTACCGTGTTCCAGTCGTAGAACGTGCAGTTGTACAGTAAGTGGTACTTTTCTCGTTCAAACAAATATACTTCCATTTAAGCTACTTAGTGTTGTATAATGTAATATATATATGTATAATGTAATTAAAGGTACTGTCTGAATAACTGTAATCTCCTAAAGTAACCACCCATAGTATCATTAAATATTTACAATATCACGAAAGTTAGGACAATGTAATCGCATATAATTTGACATGTAAAGTTCACAGGTCAGTAATTAATACATGTGTGGTCATTGTGTATATCTAATTAAATTTACAAAAAGTTTGTAAGAAAATTGCACGCACGGTATACAATTAACGTTACATAATTGTATGTCATTAAAATAGCTCTTTTAACTACATTGTATACGATTGGTAACTACATATTTCAAGGATGTTTATGTCGTATTTTACAGAATTTCTTCCTTACTCATTAAATCTTTCCTTAATACGATTGTTTATCCAAGTTTCTATGAAAAATGACTTAATTTTTGAGTCATAAATAATAAATTTACTCATATATACTTACAGGAGCTTGATAAAGCTAATCCACAGATTCTTCTTAACTAGAATATACCTAGTTTCTTAAAATTGTCATAGTATTAACAACGATGTGTTCGATTTTTAAGAAAAAGGGATTCCAAGGATTTGAACCTGGAAATAATTTTAAAATAATACAAAATTTGTTAAAAATATTAACATTGATGCTTGCATATGCAAACTTCATCATATGAATAAGTGAAAATTTTGTCATATTTACTGCAGGTTTGAGTCAACTCTGCCTGTAAAAGACAAAAACTCGGCGTATAAAAGACAAAGAAACCCTTGTTCAGTGGTCTTTCTCTATATTGAACTATCTGTATGAGCAACTTTTCTCATAGTAAACAAGAAATGTGATCCTGTTAAGTCAATTTGCACTAAAAATCACATTCTAAAGATCACACCTTCTATATTAAACACAAAAGTATTTGGTAAAACAACAAACGTATCGTATAATACTTACAACAATAAGTATTATACAGTATTATCTTTTCAACTTTTGAATTATTGTAGACAGTACACTTGTTTATAAAAGCTAAAAATTTAAAAATCAAAAGTTAAAAAATACAGTATGCTTGCACAATCCAGACACAATTTTACGCGCAGCTACAGAATTTTACAATTTCACACCGCTTTACTTTTCAAATACTAAACTACTGCCTGTGTGATTTTGCTCTACCCCAGAAATTTTCAATACAACCGGCCGAACATACTCCGACATACTCTGAACATACTATCGTAATACCTAAAAATAAGCCGTCTTCAGTTTTTTTATACGGAAGTTTTTTATGCGACAGACTCACAATTGCCAGAATTAATAAACGTTGCGTAGTTGTTGAAAAGTGGAGCTATTAGAAAAGGTGTTATTCCAGTTGATTATCCACATTCAACCGGTCGTATCAACATGTCTGGCTAATCAACAAATGTTTCATTTCGAGGCTTTTATGATGTTGCAATTGTTTTTTTCAACATATATACAGAGTAACGAAGCGGAGTAGAGAATGGGAACACGCAGTAATCAGGGCTACAAGAATTGTTACATTTGAAGAGACGAGGGCGGGATTACTGGATTGACTACTGTAAGCAAAGGTTTGTTTGCAAGCAGAAGTAAAAAGACAGTAAAATTGTTACAGTAAGCTTTATCTTCCTATTTTAAACACTGTCAAAAATTTGCCTTGGCCTTTCATTCTCATGCTTTAAAAATTTTACAGTTTGATCAATTCATGGCTTGACCTTGCCTTATACCTGGCCGGACCCTTGACCTTGCCTTATACCTGGCCGGGCCTACCCGGTGCAGCCCATGGTTTAAGTCGGGTTCAAAAATTGGCTCAACCCGAAAGCTCGGTTTACCAAGACTTCTTACCTTGTTCAATACAATTTTAATAAAAGTACATTACTAACATGACAAGTTTAATAAATGCATTCAATTTGGCACGTACTAAATAGAACAAGATTAAAGTTTATGTCTTTTATGATAATAACCGCCAACTATGTAAATACCATTGATAATCAAGTCCAAGCAATGTTAAAAGTAACTTTATATAATGCAATTTAGTTTCTTTTCAAATTGAAACATAATACAAATAAGAGAACATCATGAAACACAATATTTAAATCTACGGTAGTACGTTTTATAAGTACCATTATATTATGAAAATGTTTAAAAATATCTTAAAATCTGCCTTAAAGGACCAGTCCGGATAACTTCTTTTGTCGCAAAGATTTTTTCGTTTTGGCTTTAACTAACCATCCAAATGACTTTCAAAAACTTGTTAAGCCAACAAGCAAAGACCTAACCTGATCTATTTACATAGTTACAAACTGCCACAACTAATATAAAATGTCTGATAATTACCTTGATTATATACTATATCTTTGTTGCATGTCTACCTCCAAACATTACACAGTAAAACGTGTAAACAGTTTAACACCCACATTGGAAAAAGTTGAAAGACTTGAGTTAAACATTTACTCTTTGCACTATTAAAATTACATCAGATACGATTAGAAATGTCATAAATTACTTTGAAACACCAAAAACGAAGTATACAGTAAGTTTTGCAGAGAACTATAGTAAGACAAACCCGGTAAATTAAAAATGTCATTTTATAACATTTTATCACGTACTATGAACACAGTTTTTATTATTTTTTCTGCGAAATGATTATTTTTTAAATTAAAATTGGTGCAGGTCTCTAAAGGTTCATAGAGATTGTACTATACCACGTAAAGAAAAGTCATTATGAAAAAATTGTAGCAAGGCTTGATTTTAAAAGTTTTACTAAAAAAGTAGCCAATAGAACTTGTAAAAACGCAGTTTTGACATTACTGTCAAAAATAGGGGTTAGAAACGAGCTGTGTAGGTCCAGCTCTACGACTCGACAGAGCTGTGCCAGCCTTGAGCTAAAGTTGAAAATAGCCGGGCCAAAGACAACAGACCAAACATAATTTCGGTTTGAGATTGGTTTGTCATTATTTTAATTTTGGTTTGTGTTTAAAAATGACCACCATGGGCAAAGGATAGGAATAATTAAAATAAAAGTAGTGAGTGCACTGCCTTATTATAATATATATGGCTACCTATTCCTTGAAAACTCTCCAATATGACCGTAACTTACAATTTAAAATGAAACTTAAAAAACTTTGTTTTGTGATAAATCTACATAAGCGTATTTACTAAATGTCTGAAAAATGGACGCAACAAACTTAATAAGGACGTAGCATGTTTGCAAACGCGTCGTAACTTCTAAGTATAACGTTTTCAACGTAATGATAATCAACCCACATTTCGTGTAAAAATACGCATTTATGTTATAGTATTGAAGACATGTTTATACTGCCAAACGAGTATCACTAAAAGACATGTGTATTCACATTACAGTAGAATTTTAAGAATTAAAAAAAGTGTAGAAAAAGTTAACAATTCACATTATATTAGGATTAAATAGTTGCCAAATGACTTGATATATCATGATATCTTCGTTATATATAGGCACATCAACTATAGCGTGAAAGTTCAACATACACCCTTATTTTCAAACATCACAACATGATATACTATATTTCTGTTAGTAAAAGTATATGTTTAAAACGCGTTTATATATTAGTACCCTTGTCACAGATCTCACCACAATTTGAACTCAATAATGCACTAAAGGTGTAAAATAAATCACGTGAATATTACACTACAATACACGTATCATAATACATATAATCTTATTTTTAACTATCAGAGTTGTAATCTTAAAATTGTAACAGCAATCAAAACTCGTGGAACATTTTTGTAGGAATATAGTTTTTAACACGTTATCTCTGCTAAAAAAGTACTGTAGCCTATTATTAGCTGAGCTATAAAAATTAATAGCAAAGTAAAAAATTGTAGTTGATTTGCAATTTATAGTGTTAATAATATAGTACAAATAAATGCCAAGATGTCATAACAAAAGACAGTATCTATCTAGGAATTTGTATCGCCCCGAGCAATACTACTCGTTCTTGTGTACCTATTATTGTATGTTGATCATCTTTGTAAATAACTTTATATACATAATTTGGAATACTATGACACTAATTGTCTACAGTGAAGATGAATAAATACTCTTTATTAAAATTTTACAATAAGTATAGTAAAAACAAGATTAGTATGCACCATAATTTTTATAAACATAATGATAACTATTTAAACAGTCTGTTAGTTGCATTATGTAGCCAATTACAGTAATAATGTTTTAAACTATTAAAGAAATTTCTATTTACTGATTTGTTATTACTTTCAAATGAACTAAAAAATATTATATGTGACTAATAAGGAAAGTACCCGACTTTCCCTACTTAGAATCAACTTAAGGTTTTTATATAAATTCTTTGTACCACTATTAGTAAACATTGATATACCTATATAAAAAGCTTGAATTAAATCAGGGCAGAGCAGTTTGGGCACTTTTTTTCAAGTTTTTGTTTACTACTATTCTATAAATACTTTTTTCTACAACATTTTAATCTACAGTACTATTTGCGTGATTAGTACTATTAAGAAATCGTTTGAACAGTTCTCCAGCTTCTCCAGGAGAATCGCTCAGCTGTATAAGTAGTGTTAGATAAGTAACCACTAATGAAACTGTTGTTAATATTAAGGACTTGCTGACTATAGCAAATCCCCAGGCTGACATTCCTAACCCAGGTTGTTTGTTTTGAGTAATAAACGATTGTAGAAGGTTGTAGACATCAGCTTGGTAGGGTTTCCACAACTTTCTGTTGTTGTAAATGGCCTTTTCTGTGTTTTGGAGCTAAAACAGTAAAAACATGTTCAATATTATAGAAATGTACCTAAAATTAAAAATTATGGTCAGACTTAAAAGGTGGCCCATTAAGCTACTACTTCGGCCCGATCTCTTTACAGATCTAGTATGCTACACCTTATGTATCGTATAACTCAATATAAAGATGATAAGTCTTACCGCAGTATTAATTTTGCTAGGCATGGTAGTCAATCCAAGAGTTTCGACGACACAAAAGATGGCTTCCATCAAACACATGGAGATATTGAACTTGTCAGACGATGCAAAGGCATGATAACAAGATAGTATAGTAAATATAGCTGTTGGTATGTTGGCAGTAAGCATGGAAAAGTTGTAAACTTGAAAGGTGGCATCAGCTTCTTGTAGAACGTAACAAATATTGGCATGTCGGTCATGTAGGATAAGCAGTTCATCGACCAACTTCAAGTGGTCTGGTGATTGACCTGCCTTAAAGTTAAAATTATATATTGAAATAGTATTTTCTTGACTTTAATAACCAATAATCAAAAAGTAAAAATCAAAAGTATACCTCTTGAATGCTAGTGTTCAAACTTCTGATCTCTTCATGAATAACCACCAGTACCAAACAGTACAACGTTAGTACTGCGCCCCAAACGGTATAAGCATAATTGACAATAAAATAACTGACAAATCGCAAAAAATTAGGAAATGGCTAAAATATAAGTGAATTTAAGTAAAGAACTGGCTAAAATGTAATTAAAATGTATAATAAATAAGACGTTATGAACAATAAGGTTATTATGATCTTACACTTACAGTAACAGCAGCTCTGTCAATTACCGGGTTATCCGGATATAACATGTTCCCAATAAATGCAAATACTGACATAATGACGACCAGTCCAGCTATTCCAAAGTAAACCAACAGTGTAACTTTTCGTCGACTTTGATAACTCTGTTTTAGGTCTGACCATGGCAAAATATGAATGAGCAGAGCTGTACGACCCTTGTATTGCCACCATACTAAAAAGCACTAAAAATATATTTCTTTATCAGTTTTCTTATTTAGTACTATTGAGTACTATAAACGATAATTTCAAACTACATATTGTGACAAAGCAAGTGCTACTTTAAATTAATTAAAATTTTTTAAAAATAAGTTAAGAAAGTTACCATAGACATAAAAGACTGAAGTAACCAGAAAAAGATGACCAGTGAACGTTCTTTGTGTACCATTTCGAATTCGAATACTTGCCAAAAGTTGTTTAACAAGTGTAAGAAGACTAAAAAAATAGAAATCACTTCTGTAATCATATATTTGTATTTGTACATTATGTATTATCAAATAATCTCTAAAGTCAATATTAAGAATGTATATTTTAAATATAAAATTTTAAAAAATCTTACCCACAATAATCAAAATCCCGGCTCTCGCTGCCCTCAACGGCCGTTCCCAACCTTCATTGACCTTGTGTTTATACATCAGCCCAGTAATTCTCAACGCATACATTAGGAATCCCATTCGTACCTTAGAGCTTTTGATTTGCTCGTATGTAGGCAATACCAAATCACCCATTGTTACGTCAAATCTTTTAAAAATTTTAAAAAATTGGCAATATTTGTAACATAACAATAGTGCTTATAATTCGAGACTAAACCATGGCTATGTACACATCATTACACAAACTATATTGACTTTATTAAAGATGGTATTACAATCAATGTTTACTCATATCAACTTTCACACAAATTTTGAGCTTAAGGCATGGACATGGGCATATGTAGAGTCATATATGAGAAAAAATAGATGTAGAACTCTAAAAGCAGATATTGGTTTAAACTAAAATAAAAAGGCTGAAACCGTTAAACAAATTTAAATAAAAACAAATTTAAATAAAAAATGAAGCGTAGTTTGCACATTTTTATTTGTTTTACTAGGAAATTGCACTAAAAAATCTTGGTTTTTAAAGCGTTACCTATATAGAATAACAAAAGCGTAAAAAGTTGACAAGAAAAATAATTTCAAAAATTGATAAATGGTCGTGGCTAGCGAGGTACATATAATATTCTTATACATGTTTAAAAGACATACTTTTGAAGTTCAAAAAATAAAATTTTTTAATAAATTTTTGGGACCAATGAAGAATTGTTACTTAGTGCATTCTTCCTAGTTAAACATACCCCCGAATAACCAAAAAATACTTTTTTTAAAAGGTATCATTCATAGCCCTTAGGCTACAAACATACAAAGTGCAGAAACAACATATGTCATGTCCAATTTGTAGCATTTATTCTATTAGCTTATATTAGTTTATTTTATTTTAGTTTCGCGTTTTTTATCTTCTTGTCCTAAATTTGATTAACTGTATTACTGCTGGCTTGCTGTGATAATCAATTGAATTAAAAGTTATTTCTTTTTTTTAAATGGTAATATGATTAACAAGGAAAGTACCCGACCTGCAACGCTCGGATTTCGTTCAAAATTTCTTGAAAGATCATGTAAAGTAAAATCTTATGCAAAATTCTACGTTGCGGTTTGCCAGACTTGAGAAAATAAAGATCCAAAAAGATTTGAATTTCCCGCAAAATTGGCATAGTGTTTCAAGCTTATAACTTTGCCATATCTTAATTTTTAACTATTAATGTTTAATATAATGGTAGACAAGCTTCAAATGAACCTGCAATTTTAAATTTGTAAGCCTATCTTATTTGAAACATCAAAAAAGTGCTTGCCACACAATGCCAACTTTGCCAAATTGGCGAGAAATGTAAATATATTAATTTTAAAACTTAAAACCGCAAGCTAAGATTTTTTATATGTGCTACCGATACTACAAATAATTTGTATGAAAATTTTAGCTAAACTTCTGTGAGTAGCCGGTTGGGTACTTTCTATGTAAGTTATATTATTATAGAAGTACAAAATTAAAAGTTGTTTTTCTTTACAATCTGCGTCATGACATGTACTTGCTTTAAGTCTAATGACATTTTAAAATCGATAGACCAAAAACAAGATAAACAGTTTAAACCGTGTTATCATTCTAATCAACAAATAAACATGTCTTCAATTCTACATGTACCACATACAAACTAGAGTCTAGGTGTTCTCTCATAAGGAAGGTCACTTATACGTTTACCTCTTCGTAATTGTATTGCTCATGATCAGTGATGTTTCGGTTTTAAAGAACGTTTTCCAATTGATTTGAGCCTACAAACTAAATTAAACTTTTACAACACACTCGGCGAGCGGAGTGTATTTTATATTCATTCGCTAATCTGGTCATGAAAGCGTTGTGTGCGCTGATTTTGTTGTTTTGTATTGATGTTAAACATGCCTTCAAGTATCTGATCTACAATCCGAGGATCGGCAGGAGTCATGTCATGCAAATGGGAAAGCTGGGGGATTATTTGGCAGCAGCTGGTCATGAAGTGGTAAGGAATGCTTGTTTTTACTTACAATGTTAGGTAACCTTACAGTGTTAAATAAATTTTTTACTTAAATAACCATATTTATTATTGTAATATTATGACAGTAATAAAATATATTGCCGTACTATGGATAAGCTAAATTTAAGAAAAAATGCAATTTAGTTAAGCTAGTTATGTAAACAATATTACTGTTTTTGTAGTCTAATGTTTACTTGACCTCTTATGTCCTTTAAAATAAAAAAAGTTTCTTTCAGGTTAACTTTCAACCAATCATGTACCAGGCAAAGATCACCGGAGTAACCAACAAGACCATTCGTACTGTAGAGTACAGCGATGGGATTCCTCCAGCTGCAAACTCACCAATTGATAAGAAAGCCTGGACTGAAGACATGTTCACTTTTTCATCAATGTCAGAGGTAAGAGTTAAGAAAGTATATCGCAGAAGGGCAGAGGGGACCGTTCTACCCTCCCCTAGAAAAAAAAAGTTTTTGAAAAATTCTTTTTAGGGTATTCAACACCTTGGCAAAGCATACTACAAAAGATGCCGAAACCTATTAGCAGACAAAGAAGTTATTGCCGATATGAAAAAGGAAAACTTTGACTTGGCCATAGTCGAAAGCTTCTCTTCTTGTGGTTTCAACTTTGTTGAAGCCATCGGAATCAAAAAACGTATTTTAGTATCTGGCATGGCTCTACAACATGAAATTTTAGGGCTTTATGGCGTTCCACCTGCTTTTACTTTTGTGCCAGGTAAAATTTTGACTATAGTCGTGTAGGTAATTGAATTTTAAAAGAGAAAAATAGAGTAAACAGCCCAAAAAGTTGTCAAAAAGTGACATTACTACATAAAACAATTGTAATTCCAGATTCAATATCATACCCATCTGAAAAAGGCATTATGGGACGATTGCAAAACATTTTCGATTACCTCAAGACTATCAAGTTCAATCAACACTTAGTTTACATCCAACAAGGAGCACTTGACCTTATTGACACAAAGAAAAGCTTCACGGTACGTTAAACTTCACAACATGGATAATGTTACTAATTGCTTGTTGTATAATAAAAAACATGTTTTGTAAAAAATCAAAGAGAAACCTTATTGTTACGCCTAAAATTTACATTTTTACATTGAAAAAATTATAATAGATATTACTCTACTTTATAACACAAGATATACCTTTTCATTCAGGACCTTCTCTCAACAGCCTCATACCTATGGATCAACACAGACGAGTTCGTCGATTTCCCACGCCCAATCTCTCACAAGTATATTAACATTGGTGGACTTGGAATGAAAGAACAACTATCAAAAGCAGGAGAGTTGCCAGACGATATCCAAAAGATATACAAGAAAGCGAAAGACGGTGTTATTTACATGTCATTTGGATCTGTAGCTCAAAGCAAGTTTATGCCTGACAGCTACAAAGTCGCTATCATAAAAGCTTTTGCCAAATTCCAAAATGTTGAATTCATTTGGAAGTATGAGGACGATGTAAAGACTATTCCAACTGTAAGTTAAGGTTTATGTAGAGATAAAAATGTTAATTTTTTTAAAAATAGCAAAAGATACTTTTTTACAAAAAAAAAATTAAAAAAACAAAGTTTGGGCTCAGCCGGTGATCGAAACCGGGGCCTCTCGCACCCAAAGCGAGAATCATACCACTAGACCACTGAGCCGCGTCATCTACCCTACTATCCGCTGATATCTCGCGAAAAATAGATCCCTAATAGCTTAAACGCTACAGGGTTTTTTAAAACAAAAAATAAAAACGACGAAAAATTTTGAATTTGTCACGTATCTCGAGAAACATCCAATTGTTTCATCATTTTTAATTAGCGCAAAGACGACGCGGCTCAGTGGTCTAGTGGTATGATTCTTGCTTTGGGTGCGAGAGGCCCCGGTTTCGATCACCGGCTGAGCCCAAACATTTTTGGGCTTGTTTCGGTAAAATTTTGAATAAATAAGTTTTTAAAACTTCAATATATTAATTTAAAAGTATCTAGAAAATTACTTTTAAAGTTTTTTATCATTTTTTGTTACCTAAAATGCTGTTTCTATTTAATTTTTAACCGACCAATGAATAAAAACAATGTTTTATAATGAAATACTCTAGGAAATACCACCTAATGTCCACATTTTCTCCTGGCTGCCACAACGTGACATTCTTCTTCACCCTAAAACCTTAATTTTCATTACTCATGGTGGTATGAACAGTATTACTGAAGCTACCTATAGTGGAATTCCCATGATTTGTATCCCATTGTTTGGAGATCAAGCTAGAAACGGGTACATGGTCAACCGGAAAGGAGTTGCTAAAGTTTTGAGCAAGTTCGATTTGGATAAAAGTGATGTTATTTCTGGCTTGATTGAAGAAATGGTGAAAGATCATGAGTAAGTTAATATAGGTACCAGAAAAACATTTCAAAAATAATAACTGCACTATATGTACTCATCTTTCTTACCTAATATGTTACCTAACAGCTATAAACTCTATATTTATAGTTACAAACGTCGCGCAGTCGAATTAGCCGATATTATTCGAAATAAGCCAGTAACCCCAGAAGAACGATTAGTAAAGACGGCAGAATACGCTGTAAAGTACGATATTGCCGGACATCTGGACATGGATGGTCGTTCATTATCTCTTATTGAATTTTACAATATTGATATTGTACTAATTAGTCTGGTTCTCGTTGCTTCTGTAATATACACCATCTGCAAAGTAACCAAAACAACTTACAACGCCATATTTGTCAAAACCAAAAAAGTAAAAGGAAAACGAGAATAAATATAAAAACAGTATTACTTTGCCACAACATTTTTAAGTTTTGTCATTTTGACGAAATTTTGTCCGCGCAAATAAAAAATTCGATAATAATTTGCACATTTCGTTAATTTTCCGATAAACGCGGTAACGAAGTGTCACAAATTAAATAAAAATTATTTGTTTTACTTCTTTTGGGTAGATTATTATAAACTGTTTTAAGTAAGGTAAGAAAACGCTATTATGAATATAAATAATAAAATTCTGACGTTTAGTTATACTTATGGCACAAAGAATTGTAAATTTTGGCAAAGGAATATGGAATCACAAGAAGAAAGTTATATTCTTCAGTGGATTGGCAGCTTGGGGTGGTTCGTATGCTAATGGATTGTTAAAGTGAGTTGACTTAAATTTTTTGGATGGTTTTGCTTTTTGATATAAAGACTTTGTTTTATTACAATAGAGTTAAAACGGTAATTCGAACTTAATTTTGTAAAATTTAGAGAGCAAGAAGTTCGAACAAAGTTCGCAAAACTGGCAGCAGAGATTGGGGAAGCGAAGGCTCCCATTGACTATCAGCCTTTGAAGTTGTTTGTTTTTGTTGATAGATCAGATCCAAATTTCTTCAAGAATCTTGCTGCTTTCAACAAAAACGTTCTTCCTTTGTTAACATTGGCTGGCCTTGATATTTACATGGAAAATGCGTCAGATCGGAAGGAGTTGGAAGATCTAAGTAGATCTGCTGATGTCAGAAATTGCTCCGGAATCTTGGTTATTGGTTCTACTAAGTATTCAGCACCAGCCGTACTAAACGGCCTAATTGTTGACGGATTCTTTGAACGCGGACGAACAGCGCTAGGTGTTTTTGATCCATGTAAGGAGTTTTTTTAAACTTTTTCTTGTGTTTAGTGGGAACTTGACGAAAGTTTTATGATAAACGTGTTAGAATTGGTGGTATTTTATGGGAAAGTTACTGTTCATTAATTTTTGAACATTTATTTATTTTAGCTGAAAAAGATGATGTTCCTGCTCTATGTGAGAAAGCCATGAATATAATTAAAGGAGTGAAGAAGGACCACAGAGTTTATAGGACAAAAATATATGTAAGTATCATTTTATAAGTTGTTTAATCGTTTCTTTGCTTTGTTTATAAGTATAACATTGTCGTAAAATATTGTGTTATATTCTCTTAAACTTAAGTTTTATGTAAAAGTTTGGGTGTCGAAAATTTAATGAAAATATTCTTCAGGGAGAAGATCCAAAGGACGTAAAAGTGAGTTATCGACTTGGAGACATTACTTTTGGTTGGTTTGATTACATAGCTGAGCGGCAATCCAAGTTTTGGATTTTTGGTGGCTTAGCCGATCGTATGGCTGCTACTTGGTACTTCTTAAAGGTAAGATGTGTTTTTTTATTATTAAATTTACAACTTAAAAATTAAGCTTTGACTTTTTTAACCATTAAAGAGTATAAAATTAGGTTTTATCTTTAATGTTACCTAAAAATATCATATATGGTGTAAAGTATAACAAAAGCTACTATAATGTTAACCTATAGTGTAATTTCAGAAGTACCCTGAGTCTTTGCAATGCCACGTAAAACAAGTAGCTTACTGTGCTGGATGTCGTAAATGTATATCAGAAGCCAAGGTAAAGAAGCCGGCGGCAGAGAAGAAGCAAAAGAACTTTTGGTCGAAATGGATTGGCAGGAGAGAGCAGCCAGGAGATGCGTTGAGAAGACAATATGTTAATGTTATCAACGCCAATTGTGGTCAGGTTACCGAAGCTGATGTGAATGTGCTTGACATAAGTATTGGATGTGTTGAGAACGGGGTGGGTTTAATATTCTTTTAAGATTTAAATATATTTAAGGGGATTTTTAAGACTATTGTAAACGTAGTTTGTGAATTTATGGACACAGCTTATTCCAAAGTCGAATTCAGCACTTGGAGCGAGGCGATTGACTTTTACAGTAATATTTTTTTTATTTTTAAAGATTTTCGAAAATTTTTGTATTGTTATGATATAAGTCAGTTTAATTAAGACTCAGGAGCTTTCTTAAAAAATTACAAAAGTTTTGGGCTCAGTCGGTGATCGAAACCGGGGCCTCTCGCACCCAAAGCGAGAATCATACCACTAGACCACTGAGCCGCGACGTCTTCTTTAAGCGGCGTCGGATATACCCTAAAGGGATTTGTTAAGAATTACTTTTTATTTGCGCAGATGTTTTTTATGTTTCACGCTGAATCTTTTTGGATTTTAAATGTAGCTTCAGAAGATCTCAGCGACGAAAACAAAGGATTTCGCGGCTCAGTGGTCTAGTGGTATGATTCTCGCTTTGGGTGCGAGAGGCCCCGGTTTCGATCACCGGCTGAGCCCAAACATTTTCTTTTTCAAAGTAAAATAAGCAGTAAAAAAGTCCCTTGGAGTAGGTACTGGTCGAATAGCTTTATCAAGCAAAAATACTATTTTAAAGCTTTTTTGTCAAATTTTAGAATTACATACTTAAAGCTAATTTAATAACATTATTATTTAAAATTTTTTAGGTCAGGGGCCAGCTAGAACTAAAAACAGTGGATCCACCGACCGGTCGATTCAATGCTATCAAACAGGCATGGACAGAACTCGCTGACAAGGCTTCCGAATCTCCTTTCAAAACAGCTTCAACAGCTAACAGACTTGAGATCGAATTGAAAGAAGTCTTTGATACAGATGAAGAGGACGCTAAGTCACCGTTCCCATCGTACCTGTTGAGTTCACAGTCTGTGAATCTACTTAAACCAACAGAATCATCAAAGACAATCAAGAAGATAGTCGCTGAGAATGTGTCCAACATTGTTCAAGTGTTCTAGAGTTGTTAAGTTTGTTAGGATTGTTAATAATGCCAATATTGAGGTACAATTTATTGTTTTTGAGAAGTTTTTTGGTAAATTTTAGTTGGAGTACTTGAAGCCAATAAAAATTAAAAAATAGCCAAAAGTAGGTTTCAATAAGTTAAAGAGTCGAGGAATAGGTCACGGTAAAACTAATTTAACTTTGCCTGACATAAGTTTGCGTATAACAACTGAAAATCAAAGTAAACTAATGATAATATGATTGATTTTGCGAGCCGTAAACCAACAACTTATTACATTCAACGAGATCACTTGACTTTAAGTTTCTCATTACCCCACAGCAACATTATCAACATCAAAGTACTTAAACTTACTCTATATGGGAGGCTTTGTTTCTATAGTTGCAAACGAAAAACATTCTTTTTGTGATTTACTGATAAAAGGTAGAGGGTAAGGGTATAAATATAGAAAGAGGCAGGGGTATGGTATAAATATGGGTATGAATATGGGTAGGGGTATGGGTGTGGACGGGGTATGAATATAAAAATAGTATTGATAAAGGTAAGGTAACTTCAAAAAAGCACCGGTTTAGAATAAAATTTATTTTGTTTGAGAAACGGGTGTTAAAAGTAAAAATTAAAAATAAATCAAAGCGTATCATACCCAAATAGTCTCAGAATTCATACTGGATTGAAATAGCAGAATATTATTGTTTCAAAACAAAAAGGGTAGATTTTAAAATTATAATTAAAAGAGACGCGCGACGGCCGCAGGCCGGCGCCTTTTGAATGCGCCATTTTAAAAAAAATCAAATATTGCTTTTAATTTATAAAATTTCAAAGATATTTTATGAAAATTAAAATACAACAAAAATGCACAGACCATAGGAGGCCCGTAGGGCCTCCGTTGGTCTGGTTTCTATAGTTGCAAACGAAAAACATTCTTTTTGTGATTTACTGATAAATTGTTTTATTTACCTATAGTTTTGGTTTGTGACTGGTGGTTTGTGCGTTATCATGTTGGCAAGACGGCTTTGTTTGGCTACTAACAAGGTAAATTTATGTGTAACTGTGCCCAACATATATTTTTAAAACATATTTTCGTTTTTTATATTGTTTTTGACGGAAGGAAATCATAAAATGTCATTATACAACGTCAGAACGTATATTACATTGACTTTTTTGAGCAAAATACTTTAAAATCAAAATTTAGGTAGCAACTAGCGTTCGTACTTTATCTTTACATGAACATTATGGCCATGAACTACTCAGAAAGACCGGAATCAATGTGCCCGACTTTGGGGTAGCCACCACTCCAGATGAAGCATATGCCGTCGCTCAGAAGATTGGTAAGTTGTTCCTTATTATCAGTGAAAAAAAAGCTTTGTACTTTTACAATTTGTAAAATTTTTAAAAAATTTATTTACTCAATGTCTTATTATGTTTTTTATTGCTAAAACATTTTAGGTGGTACTGACTTGGTACTAAAAGCCCAAGTATTGGCTGGAGGACGCGGAAAAGGCCATTTTGATTCAGGATTACAAGGTGGTGTTCATCTACTAGAATCGTACGTATAATTTAATATAATTGTTAGTTTATATACCTCTTAGGCCCGAAGAAGTAAAAGAAAAAGCGTCTCAAATGCTCCATCATCACCTAATTACCAAACAAACTGGAGCTCAAGGAAGAATTTGTGAAAAGGTCATGGTGGCCAAGAGATTGTTTCTGAAAAAAGAATATTACTTTAGCATCGCGTTGGACCGTCAAAGCAATGTAAGTTTCAATAATTTTCCGTAAAGGTGATTTATTATAAAAAAATAGAAAAAGTTTGGGCTCAGCCGGTGATCGAAACCGGGGCCTCTCGCACCCAAAGCGAGAATCATACCACTAGACCACTGAGCCGCGATATCCTTTCTTTTCGTCGCTGATATCTTCTGAAGCTATTTTTAACATCCAAAAGGATTCAGCGTGAAGCACAAAAACCATCTGCGCAAATAAAAAGTAATTCTTAACAAATCCCTTTAGGGTATATCCGACGCTGCTTAAAGATTGTCGCGGCTCAGTGGTCTAGTGGTATGATTCTCGCTTTGGGTGCGAGAGGCCCCGGTTTCGATCACCGGCTGAGCTCAAACCTTTTTTATTTTTGAACTAAAGTAAAGTCAAAATAGTAAAACCAACCTTATAAAAAGTAATATATTATGGTTTCTTTAGAGTCCCATTCTGATTGGCTCGAGTCAAGGTGGAATGAACATTGAAGAAGTTGCCGCCACGAATCCTAGTGCCATTATTAAACAGCCAATCAACATTGAACAAGGAGTAACCGATGCCATAGCCGACGACGTGGCCAAGAAGATGGGATTCAAGGAGAAGACCCGCCCTCAAGCAATTCAAACCATCAAGAAGTTGTACGATGTATTCTTAAAGTCGGATTGCGGTTTGTTGGAGATCAATCCAATGGGAGTTGATGTAGATGGCAATGTGGTATGTGTAGATTGTAAAGTCAACTTGGATTCGAATGCGGACTTCAGACAGAAGGAGTTGTATGCTTTGAGAGATGAGAAACAGGAAGATCCACTGGAAGTCAGAGCACACAAAGCCAACCTAAACTACATCAAGTTGGACGGCAACATTGGTTGCATGGGTAAGATAACACAATGATAATATTGACTAAAAACGTTAATGGAATCTCAAAAGATTGACTTAGGTTGCTAGAAAAACATTTGATAGATTATGCTACAGCAAGACTCATGGTTTATATCAGTATTTTCACGTAAATCTATCAATTTTTCAGTGAACGGAGCCGGTTTAGCCATGGCAACCATGGACATTATTAAGTTACATGGTGGAGAACCGGCCAACTTTCTGGATGTTGGAGGTGGAGCTACGGTAGAACAAGTTACTGAAGCCTTCAAAATCATCACCGCGGATTCGGCACAAGTTGACGCGATTTTGGTTAACATCTTTGGAGGTATCATGAGATGTGATGTTATTGCTCAAGGAATCATCCAAGCTACGCAACAGTTGGATTTGAAAATCCCTATCGTCGTCAGATTGCAGGGTAAGATAACATTGTAGCTTAAATCTAATAAAACTTTTTACTACTTACATCATAAACGGTGATAACCACTAATATCTCATTTTAGGTACCAAAGTCAGCGATGCCAAAGCTCTGATTGCCAATTCAAAACTCAGAATCCTGGCGTGCGATTCCTTGGACGAAGCCGCGAAAATGGTTGTGAAACTGTCCAGCATCGTCGAATTGGCCAAAGAAGCTTCGGTTCAGGTCGACTTCCAGCTTTCTATCTAGACAATAAATATTCCATTCTGATTTGTTGTATATATTAATACCGTCTATTTAAAACACTTCGGAAGTATGAAAAAGTATTGAAAAATAAAATTTTATCGTCTTCATATAATAAACTACACTTTTAACTTACTTTTAACTCCATTTGACTTTGCTTTTCCCCATAAGGCTTCCTTTCTCGCCCGATAATTCCGTGACACTTCGCTGTGACATTCCGCAACAAATAAATAAAAATAAATAATTTTCTCGAGAGAATTTCCTCGATTTCTGATAAAACATGAGGAATTAGTGATAAGTTTCTAGTCAAAACAGTTTTCTAGCGATTCTTTGTTATTTTATAATTGTAAATATTAATGTTTCACTAACTTATATATAAAATGACACGAGGTAGAAGATGGTTTCATCGAGAAAAACGGGAATCTGCTGCTGGTGAGTGATTTGATGACTCTTTCTTTGAATTTTAGGTATCAAAATGTGTAGATTTAATGAAAATACGATTGTAAAATGTAAATGAAAGTGTTATGATGAATATGACGGTTGATTGCGTAAGCAACTTATTGCTGTTAAAAGCATGTTGTTTTAGACGTACTTAATTCATCAACTTCATCGAAAGAAGAAATTATACCAGAACTTGAGCATGCTTTTAAGAACTGGCCAGGAGCAGGCAGTAGTGACAAGCAAGTGTTTGATTACTTGAAAATGATCAAGTATTTGGTTGTTAAAACCGATCCTGCGTTGTTGGAGCGAGAAGATTTGGTGCTACCGTTCTACAATAGGTAAATTTTATGTTTTTTTTATTTTTAGGTTGAACGATTAAAGGAAAACTAGTCGTTTTGATAATAAATTGCTAAATTAAAACATTATGATGGTTAATATGATGTTACATGTAGTAAGAAAGCGATTTTTCGATGCGACAATTTATATCAAGAGGGTTTAATATAATGCGGGTGCAATCATTGTAAAATTACTTGAAGAAATATTTTTTTAGATTATTTCAAACGATGAATAGTGATGACTATCGTATCCGGACAGTAACATATGCTCTTCTTCGTATATTAACTTCATCTGAACATCGACTGTTAACTACATTAAAACGGATGGTTGATATTTTTGCTGTCAGGTATGTCACTTTAATTTTGGCATAATTTTACATAATATTAAGTTGGGCTTTTGACCATTCTTGTTTATGACATAGTATACTGGAGTATGTTTTGAAACATGACAAATACTTTTAGGTCTGCTGATTTGGGTGAAGAATATGAATGTCTGGAGGCAATGAAGTTGTTGGGAAAGATGATCGACATCTATAGTAGTGGTGATTTGAAGAATGAGGACGAAAACGGGTTGTCGAACATATTGCCTAGTGTCATCTTCCCCTACAATGTGCTTATGTGTTTTAATAGTGTTGTTATGAACTATTACTACGAAGTAAACGATGAACAAGTGAAAATTTCAAAGTAATTTATATTCTTTACCTTTTTACCTATTTTATTGTTTTTTTGAAGGTTAAAGTTAATCTGTACTTAGAACTCTCATAGTTGTATATTTATTTTAGACATGTCAAAATAGCACTAGGGGTGTTACTCAAGATCTCCATTCTGATCCCCGACATGATAGTCGAAAACCTGTCAACTGATTGGATATCTCATATTATTGGATCGCCTTGTCTTAACAGCAAAGAGAACTGTGTATTACTGTCGAGGGTAATATGCAAATGGATGGAAAATCCAGAGCTACGTCTTCGATCTGATATGAAGGGATTGATGGTGAAGATATTTGCTCCAATGATGGACTTCGGTTTTTTTCATAATGACGACCCGAACAGAGCTACTAAAATAAGACATCAAATCACGGCCGAACGTGCTATCAGTGCTTGTGGATATGTGTTGAAGGAGATGTTGTCCACTTGGAGCGGGTTCTACGCTTTGTTTTGCTGCGAGAAGACTGATGAAGACGATACGATGGAGACTCCGTTAACGTATGTTTTGGACTATTTTTTTGTTTTTATGGATTTTTTTTATTTTTATGTTTTTTTTTCACTTTCTTGTGCTATTTTGCTGAACTTCTGTAGTTTGTAATTTTTCAGGTTTCTGAATTACCTCGGACATGTCAAACCAAACGAAGAGTTGTATCTACGACTGCTCGAGACTATTGTAAACGTAGTTTGTGAATTTATGGACACAGCTTATTCCAAAGTCGAATTCAGCACTTGGAGCGAGGCGATTGACTTTTACAGTAATATTTTTTTTATTTTTAAAGATTTTCGAAAATTTTTGTATTGTTATGATATAAGTCAGTTTAATTAAGACTCAGGAGCTTTCTTAAAAAATTACAAAAGTTTTGGGCTCAGTCGGTGATCGAAACCGGGGCCTCTCGCACCCAAAGCGAGAATCATACCACTAGACCACTGAGCCGCGACAATCTTTAAGCAGAGTCGGATATACCCTAAAGGGATTTGTTAAGAATTACTTTTTATTTGCGCAGATGTTTTTTCTTAATATGTTTTACGCTGAATTTTTTTGGATTTTTGAAGCCGCTTCAGAAGATATCAGCGATGAAAAGAAAAGATGTCGCGGCTCAGTGGTCTAGTGGTATGATTCTCGCTTTGGGTGCGAGAGGCCCCGGTTTCGATCACCGGCTGAGCCCAACTTTTAAAAATTTTATTTAGGGCTTTAAAGGTGAAAAATGGTACGACTAGCAAATAAATGTATTTTTGATTTTAGTAGGAGATTGATGTTGCTTTTTTTAATAATTATATAACTTTTTTAGAGAAAATTGATGAGCCAGATCAATATGACAGCGCCGTTCATTCAGAATTTGTTGTTGGCGAAATGACACAGTTTTTAGATAAAGGCTACGTGAGTTAACTTTATATTTTTAATATGTGTACAATACGGACTTTGCTTTTTGTTTGTTAAAAGTTTGAATGTGTTGAGTTTCATATTTTTTACTAATGTTAACTAATAATATTATTTTACAATTGTTAGGTAGATCTGTCAAAGTCAAATCCGTTAATTTCATGCAAAACCTTGGTGTCGTACATTCTACTTTATAACGGACTGGGACAATGTTTGGCCAGAGTGATCGGTTACTCACCGAACGAGTCTTTAATGATCAAGGCAACATTACTTTTGTCTGATTTGTTTAGGACGGTGAGTTGGGTGTTTATGTTATAGTTTATTTAATTTTATTAACCTTTCCTATCTTTTGACAATTTATAGACGGCCTTATATTTGCCAAAGGACTGGAAACTTGCTATTATGTCAACACCAACTTTGTTAAGCAAACTGACGAAGTTAGGAGCAGCACGTTGGAACGACGAAGATGAAGAGTTGTATCAGTATGTTTTTGCGTATTATAGCAGATTAACATTGTTTGGTTTATGAAAGTAGTAGTTGTTACATGAATTAAAAATCTGGGTTAATTTTTTAAAATTTTAAACTTTTATTGGAAGTTTATTTTTGGTCGAATTTATACAACACTATACTGGTAGAACCTTTCAGAGGAGCCTCGATTCTCCTGGACCGTCTTGGTGAACTCGACAAGCTTTTGTTCGACCTGGAAGAACGTGACAAGATAGCTGATTACCCATTTACTGACATGTTTGTTCGAAAAAGATGTCTTGGTGCAGTAAATGTAGAGGAACAACAGATGGGCTCGGTCATTGAAAAGATGTCATATGCTTTGGGAAACTATGACATTAACACTAAAATAAATTGGCAGATGGTGGAGATGATTCTACAACATTTTATTGGATCTGATGTGTTGAAGGAGAAATTTATGGGAACTGAGCAGTGTCATCATTTTTTTGCTGATGTAGGTTTTGACAATATTTGCTTATTAAGGGAGATTTAGGTAGCTTTAGTGATACAATAAGCAGTATTGGTAGATATGAGGGCAGGTTTATTTTGACGTACTTTTTTCTTTTCAAACAAGTTGATAAGGTGAATATAAACCTTTTTTTTGTTAATTTTGTCATCGATTATGTCTATATTATAGTTATTAAACTACTTTGCCCCAAGTACGGAACGAGCAATGAAAGTCGAGACTAAAGCACAAGCTGTAAGACAATTTCGGGCCGGAATGACAGTTTTGAAAGTTGTTTGTGAATGGGCACAATTCGATTCTTACTATGCCGAACGACTTCTGGCTTTCATTGATGATTTCGTCAACGAACAGGACAAATATCAAGTGAGGGCTTTGGATTTTAGAAATTTAGGTTACTGCCAGAGTTCTCAGATTTCAAATTTCCACCTCCGGCTTCAGTTTCCGCTTTGCCTTTTTTTTTAAATTTTAGCTCTGGCTTCCGCTCCGGAGCCCGTGGGAACTCTGGTTACTGTCATTTTGTATTTTTGTGATTTATGTCATTACTTAATTTTTAAATGTCATTACATAACTATAATTTAGTGTGGAAATGAGAAGTCAGCTTTTACGCGACAAAAAATATATGGCCATGCCGCTCTTTACTACGCATTGATTGGTATCATCCAAGACTCTGAGTTTGGATACGTTGCACTTTTAAGGACCAAATACTATTTTTAGTAAGTTTAAATTTTAAAACATTAATATGGTTAGTGTTAACCGATTCTTAAAAAATTGTTGTAAGGGTTGAACAATATCTTTGATTTTAAAATTATATTACTATTTTTTGTGAAAATATGTCGTTATACGTTGTTATTATCTTTAATTTATCAAAAGGTTGAACAAAAATAGTTAAAATAATGTTAGAAATCTGTAAATTCAAACTTTTGTACAGACATCCGGGTTGAGCAGACAAATTATAAATAGGAATAACTTAATACTTAGAAACAATAAATGACAATAATTAAAATAAGAAAGAACCTGTACAATAATCGTATTCATAAGGCCAATTATCATATTCATATACAGTAGTAACTAATACTTCACACACAACAGTAATCAATACTGAAATAATAAGATTAGTTTGTGTGCCTACGGTAACGGCCAGTGAATACATTTTAGAATATTCTTAAATTATGCTATATTTTCTATAATAGAAACGTTTCTACAGTCTGGAAGACTAGCCTAGGCCATATACTCTTCGACGTCTCATTCTAAGGCCTTTGTGAAACGTAGAAGCAACGTTGAATTTGACTCAGTTTTCCGAGACATCTGTACTTCTCAGCCAACATACCATCGTTTGGCAATCCGGCGGCGGGATTACAGTATGGTCGACAATGCTCGAATCCAGGTTCGAACACATTGTAGGCTTGACAACACGGTGTAGCATCTTCATAGCCAGAAGCGCATACCATCATGTCAGCGACCTTGCTAATCGGACAACGGCCAGTCAATACGGCGAGTTGAATCTGAAATTTGTTTTTATAATCATTACAAGGTGTTGGATGAATGCAGATATCGGTTTTATATAATCAAAACTACATGTAATAACAAATGTTCAGTATAAAATATTTTACGAAAGTAAGTGACTTACCGTAGTGAGAGTAGAATCATAACTACACAACTGCGAGCATCCATCTCCCAATCGCTGACAACAGTTTCGGAATCTCTCGTTAGCCAATTCCTTCGAGATACAAGGTTCCCAGTTGGGTTGTTTGGGGCAAGTTCCAGCAAGAGCACCACTCAACGAACTCTTTCCATCAGTCTGCACGTAGTTGTTCTTCTCAACTTGAACAGGAGAAGCATCAATGCTGGGCTGTTGGACTGGTTCGGGCTGAGTGGCCACAGGTTGAGGTTGTTGGTATTCAGCTGGACGAGCTGGCTGAACTTGTTCTGGTTGAGTGTAGGTTGGTTGAGGTTTTGGAGCTTCGACTGGCTGAGATTGTTGATAAGTGGGTTGCGGCTGTTGATAGGTTGGTTGGGCTAGTTGGTGGGGTGGGGGTTGCTGGTAGTTTGGCTGTTGGAAGCCTTGTTGTTGTTGGAAGCCTTGTGGCTGTTGGAAGCTGGTTTGAGGTTGTTGCACTTGTGTTGGGAATGGTGATGGCTGTTGGGCGCCAAATGGTTGAGGTTGCTGTAATACTTGTTGTTGTGGGAATGTGGCTGGGGCGGGGGTTGGGGCTGGAGGAGTTGGCAAAGTGAACAATGGAGCCATTGTTGGGGCGGTCAATGGGGGTGCAGGGGTGAACTAAAATAGTTTTTGGTTTTATCTTGTTTAATGATAAGATAATTATTAATTTATATAAAGCTAATGTTTTGACAAAAACTTACTGGTGCAATTGTGGCTGGAGGCGGCAGAGTAGGGAAAGCGAACGGATTGTATGGCTGTTGAGCTTGGAATGATTGAGCGAGGAATGGTTGGAATGGGTTAAAAAGGCCAGGAGGGGCAGGGGTAACGCCTAATCCGGTTGGCTGAGCAGGGAATCCTGGAGCTTGTCCAGCTGGTCCAGTTGGAACGCCGTATGGTTGTTGAGGAGCTGGAGCACTTGGTGGTACTCCGAATTGTTGTTGTTGTGGTGCTTGGATTCCGCCGACTTGTTGTTGTCCAGCGTAGAATTGTTGTTGTGGTTGTTGAAAGGCGGGAGGTGGCTGAACTGGAGCTTGGTTTGGAGCCGTCGCAAATGGAGCTGTTTGTTCTGGTTGGTACGAGTGACCATATTGTGTGGTTTGTGGCTGAGCTGGCACAGATTGTGGCAGTTGACGGGCTTGTGGAATGCCTTGGGCGTTGTTGTAGCCAGAGTACGAGTACGAATGACTTCTGTCTGGGATTGGGCCTGGTGGTGGAATGTTTTGGAGTGGGGCGGTTCCAGCGTAGTTTGGCTGACCGTGAACTACTGGAGAACGTGCTGATTGGCTTATGGCATGAGTTGTAGGCTTCTAAATGGGAAATTTATTATTATCTTTATGAAAAATAGAATCATAGTATTAAAAAAGATAAGGTATAGAATAACGTCTTACCAAAAAAAATAAAAAACTTACAACAACTGGTGAGGCGTCGACGCCGCATTGGCCGCATGTGTTGGGACACATTTGGGCGATGAAGCTGATGTTACAGTGTGAACATCTGGCACGTAAACAACTTGGCAAATCAGCGTGCACAAGTCCCAAAACACCCAGAATGAGTAACAGCGATCTCACTTTCATCGCTGCTGAAACAAATATTTTAAAATTGATAAAAAATAGCATTTCAATCACGAAAATACAAGTATGAGCGTGAATAATAAAGGAAAATAAAAATGTAAAACAACTGTAAAATATCAAACTATTTTGGACATGAAACCAACAGCAAAGATAACAGTAGACGTGGCTACGCATACGAACTCCCCAGTTTACCAGTATAAAAGTCAATAAAATTCGTGCGCCGCTGATTTCCTCAGTTGGCATGCTTCCCGCGTAGCTCTCCATAAACTTCGAAAAAACCACACCGTTACGGTGAAGTGGTTCCTCTCTTTCTTTCGTGGTTTTACGTCTAAACTCGAGGAGACGGAACGATTTATGCATTTCTAGCTATCTGGGATTAATGACCGCATTATTATGCAATTGTCTATATCCGGGGTGACAAACAGGTAAATAGGTATTGGATTGATACTAAGTACTACCGACCTTTTGGAGGCTTGTGTTTCAGCGGATAGAAAAATTTTGTCAATAAAAAAATACAATTACGAGCAAGGACAAAAAAAAAGACATAATTAAAATTTTGATGTGCTAGTTTTAAAAAGGCATTTTTAAACAGAATATTTTAATAAGAGGGCAATTTTGTGCGAGAATAAAGTAAAAATTGTTTTGTTTATGCGTTGGGTCAAACTGCAGAACGGATTTAGAATATCACGGCACATTGCGCGTTCATTTCAAATGTCAAAAGCCGAAAATTGTCTTGGAAGGTATAGAAACGCATTTAATCGTTCGCGTGCTACAAAGCTGTATTCTAGCTGAGAAATCGTACAAGATTCTAACGATCAACAGTTTTTTTAACCCCTTTATTGGTACTTTACAAAATAGTAGTGCAAGACTTAAAAATATTCATTTTATCGCTATATTGTTCTAAAATATCGAAACGCACACTTTTTTAGACAAAAAGTATATTACTCAATGCGCAGTACAACGTAGAAACTATTAAGTACGCTTGATTAGTCGTAGACGCAACTCTCAAAATAAATTGACTCAGATCGACAAAAAAAGTCAGAGTTATGCTCATCATTAATTACGAGAAAACGAATCCCGAAAAGCCACAGTGAAACCGGCTTTGAATGGAAAGCGGCAGAAAAAAATAACAACGAAGATGAACTTGACATCGCTTCCAAGGAACTTGATTCGGTGTCATAATCACATCAACACAAGCTCACGGATCATTTATGATGACGTGACCGCAAATTTGAGTTTTTGAATTTTTTAGGTATTAATTAGCTTAAAATTAAAACGAAATATTGAAGACAATGCAGTACGACTGAAAGTATGAAAAAGTCAAAATTTAACATTCAAAAAAATAAAGAGGCGTTACGGTAACACCGATAACAGCGTTGTTGATGAAAACAAAAATTAATTATAATGAAATATGTCACGAAAACAATCATAACTCAAACCAGATTAATCTAACAATTTGCAAACTGACAGCCAGACGAATGTTTACAAATTAGCCAGAACTGTAAACCGAAACCCTTACTCGCTTCCAGAAAACCGATTGCTCTCCTTCTTCAACGCTATGGAAGACGCGCCGAAAAAAACATTCCGCCGAACCCGTCCGCGGATCAGGTTCTAATGCCGTTTAGTGGAGTTGGAAAGGAGTGAAGAGAGTGCTTTCACTAACTGCGTTTAAGAAACTCGAAACGAATAATTACAACGGATGAAGATGATGATGAGCATGGGAAGGTCACGTTTAGAGCGTTGAAACTTTTGTGTATGAGAGACAGACTATGAACACGATACTGAAGTTGTAAAAAGGAGAAAGATGTAAAAGAAAGAATAACTATGGAAATATTCGGCATTAGTCATCTGCTTATGGCTAATGGTCCAGCTGATATAAGTGAAATATCAAAATAAAATTTAAAAAATCACAAACAGTGCATATTGTACATCCCGAAAATGGATAATCTTAAAAAATTAAAGTGAGGCCGTGAATGTTTCTCACGGAACGTCAAACAAAATTAAAACAATCGAAATGGGCGGGTGCGCGAAATCCGGCTTGATTTGAATCAGGAAAGAAGTGGCGACAAATTAAAACGACAAAATTAGCCGGTTTAACCGAGGGTCGCTCAAGTTCTTCAGTAAATACGATGAGTTCGACCAAAATCAAGATATTATGTACAGATATTGTGACAGTTTATACTGAACATTGTTAATCAGGTTGTGAATAATATTTTTTATGAGAAAGTGTGTTAAATCTGCATGGTTAAAATAGTTTTTCGGGGTTACTTACGAATACGAAAATTATTAAATTTTTGAAAATTTAATTGAAAATCAGGTTTTGAGGAATCTTAATTTTACTAAAGAGTGAAAGTTTTGAGAAGATTCTCAAGATAATTGAATTGGAATGTGAATAAAATCATATTAAAAAAGAAATCAAAAATATTACTGTAAAATAGCCAAGTTTTTAATAAAAAAATAAGTTGAAAAAGAGTTTTTTAAAGGACAATATAGAGAAAATTGGGCTTGTTAAAACATAATATTAACTTGTTTTAAAAATTGTCATAAAGATCGGCATAAAGTAGAGAGATGCTAAAATTTTAAAATTTTTAGTGATTTGGAAAAGGAGGACGATCATTCGAAGTTGATGCTGGCTTCGATGAACTACAAGTCACCGTTGTGCAGAAAACACCTTGAAATTGCATTGACCGCCAGAAATAGGAAATATGCCACAAAGTTCGCCGAGGTTTTTATTTGTTGTGATCAATGTAAGTTAGTTACAGTACAGTGTTTCGCAAGTAAAGTTAACAACTTTGCTGTTGGGAACTTGGAATATTCTTTTAGGTTATAATATGACGCATTTGAATCTTACTTGTTTTGTTTGGCAAAATATATGTGAATGTATTGTATCATAAGTAAGTGTTTCTTCAGCTGATCCGAACTTGCAAGAAATGGATTGGTTAATTCAGTTATTCTTCGACCAGTTAGTGGATCCATCGCCAAAAGTACGACGACGTGCTAGTAAAATATTGCAAAAATGGCTTCCGGTTAGTTTTTTGGTTACTAAAGATACAAACTATCTTATAATATTTTGATTTTTTACTTTATTATACGTAGTGTTTCTGTTTTACTTGGACATACACACAGGTTATAAGCTGATGTAAAGAATTTGTATATTGCGATTAAGGATAGATTTGTTGCAGTGCTACATGACTTAATAATATCAGCGTTTTTAGAAATATCCACGAAAGTTGCATTACATGGAAAGACTTCGAACAACAGATCTGAGTGATGTTGGATACTTGATCAGAGCTGTTTTAATGACTGATGAAGAATTGGTGAAGCAGTACCATAGAAGTGCTGCTCATGCTGTGAAACGATGGATGGAGGTATGGTTTTACATTTTCTTTTATATGAGGTTGATTAGGTTGTTTCAATTTTTTTGGGTATACTGATGTTTTTTATAGATGTTCAACAATAGTTACATTTCGATACTGGAGGATGACTTACATCTTTGCCTGGGCTTTCCAAAAAGAAGTGTTGACTACAATTTTGCGCGGCACAGCACGGTTCAGAAAAAGTGAGTAATTTTTGTAACAATTTAAGAGTTTAAAATTTTAAAATGGGCTTATTTTAGGATTCCTGAAAGTTTCCTAACGCCGTGTCACTTGTTCGATTCTTTGTCACAACATGAATTTGGTCGAAATCTTCTTCTAGATGCTAATAGAGAGCTGTGTGAGCGACTTAAGACATCAGTAGATTTGAACAATGTTGAAGATATGAAAGGAGCTGTTATTGCTTTGGGGTTTGTCATTGGAAATGCCGACGAAAGTAAGCTATTAATTTTTTTGTAATGCAATATTAAACGTTTATAATCTTATACAGTATATAAAAATTTTTGGATGAATGTTGTATTACTCGGTTATAAAAACTTTTTGTTTAAAATTTGAGTTTGATATCTCAGTTGAAATGAAGCTTGATTTAATGATTATTTTCAGAATACGTGGAGTCAATAGCCGACTTTAATGTTGCCGAACGCATTATCAAATTGGCCGAAACCTGTCCTTATATGGGTCTTCGTGTTATTGCATTCTTTGCAGCGAACATGATGACCAAATCAGAGTACGGGATCACTCAACTGATCAGATGTGGCTGGGCAGTTAACAGAAGACCTGATTTACATCTTCAACATGAGATTGAACTGCGAAATGCCAATTACGGAACACCAGAACAACCGGCACTAAAAGATAGTTTGGATAATGAAGAAGCACAAAATAAGAAGCCGGAGGTTGAGATTTTAGAAACGAATCCATTTTACAACAATCTTAAAGACGTGAAGGATAGAAGGAAGGTTATTGAGAAGCGGTAAGTCAATTTTTTAATAATAAAAATGTGATTTTTTACATTATATCATATTGTTTGTTAACTTTATAATAAAAAATTATTTTTTATACAGTTTAATGTTGAAAAAAAAGAAAAATTTTGGGCTCAGCCGGTGATCGAAACCGAGGCCTCTCGCACCCAAAGCGAGAATCATACCACTAGACCACTGAGCCGCGACCTCTTGTCTACTCTCCGCTGATATCTTCTGAAGCGACTTCAAAAATCCAAAAAGGTTTAGCGTGAAACTTAAAAAACATCTGCGCAAATAAAAAGTAATTCTTAACAATTCACTTTAGGGTATATCCGACGCCGCTTAAAAAGGATGTCGCGGCTCAGTGGTCTAGTGGTATGATTCTCGCTTTGGGTGCGAGAGGCCCCGGTTTCGATCACCGGCTGAGCCCAAACTTTTTTAAAATTATTTTTAGAGAATCATGCACATGTTTTAACACCTAACTTGTTTTACATAGCTTTTATTTTAATTTTTGAATATTAAGACATAATTTTTAGAGAACCTACTACACCACCTTTGGATAGACTTGATATAGAGTCAGACGAGTTAGCAATAAGTATCAATGAAAACTTGAACTCTTTTTATATGGATGTGACATCGGTAAGTGGAGAGGTAAAACGTATTATAATATTTTGTAATTTTTTTTTGTTTTGGTTTTTTAAATGACGCAACTATTTATTAAACTTGTACGTTGTTTTATAAAATCTTATGCTTTTCAGAGTTCAAGTCGTCGTGTTCAATCAGAACTTATGTTTCCAACAGGCTACATGAGGACAGTCGACTTTTATCGACCGCCAACTGATCCAGTTAATGAGTGTAATCTACAAGTTCAGATATTGTGTGACTCTGTAAAACCGGAGATCGATACTTATCGTGCTCTTACCGAAGGACTCTCGGATGAGCAAGTGGTAGAAATGCAGGAAAAAGCCCAAAGAATGAGCATGGCTAGATTGGGAAACTTGAACAACAGTCATGCTATCACTTTACCAAAAACTCCTTCTAACGTTTTAAAGGTAAACCAATTACAGCGTCTGACGTTAATTTTTTTGTTTTCTAAGATTTCAGTTTCAAAAAAAAAGTTTGGGCTCAGCCGGTGATCGAAACCGGGGCCTCTCGCACCCAAAGCGAGAATCATACCACTAGACCACTGAGCCGCGACTTCTTCTTTAAGCAGCGTCGGATCTACCCTCAAGGAATTTGTTAAAAAATTATTTTTTATTAGCGCAGACGTCTTTTATGTTTTCTGCAAAATCTTTGTTGGGTTTCTGAAGTCGCTTCAGAAGATATCAACTACGAAAAGAAAGGATTTTGCGGCTCAGTGGTTTAGTGGTATGATTCTCGCTTTGGGTGCGAGAGGCCCCGGTTTCGATCACTGAGCCCAAAATTTTTAATATATTTTAATAATTGAAAATATTTTTTAATTTTATTGATTTCTTAATTTTACCATGTTTTTATACTATTACAACGTTTATTTTACAATTTTTTCAGAATGTTTTTGATGTGAAGTATGAATCAGAACGTGATGAAAGACCTCACAAGTGTACAAGGAAGGCGTATCTCAATTTAGAGTTTGTGAATAATCTTGAAGGTGAACTAGAAAACGACGAACTCAATGAAACGAATAATGAAGATGACAATATTGATCAAAATAAAAGCTCTACTTCTACTAATCAATGTCAAGGTGGAACAGATGATAATGATAACAAAAAACATGAAGAGAATTTAGATGATGAACAACATAAGAGTTGTAGTAAAACTAAGGTTGTGGAAGGTGATATTGGTGGTAAAATGCCAGAACAAAAATCAGAGAGCGAGCAGGAAGATGTTGTTGCTGAAGTTAAACATGCTCAAGGACAGGATGATTATAATGGACAAAATTCTAATGAACTAGAAGGCCATGGTGATAACGAAGAGGTAGAAAGTGCAGCTACGGATACACAAGAAGCAAATGATCAAGATACTGTGGCTCAAAATTTAAAAAGTGAAAGCAGTGGTACTCAAGAGGTAAAAGATGAAGGCACTTTTACTCAAAGGAAACCTCATGTTGAAGTTGAGCAGTACGAAGAGGACGAGTTAACAACCCAAAGCGCACCAGAATATCCGATACCAGAGACAGACTATTCAGAAGAACAAAACTTAAGTGAAGAAGGCGATAGTAAAAGTGACATAGAGGATGAATCTAGTCGAAGTTGTCTAGTACCTAGTGGACTTGTGTTTGGAGCTAGAGTTCAGAGGGAGAAAGGCACGAGTGAAGATGAGGATGAACCTCCGGAACCGGATGAATACGTTGGTGAAGATGAACAAGAGGAACGGAATGAAGAAGGTGAAGAAGAAGGAGCGCTTGAAGAGAAAGAAGAGGCTTTTAAAGAGGAATCTGGTGTAAGTGAACATGATGTAGTTGGAGATAACGTGACTGAAATTAATGTAGCCAATGAAAAAGAAGAAGCGAATATGTTTAATGATGAACATAATGTAGTTGAAAGTAAGGTAGATGAAAATGCGACTGGACATGATGTAGCTAATAAGGAAAGAGAAGAAGAAACAGTTTCTAATGTTGAACATAATGTAGTTGATGAAAATAGACTAGAACAAGAAGAGCGGGTTTCTACAGTTCGGTGTAGTATCGCTCAACCTGAGCTAGCGGACTATGTGGCTGAACATGATGTAGCTAAGAAGAAAGACGAAGAAATAAATATTTTTAGTGTTGAACATAAAATAGAAGAAAATGTGACTGGACATGATGTAGTTAATAAAGAAGGAGACACGGTGCCTAAGATTGAACACATAACAGCTGAACATAAGATAGATGAAAATGTGACTGGAAGTGATGCAGCTAGTAAGGAAGGAGAAGAAACGGGGTCTAACGCTGAGCATAGTGCAGCTGACGAAAAGAGAAGTGAAAAAGAAGAGCAGGTTTCTACAACTGGACGCTACCGTGAGGTAGCTGAAAATATGGCTCAACATAAAGTAGGCAAGGAGAAAGAAGTAGAAGAAAAGATGCCCAATATTGAACATAACACATCTGAACATAAGATAATTGAACAAAGTATAGCTGAAAAGGAAAAAGAGGAAGAAAAACTAACCAAAGTTCAACAGAACGCAGCCAAAAAGAAAAGCGATGAAGACAAGTGTAAGCCCAAGATCTATGAATTTGAAGCGAAGAAGGAGGACACGTTCGAAGATGGCGGAATATGGTTGGAGAAGGCACACAATGAGAAGAAGTGCTTCTACTGTGCTAACAAAGAACATTTGTGGAAACTATACTTTGCTGTCAAGATACCATCACAAGATGCTATTGAACAGTACGGTGAAAAGAGACGACGAGTTCTGAGGCTGATGTTTAGTCTTCGGATTCACGAAAAGGCTAGATACAACAAGTTGGCAGAGTAAGTGAAACCTTTAGATATTATTAATATTGTTCCAGGTATTTAGTAACTAACTATTTATTAAACAAAATTTCAAACTAGTATTTATATACATAGCATCTTTATTATATGACCAGCAATTTATATTAAAAATGGTTGTTTATTTGATTAAATTGTAGGTATCATCAAAAGTATCGACCGTTATTTGAGCATCCTTGCATGTATTCTGACGCCGTTCACGTCCTAGCTGAATGTCATTTGAACAGTGATGCCAGGCGTTTCATTCAGTCTTTGTTCTTCAATGTCTTTGAAGCTTCGCCGTTAACACAGTATCCAGAACGATGGAGTTTTAACCGTTAGTTCTTTTCCAAGGGGAAGTTAGCTCAGGTAACAAGTTTATGAATGGTAATGTTAACATTTCGATTGGTTTTTATAGTATTTACAGTGCACTTGCGCTGCCTTAATCAAGCTTTTTGAATTTTAAGGTCTACTCAAACTTAGAAATCATAGTTTGTTTGAAAATTTATAGATTTTATAGAAATACATCGTTGCTTTTACACTTATATAACTTAACTTTTTCCCGTGCCAATTTTTGTGAATGTCATAGCAGCTACAAACATATCTAAATTTACTTTCATTCATATCATGTGCAATATTGTGATATCTCTCATATCCGGGTGAATTCGTACACCATATCTTACCGTGCCTTAAATATTTATTAACGCCAAATAAAATATTAAAATTATAGAAGGGCAACTCGTATTAAACTTGGTTATTATGTTGAATAATCAAATGTAGAGAAAATCAAAAATAATTATACCAGATAATGATTACTATAGTGCCTTTAATATTTTGGCTATAGCTATACGGAAAATGTGTAATATTAAAAAAATACGATGACATTTGAGCATTTCAAGAATTATTAGTAGTAATATCATATAAATATTGTTATGAGAGGTTGCATAAATGCAACGTAAAATGTCATAAACCTATCAGGAAGACTATGTATTGCCATTTTGCTGTTAGGCAAATTCTTGTTTTCTTTTGTTTTTTCGTTTTACCACGCACGGACCTCTTGTGGGATCAGCAAAACCAACTCTATGAGGACAATACATGCTGTTCAATTTTACTGCATCCCATCTGAAATTGGAATTTAAATTATGAACACGTAGGTTAGCATTACTATGCTTTTTGTTTTATAATTTTGATGATTTTATGGTGATGATTTTACAATTTTAGCTTGGTAGCTTTGTGTCAACAGTGATTATGACCCTCTTGAAAGATTCAACTTACCGCGTAAGCAGCCCGGCCCTCTGCCCATTGCCAATATCCTTGTTCTCTCGTCCATTACAGTACAATGTCAAGCCGTACCAATTACGTGCTTGTGATGGTATCGTGATACTTTCAGGATCAAACGGCCACTGCAATTGCTCTTCCGAATACGATGGTATTGCTTTTTTGATCTTGATCTTCTTCTGAGGCTGAATATAAGAAGCGGCATCCGGACGAAGATATTCTTCACGGTAACCCATGTAACGAAGCAGTTGTTCCATCACCATGCCACGTGAGTTGTTAAAGTTTGGTTCGTTTAGAGCTTTCTCGGAGAGGTATATCAAGGAACGTTGAGTCACGTCTTCAATGTTGTTGTCTGTGTAGCCTGGAATCAGAGGTTTTAACAATTATTGTTATACACTAAAAGAAAATGGGGATTTTAAATTATTGTAAGAGTCCAGATACTCTATTATAATATAGTATACAAAAAAAAGTTTTAGTCTCGTCCGGAAAAGAAAAGGACTTACCGCTGAACTTTTTGCTCTTTTTAATGACGACGTAAGGCTTGTCTTCTTGCCATCTGTCAGCGTGGTACCAAGGTTTGTATTCGAGCTCCTCAAACCTAGAATTTTAATTTTGTAAAAAAAATTATTGTATTGTGTTTGTGGTGTAGAAAACTACGCTGTAAAAATTGATTTTCACATTACATTATCTTTTTACAATTCTAACGTCTTTTTATTTAAAAATAAAAAGAGTTTTAAACTCTTTACTGTAGTCTTACTTGATACATGTGCGTCTAGAGATTTGGTGGAAAGCATCTCGAATAACGTTTTTGTCTCTGTCGCTTAAGCTTGGCCATAAATATGCGTCTTGATGAGCTGTTCTAAAAATGTTATGCTAGTTTTAAAAAATTACCAGTAAGTATTTTAAAACATCTATCAAGCCTTCTCATTGATGTTTTATTCAAAAGCTGCTACAATGGGGTGGGAAGGAGAAGTGCTAAAAACTTGTAGATTTGAAATAAATTCTTACCGTTTGGAATACTGTGTGTCATCATCATCTACGCTGTTGGGCGAAAACGTTCTTGAGCCTCCTAGCCATCTTCTGTTACATTTTGTTCTCGAGCTTTTGGGTAGTTGAGGTTCTTCTCCAGAACTTTCTCTCAATTCACCTTCACAGTACGCGTTATGAAATAGGAGTATCAACAGTAGATACTGTAGTTTAAGCATTTTTGTAAATGACTGATTCAGTCTTTGGACATCTGAAAAAAGCTTAGTTATCGTAAAATAGCTTTGTACATCTTGTATCTAGTCATTTGAAAAATTTTAAATTTAAAAATGTTGAAAATACAAAAGCGATGTAAGTCGGATGACGCAGTATATTTTTTTATTGCAATCAAAAACCTCGCAATCCACTGAAAACAATGGTAAAAACGTCGCCAGAAACGGGGTCAATGAACTAACAGGATCTCGAAATGCGTCAAGATTTATGTTGGAGAAAGTGAAAATCATGAACTAATCCTTAAACTTACAACTTTCAGTTTTTCAATTGGATTAGTCATCTTTTTATAGACGGTAGGATCATCATAGGTAACCTTATCATAAAATAATTAGTACTCGTATCATAATAGGTACTCGTATCATAACCACCGTAGTTATTGGTATTTTTTGACTTTGCATCTTTTAGATACTGTATTTTTTCGGTATCTAATAAAAAGATTAGTTTTGTCTTATTGTTGATGTAGATTTCTTGATAATGCTTTTATAGGTTCAACACGTAGTCTTTAGTTTATAGGTATTAAGATAAGGTAAATTTAAACACCTAAAGGCTTTAGCTTTGGTTTAAAAGTATTACAAAGAAGCATAAATACTCAGACTGGAGTCTTATCGCAATATAACCATATCAAACAAACTTGTGCACACTAAACACAAAATAAAGGAATGTCAAACGCACGAAACACAAATTAAAGTTTGTCTTTGGTATCAAGAAAATGTGACGATTTATTCTTATCAATTGATATCATGTCAATTATTTCACTTGTTCGAATTGAGAAGCCTTATTTCTCCAAATGAAGGGCTTATTAGTGTTTCTGTTACTCTGGGTGACATGCTCTGACGCATTTAAGATTTTACTATATTCTCCGAATTACAGTAGAAGTCATATCAACTTTATTGGGAAGTTGGCGGATCTCTACATTGATGCTGGTCATGAAGCGGTAAGATTACTGTATTTTTGGAGAATTTGTATGGCTTATGATAATCAATTTTGTTCATATTTATAAGGATAATGGAGTGAGGATGTTTAAGAGTTTTTTTCCTTACGAAGTAATGATTTATCCTATGTTTAGGTAGTGTTTCGACCAGAACTGCTGGACGATGATCCGAATATATTAATCAATGGAACGAAGGCTAGAGTTATATGGTTTAAAAAGCGATTTGAATCTGGCTACAGTGCAGGCACGTTGCAATCAGATGCTTGGACTATGGGAAACGATGGTATAATCAAGACATTGACGAGCGGATGGAAGGTAAGTATAGTTAGATAATTTAATTTTCGTTTACTAGATTTGTATGACTTTGCAGATTTTTTGAAGTTTTTTGTAGAGTTACTTTAAGTTTAACAATGTTTTATTATTTTAGGTAATGCAAAAGTTAGGGGCTACAAATACAAAAATGTGTGATCGTAAGTTTATTAATGTTATCCTGTTGATGGTTAGTATCAGCAACATTGATGTATACTAGTTATAAAAATTATCGTAATGTAGCCTTAGTAGAAGGATATCAAATAATAAGTTAGTTTAAAATTGTTATAATGTAGCTTCAGTTGAACAATATCAAGTGAAAATGTAGTGCAATTTTAGAAATTTTGGACGATGATCAACTGGTCCACGATTTGAAAGCCGAAAACTTTGATATCGGTTTGATTCAGATATTCGACGTTTGTGGAGCAGGACTATTCAAGAAGATTGGATTGGAAAAGTTTGTTTTGGCTTCGTCTATGCCACTGTCTACTTCAATATCGGCCGCTTTTGGCTTACCGTACTCGCTCAGCTATGTTCCTGGTATGTTTTTACTAAAGCATTATTTGATTTTGGGTGATGATTAATTTTCTAAAAATTGTGATATGGCGTTATGGTGCTTTTCATAGTGCAAAGCGGGTTATGATGCTTTAAGTACAAAGATTATTTTTTAGATTTTCTTCCAACTGTCAGGGATTACGGTAGCTTTGTCAAACGGGTTTCTAATATTCTTGGATTTGCGTTCACTAAAGGGGTCTTGATGGCTGCTTTTCAAGGATATCAAGTTGTGTCAGTTCAAAAACATTTTCCAGAATTTACAGCCGATGTAAGTGGTTGGCATTGTGTTTTATTGTAGTAAAGACTATTCGATTATTTTTTGTTTAAAACAAGGTTTTACTATACTACTATTAGGCTGTTCAAATAATACTGTGTTCCGTCAAAGTAATTTATTGGGATTAGGGGCACATAATTATTTGAACAACCTAATGTTAACATAAGTGGTAAAGGTTACTTATTTTATATGTAGCAGTACGACTTTAAGTTTTCAAAATTTAATATTTTAGAGAGCACTAGGCAATGCCTCACTCTTGTTTGTCAACAGTGATGAACATGTTGAGTATCCGCGTCCTATATCTCACAAAGTTGTATATATTGGAGGGTTTGCATTGAGTGATCCAAAACCTTTGAAAAATGTAAGTTATTCTATTATTATCAATAACTTTATGTTGGGCCAAACAGCACAGTTGAATAGTATTTTAAACTAACTTTATATACACCTTACTATTTGACTGTTATAACACAGGTGTTTGCCTTATCAATATAAACCTTACAAGTGTTCAAACATACAACTATTAGGTTGTTCAAATAATTTAGAGCTAACTAAACACGATAATTTGCTTTAAGGCGGGGCACATAATTATTTGAACAATCTGTGAATTTTAGCCCTACAAAGAGGTCCTAGACGAAGCTAAGAATGGAGCCATTTTGATATCTTTTGGCTCAATTGCGCAAAGTGTTAAGATGCCGAACGCCACGAAACAAGCCTTTGTGGATACCTTCAAAGCTTTCCCTGACATCAAGTTCATCTGGAAGTACGAACAGCCTGACGATGATGTGGCAAACGGTCTTGATAATGTTATAAAGTCAAAATGGGTACCACAAACTGATATTTTGGGTAGGTTTTTATGCTTTATGATTTGGGGTATGTAATGAAAATGGTTTTATTTTTTACTAATCTATAATATTACATTATTTTACTTTGTTTTTATAATTTTTGTCGGTTATACTGAATAAAAACATTTCTATGGAAATACTAACTTATGGTACTAGTTATAGCACCTTATTTTAGACCACAAGAATGTGGTTGCATTCGTAACTCACGGTGGAATGAACAGTGTATCTGAAGCGTCTCACTTTGGTGTTCCAATGTACTGTATCTTTTTGTTTGGCGATCAATTCAGAAACTGTAAAATGGTACAGGAAAAAGGACTGGGACTGGTTGGTAAGAAGGGAGAACTCACGAAAGATGTCGTCTTCGAAGCTTTGAAGGAACTGATTAACAACAAATCGTAAGTAACTTATTTTACAAAGGTCTAATATTCTCCAGAAAATCGTACGAAGTCGTATTTTACATCAATTTGTATGATAAAGCTAATATTTATTATAATATGTATTATATTTTCATGGTACTGTAAAGTAAATCTTTGTCTGGATGTTATTTCTCTCATCTAAGATCACAAACCGCTTTAAAACTAGCTTAAAATGTCATTTTAGATACTACCAAAAGGCGAGAGCCATCGCCGAGATGATCAAAGGAAAGCCGATGCAGCCGGCCGAACGCGTACTCAAGTATACCCAATATGCTGCGACATACGATGTAAAACAAGTGTTGGAATTGGAAGGACGGCATCAGAATGTCATTGAATTTTACAACATTGATGTATATCTTGTCTTTTTGACCATCTTGTGGTTGGTTCCCTACGTATTCTACAAACTTGTACGATGTTGTTGTTGTAGGAGAAAGGCGGTCAAAAGTAAACGGGAGTAAACATGTTTTACTCATACATACGGTAAAAATACGGTCATCAAATAAACCTTAATATTGGCAATACACATAGAAATTTTAGATTTCAGTAAAAATCCAAATTAAAGTTACTGTTACCTAAAAAGCAAATCAATATTGTATTCAAGTATTTATTGCGAAAATAATTAAGTTATGATACGAAAGTAGAGTTTACCATTGTAATTACAATATTATACGTACTGACTGTATGATATAGGAATATTGGGGGTCGGTAATACAAAAGTGAAGTGGTGTGCGATTACACATGGTAAAACGAAAATGTAAAAAATGCGAAAAAAGTGAATTAATAACTTAAGGGGGAGAGACGAAGGGGGCGAAGGCACAATGATATTCAATTGAGGGTCGAGGTTTGGGAATGAGGCCAAATAAACGCATTTTAAATGCAGGTTCACAAGATTCGGGGGCTAAAATACGACAGTTTGTACTAAAAACTTTGTCAGTCGAGAAATGATTCATGACATCGTCATTACTCCTTTGTTAGCTCAATCATATTTGAACAAACAATTAGCAAACGATGACAATTTGGACAAAAAAGCAGTTTTAATACAAAGCGCTTAGCGTTACCAAAAAATATTGTCGTACAAGATTCCTTAGTCCTATAGCATTCAAAGAGTATATACTGTTAGATGTTTTAATACTTGTGTTATCTTAGAGGGATGGGTTCTATTACTGGCTATTTACTCGAAAAAGGTCAGACTTTACAAACAGAATGGATTAAAGTATCAAAAAGTTATTGCCAAAAGTAGAAAAATTTTGAAAAAAGTGAAAAAATAAAAATTCAAAAACGGCAACAACTTTCCTACCCTTAAAATGAAAAAACTGAAAATTATAGGGGTTGAAGAACAATTAGGTCCTTCTCTTTGTACGATGGGGCTATGTATTCATCGTCGACGTCCTTCTTCTCCGGGTCGAGACTTTCGACTTTGGTCGGTTCCAAAGGCGTGGGTAAGCTAAAGTAGTGGTAGGGAGGTTTAAAAGGCTGGGGTGGAGGCATTTGGCCGGGTGGGTACATGGCATAGCCCATTGGAGGAGCAAAGCTGGGTGAATTCTGTCCCAACTGCATCTGAATTGGCGTACCATTTGGGGGTTGAGAGGCGATGGACGATACCGGCACATTCTCGTTCCGAATCTCCGATTTTATCTGATACTGTTGGTATTGATGAGGTAGAGGGCTAAAAATGATGGAGTTAAAAAGAAGATTGGTGAATAAAGGTATTTAAGAAGTTCTAACTATTAAAAGGCTTATCGTTTTAAAATAAAATATAATTAGTTACCTAAAAATCAAAAAGTAACGTAAAAACTTACTGTCCATTCTGTGTAGTAAATACGACTTGAGGTGGGTGTTGGTAGTAAGCTGGTTGTGGGTTAGGTACGAATACTGGCTGATGCATTGGCCGCTTCATGTCTTGTTCTTCAGAAGAATTCGAACTTGGTCGTTTCGTTCCTTTATTTTTACTGTCAATGTATATCGTATCTCCACATCTTTTCCTTAAACATGAAGCTCCGGGTAGATATCGGGAATCGAAGAACTTTCGGTCTTGGCACGGTAAACAGACATCACAATCAGCAGCTTGACATTCAGGGCAATGTCCACAACCTCTGCGAACTTTCAAGGTAGCTGCTTCTCTCTAAAACACAAGATTTTATGTTACAAAATAGTTTGGGCAGAAAACTTAGTATACCGCCAGCTATTTGAACAAAATGCTACCTAAAAGCCAAAAATAATCAAAATAACTAACCTGTAGCTTATTCTCCATCACTCTGTGACATCTCCGTTCAATACAACTCTGTTTTTTAACACCGGGACCTCCAAACAATGGCGAATCCAAACAATATGTACATTTACCACATTGCTTACTAGTACATCCATTACAAGACCCACAACGTTGAGACCTGTTTCCGCCCATTGTTACGGGTGTGGACGGTGAGGATGAAGGTGTGGATGAAGATTGGACTCGGGCAACGTTCCTGTTAGTAGGCATCCCATAAGGATGCATATAACTGCCATTCATTGGACTGTACGATGGCTGATTGGGGTTGTGTGGTGGATAACCGTTGTGGAAGAAAGCTGAAGAGCCGTTTGCTACACTGGAACGTTGGCTCGGTGATCCAAGCATTATCTAACTAAAAATCAAAAAATTAACTATGATAGCAGTAGAGACACATCTACTATAATATTCAAAGCCCGGTCAACTCAGCAAAAGATCAAAATTATATAAAGATATAAGGAAATGCTCTTCCAAGATCTTAGATATACCTATAAATTCAAATCTACGAAAAACAATAAATACTTAGAAATATACATCTACTATAATATAAGAACCTTTGTTATGCCTTTAAAAAACAAAAAAAACACGCAAATTGTTTAAGGATCACATAAAATAATATAATCTCTATATAAAAACCCTAAATCTTCTAAAACATGCAGACTTTGACTTAAAAACCAAGCTTTTTACCAGATTTAGGTAACAAAACAAAAAGCTCTTTATAAGAAGAGAGAAATAGATGGAAGATAAGAAAATAACAAGTAAAAACAAGCCAAAAAGTCTAGGAAAGATAATACAATCAATATCTGAAAGAATAAACAAAGAAATTCACTTTTTGTCCATCAAAAAACATTATAGAGAATATTAAAGTACTTCTAATCGCCCAAAAATCAAACTTTCAAAAAAAAATTAAATATTTATAAAAAATACAATTGCTAAAATACAATGCAAAATCTAAAAACAAAATCCTGTAACAAGTTATAGTTATTTTGGCCCAAAACTCGAAAATATTGGCACTTTCCGACGTTTGATAAAAAGTTTAGGAAAAAAGAATTTTTGGAAAATCTTTATAAACTTTTGTCGAAATTTCTTTTTCTTGTTCTAATTACTTTAACCAACTGCACTTTTACACAGAATGGCTGTTGATTCCTGTCATGTGTAACATTGGGCAGGACATTTGTTGGATTTCGAGTGGGCGGGGTAAAAAAATTCGAGGGGATGTTTTTTCAAAAAATTTTTAAGAGCAGGGTAAAAATTATCAAAAAACTTTTAGTGTATCGATTCCATTTTTTTTCAGGAATGTCATTACTTTTTTAAAAGTTTTTTTTTAAATGGCCTAAGGTCTCAAAATGCCAAAGATGTAAGACTACAACAAAAAATGTCACAAATGTAACGTAATCCAACTGACATGAAAAAAAAGTTCTAATCAAGAAATCAACTCTTTTTACCATGGAAAGCGACTTTGACAAGTCATTTATTTTCTCCAGAATCCCCATTCGAATGGAGAGAAAAGAGACAGAAGCATAAGAACAAGATTTTTCAAGATAAGTCTCTTAAAGGAAAAGCTGTTTGAAATATGTTAGGGACATTCAATCCACGGAAAACAAAACATTCAAAGCGTCCTATTTTAAAGGGGGAATGTGACAAGACTTTTAGTAGGGGTAGTTTATAGGGAAGGAGAGTAAATTAAAAAATACGTTTAGTAGAAGAAGCCTGGTCTAAAAGTAAGAAGGTTTAAAATAATTAACTACATCGAGCATAGCCTTCATAAATTATAAAATTATATTTCAAAGACTTTCTGACCAAAGTTAAAACAACTTTAATAAAGAAATGTTAGGGAAGACGGAGTTTAAAAGCCTTAAAAAGTAGTGTAAAACAAAACTGAGTTATTTATTCATGTGATAAGGAGAAAGAACATGGCTGTTGGGAGTGTGTTTTCCACAAAAGTCAAATAAAATAGTACCCGGAAGGCCTTAGAAATATTGTTTTTGAGAAAAAAAGAGCAGATTTTTAAAGGTTTCGTGGTAGCTGGAGCAAAAGTCACAAGATTTTCTTAACATCGCTTTTTTGAAAGAAAGATGAAAGATTCCATAAACTTTTTGACCTCAAAATGTATTTCTACAAACTTTTCGACCTTAAACTGAAATCCCACAAACCTTCAGACCACTGCGGATTACTCTAGCGGCTTTTTGACTATAGCATGCTACTCGGTAAACTTTTGGAAAACCGAAGACAAACTATTAAATTTTAAGCTTAAAAAAGATCAATCCACAAACTTTTGGACCAAAAAATATAGTAAAAAACGAAAAGTTTTAAAATTGATCATAAAACTAACAAAAAGCAAGGCTTTAAGCTTCAAAAAGTGAAAGAGTAGTCCTTGAATATTCTGAAAAAGAATATATGAATTTGAAAGCATTTGAATGTAAACAATGTTACTTGTCCTTAAAGTTCGTGTGCTCAAAAACTATGCTTCACTTTGAGTCTATCTTTTCAAAAATTTTATATTTAAAATTAGCCTTAGTTTTGGACTACTGAAAAATAAAATGTAAAATACGCCTTTTAACGAAATTTGTATAAAATATATTATAAAAGACAAAATACCTTGATAAGACTTTTACGTATAGGTTAGAGCTCTACAACATAAAAATTGAGAGTAAATTAATTCTAAACGAAAGAGAAAGCCTATCGTACGCTCTTTCACTAACACTAAATTTGAATTGTCTTTTTGGCGCCAAAATGGGAGTTGCCTGCGCATTATATAAAGGTTTATGAAGACCAAAGGCCTTCTGTTTAATGTCATGAAGAGTATTAGAAGTAAACTAACTTAATTTTATCAAAAGTAATGATGATATGATAATATTATTAAAAGTAGGCTATCTAATGTAAACTTACAAATTTCTAAAAGATATTTCAGTGTAAAAACATTAAAGCCAATAGTTTGTAATAGTATACTTACATATTCATTCAAGAGTAAACAGAACATATTAAGGTTGTTCCATTATATTAATTACTTTTGCATGCGGTCAAAAACTGAAAGGCTTGAAACAAAAACAAGCTTAAGATATTGTTTTTAAAGCAGAAGTTTTAAAAATTATATATGTCATGTCAACTGTTAGCGCCTCCTGCTTGAAATGGGTTTTCTTTTACCTTATAGTTTTCCTTACATTAGCTGTATTGGTAAGTTCATAAAATACCAACCAGTAACCCACCATATCTATTATAAAATCAAACTATTAAACCAGCTATATCAAAAACCCATCACATCTACTACAACATCAACATTCTCCTCACAAAGCCATGAAAATCCGCAGAAAATAAAAATCGCTCAAACACAAAGTGGCTGATTTTATAATAAGAAAGGGGGTAGGGAAATGATTTGTTTGACCCAATTTACTCACTTAAGAACAGTTTAGGTAGAGAAAGAAGAAGAAGAAAGTGCGAGTTGGTGTCATTCAGTTCAATCCGATAAAGGGAACCTTAATCATGTGCAATTTGTTGCTCACAACAAAGTGCAAACAGAGTCACTGTACCACATTGTGGTCGTTTACTGTGGCTGTAACAGTGATTTTGTAAGAGGGGTTTTACTGTAATGTGGGAAAAGTTTGCGAACTGGGTTTAGTAGACTTTATGAAACTTTGACGTTGTATAACTTATGTAATAGGCGATTGATAGCTAAGGTATTAAGTTTAAAAGTATAATCAGGGTATAGCAAATCGAACTAACAAGAAAATTAAAGTTTCTCCAAGTATAAACTTAAAAGTTATGCTTCCTCAAAGTGGCATAACTTTTCTAAAGCCCGAAAACCAAATATTCAAAAATAAAAAAAAATTAAAAAAAATAAAAAAAGACGAAAAATGCAAATAGAAGCGCTTGAAACAGCAACTATAACAACAATCGACTAGACATCTGCCACTTTCTAATCTTCATCTTTCTCCAACCCCATTATTTCACAATCTAATCCTTTGATTAATGTGCTGACCAGTCTTCCTCTTCTTCAACCACAAAGCATCAGAAGAAGGGGATTGCTACATGGCTACACAAATACTTTTGTCTTCAGATTTGGTGCTTTGTTAGTAAAAAATGGAAGGTTATTAAATTAAAGTAGCCATCAGCTGAGGAACACCAAGATTTTTAGAGATATTTGACTGTTCTACAGACTTTTCGACCAAAGTGGTACAAAAGTTAGATGGAAAAAGAAGGAAAGGTACTAAAGTAAAGAAAAAAGTAATGTTATACTATTCAAAGTAAATGTTATGTTAATAAATTAATAAAAATCTAAAAAATCTAAAAAATCATCAAAATATCAAAAATTTAAACTTCAAGTTACCCATCAATTAATAGCCTGAAGCAAAATTAAAGTAAAATAAAGTGCTAAGATTGAGGAGACGCCAACGATAACATCTGATTATGAATTTCGACCTTGAAGGGAGGGTGGTGGAGGAGATCTCAAGGCTCTAAATCTTCTAGGTCAAGTGCGCGGCGCTGTAAATAAACGCTCCCAGAGACATACGAATTTGCATAGAAGGAGAAATAGCCCCCTCGAGTGTCATTTTAAGCAAGACATTTCAAAAGTTAAAAAATAAATTTTTAAAAAATTTCAAAATCTAAAAAAAGTTGTCATAGTGTTTGTAAGATGATATAAGCTACAATATATGTGCCAGTTAACAGAGTAAAACATGTCATAAGTACTGGAAGCAATAAGTAAAGCTACCCTGAATAGGCTTCCAAAAAACACGATTAAAAAGCTTGTCAGAAGACAGAATGACGCTGGAACCCGTTGAATTCCAACTTCCTTATCCACCCATCTTGATCTGTCTATCTGAGATTCTTTTGTTTTTACTCTACTCCAAAATAACTAACTCATCTTTGATTTAGTACTTTTAGTCAAACTCTATATTCTGATTGTTTATAACATTAATATCTACTGTCAATAAGATATTTGACACTACAAAGCATTGAAATCATGATATAATATATATCCCTAGGTCCCATAAAAGTACTAAAAAACTCTTTAGTACTACAACATAGTACCATCAGTTCAATAAGTGTACAAAAAAGACTACTTTTTCAAAAACTAGTACTCATTTTCATTCCTTATCCATAGCTGAATGTCATCCTATCACAACATCCTTCTATGTCATCATTCCTACCGTCGGAGATGTTTTTCACGTTTATTACCCCACCCTTCTTTGTTATCTTAGTCCGCTGATCACTCACCCACCCCCAATCTGGTGGTTACACTTGCCCATCTCACTTCTTTTGTTTAAAGATATAATGTCATAAACATCCGTTCGAATCCGAACACTTTTAAAACGAGAACAAGTTTTTGATATCAACTGATACGACCATAG